GTTTGAGCGGATTGTCGCAATCCAGAAGGACAAGACTTTGAATTGCACAGTTGAGGTCTCATACCTGGAAATTTATAATGAACGGGTCCGAGATTTGCTCAACCCGTCAAATAAAGGAAACCTCAAGGTCCGTGAACATCCGTCTACCGGTCCATATGTCGAAGATCTGGCCAAACTCGTGGTCAGCTCCTTCGATGAAATTGAGAACTTAATGGACGAGGGTAATAAAGCCCGAACGGTTGCCGCAACGAACATGAACGAAACCTCAAGTCGATCACATGCCGTCTTCACCTTGACGCTAACCCAAAAGCGACACGACACTGAGACATCAATGGACACAGAAAAGGTGTCGAAGATCAGTTTGGTTGATTTGGCTGGTTCAGAACGAGCGAATTCGACTGGAGCCACTGGTGCACGATTGAAGGAAGGTGCAGAGATTAACCGTTCCTTGTCAACCCTTGGTCGTGTCATTGCTGCCTTAGCCGATGTATCTGCTGGCAAAAAGAAAAATGCCTCCATGGTCCCTTACCGTGATTCAGTGCTCACGTGGTTGCTGAAAGATTCATTGGGTGGTAATTCCATGACATCTATGATTGCAGCCATTTCCCCTGCGGACATTAACTTCGAGGAAACTCTTGGTACCTTGCGCTACGCCGACTCCGCCAAACGAATCAAGAACCATGCCGTTGTGAATGAAGATCCGAATGCCCGCATGATTCGTGAGTTGAAGGAGGAATTACAACAGCTTCGATCCAAGCTTGGAGGCGGAGTAATACCAGGAGCAGCCGGTGCAATTGGTGGCGTAGGAGCTCCTGCAGAGGAATATTATCCGCCTGACACACCATTGGAGAAACAGATGGTATCTATTCAACAGGCAGACGGAAGTGTTACCAAGGTCAGCAAGGCCGAGATTGTGGAACAGCTCAATCAGAGTGAGAAACTTTACAAAGATCTCAATCAGACTTGGGAGGAGAAGCTGCAAAATACAGAACTAATCCACAAGGAACGTGAAGCTGCGTTGGAGGAACTGGGTATCAATATTGAAAAAGGGTTTATTGGACTGAGTACACCAAAGAAGATGCCTCATTTGGTCAACCTTAGCGATGACCCCCTCCTCGCTGAATGTTTGGTGTATAACATCAAGCCAGGCACCACTACAGTTGGTCACATGGATCAGGGTCAAAGCGTGGAGATTCGATTGAATGGATCTAAAATCCTTGAAAAGCATTGTACATTCGAGAATGTGGACAATATTGTGACCATTGTTCCCACCGAAGGGGCCGCCATTATGGTCAACGGTATGCGGGTTGACAAGCCAACACGACTCAAGAGTGGGTTCCGAATTATTCTTGGTGACTTCCATATCTTCCGATTCAATCATCCCCAGGAAGCTCGGGCTGAACGTGTGGAGCAGAGCTTACTGCGTCATTCCGTTACCACCAGTCAGCTTGGATCACCTGCGCCAAATAAAACCCATGATCGGAATCTGAGCAAGACAGGGTCTGAAGTGGATGGCGAGTCAAATGGTACGGACTCACCGATGCCCTCACAACGTGGCCGTGAATCAGATTGGTTTCTAGCCCGCCGAGAAGCTGTCAACGCCATGGTGGGACCGGATCAGATCTCTCATCTGCCAGATGATGAGCTGGACACTCTGTTTGAGGATGTACAGAAGATTCGCGCGGGCCGGCGTGGCCTGCCAGAAAACGAGGAAGACTCCGACTCTATCAGCTCCTTCCCCATTCGCGACAAGTACATGTCTAACGGGACAATTGACAATTTCTCCCTTGACACTGCCATCACAATGCCAAGTACACCTAAACAGAACGACGAGGAAGAGCCAGGAGCTGCCTCGCTCAATCAAGCCCGTCAAGACATGCAAAGGCAGCTGGATCGTCGCAAGGAAGAATTCCAAGAAAAATTGAAATCCGTGGAAGCATCTTCTACTCCCGACTCCCCAGAGCTTCGGACTGAGAAGGAACGAATGGAAGAGGCCTTGCGAAGCGCCAAAGAAGAATTCGAGCAGCAACTGAGGAAACAAAAAGAGAACTTTGAGACTCAGATGCGAGACATGGGCAAACCAATCCCACAAATCTTCGAAAATGGCTTCGCTAAGCTGGATGATCGCGAACTTGAAATTGCACGATTGGTATTCGGCCAGTGGTCCCAGCGCAACTATGTTCGCATGGCGGAGAAGATTCTCCAGCATGCCTCGCTCATGAAAGAGGCACAGATTATGAGCCATATCATGGACAAGAACGTGGTTTTCCAGTTCGCCATTGTAGACCATGGCCACAACATGGAGTCGTCCTATGATCTTGTTTTGAACGGGATTTCTGGAGACGAGGACAATTTTCTAGACGAAGCCAAGAAGCCTTGTGTGGCTGTCCGAGTAATTGACTACAAGCAGTGCGTGATTCATCTGTGGTCAATCGAAAAGCTCCAGCGCCGCGTTCAGGCCATGCGCCAACTCCACCAATACATCGATCGCCCCGACTACATCCAACACTTCAAACTCGACAACCCTTTCTCTGAACCGTGCTCACCCCAATACTCTCTCGTCGGTGATGCCGATATCCCCCTCACAGCCGTCTTTGAGACTCGCGTGCAAGACTTCTCCGTCGAAATCACATCACCATACACTCAAAATGTCGTCGGAATTATTCGACTCTCACTCGAGCCTTCTTCTGCCCAGGCGCCTTCGTCAACTTTGAAATTTAACGTCGTCATGAGGGACATGGTCGGGTTTGCAGAGTGGGAGGGGTCTGATGTACATGCACAGTTGTTCGTCCCGGGCATCTCAGAGGAAGGAGGTGCAACTACAACTCAGATGATCAATGGGTTCGAAGACACTCCAGTCCGATTTGAAAGCGTTCACAGCATGAGCTTGCCGCTCTCAAGTCCCCGGACAGCGGCATTGAAGGTCTGTGTTTACGCGTGTGTGACTTCAGTCCATCTTGATAAGCTACTCAGCTGGGACGATATGCGTGACTCGGCAGAGCCGTTGCCACAAAAACGTACTGCTCCTCGTATTCCTGAGTCTGAATTTTATTCCGAGGAACGTCACGATGTCTTTGCTCGAATTCAGATTCTTGAGATGGCCGAGTCCGGCGAATACCTCCCTGTGGAGGTTATCCAGAGCAGCAGCCTTGATGCTGGCACATCCCAGCTTCACCAAGGATTGCAACGCCGTATCTCCATCAACATGACATACAGCTCCACCGAAAGTCTCCCGTGGGACGACATCAACAATATTCGGGTGGGATCCGTTCGCCTTCTTGATCCCTGGGGAAAGATTCCAGATCAGGATTTCCAGACCCCGGACGTTCCCTTGAAGTTTGTTCAAGAGCCGATGGTCAGGGACAACGCCGATGGAACCTCCCATGTCACGATCGTGGGCCAGTGGGACTCAAGTCTTCACGGCTCTCTCTTGCTTGATCGAGTGACAGCAGAAAAGTACCGGGTACAGGTGACAGTTCGCTGGGATCTCGTTTCCAGTCGTCTTCAGAACCCCGTCGTGTTCGATGCCGATCAGACCCTCCAGATACAGGGCCGCACCTATGTCCGCCAGCAGTCAATGTTCAAGCAATTCTGGAACTCAATTCGTGTCGTGCATTCCACGACCCGGATGTACTCCTTAGTCATTCGTCCAATCTCCGCTAAGCGCGCTGCTGATCTGTGGCGCATGAACACACAGAATGACTATGTCAAGGGCGAGGAGCTATTGACTACCTGGGCACCCCGAAAAGTCTCACTAGTGCGAGACTACATTGCCGCCCGTAAACGCAGACTGCGTGTCGCCGAACTCCATGCTGCCCGAGGTGCTCTCAGTGCAGGCAGTCTGAACGCATCCTCGGCTCGCAGTGGAAAGTCCACACCAATGCGCGGCACAGATCTCAATGAACGCAAGTCAAAACTCCTTCGAAAGTACCTTGATCTGTGGTCGCTCAAGCAGGACCCCACCGAAGCGATTTTGATCCGAAGTAATACCGAACCCCCTACAGATGGAGCGGCGAGTACCTCGCACCCGAAAAGCTCAAATGATACCAATGACATCTCTGATAAAGCGTCGCTCAAGCCTCGCTTTGTGGCTACTATCCAAACCCTTCCCAAAAATCCTTCTGCCTTGAAAACGGGCTACGTGCTTACCCCAGATGATACAAACAATATCTGGGTTCGCCGTTTCGTGGAGCTCCGCAGGCCCTACCTCCACATCTATTCCGTCCCAGAGGGTGATGAGATCAACGCAATCAACCTTCGCAACTCACGCGTGGACCATGCACCCGACTTTGCCCGACTACTCGATGGTTCTGGCGCTGGAGCAGACCGCTCACTATCGGCCAAGGGACGGCCAAATATTTTCGCTGTCTACGGAACCCAGAACACTTTCCTCTTCGCTACTCGCACAGAGGCGCAAAAGGTGGAATGGATCTTAAAGATAGACGAGAGCTACTTCAATAGCAACAGCCCCAGTGCGGCCGCGAGCAACGATGGCCGATGATTGTGACTTCATTCGTCAATGGTCCTGCCGCGGATATACCTGTGGAGAGGAATTTACCTCGCCTGCTTCATGAGTTATGATATTACGGGTCTAAGTCTACCTTCTGCCTTATCCTTTCGTTTTGCCCGTTTCCTTTCATGACCTGTTGAGATACCCCTTGAATATATCGACTCGCGTGGCCTCCCTCTTATGTACATAATAATCCGATATAGTCAGGACTATAGATTGATTGCGCATATTTTGTTTGTGTTCTCAGAACGGTGTATATGAATCCATTCTTAGATTAGACAGCTTTGAGTTCCTAATCAATCTTACTCTATGATATCACCGGTACTTGTGTGGACTTGATGTCTCACCTGCGTTGCCAGGGAAACAATCAGCATTGACATCAACCACATCTAACGAAAACACTCGATCACGTCCCATCAGCAGACGCAGGTGAGACAAAAGGTCGGTGAACTCTTCTAAATTCGAAGAGAGACTTCAAAATATTCCAAGAATGTTCACACAACGCCCCTCATTCCGTTACATAGCCACCGGGGCTGTAGTGTCTCTGTTTGCCCTTACATTCCTCATTATCGGCACTGGCACACACCGCGAACTTTCATCAGAGTATATACTCAAGGCACCTTCAAGGCCTTGCCCGGCTTCGAGTTTCTCAGGGAATCAAACCTGGGATTTTGTTGTCGAGCGTGATGGAAATAACCACGGGCTATCAGAGAGCCAATGTCGCATCGCATTCCCCAAGCTCTATAACGAGCTTGACAAGTCATCGGCTCTAAGAGCTGATCGCCATTATACATACAAAGAGTTTGATTCTCGCACTGTGGATGATGGTATGGTCCGTGGTATCATTGATGGCGGAGAGGTTAGTTCACACTGGACTAGAACGACAGTTGTATAAGTCCCACTGACTAACATTTAATTCGTCCAGCTGTACATAGTCGACTATGCCCCAATGCCTGTTACAGCTACTCGCGCCCGCGCGACCCTCAACTCCCTTCACCGTGCCTTAACTGCCTTCCCAGACCGACACCTTCTCCCCAGCATCGAGTTCACCTTCACATCGGAGGACTTCGCCGCAGACTCAAATGGCAATGGTCCCATTTGGGCCTATTCCAAGCGGGATTCGGACACGTCAGTTTGGCTGATGCCGGACTTCGGATACTGGGCCTGGCCAGAGGTCCAAATCGGTCCATACCACGAAGTTCGACGACGTATTGCCGCTGTTGACAATGGGGAGTTCAAAGGAGATGGTAGCTTTATTCCTGGTCTGCAGTTCCAAGAGAAAAAGAAGCAGCTCGTGTGGCGTGGTAGTCTGGCGACTAACCCGCCCGTACGAGCTAAGCTGCTCAAGTCTGCGTTGGATCATAGTTGGGCTAGCGTGCGGGTTATCGATTGGGATGATGAGACTGATATCCGGTTCAATCTTCTGCCTATCGAGGATCACTGTCGGTATATGTTCTTAGCACATGCGGAAGGGCGAAGCTTCTCTGGTCGTGGCAAGTATCTCCTGAACTGCCGCTCTGTTGTTATTTCGCATGTCCTGGAATGGCGCGAAGTTCATCATGCTGCCCTTGTATCTTCTGGCCCAGATGCCAATTATGTTGAGGTTGACCGTGACTTCGCTGACTTGCCGCGCAAGATGGAGTATCTTATTGATAATCCAGAGGCTGCGGAGCGCATTGCTAACAATGCCGTGCGCACTTTCCGTGATCGCTATCTTACCCCTGCTGCCGAGTCTTGCTACTGGCGCCAATTGGTGCGGCAGTATGCTGCTGCTTGTGAGTTCGAGCCGGTCTTGTTTTCGACTACTCGTGATGGGAGGACGCAGCCTCGAGGTGTGCCATATGATACTTGGCTGTTGATGCATTGATATTTTTCATATGCTTTCCTTTTTTTCTCTTTTCACTTGCACAGGACTGCATCCCGGATCTATTTCAAGTTTTCGGCTGGCGTTGGTCTAATGACCCGGATGATAACGTTATTTTCACTTTTGACACGATTTGAATACGCATTGATTATTTATGAACATATTCCTGCCCTTTGATGGCTGGCAATCCCAATGATTATGGACCATAGCGAGTTTCTGACTGAAAATGTAATACTGTTGTCTCTGAAATCACAGGATTTGCGGCGTATACAAATCCACACTATGCAAGGCACTCGCCAAGTCAATTACATAGAATGACCAGGTCCTGTTCTCCAGTATAAGACGCTTGAAGATCGAAGCATCCGATTGCTCTTGTTGAGCCTCAATCTAGTTATCAGATCGTTTCGAAGGAAAAGAACAGTCATTATTAGATCCTGCCGTCTCAACATCAGGTGTGTTCTTCCAATTATATGAAATCCTACGGGCTGCTCTGGCCATCTGTTAACGACGAGGACCCAAAGCCCGCAGTCCTAACAGTAGTCTCGGTTGCACTGAGCATATGCTCAACCTGGAGTAGTTTATGCTCCTGTAAAGGAGAGCCATGCTGATGTAATTGAACCCAAGTCACAAAAGTATCTCCTTTTGTAGTATTCAATATCAGCATTCAACAAACGCTTGACACATGAATTCGGAGGGGTTCGTTGTGCGATTGATTTTCAGCACGATTCTTCTTCACTGGTGCGTATGAAGAAATCTTCTGGAAGGCAAGCTTGAAAAATATCTTTGTCGGTGGTATGCAGCCAACAATGAAGACAACCCACATCTCAGACCTGATACCCTTGTTACTATTCAGGACAAGCATGAGGCGCAAGAAATACCTACTGGTTCCAGACAATCACCTGAGCTAAGGTGTCTGACGGATGAAACAATATAAGCATGTGCGGTAAAAAAGACGATTCGAGCGGATTACTTACGTGTTTCATCTGCTGTCTCCGTAAGAAGGCTTAGCTTGGCGGATTTGAAGGCCGCGCAGATAGCTGCACTGCTGTCCGTTAGTGTCGATTTAGCCTGTTCAATGATTCGGAGGCACCCACGCAATACCAACTCCCATTAGAGCACACAGGCCCACCTTGGTCTTGGCTGTGAAGGCTGCGATTCTCAAGAAAAGCAGCATAGGGTATATTGCAAGTGCAATGTCAACAAATGCCGACCATGCTAATCCATTGAATATATTCATGAACACTTGTTATGCGTACGACTTGGATCAGAGAGAACTCACATCCTTGAACATAACCAAATATTTGGATTCTTTTCCGCCCCGAACATTCTCCTGGGACATCCTCATGCCAGAGCTTTCGTACTGGCGAGCATTGAATGAAGGCCAATATGGCCGCGATACAGTTAAGAATGAGATTACTCCCGGCCAGAAACCATAAGAAGACTGTTCTAGTTGGTGTGTGGACGCCTTCAATTTGTAGAATGAAGGCGACGATAGCAAGTTTCGCCAGGCCGATAGCCACGAGAGCAAGCACTTGATTGACCCAACCGAATAAAAGTGCAGAACTGATGTCTTCCGGGGATACATATGCTCGAGACAGACCAAGACCATAAGAAGCTCCGATGGTGAGCATGACCATACTCGCGGTCCCCACTACCTAGATAGGTAGTTAGTAGTGAACACATTGTGATGAGTGAACGAAACGTTTAACGGCTCACAAGAGTTGAACTGGCGATATAAAAATCGTCTCTGATACGGTGTAGTACTCTCAGACATGTATACCATCTGATGCTGAACATAATCAATGCTATGCCAAACTCAACCCAAGAAACCACGAAAAAAGTCTGTTGAAAGCCGTCATTTGTCATTGAAAGGACTGCTAGGGATTCCGTGTCATTTGAGATGTTCCATCTTTCACTCGAAGATACTTTTGGCCATGAAATGAAGGCTATGAGCTGCCTGTATAAAATGACAGATTGAGAAGGCGGAGCAAAAAAAAAATCAGAGATGGACACAATACAAGTAGCTCAATAACGTTACAGTAGGGAACGTGAAGTTGGTTGGTCGAAGGTTTGGTTACGTCATAGATCTCTATTGGAGCGAATCTCATAGTATGAACGTTAGGCAAAGAAGTAGCAGTGTATTATGCCACAGGTTATAATCTCCCGGAGAGTAATTCTGGCAGACCAACAAAGATGGTCAATTCATAAGGACATTTAGGAGCATCACAGCAGAGAGGAAATGATCCCTGTCACATGACTCAATCTTTATGCGCACTAGCTCCGTATCTGCATTACTAAGCAGCATGAGAGCTCTGAGCATAATTCCATATCGTCTGAATGTTTCTTCACTGGTCTTGTCAAATGAGCCTAAGCCATGCCAGGCCAAAGCTTCACGTGTTGTACTTGCCAGAAGGTCTTCTCCAGTAAAAACCACCTACGGCGACACGAGCCCTCACGTAAGTCATACTAAAACCACGACTTGACGCGAGGTTGACCTTTCCCCACAGATACTTCCCAGTCTCTGGTAACATGTGAATTTTGTGATCGTCAATATTCAAGGAAGTGAGAATGCCCAAAACTGCAACCGCCTCTCGTAACTCACCTGTTTAGCGATGCACTGCGGCGACATTACAAGAGTTGCCCCCGGATTGGAGCCCAGCCCAGGCCCGGGCCTGCTCGGACCGGACGCCGACGCAAGGCCTGCGATAACTGCGCTAGACAGCGAATCAGTTGCGATGGAAGCTTTTCTTGTTGTGCCTGCCAAGTTACTGGGGTCCCTTGTACTTATCGTCGTCTAGACACACCACTGCATGATTCGCATGAGCGTTCATTAACTCCTGACATACCAACTCGACGCCAAAGTCTGTGCAGTGCAACCAACCCGGAAGAGCACGGTTTAGAGAAGAACTCGTTGCCATTCTTGCTGAACTATTCTGCGCCGGGAAACCGCAGTTCAAGAGATGTTAATCGCGTTCTGTCTCTGTTGTCGACTGCAGAACCTGTTGACGAAAGCCTCGATACTGCCCTACCAAGTCTTGATGTCGAAGCTGATCAAGCGCATCTTTTCTTGGAAGAGTCTTGGAACTTGTTCTTCGGTTCTTACAAGATTGATGAACAAAATCCAAGCTCGCCGAGGCCACAGGAACTCGAAGACCAAGACCAACGCCAAATAGCTTCTGCTAGAATGGTTGATTGCATCGTCAGATCGGACAGTGGAAGTAGTACCTCTGAAGCAATCACTAAAACTGGCAACGTGCAAGAATTCTTCGCAGAACGCAATGTAGGTGATCATATCGAGGCGTACTTTGAGCGAATAGTACGCCCGCGGTCTCGCATCGTTTTGAAGTCTACATTCAACCTAGAAAAAGTCTCCACTCCATTGCTGTTGTCTATGTTTTTGATGGGCGCGGACTGTGATACTTCGGACAGCGTGAAATTGCAGGCGATTGAGTATGCTGAAATAACAGAAAAGGTGGTCTTTGATAACGCAGACTTCAAACGACTGATATATAGAAAAAGAGAAGATGGTTGGGCTTCGCTAGAGATACCTGAGATTGAGTTGATCCAAGCTGCGATTCTGATACTTCTGATTCAGTTGTCAAGCCCCAATGCTGAAACACGTCGTCGGACTCGAATCCAGCGGTATCCAGCTCTAGTATCGGTCGCACGAGCGACGTCCCTCACGCAGACTAAGAATTGCTGGCATGACAATAGCAGGCCAGCTTGTCATGATGGCTTTCTCAAAAACGAAACCTGTATCAGGTATGTCTACTTTCCTGCTAATACATAAGTTATCATTGATCCCACTCACTAAATTGACCGTCTAGGATGATGTCCTCGATTGCCATGATGGATTGTCACTATATCATGTTCTTTAATGACCCGCCCATTCTAACGGCCCCGGAGTTGGGATTTGATCTTCCAGCCGAAGAGAAAGGAATTGAAATCACGGACCCTATAACCTGGGAGCTTTGGGTGACCAATGAAAAAAGTTATCATCGACCGCCGCCACTGAATCTTTTCATACAAGAGCTTCTGTCTGACAATTGGATTGGCATGGAAGACCCACGTTACAAAAATTTGAGTTTTTTCGCACTATATGTTGTTATCTCTGGTGAGGCCCATGAGATTTGGGATATACGAATCACTGTACTGATAAAAAAAAGGGTTCCATCGCATCATTTTCGGACTGAGAACAAGTCTTTGCAATATGTCCGATGCCAAAAGACAGATTGACAGAGCTCTGTCCCGTTGGATGACTCTGTGGGAGGCCCTACAATCTAAGTCAAGTCAGGATCAAATATACCGAGCGGGAATTATGATTCACGGACAAGACTTGTGTGCGTTCGCCAAACTCTTACTGCGTACGCCTTTATGTGACACTGGTGATATCGCGCATGACTCAATGGGCCGTATCCACGAGCTCTTGAAGCGGCGCCCATGATAAGATGAAACTTGTTTCTGGATTAATACAAACCCAAGCCAAACGAGGAGCTAATGCTACACGCAAGAACGACCCATGTTGCCCCTCCACTCCGTGTTTTGCTCAAAAGTCGACCTGAATCCCATACCAAATGCTTCACTCCATTGAACCCGTGGTACGTGAACGGCATTGAGAGCCCAAACTTCAAAGCTGCCTTCGCAGTGGTTGGAAGGGATCCAAACGCGGCCGCCATGGATGTTGAATCGAGGTTTAGATCTAGGACAGGCGCACACAGATAGAGTGTGGCGAAACCGTACAAGGTCCCCGAAAGCATCAGCCCAGTGACTCGCTGGATCGCAGAGGCCGAGGAAACATAAGTCCACTTGTAGACTGTGAGATGGGGAGCGATAGGGCGGTTTCGACGTTGAGCGGCGAGTCGGTCGTGTGCACCCTCGGCGGTAACCTTTTGAGTTGCAATGTTTTTCCTGTGAGGCAGTTATTTTAGAAACTGCTAGGTGCAAATAAAACAATGTATGAGGATTACTTACTGGGTTTGAAGGGTTCTGATTACCCTTGGGTATATCTTGATGGGTTTCAGGAACCGAGACGAGATATGCAGCATACTGGAGGCGGCTGTAGAACACTTTAGTATGGAACTGGATTAGGCTATTAGGTCTTGCTCTTGTGAATAAAATACCTTAAGGATGATGAGATAGCATCAGAAAAGACCAGATGAGATAATATAGCGAAGTCTCGAGGTAGGATACCACGAACAAGTTCCCAAATCTCCATAGATCGGAGAATATCCACCAGGAAAATACCCACTGCCGGAAAACACCCACACGCCAAGATCTTCGTTGGAATAAACAATTGCGGATCCATGAATCACGAAGTTTGTTCAGTTTGCTCCTCCGGCTTAGTCTTACAATAGCCTCTATTCACCAGGTCGGATTTATACAGGCAAAATCGGACGTTACCCCGTGTCTTCAGCCTGTCTTGGCTCCAACTAAGCCAAGCCACTTACGACCCTCATAGCCGTGACGAATTCCCCCGCATTTGAAGTGCGTTCGTGCCTGATAAAGCCTATGGTGGCTGAAATTCACATTTGGCTGAATGAATTAGCCGTGTCAATGCCTTGTGACAGCAGGCCTTCGCTTAGAAAAATGGGCTCTCCAGGTTTAGCCTAGCCGGTTGACTGGAGACCATTTTCGAACCAGTGTATGTGATGAACGGAGCCTAGCACCTGGAAGGAAACAGGTCCGCCGTTCATTAGTGCTGTGGAGACTGGGCAGTTTGGGATAAATGGATAAATTAATTCAAGCCAGCCAGGAGCTGAAACAATGCAGAAACGTCCGCCCCACTTGATTGTCAATATAAAAGGGTCCTGTTTCCTATAAGTTTAAATCTCAGTTCAACAGGGAAATCAACAGTTTGCTTCTCAATACCAATTTTCCCCAAGTTTCAATATGGTTTCTTTCTCAAACCTTTTCCTGGCCGCTTGTGCCTTCGCCAGCACCCTCGCAGCTCCCAGTGACTTGAGCAAGCGAGCTATCACCACCAGTCAGACCGGAACTAGCAACGGTTACTACTATTCCTTCTGGACTAACGGCGGTGGTTCTGTTAGCTACACCAATGGTAACTCCGGTGAATACAGTGTCTCTTGGACCAACTGTGGAAGTTTCACCTCTGGCAAGGGCTGGAGCACTGGCAGTGCCCGGTATGATAGATCCAACTGTCGCTTGGCACAAAGATGACTGACATTTGCGACTTCTAGCAACATCAACTTTTCGGGTTCCTTCAACCCCTCTGGAAACGCCTACCTTGCTGTGTATGGCTGGACCACCAGCCCTCTGATCGAGTACTATATCATGGAGAGCTACGGCACCTACAACCCCGGCAGCAGCATGACCTACAAGGGAACCGTTACCAGTGATGGATCAGTCTACGACATCTACACCCACCAGCAGGTCAACCAGCCCTCTATCTCAGGCACTGCCACCTTCAATCAGTACTGGTCCATTCGCCGCAGCAAGCGGTCCAGTGGAACCGTCACCACTGCCAACCACTTCAATGCCTGGGCCTCCCTTGGAATGAGCTTGGGCTCTCACAACTACCAGATTGTTTCTACTGAGGGTTACGAGAGCAGCGGTTCTTCTGACATTACTGTCTCGTGAGCGGGCTTTGGCATTATGGAGTAGATCATGGCGAAGGCCCCGATTGCCCCATGCAATGGATCGTGTTGGAACCGAGTTAGGTCGTTTGTCACGTTGCAATATATCGTGTTTCTGAGAACAATGCATTGATCGTTGACTATTGTTCTATTGATGGGCCGCTTCATTGTTCCATTGATGAATAGGTGGCCAATTGAATCTGTAGCTTGACACTCTAATGAATGGTATTCTGCACTTCAATTGGCAGCCTAACCCCACATTACTTGCTCTGATGCGCTATGAATTATCCAACTTGAAGCTACCGGATGCAACAACATAAATGCTTCGACCGGGATCCGTTTTCTTCTTTCCTCCACATCCTCATCCATATTCTCTTACAGTCTCTGATGTGTGGTTCAAACTGCACAATTAGGACCGAAAGAAATTGCAACTTGTTGCTTAAATTGTTGTCAGCAAAACTTGAGGCTAACATTCTCACCAGAACTTCCATCCTACAATCCCGCCGTTATGGCATCAACCATTCCAAATGACGTCGCTTTCAATATCCCGGTTCTGAAAGGTCGCTCCAACTGGTATGAGTGGCACAGGGACTTCCTGCGGGTCACACTCTGCGTCAATCCACTCTACTGGGATATCTTCACCGGTAATGTTGGTCCCCCCAAATACCATGACTGCAACTTCGATGTGTACTTTGGTGAAGATGTCGTGAATAACGGCTTCACGATGGATCATTGCTCGCAACCTGAAAATGACCAGATTCCTCAACTCGATGCCTCAGGGAAGGAGGTTCGTGAACAGTACAACATCGACCACCAACATTGGAATCGCTTTGTTCTTGAGGCTCGAGGATATCTGCGTTTTGCTCTGGACCAACAACCTGCCATGCACATCCGACAAATTGCGAATCCGCGGGAGGCATTCCTGGAGTTGGAGATGACATACGCATTTCCCCATGCCCAGCCCTCCGTTGATGCTTGGAAGAAATGGCTGCTCATTCACTACCACTGCACACGAGAATCGCCCGAAGAATTTGTCAACAGGTTCAAGAAAGCTCTGCAAGAGCTCAAGGGCCAGGGAGTTCAAGTGAGTGTGGGAGTTGAAATTGCTCAGTTCCAAGCCGCCCTCATGCACGATCTTGAGTGTCTGCATTTTGTAGATACCTTGGTTATTGATCCCAAGAGCCTCACTGACACAGATTCTGTCTATGCTGGTTTCCTTCAGGGATAAGCACAGATGCAGAACGGTTGTGACGTTGGGTTTTTCTTTCTCTCTTTGCCGTCTCCGATATTTTTATTTGCTTTTTATTCACTTGCTTTGTGATTTTCTGCCGGTATGATCCGGACGTGGTTGAACTGTGATTCTAATTAGCTGGGATGATATCATCAGGAGATGAAAGTAGCATGGGTATTGCTACTGGATCAAGAATCAAAATTGTTGCTTTGGTTTCAAATTCCCTTCCTTCCTGAACTGAAACTCATCAACTCTACGAGAGAGCACTCGGCTGGTCAAAACTTCGCCGAGTTTTTGCATAACACCTTACGTAGCTTCCGTAAATAAAATACCACTCACAGACAGGAATAGCCGCCTTCTTCATTCCCGGAATTTTTGAATATTGCCGCGTTTTCATCGTCACATAGTGGTTGATTCAAAGGCAACATCCAAAGGGCACCCGACATTTCAAGATTCATGGAGATACAGCTTGACAGAGTCAGAGTGATAATTGTCAGTGATTTTTTTTTCTTTGCACTGTCCATGCCAAGTTCGGAGAAAAGTGGGAGTATGAAGTAAAGAGCGATAAGCAGGATAAGAATGTTGAGATGGCCACATAGGGTCGTTCGTGTAGCCGGTTGTAGACAGAGGTGAAAAGAAGATGAGATTCCTCTCTCTCTCTAGTCTCTCTTTGAATGTCTTTCTTCCTGTAAGACATAATCATATGTTATAATTTTTCTTCTTTCCTTATCTTCAAGAAAGAAGGAAAAGAAGGAAAACACCGACCCCGAGGAGCCTCCTGCTGCTGCTTCCCAAGACGCCATGGACGTGGATTGGACCCCATCGCGATCTGAAGTCTTCAGTCTTGATTCAGCCGCATTTGCGTCGTCCTCTGGCTGCTACAAGTCACCCACAACAAAGAGAGTTGGGCATCAACCTTTATATAGTTCTGATTCTCCTATTGCAATTTTGGAATAAAAAAGTACGTGATTTCACATTATGCGTTGCGTCTGTGAACAAGGAAAAATTGAACTGGGGCCCAACATTTATTTTCACATGAATCTTTAAGACTGAAGAATAATTGTAGCCAAGTTTCTATATGGTTTCTTTTTCCCTATTAGAAGTTGGAAGATGATAACAACTTAAATGGATCATGATGAACTGACTACTTAAGGCAGTGTTTCTCAGCAGCATTTCGATAGGAACTTCTCTTTTTTTCGAGAAAGTGAAAACAAGTTAATATTGATAAGTCTCACTTTCAGCTCACTCTGATCTTACTTCTGCAGTTGCCAGTAGTATGATGGAATATTGAGATGTGTCGGGCTGGCTAGATCATCTCTTACGACTGCTATTGAGGAAACCCCGGAAATCCTATGTTAATGTACTCTTTTGTGCTTTTGATACGTGTTGTCTATGTATTTAAGAATTCAATATAGACTAGAAGTGACAAACTCATGCTGTTTGAAGAACATATGAATTTTGAAAAGGACAAATGACACACAAAGAAAGAGCAGTGATGGTCTTAACTGTCTAAAGTTGCTGATAAGCTAGCTTTGAATGCCACGGCGTAAAAAAAAGGTCCATTCTATTTCTGCCTAGCGTGAGGGGATTATGTAGGGTCTATCTGCTTTGGAATTAGTATGCTGATAGAAAATCCCTTGTAACCAGTAGAATCGGCGTAGATGCGGAGTAAAGGCTTAGGGCATTCAGCCTAATATCGTCACTATTGGTAGGAAATGTCCTTCGAGCTAACCGCAGCCACGGCCCGTCTGAGGTTTAAAAGGCTTGGATTGCTTATTTGCACAAGAAATACTCACTTGCACCTAGCATACAATCAGAACAGAAAAATGCCGTCAATCGTGGGGGTGGTTTTTTGCGTGGCATCTGCAGTGACCTACAGTTATGCCGCAGCAGTTTCCTCCTCAAAATCTGTCAGTATCTCGGTAAATTCAGCTGTCAAATTCCAAGAATTGGATGGATTCGGCGTCTCGCAGGCTTTTCAACGAGCAGAAGATATCTTCGGCAAAGAGGGGCTTACCAGCGAAAACACCAAGCATGTTCTCGATCTTCTTTTTAGCATCGAGAAAGGAGCCGGGTTCTCGATACTGCGCAACGGCATCGGCTCCAGCAATAGCTCACAAAGCAACTTCATGAATTCCATCGAGCCTTCAAGTCCTGGTCTACCGGGCGCGAAGCCTCACTATGTCTGGGATCGCAATGATAGTGGTCAGTTTCCCCTAGCCCAGGAGGCGTATGACCGTGGACTTGCTCGACTATATGGTAATGCATGGTCGGCACCCGGATATATGAAGACAAACGGCGACGAGAACAATGGCGGCTACCTGTGCGGAGTGACCAATACTTCCTGTCCGTCTGGCAATTGGATGCAGGCATATGCCGACTACCTTGTTCAGTGGGCAAGATTCTATAAACAGTCTGGGGTGAAAGTGACAAACATCGGTTTCCTGAATGAACCCGAGTTCGCCGCCTCATATGCTGGGATGCTGTCCGATGGCACTCAGGCGGCGGAGTTCATCCGTATTCTCGCAAAGACAATCAAGGGATCAGGCATGGATCTGGAAATCAACTGCTGCGATGGAATTGGATGGGAGGAACAAGAGCAGATGATGGCTGGTCTCCAAGCCGGCCCTGATCCTGCAGAGAATTATCTCAGTGTTGTGACTGGACATGGATACAACTCCGTGCCAAATTTCCCACTGTCGACGAAGAAAAAGACATGGGTAACCGAGTGGGCTGATCTCTCGGGTGGCTTTACTCCTTACACATTCTTCAGCACTGGTGCGACCGGAGAAGGAATGACATGGGCGCGCAACATCCAGGTTGCGCTTCTGGATGCAAATGTTAGCGGATTCTTCTATTGGATTGGCGCTGAGAATTCAACTACTGACAGCGGTCTAATCAATCTCATTGGGGACAAGGTCATTCCGAGCAAGCGATTCTGGGCATTCGCACAGTTTAGTCGGTTTGCTCGACCGGGTGCTCGTCGCATTGAGAGTATCAGCTCTGCACCGTTAGTCTATGTCAGCTCATTTCTCAACAAGGATGGGAGTGTTGTTAGTCAGGTCATCAACAACGCCACCGAAGCATATGATATCAGTCTGAGGGTTCACTCCTCATCGAAAATTAAAGATGCTCGGCCTTATGTGACGGACAACGCAAACGACCTGACAGCCCTGGCGCCCCTTCGTGTCGCAAGCGATGGCATCTTCAGGACAACAGTTCCGGCACACTCGTTGGTGAGCTTTGTTTGCTCATAGATGGAAGATATACTCCATGTTCTTGATATAGAGTAGATCATGATCTGTTCAAAAGCTAAGAAGCACTCTATTAGAAAGTTTCTATACGGAATCCTTGAACTGAGTGCGCCATTCAATATCTATGAATGCCTAATTTGACCTCTTTTTTCACCTCTTGCTTACCCATACTTGAACAGCTTTGCTAAATCAAGCATTTCCTATAACTGGGGAAGTGTCAAAAATTTATGATCCCTGTCTTAAACTCGAAGTTAAGCTTCACCAGAAAAGATGGACCATACCGTTGTTCAGACACGGGAAAAGTGAGCCCTGCATAGCGCTAGTGAATCCTACCAACGCAAATCAAGGGTCACAGCTCGCAGTTTCACATTCAGCGACATTGTCGCATCAAGAACCTTCACAGAGATGTTGCGCAGCATGAAGGACAACATAAACGAGCTGGGGAAACGACAGCAGATACACAACGGACGAGCAGAGTTTAGACACTATCCATCTTCCTTCCCTACCCTATCAGTTCCAATGACAAAAATAACCAAACAACTGACGCCAACATACGTGATGTCCCAATCCGCGACTAGTCAATAGCAACAAGCAGAATTTCCGAGCCCAAATAGACATAAGCAAGAGTTCTGAAAAAAGTAAAATGAAGTAAGGGGTCTTCTTAAAATTCATAGTCATACATAAAATATCCGATTCTGAACAAAGAAAATGTAAAACTCATAAATTATGTACTTCGGATCCTGGAGGCTTGGAGGTCGCCCCGTTCCCTAACTCCGAGACGTCAGAGGCACCCAATTCGACAGGATGGCGCGGCGATCCCGGTCTGCGAAAGTAAGGCTGGTTCATCGGTGCGGGTACTCCCGTTGACTGTGATAGGGCTTTGAAGCGTGCGCGTCGTTCCCACAGGGCCCAAACTATAGATGCAATTGCAATGATACCAAGTGGTACGCCCACTCCGGCTCCGATCGCTGCTTCTCGCTTTGAATTTGAGCCGCTGTCGCTCGCAGAGCTTGATGTCGTGGCAGAAGAGGATGGGACAGAAGATGAGGTCGCAGTCGCTGTTGAGGTGGCGGATAGCCCAGCGACACCAGCGAGAGCTGTTCCATGCGGGACTTCTACTGAATTGAAGTTGCCACAGTTAACGGTGCCATTCTCCCAATTTGCTGTGCCGCAGCAGTGAACGGTGCTGCTTCCATTATACTGAGCGGCTAGTATGGGAAACCCTGAGCCCTTATTATAAGGCACTACACGTAAGTTATATCATGTTAGGCTGAGTCGATGATGACAGGGCAGTGATAGCTCTAGCTGCGAACATTATAACTTACTACAGTATTTGTAAGAACCGCACGAGTCCCAGCTTCGATCAGTGCAGCTTGCACGCGAGAGTACAAACCCGCGCTGTCCTTGGAGATAACATAGCCCGTTCGACATGCAAACATCACCTTTGCTGCAACAAAATGTGGTTGAATCTGAGGTACAAGGAACATCATTTTTTGCTTCAGATCCATCGGGATTGTAACAGCTCGTGTCAGCCCGAGCTGTTATGGACCATACAAGGCTCGCAAGAATAAATTGCAACCAGCATTGTCGCAGATTCCCCATCGTTGGACTTGGAAAGCTAGAAATAAGTCACTCAGAGATTCGACGTGAAGAAGAATTCCTCCGCGCCTCAGAAACAGTCCGAAGAGCTGCCAAGGTTCTTGGCTCTTTTCATTACAAGATAAATTAGCGGGCGCTGTGCAGCATTTCGATGTCATTGTGCACGGAGGCGTTGGGGGCCTTAATTATCTAGCTGTTGTCATTGGATGATTTGGACAGGGACTGCGCCCTGATCTGCAACAAACAAACTGCTTATGGTTTAGAGGAACCGAGAAAGGAAATGATCGTGAAGAAGTGAGACCTAGTTGTCAGCCACTATCATTCCGGCCTAGCGCAGTTGATAACACTACAGTAGGAATGTGCTCAAGTTATTTTAGTATCTGACTATAACTCATGGCCCAGAACTACTGCAATTCCGCCAATAAACAAGGTAGCTGCATTTGAGAATGTCTTAAAAACACTACCCCAGTAAATAACTTCAGCGTCTGAAATTCACAATGAGGTTGGATTGATTAACTAAAACTGCAATAAAATGCATGTAGTGAGCTTAATTGCATCCTGTAGCTCCATGTTGAGACAGTGGTCCCTCGTTATGACGGATAGTACTCCACACATTGAGCACTAGCTAGCTTGGTGATAGGTTCGCCTGATCGTTTCAACCGTTCCGATTCCTCGCTGGCCATCTGTGCTTGAATCTAGAAAGAAGTGTTACCACAAATAACCGCATCTGTTTCATGGAAGAACTAACATTTATTCGGTGAGGAGTGATCAGCTCCCTTGCGCCCGTTATCTTCCATTCTGGAAGGCCCTCGGGCCGACCCAAATCTCTCAGGGTCTTTTGCTCCACCAGACTATACTTACCATCTGCACGGTTGAAATTGAAAGGCTCTTTCAGAGCCACCGGTGGGTTGGTGATAATTCGAATATCGCGTCGCAGGTTCCGAGAAGCCGAGTGCAGCATGAATGGATGGAGAAGAAATACATCCCCCACTTCTCCAGTAGCCTCATGAAAAGAATTGTCCCTCGTATCCGTTGGAGACTGCGCCCATTTATACCAAAGATTTGGTTCCTTGTTGGGGGTATTCGGAACATGATGAGAGGCAAGAGATGGCCATGTCCCCTCAGGGTGGTCATACTAGAATTTTTCTTGAGATCAGTAAATGAAGCGAGAAAGGAACAGATCTCTGCAAATACAGCCGTACCATATATTGTGCCACTAGTCCAATACCATCCGTGCAAATTGCCGTTCCGCCACCTTTGTACTGTATATCGCTGAACAGTGGGATAACCAACAATGCTTGCTCGGGGCTATCCAGGAAATGAACAAACCAGTCGCCATCATTGTGCCAATCTGTCAAAGATCGAAGATCCAAATTATCCTCTGAATTATATTCCGGCTTTCCCATATTCACGATCCAAGCATCTTTCCAGTGTTTGCACCAGTCAGCTACCCGCTCCGCTCCACCAACGAGCTCACAGATGGCATCCCAAGCTTTGGGGGCAAAGCTCTCCACGCTGATCATCGTGTGACCGGGCATGTTCACCTTCTCCTTGGTCCAGGTTGTTTTATCAGTGGAAGACACTCCCAGACGCGTCCAAACCGACGAGGTAAATTCCGCTGCCGCTTCACGAGTAAAGCATTGGGGCACTTTGAGAAAGCCATGATCAAGCCAGTGCCGCTTCTGCTCCTCTGTGAGTCTATAGTGAGGCTGTAGATCGGACATCAGTACTTGACGGCGATGCTTAGTTGCGCAGAGGTCAAAGGAAAACTGTCGAGGACACTTTGGTCATGGTCTGTCTTATGATTGCCGTTGGGCTAAAGTACAAGTAAACAGGCCAACTTCTATTTAGCCGGCACTTTATCCGCCCAATTGTAATTGTAGCGAAGTCACCGAATACGGGGTTCCCCGCACCCGCTGTAATTTCATGGGAGATAGTAGGCTATCAAGAGCGGAAACCTCAAGGCTCTGCAAAGGGGACATGATCGGATTGGCGAAGCTTTGAAGGTCATGCTTTTAAAAATCTGGCATGTAGTTACCGCAAGGGAAGCGCGATATGACAAAGATGTCGAATTAAGAAACTGAACTTTTTGGATTTCCCTTCTAGGTGTTTTTGTTCAGAAGACCCAGAAAGACTTCGTTTTTCAAATAGCTCAATAATAAATTCTTCTTCGTCTCTATTATCTCACCTGCATGTCAACATGTTATAAGTGATTCTATTTTGAAGAGCAACATCAAACATCGATTGTTGATCACACAATCATACCTCGACAACCGAGTTTATTTCTGCAACTTTCGGTGAAGCCCGTGAATTCCGAACACCTGTTCAGGACACTCGGATCGGCCGATCTGAGCTTTGATAGAACCGAAGGAGAGCCGCAAGATCTGAACCGTTTCAGGAAATAATCGGCGGGAGCCGCAAACCATCGCCACAACCAGTTGTATAGACCTGAGAATACACCCGTCAATGACATCAAGATTCCCAAACAGCCATTTAACAATTTTACCATGACTGGATTTCGGTTGCGCCACAACTTCAAGGCAAAGCACCTGGCATGATCACAGCCTGGCATGATCACAGCCCCGAAGCCTTCGGCCGCATGCTGAACCGACTTACAAGCGTATGAAGTATCAATCGGACAGTCTACCCTTTGTGTACAAAAGCATCTGGACCCTCACTCAAACTAGCTACAGAATGGGATCTAGCCAACATTCACATTTGGGTCACCATCGGGATTTTTGAAGCTTGGCAGGGTTTCGTCGTCATTCATCCAGCCCTGATCTTGGCGAACTGAGCAAGTGGTATTGATTCCACTTCGAGCACAGTCGACATGCCACACGGAAAACCGGAACACTGGGAAGCTGTTCTGATCAATGTTCCAATCGTCTGTACTGGTGTTGCAACGGCTTGTTATGCCCTTCGCCTTTTCTCGCGCTACTTGTTGGATCATAAACTACGAATCGAAGATGGAATGATGGGAGCAGGCGTCATTTGCACTTGGGGAGTCGCGATATGTATCGTATATTGTGAGTTTTAACAGAATCCTATCATGAAGAAATCATTCCTAACTGTGACTTACAGCTGCTGTTCATGGTGTCGGAACGGGAGAATCAATATGGGATCTCCCGCGCGAGCAAAGGTTGCGCATTGCCTTGGTTAGTTTCATCAAAGCTGCATTGAAGACACCTCATTAACAACATCTCATTCTTCAGTCCAATTGGATTCTACAGAAATTTTGGCCTGTAGCGCAAGTCTTTGTCAAGGTCTCAATCTTGATCTTCCTCCGGCGACTATTGAGCGTCGTTGACTGGGCTAGACACGCTGCAACTGCTCTCATGGTCTTTGTCGTGGCCTGGGGAGTTGCAGCCTTCATTGCGAACACCTTTCAATGCTGGCCGGTTCAGTATTTCTGGATTAAAAGCATTAAAGGGTCGTGTATATCTGGACAGACGACCCTTTACACTATAATTGGAGCCTTCTCGGTGGTAGAGGATGTCCTCATTCTTGCCCTGCCACTACCAATTGTATGGAATCTTCAAATGCGCTTGCGTGACAAGATTCAGCTCACATTTTTATTTCTGATGGGTTGCTTGTAAGTTCCCAGGCCTCTCTATTCAATGTTCAAGCTGATTACCCTTTCCAAAGGGTGTTTGTTTTTAGTATTCTACGTTTACTTCAGTTGAAGAATTATCTAACGGATAATTTGACATGTAAGCATGGTCGTTCAGCTTATGCTTTACTAAGATACTGACCCATACACTTGTCACAGATAGCAGTGGTTTGTCGTTGATATGGGCCATCTTGGAATTGGACATGGCAATCATATGCGGCTCTCTGATGATGCTTAAACCTCTCTTCCAGTCCTGTATGGGAACATTACGGAAGGGCGCTAATAGACTGAGCAGTGGCTCATATTCGTTCGACTCTAGGGGGCCTGTCAGATCATCTCGCGCATCACGGGAGTCAGACGGCTTTGGATACGGGCGCACTGAGATGTTGACCACTCCAACAGCAGCGAGGGTAGGGCCCGGTACAACATACAATGCCAACTGCAGCGAGGATTGGACTATGTTCGAAGATATACCAAGCTACGACCTTGATTCCAATCCCGATCCGCTGAAACGGAAAAGTACAGCCGTGTGAAGGTGTATCTGGAGAGTCTATGTTTTAGATCAAAACAGATATTCGAAAACATGTTGCCTTGCGGTGCACTATGGCTGCCCAAAATTACTTGTCTCATATATAATCTGTCGTTTCTCATAGCCGAAAATATTTCCGTCACATATTTTTGCAGATCTATCAGTCATTTCAATCATTGCCGCCATGGCCTGGGTTGTAAACTAATGTCGCAACTTCGAAGCGGTCCTTCAGAGCGTGCCTAACAGCAGTTTCCTCACAAAGTACTTCCTCCCTATGCCACTCTCTGTCAACGTCACGGTATAGTAAATTGTAAGAATTCATCTTGTAGTTGGAGTGGTTGGGTGTTTCTTCGACATGAGCCATACTAATGCGGTTGCGCTCAGGCACAAGTTCCCCTGGGGCGATGCCAGCGTGCTCGATTGCATAAATGCGTGGCAATACAACCAGAGCTTCAGACGTGGAGTAAATGCCCTCTCTCCGGTTATATTCTTCAAAGATTCTCAACACTCGTTGTCGAATGGACCAATCCCGGCATGCTATCCCAGTCATAAAAATGGTTGGGATCCATCCCTCCTTGGCGGAAAAGTAGGGATCAAGCATCCCACTGAAATTTGTTAACAACTTTTCTGCTGCATCAACTGCTCCTTTAAAATGGGGGAAAAGCACGTCCCATTCCATTTCAGAGCCTGTGAAATGTAAGGAGGTAAGAGTAATGTGGAGTATTTCATTGTTTATCTTGAGCAGCAACATTGCACGCTCTTGATTCGGGGAATTTGTTGCAACGCTATTGTTGTGGAGAACAACACAGTTCTTGTATCCATTCTTGTATCGGTGAAATTTATCAGCGACACTATCCCACATGAAACCTTGTGGGGGCGCGGAGTCGTATGTTTTAGTGTTGAAGCGTTTTGGGTCGCTGAATAACACTAGCCAAGCCTGGACTGGCAGGAGAAGCGTACGCCTTTGTTGCTCATCTGGATATGTCATAATATCCTGTATGTTATCATCGATGAGTTCCATGAGGAAGGGCCAGTCCGACCCCTTGTAATCATTCATCCATGTGGCACTGGCCCAGTGCAGATGAAGCTGCACAAATGTGTTTAATAGAATGGGGGCAACTATGCTATGCTTGGCGTTGTTCTTTCTCCACTCATATAAGAGCTTCGTTCCAGATCGAAGATGACAGCGAACAGCTTCGACATCGCCTTGGAAGAGAGCAATGGTAATCAAGACAACACAAGCAACCAGCACCTTCTCGGTATGGGATGGGTCTGATAGGTCGTCTTCTATGATGCCTTTCCGAAGATGACCGATCGCTTTGTTACATTGCTGAAGAGCGAACATGTCATGCTGACCAGCAATTGGATCCGCGAATTCCCGATGCAGAGCACTGATAGCAATCGCTGCATGGCGCACCACGGGATAACATTCACTAGCTTGATGAACGAGCAATTGCCAAAAAGGGTCGAAGTTATACCCAGTGCAGTGTGCCGCGGTATGTGAGCGGAACAATGATAAGTACTGACGTTCCTTGTTGGATAGTCCGACTTGGCTAGCATCGACCATGAATACTAGGCTACCACTCATAGCTGCCTCTTTGTTCATAGGCACAACACTAAAGGTCTTACCACTTGTGCGTGCATGTCGAGCATCCCGGACTTCACGGGTCCTTCCATCGGGGGGTGTCACGTATCCCTGGCACTTTCGTCCGCTACGGCTGCACATAAGACATATGGGTCGGGTTTCATCGCACTTCCTATGTCGGGATCTAAACGAAGCGGATTTAGCACCGGACGGATTCTGAATCATAGATCTTCACCGATTGAACCAACTCACTTGCAGGTCAAACAGCCCGTGCGAACCTTCGGGACACTGGCTCTTTTCTTCTTCTCGCTCACTGCTTCTACCATGATTGGTTCAGAGGTGACTCGGGCCAGTGTGGATCTGGGGTAGCTGACGGGGGGTGTGACTCGGCTGTCCAGAGAGCCTTGCTGAAAGACTATTTCTGGTGGGGATCGCGTAAATGCACTTTTAGCCCCCAATTAGTGTGACAGGGATCATCCTCGACGGTCCAATGGTAAAAGTCGTTGATGTTGGGGTAGACCCTGGTGCCTGAGGCATCAATATCAACCCAATCTCACCGCCAATGTGGACCGAGATTGTTGACTCTTCATACATGTCACATTGAATAGGCATTGTACCGTTGTCGGTGGTTCTTCTGCATGTCTTCCAAGCCCAGAGACGCTTTGGACTTTCCAGAGTCGGATAGGGGCTTCCTAGAAGCTCACCTTCCGACCCAGGATGGCTCTACCCGGGATCTCCCCTTCACAACACTCACTTTCGCCACATCGCTCGACTCCTCCCTTGCTCTCTCACCTGGGGCCCGCACGGTCCTTTCTGGGCCCCAGTCGAAGGCAATGACACATTATCTCCGGTCACGCCACGATGGGATTCTTATCGGTGTCGGCACCGCAATGGCAGACGACCCAGGTCTCAACTGCCGCATTGCAGGAGTCGGAGGCTACGGCAAGGACGGCCTGGATGGCCAGCCACGACCAGTAGTTATTGATCCATCTGCTCGATGGGACTTTTCTGATGATAGCAAATTGTTCCAGCTTTGCAGAGAGGGACGCGGACGTGCACCGTGGATCGTGACCGCACTTGACCAACCCCCTGCGGAAAAACGAGATCTGCTGGAGAAGTATGGCGGAAGATTTATCTCACTTGAAATGCCTCAATCTGACTCTGGCCGGCACCAAATCAATTGGCACAATCTTCTTGTCACCCTCAAGTCCAATGGCCTTTCAAGCGTGATGGTAGAGGGTGGTGGCCAGGTTATCAATTCTCTCCTCAGTCCTTCCAATATGTCACTGCTCAATTCCGTGATTGTCACAATTGCCCCAACTTGGCTAGGTCGAGGTGGTGTAGTTGTGTCACCAGCCAGGCGGTTTGATGACGGAGGAAATGCAATTTCCGCTGCGAGATTGACGAGCGTCAAGTGGTACCCATTTGGTGAAGATGTCGTCTTGTGCGGTCGGGTCCAGCTTTCTGAATCTTGAAAATCAACGCAGTCGCTCGAAATTATGAACTTTGCTACGAGCAGGATTGTGATTCCCCTCGTGGCCTCCACGGCAGCTACTGACTAGATCACGTGCAGACCTGCATACAAGTACTTGGCTGAAACTACCGTGGTTGAATTACAGAATTCGTGTTTCCCTGCTATATTTCATTACCTACTGCATGGTTCCACAGGGCATAGCATACTTCAAACTTCACATCCTAAAACTTCTCAGACCATACAAAATTGAGAGATCATCTATCTCGAATGATCAAAAATGTCGATACCGCTGTGATTAAACACAAGATTGCTGTTGTCATCAGCACTGACATTGACATTCGAGGAGAAGGGAACCCTAGCACTGGGTGCAATGACCAATGAAAAGATCTTACCAAGAAAGCGGTTCATATAATAGTATCCAAACTTGTCCGTCAATGTCCCAGAGATCAAAGGTCCAACAAACATCCCGAATTTCCAAGTTATATTGGATAATGAGAACGATCGAGAATATCCACCGTTCGGACCGAATATCCCCGGAAATTCTTCCTCGACCGCATTTGCGCCATCTAAAGTGTCCCGATTAGCGAACTCTTCACACGCCCTATTTGAGATGTTTGACCCAATATTTCAATTGATAGGCTCACTCACGCATGACTTCAACACCTCCAAATCCCAAGAGCAGTGTTCTGCAAACTCCAAGCCCCACAAGTGCAGTGAGATAAATTGCTTCAGCCGCTTTCTTCGTACCCGACCATGGGAAACTTTCGTTACCCGCTACTCCAAGAAGCCAGAGCGAGGGCGCAGTTAATAGAAAACCAATTGTGACGGGATACCTCATTCCAATTTTGTCTTTCACCCATCCTGCGGGGAGTACTAAAACCATAGATGGCAGTTGAAGCAGAAGAAATAACAACCCCGCGTGAAGACTATCCCATTGAAATACTGACTTTACATGCAGGGGGATTGTAGTTTCAAAGCTGGAGAGTATCATGGCGAACAAGATATCAGCAGCTAGTGCTGTAGAAACACGACTTTGCCGGAGCATCAGGTAGTACGCATTCTGTGTCTCCGGCTGCGCTGTTTTCCAACGATCCAAAGATATGTTTCCCTCCACACTTACCAGAGATTGATACGTAGTCGTCGCTAATGAGTTTGGACGTAGAAGTGGGCTGTTCTCTGCGCCATCATCTATGTCGGTAGCGGTTTCACCAGAGCCAGCACTTTCCCCGTCTAGGGAATTGTTCGTCATGGTGCTCTCGTCATTGTTAGTTGGACATATCACAAGCAGTTGGAGGATTAGTCCGATAGCGATGACCCCAAAGGCCACTGTCCAAATGAATCGATACGATACTAATTTGTACAGTGTTCCCGAAACGGCTGGACCGGATAGGAAACCTGCACTGACGAACATGTATGTCAAGCCTAGCGCTTTGGCGAGATTTCCCACCCCCACGGTATCCGCAAGAATTGCCATTCCAATGATCCAAATCAATGACCCGGAAATGGTTTGGATTGTTCGACCAATAATCAGCACAGGCACTAGAATAAGGTCAGTTAGTATGCCGTGGTTGGCAATCCTTGGGATTTGATAAAATTACGTTTCGCTGGCCACGCATTGAGCAGTGTCCCAATCGCGTTGATTGCCGAGGAGATTACCAAGAGGCGGGTTTTCTCGGATGTTTTATCGGCGAAATGAGCTATGAAAGGTGCAATTGTAATGGATACCGTTGCGTTCATTGAGAGTATGATTGAGGTAAGGATTTGAGTGTGCGCAGGATTTGTTCCGATACGAATCTCGAGCATCTCAGGTAAAATAGGAACGATGAAGCTAAACAAGAATGTATCTTATTTCAGTTAGCTTCAAAATCAATATTTCTAATTGCGGTCCAAGAAGGACACACCAGAAAACATAGCCATAGAAATAACGGCAGTGACAAAGACCTTTGATGCTCTCCATTGATAGCCAACTGGCGAGTCTAGAGCATAAATTGCAAGAGGCATATCTCAAGTCTTGGAGGTTCCTGGATCTTCGAGAGGTTCAAAAACAAGACGAGGCTGGTAAAACAAATCAAGCGTATCTTTACAGAGAAATGAACCGCGATAAAAGCAGGAATTAAATACACCTCCCAGCCAGCTTGATTTGCGTCTGCCAAGTCTTTATGTGCTACAGGATCCAAGAGCTTGGACGAACTCCTGCAGGGATCAATTTCAGCTCGGAGCTGTCTCACAAACATGCGGATGCAGTCTCACCTGAGATTAAAGGACCAATTGTGTAGCCTCTGTCACCTATGGCAATGTTAAGCGACAAATGGCGGATCTCGAGGTGCGCGCTGGGTATCCCTACAGATGAACGATCTTTTTCCGTTGCAGTAAATTTCCAAAAAAAGGGCGACAAGATATTCTCTCTCCGACATTGTTTTCTGAATAATTTAATTTCGTGTATCAAGCTTTGTAAGATGATATCCCCTCGGTGCAGAGGATCTGAGGTAGGTTATTTGCACTAATAATACATATGCCTTGTGGGATACTCATTGCCTATGAAGCATGTGTCTTTTTTCTTTTTGTGTGCACTTTAGTTGCCATACTTCTGGTTGAATATCCTTTCCATGAGTCTCAAGTTGTAGAAGACATGCTTTTCTGGTTAATGGGACCCTCGTCCTCTAAATTGAAACCCTTTCTGTGGCTTATCCCAGTTAGACTGTTGTGCGACTAGTAGAAAGCCGAAAGTGTTAGGTTTTCTTATCGAAATCTTTTCTATGGTTTCAAGGTCTTACCTCGTAGAATTTGAGGAGACTACACAGCCTAATGCTCGTCCTGGAAGGCTGTCTAGCTGTCCATGCAATTTGAAGTGGTTCTAAAGTCGCCCACCGCAGTGAGCCACTTTTACTTGATGATGTATTCCGTTCTCTAGTATCATTCTGTTCTCTAATATATAAGACACTGCCTGGAAGTCAGAATGTAGCTATTTGCTTGTATGAGGGTGTCGTGAGATGCTACTCATATTTAAACTTCAACAGGAAGCAATAACACGCTACGAGCGCTTCATTGATGCAGTCTCACCACAGCCCTTTGAGGTAATATGCACCGCAGCTATCCTCTTTCCTTGCTGAGGAGATCGTAAAAGTGGCGTCTGCACTGTTTGTATATGCATGGATACCCTCGCGGGATGTCCTACTAAATTGGGTAGCACGCCCAGCTCCAGGGTCACAGTTTAGATACGGGCTACATGAGACCATCAGCCAGATTAGTAACTCTGTCAGGGTCTTTCGAGTGGTCTTTATAAATATTTCAGCACAAATAACCAATTATATAGAATAATATGAAAGCTTTATAGCAAACAAGCTCGATCTGCTTGTAGAACATCCGCAGCCAAGATGACCATGCCATAGTCCGCCTTTACCCCCCATGCTCGGGAGATGCTCACTGATTCACTTTCTATTGATTTTCTGACTCAATGGTTTACTTTCAGATAAAACAACAGGGATTGCATTTAGAAATCAATCTATGAGAGCTCCAGCCTCAGGCTGATCGCAAAGTCTACAAATGATACTGATCACACTACCAGCATGAAAACAATGTGAAGACGATAGAGTCCAATCTAAAGGTCTTTGTCTCGTCTTTTACTTTTCAAAAATATAAATGATAATTAATTATTTCTTTCTGCATTGTCTACAAACAGAAGTCATAAAGAAATAGGCATCTTCTTAACACATTCAGTGTGGTTTGTTCCATCACAATGACCTTTGATCCTCCTTTCCAGGAGTCGTAATTCTTGAAACCAGAAGTATAAATAATCTTGAATCATTCATAAATCTTCATTCACCTCGACAATTCAAAGGCTATCTGCTCCGACTGTGCACGACTTTCCTGGATAAATTTGGAATCATGTCTCTTCCGCTCTATCGATGGAAACCCCAATCCCTAGAACGCGAAGAGCTCTTAGCTACGCTGCAAAGGCAAGTTCGCTATTTTCGGTATAGACCAGAGCGTCGCAGCCAGGTGATCGATAGGCTCAAGGAAATTTCTCAAAAAGCACTTGACCGCTTAGACAACCCACCGCAGGCCTATGATTCGCGACTTGAACAGCTTTACAAGGCGCTCCGTGAATACTTGCCTAGCGCTATTGAATTTCTTATGAGTGACCCTCAATATGACTTAAGGGCTGCCGACGCGATCGCGCAGATCTGCCTCGCCTCAACCACTTTTAACCGCGTTGGGGTGGATGTCTCGAAAGCTGGGACAGATCAAGAAACCGCATTTTTACCGTGAATTTATTTCCACTGATGTTCATCTCGGACTTGCTTTCAGGTCCGGTGAATTTTTGACTGGCATCAGCTGTCAAAATATCACAGATTCTTTTTTCTTCGATCTCTCCTACTTGTAGGTAGTTCTAGGCTTCGTAGCACAATTTTTGCCATTGCTAATGTAGTTATTGGGTCACTCAAGTAAGAGAAACGTTACTCGAGCTTTAGATTTAAAGCCAAAAAGTGAACAAAGGTCGTTTGAGTGAAATCTATCTGCGGAGTCCATGAGATACATATTGACTTGTGCAGTAGTAAGTCGGAGTTTTTAACCTATTGAACCTTTCCCCTTGAGTCAACGGGCCAGATTTCTTCGATGATGCCTCGGCGGTAAGCATAATAGAAGTCATGCAGGTTGACTGTAGGGTCGATATGACTTGGAATCATTTCAACGCGATCACCGACCGAGAGATCCGGTGTACCGTCTTCCCACATTAGGGAGCCATGCTCATCGCCAAGAACTCCATAGACATATCTCGGGTCCTTGCACTCTGCCAGCCCACTATCCGTCGTCAAAGACTTCAATCCACTATCGATAGTAACCGCCCGGGGACCTTGCTTGCTCACAACCGTTGATAGAATTGTGAGGCTGTTTGAATAGAAAGTACCAACGGCGTTTCGATAATCCGTATCCATGAAGATAAATGATCCAGGTTGAAGCTCAGTGACGCCAGGAACGGTCGCGCAGAACTCGGCCGTACCCGTGCCTCCCGTGGTGACCACTTCAATTTTGAAGCCGGCCTTCCGCAGGGAGTCGGCAGTGCTCGTTAGGATCTGCATAGACTCTAGGCACTGAGCTTTGCGATCCTCTTTATCATGCAAATGCTGCAGATGACCTTCATACCCTTGGACACCAATCAGCTTCAGATGCTTCAACCCACCGACATGTCGGGCCAGGGCCAGGGCAGGTTCGCCTGGTGATACGCCAGTGCGATGAAGTCCAACGTCGAGGTCAATAAGGGTTGTAATGGGCTCTGCAATCCCTGAGGTCTCTAAAGCATCGTTAATGGCTGATGCACCGATTTCGCTATCAACCACGATCCTGATCTTGGGGTATTTGCGGAACAATTCCACAAGTCTCCTGACTTTGGCAGGGCCGACAATCTCACATGTGATGAGCAAATCGTCGAACCCTGCGGCAGCAATGACTTCGGCTTCGCTGACTTTGGCCACGCAGCCTCCCTTGGCACCGGCTTTCACCAGCTTTCTGGCCAGAATGGCACTCTTGGTTGTTTTAAGATGAGGGCGGATATTAAGACCAGTTGGTAAAAGCTTATCCATAAGTTTCTTGATGTTTTCCTCCATAAGATCAAGGTCTGCAATCATGGATGGCGTATCAAGGCTATCGAGCCTGTCACCAACCTTGGGGGAATACATGTTGAGTGGGGTATTGGAGTTTGGGGGCTGAAAGCTGCGAAGTAGCGGGGGTAATTGGATTCTGTTTAGGATTCCGGAAGAATCTGGGAAATGGGAAACTTGCAATTTATGTTGAAAGGACGCAAGGGGCAAAGATGCCCCCCAACTACCCCCGCACTAACGGTGTATACGGGGCTCTGATAGTGAGGCGGTGTCCAGCATTCACTATGGGCAGAATAGGGAGTTAGGGTAACATCGGACCCTGTGCCTGGTTTTTGGCGGGCTAAGGGCTCGTTCCGATCTTCCGTTTGCGGAGGGATACGTTTCAGGGGTAATTGAGCATACACTTGAGAAATTCTTGAGGGATCTAGAAAAATTGGCATATCTCTGTGTTGTCGCTGCGTTCAATTTGAAATTTGGGAATTGGACCATATGGATCCTTCACGACACAAAGGTATCGCGTGATCTCATACAGTTATCAATTCATGCAATAAGATCTCTTGGCTTTTGCATCAAAGGAAAGTCGGGATTTTCTGTTGTATGGGTTGACATACTGCAAGTCCTGTTGCGGGTATCACTCTCAATTAATTGAATAACACCGCTAACACTGCTGTCTCGAATTCTCTCTAGATTCTTTTTAACCCTTTTCGTAACGTTTCCTGATTTGTTATGTTTCTCGAATGAAACCGTGGTGTCCATGGGTTCCATACAGCCTGAGAGGCCAGTGCGGACATTGTTTACCACAATATGACTTTGAGGCTAGTATCAATCTTGTTCACTGCCCATGCCTATATCATTCCATATCAATATCATATTGAACAACTTCTACTAGCACAAGCCACTTGAATAATTATATAATATGAATCGTGTCTCCGCCAAAAATCCAAGGTCACACTAAATTGTCCGCGGTTAATCAACCAACCCGGGATCCTACGATATTAAAATTATGTATACTCAAGTATGCCGTGTACTGTCTGGTATTGAGTCTATCTACACATAAGACCTGTTGTTTGAATTCCACAAATGTTGTAGAGCGGCACCTAGATAAATTCAAAAATGAAAGATAAATAAGCTCCACATACTCAATTAAGCTCAAAGTGGCGTAGATCAACAGCCATGCGTGCGCAAAGCCAAAACGGCAAGACTGCAACAAAATGAGCATTCATTCTTCTCGTGGGGCTCGTCAAGTTCCGGAACGTACTAAGAAACATCGACTTGATTGGTAACTGCAAGCCTGATAATGGTTTCACGCCTATATAACGGAGTATATCCCCATTCTGAGATATGCACGCAGTTCCAAGACGCGTACCTTGCATTACTCTCTATGACTTGTCAGAAATATAGGGGCAAGGCCCAAGTTCAAGATGGGATGCAAACCAGTCCAATATCTTGGCAACAATTCCGGCCAATAGGAATGTGTTTCGGGGGTGTTTTGCCGATGAGTAAGAATGGCTTCGGGCCCTGTCCGGGGCGCGATGACGCGGGGACTGACGAATTGCCCCTGTTTCTTCTTTGAATATCGGAGGACTTATGCTAGCGAAGTAGCAAGACTATATTGTCGTGGCTCACAAATATGTACATTGGCAGCGAATAGCAATGAGAAATCTACTTGCAGCACAAGGCGTTCTCTTCTTTCTAAGCAAGATCCTTTTTTCGTGAACAGAGCAGATGCGCGATCTTCCGTGGATCCAAAAGCTAGGTGTTTAGAAATCAAGGTGACTCTATTTGAGCCTTACTCCAGCCCTAGGACCAGACCCCCATGTCTCCACATCATGGTCTCAACTTATTCGCCTGGACGGGCTGGAATAAATAGACATCTCGCAGAACAACTGTCGTCAGCAGTGTGGATACATTGGAAAAGTGGTAGGATACAAGGCAGACTACTGGCGAGGCAAAGCATAAACGAGAAACACATATATAGAGCTCTTCTCCTCAAGTCAAACTGGATCTTCACAAGTAATTTTCATACTTTGCCTTAACTCAAGATGCGCAACACTTTTCTTACTTTCCTCGCATGTGCTACGGCCATCTCTGGCGTTGCAGGTAAGATATAACTTGCTTTTTCTTTTACAAAAGGATCGTATCTGACAATGCCCCCAGCGCACCCTGAACGCCATGACCATTCCAAAGTTCATGCGCCCTCCGTTCAAGTCCGCAGTACCGATAAGTGTGCCCGCCACATTGAGCAGCGCCGTGATACTGCGCTGTTGAAGCGTAGAAGTGCCATGGCCAAGCGCTCGACATATGTCAGATCGAGTGCCAGTCCCTACAAGTACACCGAGATCCAGAACAAGACTTGCGAGCTTACTCCGGACACCATCTTCGGTCCCTACGATGTAGATGGCGAGCTCCACCGCCACGACGTCCGCGAAGGACAGGAGGGAATTGACCTCTATCTCGACCTCGGATTGATCGATGTGGAGACCTGCGAGCCTCTTCCTGATGCTTGGCTGACTATCTGGGTAAGTAGCCCTCTATCTACAAGTACAGCTGCAATGTGCGAAGATCATTTCCTCACACCTCTTTCTAGTCTTGCAATGCCACAGGTACATACTCCGGCTATGTCGGCATCGACCCAGATACCGTATCGGCATATGATGGCTGGACAACGAGATCAGATGGCACAACCGACGATGAGACCTTCCTGCGCGGAATCTCCAAGACAAACCAAGCTGGTATTGGTGAATTCCGTACCATCTTCCCTGGGTACTACTCTTCTCGCACGACCCATATCCACGTTACTGTGCAGACCAACGTGACAGGCGATGATACCAGCTACTCTGATGCCGCTACCAAGCATGTTGGACAGCTGTTCTTCCCCGAGGAGCTGATCAACTCCGTTTATCAGTTGGCACCTTACCATGCTCACCTTGCTACTCTAAACCGTACCCTCAACAGTGAGGATTCGCTTTTTTCTGTTGCTAATGCTGATGGGTACTCTGCTATGATCTCTACGGAGTTGATTGGTCAAACTCTTGCTGAGGGTCTGATTGGATACATTACTATTGGCGTGAATAAGAGTGCATCTGCTATTGCTACTACCGGGGAGCAGGTTAACGTGCAGGGGTACTTGCCTACTGTTTCGTTGAGTTCTAGTGCTCAGGCTGCTGCCAACACTATTGATCTTGCTGAGGGCTATCGTGCTAACGGCATGAAAGTTTAAGACTCGAACTTGATGTGGACTCAGATTGAATTTTGGTGATATTATGGTAATTAGAATGCACAGTATTTTGGCCGCTTGAAGTGCCGAAACTATGACGTAGAATTAGAAAGTGATAGTGCGAAAGACCAATGCAATTCAATCGGCTTTGAATAAGAAGAGAATAAGCTTTTCAGTCCTTGTAGGGCAAAGCAAAAGATGGCCCGGTAAGATCCCTGCCGTCCGACTTGTCCATCTGCGGCTTTGAAATCTCCCGTCGAATGATGTTAACCAGATCTTCTTGTTCCGCCATGGTCGTGACAGTACCACGCCTTGGCCGCACAGCCCCCTCCTCGTTATCGGTGTCGGATGTCCCACTTTCCTGTCCATCCTGAAGAGTCTGTTGTCGTACCAATGAAGCCGCTTGTTGGTCGGACAAAGCCGCCGCAACTCGGTCTTCAAGTGCCTTCTCGTCAGTTTCCTTTTTGAGAGCGGCATAGTGTGATCGACGATAAACACCAACGGAGCTAAGCACAACGCCGAGAATCTCAAAAATAAACATGACCGGCAAGGCGTAATCTAGTTGAGGGTTACAGCCTCCCGACCAGATATCAATCAGCACTTGGAAGACGCTGTGCGCAGGCAATGCAAAGCCTACTTTGTAGAAACCCGGAGAAAGCTCGAAAGGGAGCAAGATTGATGTGACATTCGTTATAATCCAGGTGATCAACGCCATTGGAACGTAGGGTGGTGGGAGCCAAATGGTGAACACGTCCAGGACAAGGAAGTTCAGATGCGCGAAGAGCCACAGTGCCATCCATGTCAGCACAAATTGGCTCCCGTTGACATGCCAGCCGTGTCGGAAGGCCCAAATCGCGCCCGCAGTGCAAAGTGATCCGACGAACGTGTAAATCATCGAAATGATCAGACGTACAATGGCGATTCGATGGGGGGTCACCGACGTATACAGGTTGAACTGAGCGTATAGACCGTTCACGGTACCCAGGTAGAAGAATTCTTGAATCAAAATCAAAATGATGACCAGAGTGTTGTAGATCAGGCGAGACCCTTGTGATGTGGGTTGAATATTGGTCGAGGCCAATGTCCATGGGTTGGTGAAGGCTGCAAGTGCGGCTGGATCGGATGTGTTCAGAGTCTTGAGATCCTGCTCTCCGTTCGTTTTCGAATACGCGACCCGTGCAGCTTCTGATAGAGACTTCAGATTTGTTTCGAGAGCAGAGTCAACCACTGTTGGGTACCGTGCTTCGTTCCAGACCATCGTAATGACATTGGCGTTGTCATATGATGAAGCAGCTGATCCACCAGCAAATGCAGCAGTAAGGGCATCAGAGGCATTGGACGTAATGTAGAGACCTCCCCAGAATTTGATGTCGCATACGGCACCTTCGATCTCACCTATCTGCGGGTACAGAGAAGCCGGGCGCTCAATCAGGGTTGGAAATCCGGCACCCTCGAGCTCCTGATACGCGTCGCGAACTGCATCGCCGATCGCACCGCCATCGTAGTCGACAAATAGAACATTAATGTTGTGGATATGGGTTGATTGTTGGAAAAGAGATCCAAAGATGTAACAGAAAAGACCTAGGAAGAGAATCTGAAGAAGGAAAAGATTGACGGTCGCGGCCTTGAGCACAGCCAATCGACGTGGCCGAACAGACGGGTGATGAATGCTAGGCCGCTGCTCGCGCGCCTTAGGGTAGAACTGCATTCCCGATGATCGAGCCTGTATAGTTCGCAGTGGATCTTTAGATTCCCCCAAGGTACCTGAGGACATGAAAGCTTTATATGAAATCTTTTGTGGAGGCCCGCCGAAGCTCAGCATCAAAGGCCGAAGGCCGGAGAAATCTCGTAATGCGGTCTCGGTGAGTCGGAATGTCCTCCACCCGTGAACAAACTAATTTAAGCTCGTGCGATGGACCCTCTCAAGCATAAGGAATCGGGTTTTCCCTTGGTTCCTGAGGGGCGAGGGCCATTCATATCACTTCAAAGAGGCTGATATGTCAGATCTGAGGTCAGAAAGGGAAAATGGTGATCTGAAGCATTAAGCCGCATGGGGCAAGTCATCTCTGAGTAATAAACTCCCGCTAGTCAGCTTGAGCCGTGTCAACCGTGGTTGCTAAGCAGCTGATCGCTCTCTTCAGATCTATATCAGTGCCGTGATCCCGTTGGCTCAATCTCATGTTAATCACGGCGTTTGAATTGGTAAGAGATTTGTGTTTGTTCCGGTAGGATATTCCCGGTCAAATCCCTTGCTGGATGGCATATGCACTTTTTCCGGTTGGTAGTTAGTGCTGATTGGCTTCTGCGCTAGCAGAGATGATTGAATTGTCCCGCGTATATGGGCGGTTAACGCTGGAGTCGAGACGTGTTCACGAAGAAATGAGCCAGTCGTTTAGAAATACCAGAACTAGAATCCAATCTATTCCCTGGCCTCAACTGGAAAATGATCATGGTAATGTATGTGTTGGTAGCGTGTCATTGACTTATGCTTGTGCGCTTCTGCTCGATTTTTTCTTTTGGTCAAGGAACCAGTGGTCGACCCAACGAAACCTTCTGACGATTTTATTCAACAAGAAGATTGCATTCAACAAGTCTTAGAAATCGTCGCGTATGTTGAGTAATCATCGGTGTTGAATAATCAAAAATTGCCCCTTTCGGCGCTAGCTTCTATTTGCCCCAATCATCCTCAGTTACCATGTCTCCGATATACTGTTGATTAATCTTCAACTCTCCAGATACGTAGGTGAGCAGGCAGTCCCCTTGGAATTTCTGTCATTAGATGCATGTCCCGAGATAATATTTTGATGAGATGATCGCGACCTCGGTCTTACACCACAATGTGATTTATCAGCCCTGGTAAGAGTAATGTCGCGATATATACACTTCTCACTTCCATCCTCACGATACAATTTCTTTTCGTTCGCTTTCAAGTCATCATACAACTATCGCCTGTGTTTGTGTACCGAATCGGTGGAACACGCATATCTTCAACATGGCCCAGCTTGAAACCGACCAAACTGTGGACGTGCGCGACAAGGTCGAGGATGACTCGTTTTCGTCCGACGATAAGCTAGAAGCTGGACTGAATACCTCTAGAGGAAACAATGATGTCTGGAACTGGGATGAGGATCCTAGCAATCCCTATAATTGGCCATCCCGATTGAAAGTTCAGCAAGTCCTTATGATTGCTTCGGCGGCATTTACAACGTATCCTGACCTATCTCTGCAATGGAATCCTGGCATTTAGACTGACATGGTATCCAGGTCTCTCGGTGTATCGATCCTTTCCGCAGCTCACTCGGAATTCATGATTGAATTTGGAGTCAGCAGCACAGTGGCTATCCTACCCTTGTCCCTCTATGTATTTGCCCTGGGTCTCGGCCCTATCGTCGGAGGGCCGCTGTCCGAGACTATTGGAAGATATCCAGTGTATCTTGGCACCATAGTTCTTGGGACTTTATTTACAATGGGTGCTGGCTTCAGTCCTACGTTTGCTGGGCTCTGTGTGCTGCGATTTCTGGCGGGTTTCTGCTACGCTCCCACGTTGGCGATCGCTGCCGGAACTATCAACGAAACGTTTAAGCCAGTGAAACGCGCCATTCCCTCGACCATCTTTATCTTGTCTCCTTTTTTGGGCCCTGGATTAGGGTAAGTTTTCTTTTCACACAGCCCAGGAGCTCTCGTTTGACTAAATTATGTGAAGGCCCGTGATTGGTAGTTTTGTGGTGAACAGGAAAGGCTGGCGTTGGACTCAGTGGACAATGGTCTTCTTCGCCATCTTCACTCTTCTGACAATTAGTGTCTCTAGAGAGACATTCCATCCTATACTGAAACGTCGACGCTCCAAGGAATTAGGACTCGGTATCCCTCCATCCCCGCCTCTTTCTTCCAAAATCAAGCTTTTCGCAACCATCGCCCTTGTCCGTCCACTTCATATGCTAACAACCGAGCCCATTGTCGCTTTTATCTGCCTCTACGTTGCGTGTGAATTTGCAACACTCTTCTCGTTCTTTGCCGCCATCCCTCTGATCTTCCAAGGTGTCTACGGATTCGGCATCGAGGACTCAGGTCTCGTGTTTCTCGCTATCGTTGTCGGATGTCTACTAGGAAGTGTCACTGTGCTCCTTTGCAACGTCTTTCTCTATTTGCCTCAAGTTTCAAAGCACAAGGGCCAACAGGTTCCGCCCGAGCATCGTCTTTATCCCGCTCTCATTGGCAGTCTTGGTCTCCCGGTTGGTCTTTTCTGGTTTGCATGGACGGCCAGGGCAGATATCTCCTGGGCGAGTCCTGTGGTCGCAATCATGCTCTTCGCGTGGGGCAACCTTTGTGTTTTTATTAGTACGACTCAGTATCTAGTTGATACATACCATGGTCTCACTATAGCAAGTGCTATGAGTGCGAACAGTCTGGCTCGATATGGACTGGCGGCAGCATTCCCTTTGTTTACGATCCAAAGTGAGTCTTCATATTCAATTACTGTGCTATTTACTTTTTGCTAATCATGTTTTAGTGTTTACAAAGCTTGGAACGGGCTGGGCTGCAAGTTTGTTGGCCTTTATTGCGGTTGCTCTTTTGCCTGTTCCTTGGGTATTCTTCAAGACCGGCAAGAAGCTGCGAGCTTTGAGTAAATACGAGACCGCGGAAGCCTAATAGCTCTACGTTGAATAATTAGATGTTTTATAGACTTGTCTTCATTTCGTTAATCCGGTTGCGCTATCTTAAATTGGACATACAGTATGTGCTATTCCTGTGTGAATTGAGCCGTCCACGAATTGGCTGGAAACCAGACTAAACATGCTGCTAAATCATGTAATAGGACTATGTAGAGGTACCCCTGAACCATTTAGACGGTAATCCACGTCATTGGTCCAAGCAAGTCTGAGGAATACTCTTTCCCAACATACAGTTCTCAGTCTGTCATGAATCCACTTCAAGTTTTAATGGCCGATTTTCGGCGAATCTCAAAGACAAATAAAAGTTATAAGTGTTTCCAAAATTGGTTGGGGAAAGATGCATATGACTCAAGGTATCTCAACGTTGTACATGAATAATCAAAAAAGGCCATCCAGGGGCTATAAAAAGGGAGGGTCAACCATTAAACACAGCTACAATTTGTACTTCAGGTTCAAAATCAAAATACATTGCTTTCATCATGGCCGATCCTAAGATCACATTCTATTTTGACATTGGCAGTCCCTTCAGCTGCATTGCATTTCATGTCTTGAGGGCAAGTTCAACCCTCAATTCGAAGTTTGTGGGTATAACTAACATATACCTCTAGAACTCTCCTGTCTTTTCGACCTGTGAAGTTGAGTTTGTTCCCATTCTGTTCAGAGATTTGATGCAAGCCTGCAAAAATACACCTCCTATTGCGGTGAAAAGTATGCTCTACTCCATTCCCTTGAATTATCTTCGACAGAGCTCACACCTTGGAACACGCTGACCAGAATAGACAAGTTTGAATGGATAAATCGTGAAAGAATCTATTGGGCTCGTCGCTTCAATGTACCTATGTCTGAAGCTATCCCGAAGGGCTTTCCTGCTCCTACTGTCGAGGCCCAGCTTGTTCTAGGCGCCATCACTACCCATGCACCAGAAAAGCTGGTATCTGTCACGGACAAAATCTATCGTGGATTTTGGGAGAATGGAGACTCAAATGTCCTAAACTTTACTGGTCTCATTCCTATTCTAGAGGAAGCTCTTGGGACAGATAGTGCAAGCAATATTGTGGAACTGGTAGGTGGTGCCTACATCGTATTGTTGAAATACTGACATTTATCCGTCAACAGTCCAAGACCGCCGATATGAAATCTACCTTGGAGGAGAACACTCAGAAGGCATTTGTTTCGGGTGCTTTTGGCTTGCCATGGTTCGACTGCACAAATTCCCAAGGCAACCAAGAGGGATTCTGGGGGATCGATCATCTGGGTCGTCTGGTGGACTTTTTGGAACTCGATGCTAGTTTGGACCAGGCTTTCCGGGTCTTACTTTGAGATTCTTTACCATTTTCATCGTGTGTCGTCCAACGTATAGGACAGGTTATTCAAAATACGTGCTTAAGCACGTGATTTTCCATATAATCACCCTTTATTAATTGCTTTCAAATTGAAGAGTGTACTTTATGCAGTTTTCTTCAGATGAGAACCAATTTCTAGGTCTTCACAGTGTAATCCACTTTTACAAAACTCCATGCTTGCTTTCCTCCATACCACGTCTCCATGGTCTTGGCTTGCAACAAATAATTAGCATCCCATTTCATATCAACAATGACAAAGTCTGCCAATTTTCCCACTGCTAAATTTCCTGTCCTGTCTTCTGCAAAAACACTTCGAGCTGCACCTCCTGTTGCTGCAATCATAGACTCGCACAAATTGAGTTTGAAGTGCTCATTTACAGTCTGAGAATATTCTTCATCTCTGGCAGAGCGTCGTGTTGTTGCAACATAAAGGTTCTGCATTGGCATCCACGGTGAAGTTGGACTATCACTACCAATTGCCATCAGAGCACCAGCATCGGCAAACTCTCGGTATGCGAATGCACGCTGGCAACGATCTTTCCCCAGCAAACGAGGCCATTCCGTCAGGATTGAAGGATCGGCATGAACCGGTTGGATCGAAGCCGTTAATCCCAACTCACCCAGTCGTTTTGCATCTTCTGGAGATGCAAGCTCGAGGTGCTCAATTCGGTGCCGTCTCCCTGGTGTCGCATGCTTTTCAATTGCATCGATGGCCATCTTGATAGCCGCATCGCCAATTGCATGCAGAGCAATCTGTAGGCCGGCAGAATCGGCTTCTTTTACAACCTGATCCAAGTTCTCTGGCTCCCAAATCGGTGGAGGCGAGTCTGCTGGGGCGTAAGGTTGTGACAGAAAGGCTGTGCAAGCATCAATGATCCCATCGCAGATGACCTTCACACCCACAATACGGAGATCGGGACTTGTTGCGGTGTTGTATTGCTGGAAAAGCTCACGAGCCCGTTCAATTTGCCGAGAGATATCCTCTGGACTCGAAGTGGGCTTGATGAGCCAATATGCTGAGACTCTCAGAGCGAATTCAGGATCCATAGCGCGCAGGGTGACGAGAGAGTCCCACGCTTCTTCATCCATGGCCATCTCTACCACACCGGTATAGCCAGCCGCATTGTATTCTCGAACTGCTGACCGAATAGCCTGCATTCGATCCTCCTTTGAGCTTGACACGGCTTGGAATGGCCAGATAACGGACATCATGGCACCTTCATCAAGAACACCAGAAGGATTCCCTTCGGCGTCTCGGTGAATTTTGCCACCAGCAGGATCTGGCATATCTGCAGCTCCTAGCTCTGTCAGAGCGGCAGTGTTACACCAGCATGAGTGTTGAGAACTTGCATCAATGAAAATCGGTCGAGGATCGATATCATCAAGCATGGCCGCTGTTACACCGTTGGGAGTCATTGAATGCATCCAGTTTTTGCATTGAATACTGGGCTTCTCTGGGTTCATGACTGCATACTCTTTGATTGTTGATTTGATATCTTCCACGGACTTGCAAAATTTCAAGTCAAGTTTGCGAAGCGATTGCCCAAGAAGGAGGAGGTGCATGTGGCCGTCTATGAAACCAGGAAGAATGACCCGCTGTGCAAGGTCTCGCCGGTCAAGATCTGAACAGTTTCCGGAAGAAACCACATCTGTGTATGACCCGATGGCTATGATCTTGTCATCCTCAATCAACATGCTATCCGCAAAAGAGACGTCTTCATCCTGACCACCGCCGGTATCCATCAGAATACGGCCATTGAAGAAAAGTGTCCGAGTTGACATAGCGATATACAATATGTGAAATACAATCAAACAAGAGACCCCAGGCATCGAATCAATAGATATGTTTGTGATCAGCTGACCCGGATAGGAAATACTCCACTTCCCCACCTCGTCTCGACTTTCCCTCCGCGAATCTCAACCTTCTTCGTCTTCAACATCGTCAACATCGGTGATGAACGGTCTTACAAGTCTATCTCTCAGTGGAGAGCCTCGTTTGTTGAATAATTTAGTCATTTGTAGATGGCAATCCACGATGACCCCAGGATTTCTTCCCCGCTAAAGGCACTGGCCCCGGCCCGGTGTTCTACGTGTATGTAATATTTACAAGAGAATCCCAGGTTTATCAATCATTTTGAAAGAATTGTTTTCATCCTCTTGGGTTCTATCTTTTGTCAATCTGAAATCAGCTAGACGCCAGCTTCAGCTATGTCACACGCTATAACTTCTTCATCTGCGGTTGACGACTTTCCCAAAGAGAAACAGAACGACTTAAGTGACCTCGAGAGATCCGAGGGCGAAGTCATCAATCAGGCAGGTCGCAAGCATGAGCATGCTCTAGAGCATGCCCTGGCTGTCGAAGGAAATGAACGTTTTCATCGACTTGGTTGGAAACGTCTCACAATTATCCTGATCGTCCAATCTATTGCCCTTGGCAGTCTGAGTCTCCCTTCAGCCTTTGCAACACTTGGTATGGTCGCAGGTGTAACTCTGTGCCTTGGATTGGGCTGTATTGCCATTTATGGGAGTTATATGATCGGTCTAGCAAAGCTGAAATACCCGCATGCTGCTCATTACGTTCATTTTGGACGCCTTTTGCTAGGTGGATTCGGTGAAAAGCTTTTTTCAGTAGCTTTTGTAGCTTTGATGATATTGACAGTTGGATCTCATTGCCTGACAGGGAAACTTGCTCTGGCTACGATCTCTGATAGCAGTGCGTGCGCTCTAATATTCAGTGTCGTTTCCGCTGTGATCTTGTTTGCATTGGCGATTCCGCCCTCATTTGCCGAACTTTCAATTTTGGGTTTTATTGATTTCGCTTCTATCATCGTGGCTATCGGTGTCAGCGTCATCGCGACGGGTATTCAAAGCACATCATCTCTATCAACCTGGTCTGCGTGGCCTAAGAATGACTTGACTCTGAGTGAGGCCTTCGTTGCTATCTCGAATATTGCCTTTGCCTACTCTTTCGCCGCCGCTCAGCCGTCATTTATGGACGAAATGCACACTCCAGCAGATTTCACAAAAGCCATCGGTACCCTGGGCGTCACCCAAATGAGCATCTATACTCTAACTGGCGCACTCATTTACGCATTTGTGGGACAAGATGTTGAGTCTCCAGCCTTACTTTCCGCAGGCCCTCTTGTTGCAAAGATTGCATTTGGAGTAGCTTTACCTGTGATATTCATCTCGGGCTCAATTAATACTACTGTTGCTTGTCGCTATATCCATGGAAAACTCTATGTGAAATCTGTGGTTCGCTATGTCAACACCATGAAAGGCTGGGTCACATGGCTGTCAGTCGTTGTTTTGATCACTACTCTGGCTTGGGTCATAGCAGAAGCTATTCCTTTTTTCTCCGAGCTGCTCTCTATTTGCGGTGCCTTGCTTGTCTCCGGCTTTTCATTCTACCTTCCTCCAACCCTTTGGTTCTTCTTATTGAGAGAAGGAAGCTGCTTTGATAAACACAACATCCGGTACGCAGTCTGCAACCTGATTGTTTTTCTTGTTGGAATCTGTATACTCGGATGTGGTCTTTATGCAAGCATCACAGAAGTGGTAAGCTCTCGTTGCACCTTGTTTCAGTATGTTATTCTGACGCTGTATCCTTGCAGATTGTCAAATTTAACATAGGCTCCATTAATCGGCCTTTCTCGTGCGGCGTCAGCGAGTGATTCGGGGGCTGCTGCCATGAATGTAGAAACAAGAATGTAACTGAACTAAGCCAATCAACTTTCACAGATCACCATAGCTCGGTCATACATATATGGAATTGCGGTCTCAGCGTTTAAATTCATCCAGAATTGTCATTTGAATCAACTTGGCAAAATCTAGAGCATATGTCTGCCCACGAGTTTTCGGACTGGCGATGAGACTATTACAGTATTTGTATTACGAAAGATACAAACCTGGCCTCACAGAATTCAATACAATACAGTAACCCCCCTGATACCACTGTAGCCTATTTAGACAAACTCGTCCATTTTAGGAAACAGCGTCTGAACACCCGTTGGGCGGGTTTCTTCTCTTCCATCATTCTTCCATGCTCAATCCTCAATTCATCTCACATTTCTTGCAATGCGTTCTGAAACCCTTGGGTGCTGGACATGTCGAGTTCGGCATCTGAAATGCGATTTGCATACACCTGCATGCAAAGAATGCACCGACCGACATGTTCACTGTCACGGCTATGGGCCCAAGCCAACATGGATGAATGGTGGTTCGGAGGAGCAAAAGGAACGACAAAATATCAAAGCTGCAATAAAAGAGAACTTTCGCCGAGTAAAGAAATTGCAAGGTCGAGCTCGCCGAAGAGCTAGGGAGCAGTCCCCGGCATTATCGGAAACAGCGACCAACAGAGAAGCGCCACAGGCAATGATCACACCGCCTCAACCTTCTTATTCGCCGTGTTTGTCTGGTGCGGCAGATACATTTGAGTCTAGCATTGAGCCAGAACTCAATGACACCAGTCAAAATACGCATCAAGGGCATGATGAGGCCCCGCAATCCTGGACTGACCCCCGCAATCAATATTCCGAGCCTGGAGATGCTCTCGATTCTCGAGAGGCATGTCTGTTGATGCATTATCTTGATCAAGTTTTCCCATGGCAATTTCCGTATCACTGCTCCAGATCTCGTTTAGGAAATCGGGGCTGGCTTTTTCTCTTGTTGATCAAACGAGGACCTCTTTATCACGCCGTTCTCAGCTTATCTTCACTTCACCAGGCTGCGATACTCGGAACTGAGGAAGAGTTTCAGCAGCAGCAAAAGGCATTTGAACACCACTCCAGAGCCCTGCGAGAACTTTGTGATATAATGAGCGAAAAGGGCGACCAGTTGCTGGATGATCATCCTCAATTAGCGGAATTCTTGGCATGCAGCTTCATGTTGATCAGCTTCGAGGTAGATATCAGAAACTTCCCTTGGAGTGACCATCGCTGATCTATTTGTCCAGGTCTTCCGAGGTGCCGAGCATGATTGGCTACTGCATCTCGACGCCACTGCTTCCCTCATGGGTCTCTTATCACCAGAAGCTTTATTCAATTCAGACTCGTCTGTCTGTGATACTAGCCCGAATCAGTTTTCTGGGCAGTTTAAATCTCCCACAAGTGGAATGGTGGAAGGACTGCAATTTCTCACGGTGGCAGTAATTTGGTCCGATATCTTCGCTTGTGTTGCGACTGGTCGGGCCCCACGACTTCCATATCAACAGTGGCTCCGAATCCAAGGTCTCAATACTGCAGATCTCATGGGCTGCGAGAACTGGGTAATGCTTGTCATAGGCGATCTCGCTCAATTTAGCATCTGGAAGGAGAAACAGGAAGAAGACGGTAAACTGAGTATCCGAGAACTCGCAAGTCGTGGTAAAGAGATTGAGAGGCGCTTAGAAGGTGGCATTCAAGATCTTGATTTGGCACGATGCGTAGGTCTTTGATTCTTGATGACCTGGTTCTGGGTGTGCGAAGCTGACTTTCATCTACTGTAGGCACACCCGAATGCGGAATCTTCTACAAATTGGGTTTCGCGTCTTTTTTCTTACGCTGCCCTTGTTCTACTACACACCATAGTATCAGGTCCACTACCAGCACTGCCAGAGATACAAAGTGCTGTTTCTCGAGCAATTATCACTCTTCAGAATAGACCACAGGGCTACTCTCTTACAGGGTCGGTATGGGCATTGTGTGTCATAGGCTGTATGGCGCAGCTACATAATCGTCCGCTATTTGAGATGCTCATGACGGATTTAGTACAAAAATCTGGAAGAATTGGTAACAGTGCTACAGTTTGGAAGATCATCAAGAGATGCTGGGAAATGCAGGAAACTCAAAGAGCTGACTGCCGTATCACTATGTCAGAGATGGGTATACAGGCAATTTTGATATAGCAAGAGGTTGACATACAATTGTTTCACGCTTGAACTAAAATACTGAGCTCTCACATCGATAATTCTTCAAAGGAAACACTACACGATTACTTTCCAGTCTTTTTCGTTCAATTTCTTCTCAGACATATATTTCAGATCTATTCATGACTATCAAGAATAGCTTGCTTCATAGCTGACAGCAGGAATTCATTGATTCATCTTGTAGTTGCAAGGCAAAGAAATAAGAAATGATGGGAAACTCGAGCCGAGATAGCCACAAAGAGAAAGTCGAACCGTGATTTCGGATACGACCAATCAGAAGGCAACTGGGGGGAATACCGAAGTATAGAGTGATCGTTGAGCAAGATCACAAAAACGATAAATATCAAGGTGAACCGTGGGGTTCTAGGGTGGAAGCTTGCGAGAATCGGTCTGAATATCACTTTTCTTGATCCATTTTCTTGCATACCGTCTTACTATAGGACCTTTTTCGATGTTGACGGCAGTAAGAATAAAACAAAGCTCGCTCACGAAATGGAGCCTCCTCAACACATAACGTTTCTTACACACAAACTTCTTTCAACTACACCGCACAGCAGTTGATAACTAGGCACAGGGTGGCCCCGGGTTAGCGGAATGTGAAGACGTTGGATCGTATTGCATCCCAAGTTGTGAGAAGTTCAAATAAAGCTACAACACTTTCACGGATATCTGACATGCAATCTGGAAATTTTAATCACATCTCGGTTAGCTAATCTGATAAATCCCTTTTGTGCTGGCCCGCTAATGGGGTTTGGCTTTTCGGATGGTGTTAGTATCGCGATTAAACCGCGACAACCATCGATTCACGCTCCGCAGGTCAACCAAATTGTGCTCATTACAGACACTTGGTGGTCATTAATTAGACTCTTTCGGGAGAGTCTTTGAGCGTGGTGATGATTCCAACTTGGTCAACAGTTTCTGTGGTAAGAAGCCTCAGAGCCGACGTTCACGTCATGGAACTTGTACATAACCCACAATTTGTTTCAGATTTGATTCCAACCAGTGTTTCTGGCCTTGAATCCTCATAAAAGTGGCGACAGCTAAGATACAGCAGGAAAGTCCTGCCCGGTAGAGGTCATCAAGTACGCTTAGTGGCCTACAATTGGCAACTGTCCAACCTGACTTCCTATTTCACACCCTTGCCTTAGCGACTCAATATAAAGTCAAATGACGCCGTTTCCCCGCATTTTCACAATATAATATCCCGCTCTTGTCTCTGTCATGCGGGCCGCCGATCTATAAACTAGTAGATGCAGGGCTCCCGGTGACATCATAGCCTCAGCCTCGAGGGGCAAGTCTTCACCGACTGGTCGGGCCTGACCTCCATCAGTCACTATGTGGGGGGGAATGGTCAGACTTGGTGCTCACTTTCTTGTCACATTTTAGACTTTAATGATACTCACGGAGTCCCCTTGACTCGGTGTACCTGAGTCATCTCCTCTTATCACGGAAGGTAATTTTCTTTCAATATCTAGTGCTGTAAGGGATAGTTGGTTTCATAGAATCAAACTGTGATTTCATTCAGTTCCTTTGTCCTGGAATTTGTGCGTTCTTTGTTGGTTCTACAGTGCGGGTTGCATCCGTGGTTCTACGAAGCATAAACGACTCGAAAACAAAACCCCAACTATTGAGTCCAATCTCGGCAGAGTCGATCACTTTAATAAGTAATTTGTGACCTCGGCCATGTGTGCTGATCAGTGCCAACGCATCCCGTAAGCCACCGAAGGCCATGCCCCCTTCTCGACTAACGCCAAGCGAGGACCCCTGGCCTGGGGGCCATTTCGCCGACTGACTTCGAAATGGCGGCGGTCTGGGTCAAGGAGGTGAGTTTTCTGATATCCATACGTCTTGGCTGCATGTTTCTCTAAGGCACTGGAAGCCCGAGTCGGTTTGATGTATGTCTTGTGCGGTGGTGTGAGGGGTCTTTCGCCCTTGCATCGGGAGCTCTTTGCTTTTTTTCCTCTCTCTTACTTTTCTGATCTAGCAGCAATAGTTAAGTCCTCATATTCGAGGCACATGTGGACTTTCCAAGCTTCGGTCTGGATCGACATCCCGTCAGCCACCCAATCGACTCTTAGCCCGACCGATCTTAGCGATTGGATCGATCATCACTCCGAGTAGATTAACTCTCAAATGGATCTTCCCTAATAATTGTCGGTTTATTTGTTTAGCTGTTTATCTGTTAGGGCTTCTCACAGCCGGGCTCAGCCCGATTGCCCTCACATGTGGACCTATTACATTTTGCGAACGAGCGCAGCCTCGCCTCAAATGCATCTCGGAATAATCCCGCATCTCACTAAAACTGCTGTCACCGATGAGAAATGGATGTGGTCAACGTGGTCGTGCGTCACCATCATCCAGTCATCTTCCTTGTCTTATGATGCCCAGTTCCTTTGGAAACGAAACAAATTCGAGAATCAAAGAGATCACAATAAGATCCCGAGGTCAAGACCCACCTCTTCTTTGTCCAGCGCATGCAGCCCTGATTCCTGATTCTGCCCTGGCCTGTATGCTTTAGGTTTCGACTATTCTCCCTCTCTCTCGCATGCAGCCATCCTATCCCCCCCCTCATGAATAGATCAGCATAATGCACCAGCACGAGCTCATCCATGACTGGATAGGTCAAATTAGTCTTCGCCAAGTCCCGGTGCCACCTGACGGATCTCCATATCAGGCGTGCGGCTGTTTCCTCTTTCTCTACCTAGATCCCTCTTTGAGCCAAGCAGACCCCGATGCTGTAATCTGACATCGGGCGTCTCTTGGTACCCTAAGTTCCATGCGAGCCATGTCTCGCTAACAGTAGCGGTAAATGTCGACATATAAGAAGCTCTTCCCTTCCCTCCCCGATGATATGCTCCGATCTTCAGGATCTGCGTCTCTCTTATTCCTCTCTTCCTTCCCCTAATTGAGTAGATCACCATGCTATCCTCCTTCTTCACTTCCCCTTCCACTTGGGTGATAACCCTATCCCTGCTCCCCGCCGTGCTCAGCTCGCCTATCATCTCAAAGCGAGCAAAGGGTGCCTGGCTCGGTCTGAACACCAACTTTCCAGACCCGAGCTTCATGAAAGCTGCCGATAACAAATGGTACGCTTTCGGCACGAATGGCAACGGCAAGCGCATCCAGGTCGCAAGGTCAGACGACTTTAACACATGGACCTTGCTGGACGTGGAAGCCCTCCCAACTCTCTCAACCTGGGAAACTGACCGGGACCACTGGGCTCCAGATGTAGTCCTCCGAGTGAGTCTCTCTCAGTCTCCGAGAATATGTCAAATACAAAGTGAAACACATAGCTGATCAACCCTAGGATGACGGAAAGTATGTCATGTACTACTCAGGCGAAGCTAAATCAAACATTGGCCATCACTGCGTCGGCACAGCCGTATCAGACAAGCCAGCAGGACCATATATTCCAAGCAACACGCCCCTCTCCTGCCGACTGGATCGAGGCGGCTCAATCGACCCAGCCGGATTCAAAGACAAAGATGGTAGCCGATACGTCGTGTTCAAGGTCGACGGCAATAGCGTCGGACACGGCGGCGACTGCAACAACGGCGTTGAGCCATTGGTCGGCACGCCGATCTTGCTGCAGAAGGTTGCTGCTGACGGCGTTACTCCTATCGGAGATGCGGTGCAGATTCTGGATCGGTCTACGGCTGATAATGATGGGCCGCTTGTTGAGGCGCCGAATCTGATTCTGCATGGCGATACTTATTTCTTGTTTTATTCTACACATTGCTTTACGGATCCCAAGTATGATGTCCGCTGGGCTACGGCTAGTAGCATCACTGGTCCTTATACTAAGACGAACGTGCCTTTGATTAATGCTCAGAGCTCTGGGCTTCTTTCGCCTGGTGGTGGAAATGTTTGTGGTTGTGGTGATAGGATGTTGTTCCATGGGTTCTGTACTGAGGCGAGAACTGATCGGTGTATGTATGTGGCTGATGTTTCTCTCACTGGGAAGACGGCAGCTATTGCTTGAGGTTTCTACCTCGTTCCTTCATGATTTATGCCTTTCGCACTTTGCATTGTGAGATTATATATTTTCTGTCGCTTCTGATGATATACCCAACCAAATATTATGCTTTTCTTTCATTGAGAAGAGGGATAGATTCAGGTAGTAAAATCGTATTATTCATTCATTTGGGGTATTAATCTTTTGATCTAAGCAACTAGGAAAGCTTGTCCTTTTCCTCTCTCGCATGCTTCTTCTCCAAGGCATTTCGCACCCATTCCGGGGCACTCTGGATAGCCGTCTCGGGTATTTCCTTGTGATTCAGGAGATAACCCTGGATTTCAGCAGCAGTCAATTCACCACTGGGAACAATTGCAGCAAATTCATCTGCAAGGCGAGAAATGCGGGATTGAATGGATTGAAGAGCATCTTGCAATACATCGTTCTCGACTCCATGCTGAGAGTCTTCGGATTTCCTCCGCTCCTCATCAACACACCTGGCTGAAGACTTGGCAGAGCCATTGCTAGCCGTTCGTGGTCTCTTCACCCGCCGAATATCGTTCTTCGTTGTGTTATAGATAGAGATAAACATCTCCTTGATATCCGCTTCGCTGGTATAACCAAAGTTGATAGTCATATCAACACGGCCAGGTCGGAGAAGAGCAGGATCCAGCTTGTCGGCATGATTCGTGGTCATAACGAGAATGCGGCCCTCGCTGGCAGCAACGCCATCAATGACGTTCAGAAGACCAGAGAGTGTGACACCGCCCTTGGCAGGTATCTCAGGGACAGCAGTCGCATCCACTTCGCCATCTCCGTCGCCTGAGATGATCTCGTCTATGATGGGCTCCGGGGTCGAAATGATAGTTTTTCCTCGAGTGCTGGTGATACCCGCAGCATCAATATCTTCAAGGAGCACGATGCATCGCCGCGGCAGGGCTGCAAATAGAGACGCGAGACCATCTTCGTCCAGGGCTGTAGAATTCAAATTAAGCAAGTAAAGCTTCAATCCTAACAAGCCGGCAGCAGCAAAACACAGACTTGTCTTTCCGGTTCCAGGGGGACCGTGGAAGAGGTATCCACGTCGATACGGGATGCCACGATTAGAGTACCAGCGACGGGTCCGAGGGTGCAGATATTCCTTGATGTCATCGATAAATGACTGTTTCTGTTCCTGGTCGAGGATGACGGTTGAGAGAGGACGCGGAAGTCGGGCCATGCCACGATACCAATCGTATGCAGATGTAGCACATGGTCGCTGACCGCGATAAATGACAGTGAGGTTCCCATCGCGCTCAACGTAGGCCTGTTGCGCCTCCGCCAGCAATGTCTTCAGGATGGTTGGGTCCCGACCGAGACATGACAGATACAGTCGCTCATTGTTCAAGACCCAGCGTGCGCTCCCTTGTTGATGCAGTCGCTCTAGCATGATTGGCCGGTTTCGGTACCAGAAGTAGTGGGAACCCTGGGCTGGGGTGAATCGGAGGGCTTTGTACTTGTCGCGGCTGAGCACCTTTGCCCAGCAGTCATCGAAGGAAGCAGGTTTGCCATTATCTCCTGGCGTGTCCCAATCTTCGTCTTCATCTCCAGCATCTGAGTCTTCGTCGTCGCTCCAGTATCCGTTGCTTTTGATGCCCGCCACAAATCGGTTTGTTTGTTTCATGTGAGATTGGCGTGAGATCCAGTACATCAAGTAATTGAAGATCTCGTCATCGAGGCGGATCTCGGCTCTGGATATGAAGTAATGGCTGAAATGGACTGAGACTTGACTGTAGATGTATCGAATGCTTGCGCCGAAGACAGCCATTGCCACCACTAGTTGGATGTAGGCGTTGATGTCGATATTGAGATATGACATCAAAATGCGTGATATAAAGCCATAACCAGGAACTAGCACCTCCAGCATCGCTGTCTCGGTTGAAGACAGCGGTCCCGTCACCGTGGGGTGTGTTTGATTGGAATCCATGATCGCTTCACTAGAGCCGAAATTGGGAAGAGATATGGTTCAGAAGAGAATAGGGACGCGAGGACAGAGACAAAGAGCCCTGGATGGATGTTTTCCACCAGACAATTCAAGCATCTTTTATACGATGGCAACCCCGAAGAGCCTCACAGGGTCTGGGCACCATCAACGCTCGGACACCCGATTGGGAGAGCGTCGTTGGCGATCTCGGGGATGGAGAGCTGCACCAGAGCTGCACTTAGGAGGCTAGCTTGGCCTCGCCGAATTGATTGGCTGTGAGTGGGTTTTTTGCTGCTTCTGCCTGGCCTTGAGTCATCGTGTCTTATGCCTTGGGGGCGCAGTATGCGTAGCTGTGCACGGTGACACAGAATGACAACGTTGGGCCAGAATGGATTCCAATTCTAGTTGGGAGGTGAGACACTTGCGAAAGAAAGTGCTGTAAGAAAGAAAAACAAATCGCATGGTTCTGTAATTGTGTACTGAACGATGAGAAAAAGCAAAGGCAAAAAAGAAACTCTCCCTCGGGGAATCGAACCCCGGTCTCCCGCGCTTATCGGTATTAATGACAAGCGGAAATCATCACCACTAGACCAAGGAAGATTGAATGACCGAGTTACTGCTCGACCACTTGGCTGGTTGATGGAGATTTGGGCTATCTTTGGCATTATGACCGAACGATGACTTGGTAAATAATCCACTTTATCGAATCCCATAGATATCTCACCACCACAACTACTAACCGTATCATAGTGCATTAACACTACACAGTGCTATTTATTACTCCATGGATTCTGCTCCTACTAGGATATTGCGTAGTCGATATTTATGGAATCATACTTCCTCTCATCGTCCAACAAGCTATACGAATATCCAGATATATATTCACTGAACAAGAAATTGTTTTTTCGCGAGATAACTTACCCAAGCCACCTGACACCATTCACGGCCATACTAAAGAGGCGGAGGTTTCTGCAACTGGGCAAATAAAAAGGTCACAGTTCTACATACATAGGAGGCACCTATCGCACGAGTGTCCCAGAGGAGCCAAGACAGAAACAAGGGAGAAAGGACATGTGAGATCATTGATCTAGGTCTAAACATTATATACATAAATATGGGTATCTTCAAAATACAGTAAGTTCCAGATGGAGGAAAGGTATGTGGGACCAACATATCAACCCTGAGACTCAGGGTGATTGCCCTTGATAGCATCCGCAACACCACCAGCCCAGTGTTTGAAATCATCCAGTTTACCCCAAACTGAGTTCCACCAGGTCGATTCTTTTTCATTATCACTGCCATTGTCACCTTCATGGTCACTGACACTGTCATTATCGTTGTTGGCAGCAGGGGAGGACTCAGATGGAGTGGTAACGTTTGGTGCTGGCGCTGGCGCCGAGGTTGAGGGTTCAGCCGTCGCAGAAGTCTGAGTTGGAGCCGGTGGATCGGGAGGTGTATCCAGAATGGGAGTATCTTCATCGGAATGGAGCCCGATGGGCTTCAATGGAAGGCGGAGAGTGCCATTGTTAGGTAGGGGATCCACACCCAGTGAGTCGCAAAGAATATTGTACACCTCAGTGTTTTCTGAAAGATTTCATTAGTCCAGGTATCAAAAAATGAGGAACTCGATACTTACGGAATACTTCAACACGGCTATTAGGTTGGTGCGGGAACGCCGGCCCACGCGCGATGAAAATGGCACGCATCAATGGATGTTCATGATCGTAACCATGGATACCTCTGGGGTAATAATCCTCCCCAGACTTCAAAGCTGCCTTGACATCCAATTCTGACCGGTCAACAATGGCCCAGCCTGTCTTGGGGATGACCCACAAAGGTGCAATGCGGTCGTTGTTGGAGAAGTGATAGCGCTCCGGCATCGTTTCCTTGGTGTACCATTCGAATGCATGCCCCCAATCTGGGGCAACCTTCTCCAACTGCGCTTGCAGCACTGGCAGATCTTCTGGCCGCTTCGGGCGAATGCCAATAGATGGCCACCCATCGCGATGTTCAATCAAGTTGTAGTCAATGAGGTCGTCTAGTTGAATGACTCTCTCTGTGGATGTCGTAGCCATACCATGGTCCGATAAAACAACAACGTTGACTATATCTGTCAGATTTCGCTGGGCAAGACCTGCCATGATATTGGCAACCATGCTGTCCGCTTGAGTAATTGTCGACCGAATTTCAGTGCTGTTGGGTCCAAATTTGTGCCCATGGCTGTCAACATTAGGAACATAGGCTGCAATAAATTGTGGCCGCTCAGGTTCCACCTGCGACTCATCCTCGAGACCTGGAAGGTCTAAAAATTCTAATACTCGGTTGACCTTACGGGATAGAGATTCTGTCCCATTGTACTTATCAACGATGGTCGGCTCCCGATCTGGGATATGTGCTTCAGATCCAGGCCACATGTGAATGGCAGTCTTCACACGGTGCTTTTCCGCTGTAACCCACAGTGGTTCAGCATTCCACCACTTGGGCTGCATGCTGATAGATGAATGGGTGGAGATAAACTCCTCCTTGTACTCCGGATCCCAGAATGTATTTCCCACAATTCCGTGACTCTCGGGGTAGAGTCCAGTCATGAGCGTGAAATGGTTGGGGAACGTGACACTCGGGAAGCTGGGGGTCATATATTGCGGAGATACGCCATTTGCGACGAGGGAGTTAAGCGCAGGGGTCAGGCCACGGTCGAGGAAGTCGGCTCGAAAACCGTCAAGCGAGATAACGATCGTGGTCGGCGCGAAGAGTGCTGTGCCGTTCGAGAGTATAGGTATAGGGTGAATACGAGAAGCTCGGAAGCCACTCGAGGCTTTGTATGCCCCAAGGACGAGAATGAGGAAAAGGATAATAATGAGGGTTCCGATGAACAAGAACTTCTTCCATGACGGCCGTGGAGGCTAGGTAGTAGAGCCATTAGCCCGAGAATCGTCGAGGTTCACAGTAGGCACTTACAGGGTCATATGTGTACTCGTCCTTTCCATCCAGGTCTACAGATGACCTGCTCAATAGAGAGGCATTGTCATCACCTATTCCTTCTTCCATCTCGTACATCAGTTCACCATCCTCGCTGACTCGTTCCCGGCGCGAGTTCCTCCGCGGTCGGCGCTCCTTGTTCTTTTTGCCAATTCTGACACTGGCACTATGCGGGCTGAACATCCTCCGCAGCCCCTGTCCAGCACCTCGCCTAGTCAAGAGATTCTCCATCTCCTCTTCCTCTTCTAGGACCGCACGGTCGTGCTCCGCGATCTCCAAGGTACTGCGGTTTTGATGAAGGAGGGCATCGTCGTCGGAGTCGGAGTCCTGCTCGGAGGGCGACCGCAATGATGAGGCATCATTGTCGTAATTTGACGGGTGGAGAAGTGAAGGACTTAGATCTGGACGTCGCATGGCTCCTTGGAAGAAAGTCGCGGGAGTTGGAGAAGTTCAAGGGAGATCGACGGGATAACCGCCAAGACACGATAAGCCCATTTTTGGACTTGACCAACCTCCGACTCTGTTCACTCACAGCACCTTGGAGGTCTATACTCGCTACTTACTGCCTATGCTCTGCAGTACAAGGTCTATCTAATCCTCATAATGTCCCAAACAGACCCAAACCAACACAAACAGACGCGGTTCCATCGCTTTTACCGCGAGCATTTGGATCCTCCGCGCGCAAACACTAAAAATGTCACCCAACAGCAAATGACAATACGTACCTCTACACCTGTCCACGGCTCTGCTGAAGACATTAAACCATCATAGAAACCCGAGAACGAAGACCGGTCTTGCCAAGAGGTGTCATCTTCCCCAAGCGGCATTCTGCAGACAGTTCGTGGCAGCCACATTCCTCACGCATATGTCAGGAATATTGTTGATCGTGCGTCAGGGAGCAACGCAACTGACATTCCTCGATACAAGCCCTCAGGGTTACAGAATAGAGAGAGAGGGAGAGAGAGACTTGAGCATTGGCTTTTTACATGATCTGTGTTGATGCACACTGACATCTGCCGGATGCAGTATCCGCTCGGAGGGTAATTGGCCAAACCATCAGCCCTAGAGGGAGGTAGCCAGGAGCCATGTGTTATGCAATTGTGTCTAACTGAAGTTTCTGAGATGCGCGCTACTGATGACTGGGACCATATTGATTCTCTTTCCGTGGTAATTTGGAACTAGCACTTTGCGCCAGTTAGAGTATGTTTGATGTGATTCCACTCGTCTTATATCCAAGGCAGTGAGCCCGAAGACCAAGACCCAGTTCCAACGTGGAACATCTCAGCCTCTTTGGAAGTTCCACAGAAGCTTGTCTCTGGCGATTCAGCGCCTCGAGAGCCTTGGAGATACTATCCACCCATTGTCTGAAGGTACCCTGCATAGCTTTGGTCAACGTGTCTGCGTCTAATGTGCCTGAAAACAGCCCGCGGACAAAGAGGTTCCACATACATGCATTGTGACAGCCCGACGTTGATCCATCTGGAATGCCTCATTGGCGCGGTTGCTTGATCCTGGCTATCCGCATGCAATGGCCAACTTCCTATTTGGGAATATCATATCACGTGACCGACCCCGGAGCTCTCTCGTTCGCCTGCGAGGTCATGACATGTCGGCGCCGGACTAAAGCCGATCATTGCGCCAGGGTTGCACGATTGACCTCGACCCGAACATCCATTCAATGTGACATTTCCGCATGCGGAAGTCCAGACATGCAAATCTTGTTCCTCTAGGGCCAGGGCAGGAACAGTAGACAGGTCCTACATGCTGCAAAAAATTCTCTTCTCGTCATCATTAACTTTAATTGATCTATAGACCGCATTTGGACAGCCCACGATGTCTATAAGAATCCCCTCCTCATCGTCCCTGGCCTGGTCCCTTCCCCTTCCCATCGCATCAGCATAATTACCCTAGGTAAGCTTTGCCCTGAAACTTCAGTCTGAACGCTGATCAGATCATACTAACCTGCCTTTCAGCTCCTTCATTCGTTCAGTCAGGAAGCAACTTTTCTTGATTCAATCGCTTTTCTTTCACCAAAAAAACCCAACAAAATGCACTTCACTGCCCCCTCCGTGGCCGTCCTGGCCCTCGCTGCCGGTGCCTTTGCCGGTGTTGCCCAGAAGGAGCACGAGCCCCCAGTTCACAACAAGAGTGTCATCAAGCACGAGGCTACCGGTTCTGCCACCGGTGCTGCCCACTCCACTGGTGCTGCCCACTCCACTGGTGCCGCCCACTCCACTGGTGCCGCCAAGGGCACTGGCATCCAGACCGGCACCCACCCCGTCGTGACTGGCACCCCCAACAACGGCACCCACGGCGGTAACAACGGTACCGTCGTCGTTACCTCGACTGCCCCCTGCTTCACCTGCAAGAGTGGTAGCTCCACTATCCCCGTCAACGTTCCCAGCCGTACCCCCAGCGCTAGCGCTAGCGCTGGTGCCGGTGGTTCTGGCTCCGGCTCTGGCTCCAGCTCTGGCGGCGGTGTTGGTGGCAGCTCTGGCTCCGGCTCCGGCTCTAGCTCTGGCTCCGGCTCTAGCTCTGGCTCCGGCTCTAGCTCTGGCTCCGGCTCTAGCTCTGGCTCTGGCTCCGGCTCTGGCTCCGGCTCCGGCTCTGGATCCAGCTCTGGCGGCGGTGTTGGTGGCAGCTCTGGCTCTGGCTCTGGCTCCGGCTCTGGCTCCGGCTCTGGCAACACTCCTGCCTCCCCCAGCTCCACTGGCTTCACCCCCTCCAACCCCGGTTCTAAGGTCTCCGTTCCCCAGATCGGTGCCGCCGGTGCTGCCATGGCCTACGGTCTTATGCTCCTTGCATAAATGCCTCGCCTCTAATATTCGGAGTTTAGTTCTGCTGAGCACCGATTCTCTCTGACATCTCCGTCTGATCAAATGGCTGCTGTCCATGTTCGGATTGAATAACAGAGAGATTCCGGACTCTTCAGACAGGCGTTGGAGGAAATGACTGCTTAGATTATGCTGTTATTCTATCTTTGATTTTTTGGGGTTCTTTTCTTTTTTCAATACTCATCTAATCTAATGTTAATCTCAAAAAATATCTGGATCAAAATCTTCATTCGAAAGAATCTGAGTTATGCCAATCACTATGGCCAAATAGACATAATTTACCCCATACATCACACGTTCATGGTTATGAAAAGTCAGTATGAAAATAACCTCCAGTAACTGGAAATCACCCAAGGAAAGACAACGAGGAACATAAAACTACATAAAACCAAAAGAGTAGAACATCAAGGCACTGTCAGTCCCCCTGCAAACCTCCTCTCGCAATCTCTGCTATATCCCCTCTCCAAGTAGACTGTAGTGCTCATAGACTCTCACGACGAACTCTAAATCTAGGACTCAGTGGCGAAAATGTAACCACAAATCTTGTCAGGGTCATACTCTATCTATTCATAGATCTTTTTGATCACGTCTCAAGTGCCTGAGTGGTGTCACCGTTTGCCGTGAGCCGTTTAACAGCGTATTGGGCTTAGAGTTGGGGCTTGGATCGATCGTAAATTAGGGTTTGGGGGAAGCTCCATTTTGACGCTTTCGGTGCGTGGGGGTTCTTGATTTACCCCCACTTGCCGATACAAAGTATCATTATGGGGGCGAAAATCTCGATATCTAAAGTAGTCCTTGTCCGAACACTCTACTCCGTACAGACTCTCCATTGCCGAGTCCACCTCCCCCACTGCCAAGAAAGTGTGCGTAATTGCCGGATATTAAGGATCAGCGGCGTCTATCGTCCGAAAGAAATGTGCTTTCTTCTCTGTTGTAGCTTACCCTGGATTGAACCCCGAATATTCTACCGCAACTAATCTGATTCTGTGTCTCTTCTCCCAATGGAGAGTACTCCAGGTCAGAAGCTAAGGCCTAAGAGAATTCGGATCTATGCGCTGAGGATTCATTATCCGCCCCTAACTTCAATCTATGGAGCTTGCCCGCTAGTTTTTAGTCCCTGTTTCAGGATTTATGGAAGATACAAAAGACATAGAAGATAGCCAGATAATCCGATATTCAAATAGTCTTTTGCAGAGTGTGTATCATCTTCATCACTTGGTAATGAAGGTCTTCTATTTTGCCTTTGCCCTGGCGGGGAGTACATTCGCACTTCCGCGGTGTACCAGCTGGTTGGAAGACGGGTTCCAGCATCCAGGCATTTATCATGACTGTCGATCTCTTGACCGTATCCAGGCCAATTACCACAGCAACAGCTCTGCATACTTGGATGCACTGAGCAGCGCCCAGTCTCGCCTACCAGCTCTCCAAGATGATGCAACCTGGACGATGTCAGGACCATTTGAGAGCGTGAATTGGGCTGGTGGCGACGGCCACAATATCCCCCTTCAAACAGATGGCAAGTCCGCATACGCTCTGACAATTGGCTGGTACGCCACTGGCAATAGTCTGTGGTTGTCACGAGCAAAGGAAATCGTGCTAGCATGGGGTTTGACATTGAAGGATTTGAACGAGCAGATTCAAGGTGGAGAAGGTCTTGCATATATGACCGCCGCAGCAGAAATTCTCCGCGCTTCTGCTAGGGACTCAGGTTGGACCGTGGAGAACACGACAACATGGTTGAATATCATCGAAACCGTCACAGCTCCCTGGAACGTGTCATACGGCATTGCTCGAAATGACTTCTTTATGAATCAAGGGTTTTACGAGAACGGGGGTGCAATGAACCTGGCTGTATTCAGTAACAATCGCACCCTATATGACGAAATGGTTCGCCATGCTACGATCGGAGAAAACCCTGATCCTACTATTGATTATGCCATTCCGATTCAGGTAAGGATTGCTACATCGGAATATAGCTATGTGAATCTTTGGCTTACAAATTGTGTTCTTGTGTTAAATATCCGGAGATTCTGACTACTACGGACAAGTGACAGAGATGGGCCGCGATTAGGGCCATCCGATGGGCACTCTTCGTGGTCTTGCATTCATGGGCACCACGGCCCATATACAAGGCGGCGCCGACTTCTATAATCAGAACTCATCCCGACTTTTGGCTGGATATGAGTACTGGGCTCGATACAATGACATGGTCCCTTGGGAACCCAAGGTCATCCGTCCAGGAAGCGGTGAAGTTTATGACAAACTAGTCAACATATCTCGGGGAAAAAACTATTCCAAGTATACGCAGCCTCTGGAGGCTATTGGTACTGCATTCCATGAGTATTATCGAAGAGGTCGCGCGCCCGATATGCCTTACTATTCCAGCTATATGAAGTGGCAGGGCATTAGTTGGGACACCTTCGAATGGGGCGATGATAACAGTGTTGGCTTCCTTGGTCAGTTGTGATTGCTCTACAGTGCTGCACTCATGTTGAGATCATTCAATGGCTCAAGTTGCGTTGTGCAAAGCCTGTAAATCTGATTTCCGAGCTCGCAAGTAAAATGCATGCATAAGAGGCCTCTGAGATGATACGGAATCTTTTTCCATAGGAATTTGCCTGTCCAGCTGCTATATGCTTGAGGAGAAACAGTTATTTGAAGGGAAATAGTTACAAAATTGAAAATCACCGAGATGTACACAGCCAGGGAAGATCAAACTATAAATTTGCTATGAGACTGCCAAGTTATGAATAGCGCAACACGCGTTAGCTAGCTATTGAGACTAAATACAAACATGAAAATAACACATAAGATTGGATTTAGGCATAGTTTTACTCAAAGCCTTTCAAATACGACTTGATCGCAAAGATTATCGAACCAGTATATTTCTGCGGGCAAACACTGCTTTTTGTAGGCCAGAGCACAAATACCTTGCCTGTCTTCTTTGCTTGCCAGGCAATGCCAGCCTTTCTTCATTCAAAGCCCAACCATCGCATTACGACGGTTGGTAGGGAACTGCTAGCTTAGCATGCACATTGAATCTAAAGATGTCTGTAATATAATCTAGTTTTTGGTAAGAGTACACCCCGAGAATTCTACCGGCGTGCCTTTAAAAAGGAATGTACTTCTTACTCTGAATCTTATTCCGTCATACGGGAAAAATTCCGGATGCATGCCCGGTAGGGCCATCAAGATGGATCGGTAAAGCCTACATTCGTTTTGCTTATGATTTAGACCCTAACCCCGTTGGGAATTCTGATAAAGGTGCCGAGAAAATTCCTTATTGGTCATGTTATACCGTCTCGAACCCACAAAACATGGTGCTCAATGTTGAAAGTCACGATGTATAAAGGGGAAATGGTGACGACCAAAATACTTACAATTATGATAATATACAGGCGGCTCCTCTCTATGTAAACCATTCCCCCTAAAATTGTGCGTTAGCAAGATCAAACTCGGTTCACCATTCTCATTTGAGCCTTTACTGTTATTCGATGTTCTGCCTGCCCTCATGGTACCAGGCCGATCAGGGAATGTATATTCGAGTAGCGAATTGGCGGCCTCTCCTACGTAAGTATGGTAACAAGCAGCGTGGCTGGGTTCTAGATTTTTCTTCTGAGCATTCACTATGCATTCAAATCTGGATAATCAAATGGTCCAGTCATTGTTGGGAATCTTATTTCATAATGGGAATGTAAACTGCAACGATAATGCATGTGCATCATAGGGTATATCGGAAACCAGGGATCTGCCTGTCCGTCCTGTGCTTCTGCTCTTCAGCGATAATTTCAACCTCGGATGATCCCTCAAGCAAGTTCCGTCTTCTGTTCTCCCACATGTAATACACGAATAGCGACCCCAAGAAAAAGACTCCAATTCCCAATCCACACAAAGAGGCCTCGATGCCGCTGGAGTACTTGGGCTCTTGCGAGGCATAGAAGAACTGGGGTCCCACGATGTTTCCAACACAGTATGCGGCAAAGATAGAAACCGATACTGTACTTCTTTTGGTCGCACCGGCAACATTCGAGGTGACGATACTTAGACTGAGGGGGATGTTGACCGCGAAAGCGGCAACGAAGGCAAGACCGACTAACTTGACCACTCTGTGGGTGTCGTCGAGTGTGTAGATCAGAACGACACCAATCACTGCGACGATCGCATTGAGACACATGCAGATGATACGCGTGGATCGGTAGTATGTGGCAATTCCGGCGGTGATGATCAGGAAGACTAGCTGGGACGCACCCATGGGCATCTGCAGCAACAGGGACTTGAAATCGGAGTATCCGAAACCTGCAATGATGATGGCGGAGAACTGTATGCACGTCAGCAATGTTGGAGAGTAAGGGCTTGGTTCACATACGCTCGTAAGCCCGCCGTTGGCGAGGTTGACGCAGAAAGTGTAAAGCACTAGGAACCATGCTTGCGGATCACAAGCAGCCTCCCGAACTTGACTCCATTCAAATGTCTCGGTACTCTCCGCAGGGCCTGTCTTGTTCTTCATCGTTCTTTGCACTGCGATCACTCGTTCGCTTTCGGTGAGGAAGGGTGCTGTCGCGGGCGAGTCGGGGAGGACGAAGAAGAGCAGGATGGAGTAGCCGGATGTGATGCCACCGAGGACGAGGAATAGTAGACGCCAGCTTTGTAGTGAGGAAGAGCAGTTGCCAATGCCCCATGCGACCACACCTCCGATGAGGTTGGCAATGCAGTTACCGACGAACCATGCACCTTGGCTGATGAATCATTAGTTGAATCTCCTTTCAAGCTGCCATGGTTCACTTACCGAGCGGGTTGTTCTTCTCTCTTGTAGAACATTCCTGTGATGAGACCGAATCCGGGGGCGACAGCGGCCTCGCCCATTCCCAGGAGGAATCGACAGGTGATAAGGCCACCATAGTTCTGGGCCGCTGCATGAGCCATCAGAATTCCACCCCACAGAAACCTGAATCACTGTTAGCACGTTTGAGAACATAGACGGTGGACATGAACGTACACTGAAACAGCGAGGTACTTTCCAAGCGGAAGGCGCACAATCAAATAAGACGTTGGATAACTCCAGGCGAGGTATCCGAAATAGAAGATTGCTGAGCACCAGGTGTATTGTTGGCCAACCAGATTCTGTGTTTGTCAGTACGGACCAGGCAGTTGAATGGTGTAGAACTGACCAGATCTGATCGGAGCCCGAGGAGAGTCGCTTGACTCAGGGCAAGTTTATCCATGTATTGAAGCATATAACAGATTCCCATAATGGGAATCATGCTAGTTTCATTAGCATCGGTATTGACCAGAAGCCAGGTGTTGAACTAACAATAAATCCAACTTCCATAATAGTCGACGCTCCTCTTCTGGAGATGCCTGGTACTCCGTCACTTCCCCAATACTGGAGTCTTGCATCTCCGTGTCGAGATATTCTGTCTTTTCTTGCATCTTACGAGTCGTCATAATCCCAATCAATATAGGTGATCAGTATGCATAAGTATGTCTTCGAGCGAAGGACCCCAAGCCCTATATACACGTTCATATCTCTAGATCTACTATAGGATGCCAACACTAACAATTTCATGTTGTTCAGATAGTCGATTATCGTGATAAGATCACGATAACTAGCAATTCCTCGTGCTTCACTACGTAAATAGTTTCCTATCAGCAAGGCATGACTTTCCCGCGGGAACCGGGACGCGAATAAGACAGTAATCCTCAGCCACCAAGTAGAAAGTGTCGAGGTCGGCAAGTTTAAGTGAAGCAATAGGATAAAAATGTAGAGGGGTGATATCTAGTCGGCAATTCGCGTTCGCTGACTGGTCAGATTCGGCCCAGAGTTCGGCAATTAACGTGCATCTGCCCCGGATTGGTAGATTCGGCGATGTTATCTAGGGAAGACCCATGATAAGACTAAAGAACAGCCGATGTCAGCCCGTAAACTTAGAACGGATTGCATGGATTTATGTTGCAGTTATGAAAGTTATGTCGTTTTTATGCTGGTTCATAATCTCGTGAACCATGTATCCGTGGGATTGAAGTGTAGACTGCCATGGACATAGAGGCCACCCCGGGAACATTTAAAGATCGATCTCGCTTTCGTAGAGGAACCAGAGAACCACTTAAGATTATCTTTCCAGCTATCTAGAAGTTCACACCTTACACAACAACATGGCTGTTATTCCGGTTTCCATTTCGCCCGAGCAGGCTCAGGCTGCCATCGATGAGGCTCTTGAAAAAGTGTCCACGCAGCTGCGTGAATTGAACCATTTTGTATGCCCCTAATTCATATTGGTCCGTATGTGAGGTTAACCCATGACAGATCTGGTCGAACCCTGAATTGGCCTATGAAGAGCACAAGGCACATGACGCGATCTGTGATTTCCTTGAAAGCCAGGGTTTCACAGTCACCAGACACGCATATGGCGTGGATACATCCTTTGAATGTATCAGCGGAACAGAAGGCCGCCTGATCAACTTCAATGCCGAATATGATGCGTTGCCCGATATGGGACACGCCTGTGGACACAACCTCATTGCCACGAGTAGTGTCGCTGCCTTCTTAGCGCTAGCCCACCTACAGAAGAAGTTTGGAACTGGTGGCAGGATCCAACTCTTGGGTACACCTGCAGAGGAGAATGGCGGTGGCAAGGAAAAGCTGCTCAACGCAGGAGCTTACAAGGAGGTTGATATTTCCTTGATGTCGTGAGTGTGATCGTGCTCTTCTTCGTATTTGCCTCCACTCACTCTTGCTAGTCACGGTGGACCCAGTGGCCAGGCTCTGGTTGGAAGCCCATGCGACGGAGCGGCAGGGATTATGATGAACGCCCGCAAGGAGCTGCACGTAGAGTATTTCGGTAAGAATGCCCACGCTGGTGGGAACCCGTGGGATGGTGTGAATGCTTTGGATGCGTTGGTTCAGGCATACAACGGAATCTCCAGCTTAAGACAACAGATTCTGCCGGATGAGCGCATTCACGGTGCCTTCCTGGATGTACCCAAGGTTGCCAATGTCATCCCCGCCTACACCAAGTCTTACTGGCAGATTCGAAGCCCAACTTTGAAGGGATTGACCAATCTGATTGCCAGAGTCCGGAGCTGCATCGAGGGAGCAGCGGTCATCACCGGCTGCACTGTTGAGATTGTCGAGTGAGTGATTTGTGCATATTGTGTGAGTTGGGATTACTAACAGAGCCCAGGGAGGGACTGTACACTGATATTGTCTTGAACGAAACCTTGTGTGAGCGATTCAGCACTCACATGGACGCTTATGGAAGAAAGATTATTCCAAAGCATGACAAGGTCTTGACTGGATCTTCGGACGTTGGTAAGTGTTTATACATCCTACTTTCATAGCTATCGCTGATCAGTCGCAGGTAATGTAAGCTACGCCGTACCGACACTTCATTCGATGTTTTCCATTCCATGTCCGGAGGGCAGCTTCCCCCACCACCCTAGTTTCACGGCGTCTGCTGGAACAGATGAAGCACACACTGAGGCCGTTCTTACTGGCAAGGGACTGGCTATGGTGGGATTAGATATGTTGACTGATGATGCACTTTTCCAATCTGCCAAGTCACAGTGGGAAGGACTCAAGCCAGCGGAAGCTTGAATGGCGAAATAATCTGTTATAATGAGCAATGCATAACAAGGACCATGAATTATAGTGAATAATATCAATCATGATGAGTAGCTATCAACATCACAGTAGATTCCATTGGAAATAGCCCTTATTCAAACAAAACTCTAGTCCTCTAGTTCATTATCGGTGCAACTTTAACCTTAGCCTAACGATAATGTATTGCTACCATCAATCTACATTTTATACCTTAAAAGGTTCCCGCATAGATAGAAGGAAAATCTGCTGATAACCTATGTTACATCTCTACTATACCCCCTCTCCAAGTAAACTGTAGTGCTTATGGACTCTCACGACGAACTCTAAATCTAGGAATCAGTGGCGAAAACGTAACCACCAATCTTGTCATGGTCATACTCTATCTATTACTTGATCTTTTCAGTCAGATTTGAAGTCCCTAAGTGTGGTATACATACACTGCGAGCCGTCTAATGGCGTGTGAGGCTTAGAGTCCAGGCTTGGATCGATCGTAATTTAGGGTTTAGGGGAAGCTTCGTCTTAACGTTTTTAGTGCGTGGGGGTTCTTGATTCGCCCCCACTGGTAGATATTGCAGAAATCGTAGACAAACATTAAACACTATGAGTAATGATTGTACTGGCGAGTGAGATACCGAAATCTGAAAAAAAGAAAGCTTTTCATAAAATACCAAGCTATAATTTTACATTGTATCAAGGACCACCATCCAGAATCTACTAAACAGTCCCAATCCAGTTCACATACTGACACTGACACCCACCCGAACCACCATCAACACCGCCATACTCCGTCCCATTACCCTGCGGAGTCTGATTCAAACTCTCAAAGATGCCCCCGGCAGGATTCACAGCCACCCCGCCAGCAGCCCGATCCTCCAGCTGTAACTGCACGGAGCTGATGTTGTAATGGCCATCGCTCTCTATAGCATAGCAATATACCATTTTCTTCTTCTCTGCGCCGCCATGACGGTCAATTGTTATTGTTACCGGGTAGGGGAATGAACCTGGACGGGAGAAATCCGTTGCGGAGGAGGAGGATGTCGATGACGATGTTGCTTTGCTTGCTGAGGTAGATGTCGAGGCTGTTGCTGTGGCTGTCTCTGTTGTGTTGCTGGATGGAAGGAGGCGACGGCCGATCTTTTCTGGTTGCGTCCAAATTTGGACGAGGAAGCGCGTTTGGGACCAGCTGCAGCGGTATTTCGAGTTTTCTCGGCTGGTTCCGCCGTTTGAGTCGGCGGGTGAAGATTCGGTTTGGCTGGTCAGGTAGATTGATTTGTCAAAGTAGGTGTAGAAGCCGTAGTGCTCTGAGGCTTGGCCTCTGTTATAGAGTCTGATGGGCTGGGAGGCGGGGAGGGGGTATAGCATGGCGGCTGCGGCTGAGCCGTCGGAGTTTTCGTCGGGGGCAGGGATGATGGATGTGAGGTTTGGGAAGACGGTGCTATTTGATTCTGTCGAGCGGCGGTAGATATTGGTCGTGGAGAGGGAAATTGGGGAGAGCATGGACATGAAGAAGGGTGTTTCCTCGCCGCTGTAGGGAGCACTGTTGTTGTCTGTGTACTGGCCTATGAAGGCCTGATCCGCATTGCTGGGGGCTACAGGAGATGGGCTGAACACGTCACTTCTTTTTCGTCGACTCGAGGTTGAACTGACGGTTGTGCTGTTGTCGTATGTTCCATTGCGGAATGAGATTGAGACTCGGAAGTTAGGCTCGTCCGCGCTATATGGCTGATTTTCTTGTTGTTGGCTCTTGGGCAAAGCACAACTCCACATCGAGGAGGGTGTTATGCAGGTAGACTTCTGAACCTGGGGCTCAGTTCCAGCAAGGGTCGCAACACCAGTTGGCATGGGAGGGTAGCCAGTGAGATTTAGCCACTGTGACTGAACTGGAGTAGGATCTCCCTTTCTGGTCAACGTGATTGCAAGCACAATGGCCAGAATTACAATAATGAAAAAGAACATAAAGATGAGCAAGTACCATCTTCGCCGAGTTCGACCTTCACGTCCTGGGCGTCCAAAGCAGCCTTTCTTGCTGAAAGGACCTCTGCCACGCCATAGACCACCAGCTTTGCGTCCAACTGCATCTTCCTTCTCCAGTCTGCGTCTTCGAGCTTCGTGGGGTCCAATTGCACCACCTGGATTCACAATCGTAGCCCCACCAGCAGAATGAGGAGCATACCGGGGCTGGGTATCATATCGCGGTGGGAGAGGAGCTTCTCTGGGGAACTGGGTATATGCTGGAGCTGGAGCCTGCATGTCAGACATAGGGACTGAATTGGGTCCTCCAGCTGCGCGTTGGAATCCCGGAGAGATTGGCTCAGATGTCTGTGTTTGGTGAGGCGCCAATTCTGACTCCTGGAGCTGTGATTGAGAGGTGCGGGGCTCATCTGCTTGCCTTTGAGGAACAGCAACAGCAATTGGCTGTCCTCGTTCTCCGTTTTGTGAGTCTACTTCTTGTGACCATCCCTGGGAATTATGTGTTTGTGATTGTGCCTGTTGCGGCTGTGTTGTGTGTTCTGCCGTATCGGCCTGTACTTGGGTCTGATTTGCAGATTCATTCTGCTGTCCCTGATAACCATAAGCCCATTCGAATCCCTGAGGTGGAGCTTGAAGTGGAGCTTGAGGTATAGCTGATTGCTGCTGCTGTTGCTGCTGCTGACGATGTCCAAATGGCCATCCAGATCCAGACTCCCGTCCCTGAACCACAAGCGGTGCATGTAAGTGTCTCCGCTTTTCATACATCCACTCAGTACCTTGCGGTTGCTCCTGTGCCGTCTGAGTTGCTGTTGTTGCCTGAGGAATATAGCCCTGTCGATCCGTTTCAACCCCACGGGATTCTTGAAGAGCAGGGGCAAGCTGAGGCGGTGCTTGTTCCTCTCGGCGATATGGCCAGGGCCATTCTGTGCCAGGTGAAGGACCTTGAGAAGCGGGTCCAGTTTGCTGCGGGATCGGTATTTCGCGAGTCTGCTCCAATGGCTGTTGTTCTTGAGCCACAGGCGCCGGTTGTTCTGGCTGCACTCGCTGTTCGGGGGGGACCATTGGGACATAATGAGGTACAATAATTGGTTGAATAGGTTGTGGCTGTGGCGGAGGTGGAGGGGCAGGATAATTAATAACAGGCGGCGAGATATTGGTAATAAATTGCGGAGCTGGGGCAGCTTGAGGTTCTGGCATTGGAATCGGAACAGGTGTAGGCTGCTGCGCGGTGGTTGAAGCTGGAACTGGAGCTGGAGTTGGAGCAGGTGGCTCGTAGACTTGTCTCTCATGCTCAACAGGCGCTGCAGGCATGGGGACAGGAACAGGAACAGGCGTAGCAGGCTGATGCTCCACGACAGCAGGAATCTCCCTCGTAGCCTGCTCAGCGACAGCGCCCTTCTCACCATCACCGACTACAGGGGAGTCCCAAGAATCAGAGCTAGTGTCCGAAGCAGGCGATTGAATCAGCATTTCCTTTGCGCTTGCAGCACCGACACCGCCAGCAGCAGACTTAGGCTTCGGCGAATCGATATCAATCAACAATCCGGAATTCTTCGTCGTAGTAGCCGACTCCCTCTTCAGATCTGGAGTAAGTCCAGTATCGGAGCTAGGGTTTGGATCACCACGACTGCTCTCATCAACAGGGATAATCGCCAGCCCATTACCGCCATTGCCAGGAAACTCTCTTGTCTCACTGAGATCTGCCCCTGTATTGACCACGGGAGTCAGGGAACAAACATGTCCAATACATTCAAAGTAGGGTGTCTTGCTGTACAATTCATGCGCAGATGCTTGGTAGTATTCAGCTGCTTCGCCCTGGACTGTTTGTCCGCCGCCAAATATGAATGACATGGTCTGTTGTCTGGATGCGGGTGCTGGTTGGGGCACGGGAGGAGCAGTGGCATAGTCATACGCAGGGGCGGGATCATGATCAGGAGCCAGATCAGGGAATGCCTGTTGGCCGTGTAGGCTGGTGGACCTCTCAATTCCGCCAAGCGGCGAAAAGTTCTTGTCGCCAATTGGAGCTGCTGTTTCTGGTGTATCGGGTGAAAAGCAGGAGACTTCTTTCTCTTTGAATCGTTCTCTCCCCCGTTCCCACCATTTTGATTCTTTGCGGGCGGTTGTTGGTGATGGTGTTGACGCCGCTGGTGAATCTTGATCTTGACTTCGGGGGAATGATGGGCTTAGAGGTGATTTGCCTGGACGGCCTAGTAATGGGGAGAGGAGGTATGTCCACCAGCCCTGGGAAGCTGGGCGGTCTGTCTCTGTGTTGACGCTGAGGCGGGTTGTGTTTGTGAATGGATTGCTGTTTCTCTTGGGTTGGGTGCTGGTAGTTGTCGTGTTGAGGTTGGAGGTGCTCGACTCTGGGGATGTCTGTCGAGGACTGTCATCTTCCCAGGCCGTCGATGCGATAGATGCAGGTCGATTCGGGGAATCGGTAGTCAGGTTCGTATTGGGGAGCACAGCCTGGGACCCTTTTGTCTGAGCGAAATGCTGTGCTGGAATGGCTGGCACAGGCGGCACATCTGCTTCGAACTGCCACAGACGTGGCGTAGGCTGCGAGTACACGCTGGATGCTACCCGAGGTGGATGCAGCTGCTCGGTACTCGAATTCAAGTGTGAGTTCCAAGGTGATTCTTCCCTGGCAGGGGTGACAACAATCGAGGGTGTGAGTGGTGTGTATTGATCCTCGAGTTCCCTCCGATCCAGGGACTCGCTTGTTGGAACTGTCAGTCCGATCATGACATTGCGGTCGGATGGCGAAAGACCATGGTCTTGTCTGTCATGGAATGGGTTGGTAGATTCCAGCTGGCTGAGGAACAAGCTGCCATCTTGCATCTGCTCGTCTGGTCCTCCATTCGGTAACCGCTGGAGCCCACGCGAAGTCCGCTTTTTGAATGTTTCTTTGGATTTCTGTGATGTGCGTTCCCTCTCTCGCACTTTGGAGAGGAGCTTCAAATCGTTCAGATCCACAAACGGTGCCGCAGCTGTCTCTTCACTGGTTCCTATTTTCTTCGGCGCCGGCGCCAGTGTGAAATCCGTCACCAGATTCAAGCCCAGAGGCTTTGCGACACTTTTCCGTTTCTTGGATATGCCTCGAATGTTGGCTTTCGATATTTGTGGGAAAATAGCTGACCGATTCACAGTCCCAGTTTCATCTTTGGTTGTCTTGGACTGTAAGTTTTGTCGGGTGGCCTTGGACAGGAATGCAAAGGGTCGGTTTGGCTCTTCCTCGTGGTCTTCTGCGGAGGAACAGGGTGGACTTTCAATTTCCTCACAGATAGGCGATGAAAGAGGAAATTTGATTGTTGGAACAAGTAGCTGGGGCTGTGGCTTTTTAGGATGCATCGTGTCTCTGCGTCCAAAGACTATGTCAGTTGCGTTGCCGGTGAATGTTGCGTCGAGGTTAGGGCTGCGACTAATACCATATGCCAACACCACGATGAAAGATGAGCAGAGTTGCTGAGAGGGAAATATGCAAGTCAGATGAAACACAATAGACAAAGCGCTATTAATATGAACCCGGCAATGCAAACAATGGGCGCTATGAAAGAGCAACAATGGTCCAATAAAAGAGTGTATTGACACGGCGAACAGCGAAGGAAAAGAAATCAACAACAGGAAAAGGTGAGCATCGGATAATATGTAAGCTTAAAAACAACAGAGATGCAACCGCAATTAAAGAAAGCTCTATTTCTGCATGGCATCTGCACTGGAGCTCCGAGCTAAACAGGACGATCTGTTTCTGCTGGTTGCCAACTTCCAATGACAACTGCTACCGTTGATTTTCTGCAGGATTCCCAGACATCCTTCTGCAGAGCTAGTCTGATTCAAGTCCCGCTATTGGATGGGCTGCAGATGCGTGCGAGGGATTGGATGCAGTGCCAATTTGAGGCCGCTGTTTACGCGCCGGGCCTGGATGGGCGCTTCCAACCACCAATCACGCAGAAACTTCTTTAAATAGAAGTGTTTCGCATCTTAGAATAAGAGGAGTGAAACTCAAGCAGTCTATCGCTATGCAGGACTCGAAAATACGGTTGGGATATACCAAAGATGATAGATTCAGCGCATCGGCGCCTTTTGTAAATTGATACACACTCGAGATCGAGTAAAGAAGACATCCCATAGTCCATATCCCGTCCATATTCCAAGACCCCTGTCCAATCCTAGTCCAGAGACCGAACTCTCTGCGAATAACCCTAGGCAAATCTAAAAAGTAAAAAAAAAGACAAAACAAAACAACCAAAGACGAGTGCGGGTATGAAGAACGGAAAAAACCACTCCGTGGTGAAGCCAAAAACAAACAAACATATGAATGGGTAGAGTGTCGCTCATCACATCTAAAAGACACCTCAAGAACAAATAAAACAGGTCGTTGGAGGGTTTGCAGCATGGCTAGTCATTTCTCATCCAGCGCCGGCAGAGGAAGAGCCTCTCAAGCGCCATCACTACCGTCGCTCATCGGTATATTGGATACCTTGCATAGGCGCAACGGACCCATTCATAAGCGGCGGGAGGGTACGCGGCTGCTCCTGCGCCACAGGGGCACCGTTTGCAAAGCCAAAGACCGGACCTTGGGACTGGCCATGGCCATTGGTCTGCTGTGCGTTCATGGAGTGGTGCTCGAAGATGGAGGGTGGGCGAGGCTGGCCATTGGCTTGACTCAGCTGCGCGCGCATGGCTTCCATCTCATCGCGGAGGGCATTATTTTCCCGGCGCACCTGGCCCATTGATTTCTCGAGGTGGTTGATATACTCGATGGCGCGGGTAAGGGTTTCCCATTTGCTGGATTTGTTGGTTTGCCCCGATGGTAGACGCAGACGCAGCGCTTCAAAACAATCTTTCATTTCGCTGCGGCGTTTGCGCTCGGCGAGTTTATGTGTGACCCGCAGTTCTGGCGTTCGGCTGTAGGGTGTGCTGCCGGGAGGTGTGTCTTCCTCACCGATTAGGTCGCGGACCGCCTTGTGTTGCAAGGAGTGGTGGTGTACACTTTGGGGTAGGTCTACTTCGTTAGTATGCGACGAGCAGAGTCTGGGAGAGTTGTCTTACCATGCTGTCCGCGCGGCATTCGCGATTCGGAATACATACTACTGAGCGACTCCGCCGTACTCCCCTTTCGAGAGAAGGGCGGGTTGGATTCTCCCTTGGAGGATACCGAGCTTGACCGTGCCATGTCCGGGTCAGGGAACGCATACGCCATACCCGCGGTGGGAGCTTCTGCGTTGTAAATTTCCGACCGCGGGTTGGATTGAATAGCGGGCGCTGTGCGACCGGCTGCGAAGCTTCGGTGCTCCCCGGGCGCGGGCCCAGCGGAGACAATGGCTGGCTCCCACCGGAGTAGCGAGGCCCCCGATATGAGTTCATGTCGGTCGGGATGCCTCGCTCTCGCTGCAGACTCGACACAATTGAGGACTGGGAGGCATTGGTGCTGTGGTACGGGGAGGCTGGGTTGATCGCGAGAGAGCTGATGCCTTGGTTCATCCGGCTGTCGACGCTGCTGCGGCGGGACTCGGTCTCGGCGACACTCTGCCGTTGTGAGGGTGCTTCGTAGTTCTGGTTGATTGAGGGGAGGGCGGAGTTGGGTTGAGGCGTGTTGAAGTTGGGAGACGGCTGGGCCCCGGCGGAGGAGGGTGTCGTCGATTGATCATGAGCATAGGGAGAGCGATCGACGGCGGGATGAGTGCGATTTGGAGACGGTTGCGACGAGGCGATGAAGCTGAGCGAGGGATAATTGTTGCCCGTGCCATTGGTCGTCGTCGAGTAGGTGGACGATCCTGCAGGGTCAGCACCGCGCCGCTCCCACTCCGTCCCAGGCGAGGGTCTCCTACTTGTGCTTTGCGGCATCGACCAATTCCCCGAATCGCGCTCGATCGTATTCAATGACGCGCCTGGTGACTTTTCGGGGGCTCCGGCGCCCGGCATATTCGCGGTGAGCGTTGAGATCGACGGCAGGGTTTGTGTCGAGCCCGGCGTCTGCGGCCCTGGAGGGGCCCATGGCCTATGAGCGACAGTGGGATCCATGGGGGAGAGAGTGAGGAAGATGTAGTGGGAAGTGCCGTCCAGAGAAGATTCCACTATTGCATGTTCCAGAGAGAGATCGTAAAAGAGTGGAGGTGAATCTTTGGAACCCAAGACTGAATGTAACCTCGACAGGTCGGAGTCAAACAAAAAAAGAAGGGGGAAAAGATAAGCTGACTTTTGTACAGAGTCGAAAAGACTGCAAAGACAAGAGCTCAAAGGCCAATTTTCTGGAGCGGGGACTCGAGTCCGAGGCTCTGGGGGGGAATAGGCTCACGGATTACTGAATACACAATACACAATACAGAACAGATCATTTAGGAATAAAAGCAAAAAGAGGAAAAAAGAATAAGAATAAGAAAAAGAAAAAGAAAAAGAATGCCCTTGACGCCCCTGCTGCAACCATGTGCCACGAGGGCAGCAAGGAGCCATATGGATTCGAACCGGCTGCATTCTCGTGGCACACGTTAGACCACTGGGGACACATGGCACACATGGTTGGATCTGCTGAGAAGCCCATCGACAAGAGACGAGACTAGGCGAGACAATATCACTTAGTATAAGTTTGTATAACGGACCAGTTACCCATAAGTTCACAGTTATCCTCACGATCACGGCCCTAGACTACCCTCTAAACTGTCCCACCTGCATCCTCCCGAGGCTATTTTCACCCCCCCATCGCCAACTGTCCTGGGCCTCAGTTGAGTGTGTGACCTGTGGAATATCTTGGCAGTGATCTGTAGCTGTGATCTATCTAGAATAGAGTGGTTTGTTCAACGCCACACAAGTCTAGTCCATGCCCAGGCAGACGAATAGAAGCACCAATCAGCTTTGCCACATGGCGCCTTGCAGAATGTCTCGCCACTCGATCTACGAGGTAGCACTTGTCCATTCTTGGAACTCGAGATGCCAGAATTCTCACTACCACGGTATTATGAGGTCGTAGTCCAAGGGATGTTAGAGTTTGCTCGGGCAATAGTGTGGTTCCTCATGGTATCCCTTGTTCCTTGCTGGTGTGAAGAGGTTAGGGTTTAGGGTTGAGGTGTCAGTATGTCAGTATAGGCCATAGCCTATAGTCCCTAGTCCCTAGCCCAGAGCCCATAGTCTCACGGCCAAAGACCATTATTCCCACTAGTCTCAAGTCAGCGACCGGACAGCTGCTCTCGCCAGGGCCAATCTGACAGTACGGTAGAAAGCACTTCTGACTAGTGCATGCACGGGAACCGATGATCGAAGCTGGGGGTGCAGAAAGTAACGGTAGATCATTCCACTCCCTGGCATCCTCAGTCCAATAACTCACGGCCAGCCCGCGTGTGAGTCTCAAATACCACTTTAAGCATTCCCAACCATGTCTTGACTTGCATATCCAAGATGCCACGGGGGAGTCGTGCCGCGCCCTCCAGCGGGAGAGCCATGTGTAAATGTATGGTAATGGTACGAGGTACCATTGGTGCTAGGACTCGCCCTTGCTGCTCGGGGTTTGGGTTTCAGGGAGCGCGAGGAGACTGGTTTCGGTTGCCGCTGAGCTGCTGGGAGGATTGAGGTTAAGGCGACTTGGCGCTTCCATGGGGAGGCGGGCAGGTCGACGTCCATTGCGCGGATGGCTACCGCATGCAAGATACCTGGTAATTTACAGGATACTAGGTTGGGTATTTCGAAACAGAATGAATTCAAGGTGCGACAGACTAGTCCGGTGACAAATATACAGTGGAAGAGTACAAAATATAGAATGGTCATCAAATCAGTTCAAGTCATGGGCGCGCCAATATATATATATCTACAATCGTTGGAATTGGATCTATAGCCAATTAACCTACTCGTCATCTTCTTCTTCCTCTTTCTCTTCCTCTTCCCCTTCCTCTTCATCGTCCTCATCCTCATCATCCTCAAATTCAACTCCAATCTCTCCGGTAATATCCCACCGGTCGCCCTTGGCGGCCGCACTAACATACTTGACAAACTTGAGCGTGCCACTATCCCGCAGCACAATGCTCAAACGGTTCCATCCAGCCTGAGTGCTGAACAAGATACCATCATCTTCATCCGCACCGGCCGACCGATAAATAGCAGGATCGGCCTTGGTCTTTTTGCGTCCGAGGACTTGATCCGCGTTCTCGGGGTCTTCCTCTTCGTCCTCTTCCTCATCGCCGGCCATGTAAATCTCATAGCCACCGACGGCAGGACCTTCAGCGTCACCATTAGTCTCGTTCGTAGACTTGGACTCCTTGGACGAGCCCTGGGTTTCACCATTTTCGTCCTCTTCTTCTTCTTCCTCAGTCTCCTTCTCCCATCCCTTGCTTGGGGTGAGGCAAAGCGAGAACTCCAAGCGGGGCTCTTCGCCTTCATAGGCACTGGCAAGTGTGTAGTCGGCGCCGCGGCGGAAGCGGCGAGCAAGGAGGTTGTGGCTGGTCAGGTGGTCCACACCAGTGATAAGAGAAAGCCACTTACGGAACGCCTGCGATGGGAACAAGACGTTCAACAGCTCCTGGATGGGATCATCGGACTCCTCCTGACCAGAGGGATGCTGGTAGAGGTAGCGGTGCTTGTGAGGTGGGCGAGCAACAGTCCATCCGCGCTGAGCCTGGATCTCATCCGACGAAGCAGGCAGCTTCTGTCGCTCTTGGTCTTCGACGTATGCACTCACACGCGAAGCAAACTTATCACTCAGGAAGCGCTCCAGACTGAGTGAGGACTCGCTAGAGAAGGCGTCGGACATTTCCTCGGCGATGTCCGGGGTCAAATAAGTCGGCGCAATGTACTGGACTAGGAAGCCAAGATCGGATTCAGTGAACTCTGAACCTTCGGTTTGCTCTTCCACTTTGCCCTTGCCCTTGCCTTCGATTTCGGGCTCTTCCCAGGAGACCGGTTGGGGCTGAGGCAGGTCGTAGATGTCGCCGCGTCCCTGCAACTGAGCCAGACTGCTACGCTCGGCAAGCTTCTCCTCGAGTCCTTCTTCGTATCCGTCTTCACCTTCCTGGGGAATGTGGAACCATCCGCTGATAGCCATGCGCACACGCTTCTTGGACTTGTCCTCGTCCTCGCGGGGGTGGTATACTTCCTCGACGTCGTGGAAGCTCTCACCCGGCTGGACAGTGAAAAAGCTGAGCTGGTTGAAGGCGGGTGGAATAGACAGGCTGTAGTCCGGGCTAGGGATCTTAACATCCTCGCCCTTGGCATCCTTCTCGGTCGTTGTGGGGAACAGGCGAAGCGCACCACCCCACTCCGCCTGCCAGGGAGTATCAGGGTCTGTCAGGTAGAGGATGTAGCTGAGACGACGGCTGCCAATGACATCGTCATGACACAGAAGGTGGCACCCCTCGGTGTAGACGTTAATGGCCATGTCGGTTTTCTGCCCGCTCAGCTTGCCTGACCCGGTAACGGAAGACAAGTACTCGCGGAAGCGGGCTGAGTACATAGCATCGCGAAGCTTCAGAACCGAAGGTAGCTTGGAGAGGGAGGAATCATCCAATCCATCGAGGTTGGCGAGATCACCAGACTGGAAAATCTTGTAGATGTCGGTTTCCTTCTCGGTAAAGTCGACCTGGGTTTGGATTTCATCGCGGACAGAACGAAGTAGATTGGACTCGATCAAAGAATGAATGACACCATGGAGGTAGCTAGAGTAAGACAAAGTCAGCCTGGAGCCATTGGAATGGTTGAAGTACATACGGAGAAGATTTGGCGTATTCATTAGTGTACTTCTGCTGCTCCGCGGTGTCGAATAGACCGTCGCGGAAGCGGGCAGCAGCTTCCTCGCTAGAAAGAGCCCGCTTTTTGGACTCACGCTGGACATTGCCATCAAGCGAGCCTCTCTCTTCTGTCTTGCGCTTCATTTTTGCAGTTGTCAGAGCCAAACTCCCCAGCAGTGGCCTGATCCGTTCTATTTTTCTACCGGGCGGTGAGAACCACTCGGGGGCGGTGAGACAAGACGGCGAGGTTGCGTCACTTGTTAGATTTCAGTGGCCTGGATATCTCAACTGCACAACTCTTTTGTTATATATGGATATATATACTATATCCCCTGAGTGTCTGTGGACTGCTTTATCTTGATCTGACCTCTTTAACGTCACGATCCAGCGCCTCTACCTCTTTATCTCTTCGATTCTGTACCGCTGCACCCCACCGTCGGAAGCGAGGATCATTGAGCGCAACGAACAGGCACATATACTACACATACTTGTTAGAGAACTATCACATTCCTGGTGAACACCCATGTGGTGTAGTCCGTTTCACTTCCAGGAAACCAGGACTGTCGTCATTATCCTTATCGACCCGAGTCCCACCCCACTTGGATCGGAGACTGTGTTCGAGTCTCTTCCATACTCCGTATAAGCATGGAGCATCAGGATCAGAGTCAAGTCACATATCCAGAGACTCCAGGAACACCACCTCGTCCCCCCTATTCTCCGGTCACTCCGGTATTCGCACATCTTGCGCCGGTCACCTCGGACGAGCCAAGAATTGTCCCGCCACCAGCATCTCCCTCTCCAACATCGCCAGTTTACAACTCTCAAAACACATATACAGGCTATGCATCTCCTCCGCCTCCAGCAAATCCCCCAGTATTTAAACCGCAACCCCCTCCAGTGCCGATCTCCGAGAGTGATAACCCCGATGCAATCGCACTTCGGTCTGCGATCTCTATCCTGCAAATGCAGAAACAACAAAGCTTGCGGGACATCCAGGCACTCGATCGCATGAAAGAGGCAGCGAGTGCTGACCCGGAAGGATTTGCGCGCGATTTGGCAGCTGGAAGGCTGAAAACCGAGGACCACGGGGCTGTGATCCAATTCACCGAAGACGACGCCATGGAGGACGGCCCTGGAGATTCCAAACGCACAAACGTAGATGGATCGCCCGCGTCCAACTTCGGTCATATCCCAACACCACAGAATGTGGTGCGAATGCCCCCGATCAATTGGGCCAAGTACCAGGTTGTCGGTGAACCACTCGATCGCATGCACGAAGAGCAACTATATCGACCAACTTCAGGTCTACCGAGTCGTGAACGTGCACCAGAGCATGTCCTAGCCTCACCTTATCGACCGCTAGTCGACCATCTGGAGACGCCCTCCCGACTCGGTCGTCCCAGCAAGACCAAAAAGACATGACCCCGAGAATGGGGCTTTGATGACCATCATGGACTTACGGACTTCACGATGTTATGTATTTTTTTGTTAGATCAGGCAATTGTTTGTTTTGTTTTGTGTTTTTTTTTACATGTATTGCTTTTCATTTCGCTCGGCGCTACTGCACGCCCATTGCATGGAGTACTATCAGTTTCAATCAAGATTATATCCTACATCTTCAACAATTCCTGCAGCTCCGCCCCCAAAGGATAAACCGTCTCCTCAGGCAGTCGAACCCTCGCACCCTCCACATCCCCATCCTTCAACAACCTCTCAACCTCCTTCATCAACCCAGTCACATCAGTAATCGAGACAATCCACTGATCCACGAGCATCCCAACAGCCTCCCCACTCAACCCAATCTGAATACTCCGATGCCCTAAAGGCCTAAACCCCAGATCCAAATCCCTCTCCGGATCCCATTGTACACGCACTGGACTCGCACGCATTTTCGCCTGCCATTCTTCTCGCTGGATCTCATCCCCGGCGGTTGGTGTGTAATGGCTCAGGCTGGCATTTTGTAATGCCCATTCGAAGCCCGAGCGCGTGATTTCTATTGCTAGGATGTGTTCTTGGTTTGCTTTGCTTGCCCATCCGGATCGGTAGGCCATCCATAGGAAGGAGGGCTTTATCCAGGTCATTCTTGTCAAGGAGAAGGGCGGCACGAGGGTTTGGGCCTGCAGGGCTGGGATGGCTATTGTTGGGCTGTAGGCTTGGTAAACCGTTATTGTATCCGGGGTGTATTTTGCTCGGATTTGTCGATAGACTGGTGTTGGTGTTTTTGTTTTTGGTTGTTTCATTTTGAAGGAGTTTGTATAGATCAGTGTGGTGATATGTTGGAAATGTTAAAGCTTTGGTTGAACAGTAGTTGAAATTCCAAATACTACTGTTCTTATAGTCTCTTTGGCTGATTTCTGTGTTGACTTGGAAAATAGTTTATTGACTCATTCGACTCTAGCTCTGTGGCTGATTGTCTTGTCATGATCCACCTCGTATTCAATTCCACCGCACCAAACCCGATCGATCCCCCGCGACGCCCTAATATCCCTAGTAGGATCCTCCCGAAGAAGAACCAGATCGGCTCGTTTCCCTTCCTCAATCACACCCCGATCCAAGAGTCGAAAGAACTGCGCAGGAAGAATAGTAGCAGCGCGCAAAACTTCACGAGGTGATAATCCCGCTTCCACAAGCAGCTCCAATTCACGATGTAATGATGCTCCATGCTTGACATCGAAGAATGAATTCGGCTCTTCATGGCAATCGGTGCCTGCAAGGATAGGAACACCCGCACGGTACATGGTTGTAACCGAGTCTCGGGCATTCTCGTACGTCTGGGCTCCCTGGCTGTTCCTCTTGGATCGCAGTATAGCCATAAACAAGGAAGGTTTGAAGATCATACCAAGTGCCGCGCTGAGAGGAGGGTTTGCCGAAACGGCCTGCATCATAGTCAAAGTCGGCACCGAGATGATATTATTCTCAATCATTTCCTTTGCTGTGGCTATAGAGATTGGTTTATCTCGTGGGACATGGGTGATGAGATCTACTTTCGCCCTCAGTGCCATTTCGAAGGGTGTATAGGTTGAAGCATGGGCTACAACCATCTTGTCTCTTTGATGTGCAGCTTCGGTTACTGCGTTAAGAGTCTCCTGGGCTGGGCCTGGGATGTCAGATATCAGTTTGATGTAATCCGATCCTTCCGCTATTCTTTTCTCGACGAATGCCTCGGCATGTTCGGAGCCTGCGAGCAACGCTTCTTCCAGGAGAGGCATCATGCAGCTGTGGAGACTACCTGCAGCTGTGACTGGTAGCCCGGCACTTCTAATGTCAGGAAGACCGGGGGTTTCTCTGAGACTGTTCATCTTGTCGGCGGGCCACATTGCCATGTCCAAGGCTGTGGTTACTCCATTGGCTGCCAGTTGCTGCAGGTGACCAACATGATGGAGATGCACATGGCAGTCGATTAAACCTGTAATCAAGAAGCGACCTTTTCCATCGATGATTTCGTCGGCGTTTTCTGGGTTGCTGCTAATGATACCCTTGTGCATGACCACAGTTTGAGGTCCTGTGAACTCCGATCCGTCGAAAACATGCACATTCTGGAGAACAATCTTCCGTTGAGTATCATGGTTATCTGAGAATAACATATTGAATGAGTGATGAGATGAAGGCTTCGAGGGTTTCTCGAAGCCCATTAAAGTTGCGGATCCTATGCGGGGATAGGCCCCACAAGGAAAGCTTAGAGGGGATCTATGAAGCTATTGATCAAACGGAGGCCTGTTGGAGTTCTAGTTCATTCCTAATCTGACTATTCACTGCGGAAAAAGAACTCAACAGAATGTAAAAACACGAAGGAATCAAGGTAAGCCAGTGCCACCGATACCGAAAAGAACGAAGAAAAGAGAAGGAAACACCTCAAACATAACTATCAGGGTATCAAACGAAAAACGAAATCTCATGAAAGAATCACAAAGCAGAGAAGCATGCTACAGAGTGAAGGCCCATGAAAAGATGCAATTCGCAGTCTTCAGCCACGGGAGCCACGGGAGCCACGAGAGCCACGGTGACGACGGCGGCGGCGATTAGGAGGAGCAGCTGAAGGTAGAGTAGCCGATGAAGCCGCGGATACTGTAGTAGACAATGGAATAGGAGGAGCAGGAGAATTGTGTCTGGCATGAGGGTTGATAGGACCAAATGGAGGCTGTGGGTATGGCTCATCCTCGGGCAAAGACTGCATGAATGCCTGAAGACGCTCATGAGCCGCTCGAACCCGCATATTCACAGTCTCGCCGTCATCATCAGGGACCTTGGAGTAGCTCTGGCCCTCCTCCTTGCCCTCATTTCAGGTTTCTTCTCAGAGTTCAGCTTCTCAACGAGGCCCAGCTCCTGGAGGCGTCTGGTATTCTTCCAGATGAGAGCCTGGGCGACAGGGTCATGAGCTCTGGTTTGAAGCAGGATGTGGTTGAGCCCAGCTGCGTTGACAGGTGGGAGAGCGAGAGTTCTCTGTTCAATCTTGTTAGACTCACTGCTATAGTTGAGGGAGGGATATATGATCGAAGATGACTGACTCTAGTCATGCCAGAGGGAGGCATAGGAAGCTCCTGAGCAGGGCGATCGGCCGACATGGGGATTTCTGCATGCGAGGAGGCTGCGATATCAGCAGAGCTGTGTTCGCCCTGCTGGCGGTGGTATCGAACGATAGCTTGAGTCCTTGCTTGGGAGCTGTTTTGGTGACTGGCTCGGGTGTCACTAAAATGCATCTGACGACGGCGACGCTCTTCCATGAGTCGATTCTCATCTGGATATTGTTAGAAGAAATTAGAGGGGCCAGTCAATATAGCAAGGAAGAGGGTACCTTCGGTTTCGGTAGTGTTCGCCATGGTTGTGGTGGATGCAGGAGAAGTCACTTCGGCTTCGGCTGAAAAGAGTTCAGAGGGACCGCCTTGGAGGAGGATGGGTGAAGCATTCAATAAAGAGCGCATGTCGAGGAAGGAAGAGTTCGTCACATCGCGGTCCTCATTGGGGCGTGCCATCTTGACGATGTGAGTTGGTGGGAGTTGTGAAGGACTGCGTAGTGCGCGTAAGTCCTAAAAAGGATGCGTAAAAAGACATTGAGTCTGGCATTCGAACGAACAAACGACAGCCAAAATACTCCGTGCGAATTTTAAATGAAGTTGCTTCAATTCTAGGTAGCCTCACCTGCTCATTTGAACAAGAGGTGTTGTATCAAACAACATCTCTTTGGGACGACAATTATATTGCTTTCATTGTTACGGAAACTATCCTTGTGAGTTCAGATATAAGAACTGAAGACCCGAAGAAAGCAATATAGACAGTTCCACTGCTAAGAGAGAAACTAGTAGCCCTAAGGTCAGACAGAAATGAGACTTCATCGATATTCGAGCTGATATGTGCCGATTGACACCATTTTATACAAGCCGGGTTTAATCCGCAGGAATTAAAGAGATGATAATGCTTCTTAAAATACTTGAAAGCCGAACTTGTATGTACAAAATGCGCACCTTGTAAACAAAGAGACCCTTCTATCTAACCCAGCTTAAAGCTTTGCCTTTGCATTCTTCTCAAACGCCTCTACATCATCCAGTCCTCTCTTTTGAACAGCATGATTCTTCTCCTCCACATTATCCCTCCACTGCAAATTCCCAGCATGGTCATCCAAGCCACTCAGGGTCCGGGCATACATCTCTTCCTTCATGGTACCATAGATGCCCGTTGCAGCCTTTGTTTGCAGCTTGCGATCCTGAATTAGAGCCAGAGCTTCCGGGGCACCACCAACTGCATCGACAATTCCAGCCTGGAGTGCATCGCGTCCACCCCAGCGACGGGCTTCCAGAACCACATTCCGGAAGGTGACTGGGGTAAGCTTCTCACGGAAGATACCCATCATGGGTGTCTGAAGAGGGACACCGAACTCTAATTCATTGACACATAAGAATCCACGATCTGGGTTCATGATTCGGTAGTCATGGTACATGGCCAGCATGAAGCCTCCAGCGAAAGCGTGTCCGTTCAAGAGACACACTGTTGGCATGGGGTATCTGGAGTCCATGTTAGCACGTCGCCCGTTCAAGGGATGGGGAAGTCCCGGCTTTTGATGATAATATATTGCAGATACGTACGTCAAGAATCGTCGGAACAGTCTCCACAGCCAGTTTTCCAGGAATCCTTCGGTTTTGCTCACGATATCGAGATCAAGTCCATTACTGTAGAACTTGGCAATGCCGCTGGTAGTGACCACAACACCCTTGGGGTAGCGGTGCTCAATAATATCAAGAGCGAGAAGTAAAGCGTCGATAAAAACGGGTGTTAGGCGGTTGTCCTTTGGCGAGGTAAAGGTAAGAACATAGATGTTTGCATGCTCTTTGTCTGTGCTCGGATTTGTGCAGATGATTGACCCTCCAGTTGAGCTGATTGGGACAGTGAATAAGGACGCCATGGTTGCAGATGCTAGAATAGAAAATCCCAACGAGAGATGTTATGTTTGAGTCGCCCTGCGTCTCCCCGAGGGCCGGGTTTCTGAATACTAATCAGGTCCGCGGCATCACATGTGAAAGGCCAATGACATCATCACGTGACGGTATATAGTCAGAACGTTCGGCGTTCCTCTGATTATTGCAGATTATTTGATATCTAACGAGATCAAACTCGAGTAGGCTTGTTATGGTTGATTGTGGAGATAAACGAGTTGAAAGGGTATTCGGCCTTTCTGGAACATGATATATTGTTCGCCCCAAAGGAGATAGTCATTCACCACGCTAAGACCCAGACAGCTGTCGAAATGATATAGTTCGATCTTCAGAATACTCTTGACAGGTCTGTCTGTGTCTAGCCATAGGCACATAGAAAGTATTAGCGGCTAAATGAGCCTATGAGTGATACAGAGCTTTGTTACGGCTAACAAGGTCCTTCACCCTACCGGATCTACAGAAAACCTAAACTGCAATAGAGAAGATCACCAATGACTATATCTTCGGCTAGATCTCCCACTGAATCGCTTTTTGGGGAAATCAGGTTGAAACGATGCTCACGGCGACTACTTTTCCTGGAGGCGTCATCGCCACTTGCCGAAGTACACCCCGAACTCATCGATTACCTCGGTAACCCGAACACCACTACACATCGACACAGCGAACTCATGGATAGTAACCAAAGAGCGACTCTCTGTATAATCTACAACTAGAGAAAACTATCCAGACCAGATCTATCTTCTCGAACGAGATTAGTCCCTAGTCCGACTTCCAGAATGGCAACCACAACACCTAATCATCAACAAGGGGCAGTGGTGGTGAACCCTGGAGAAAGTGCCCAAATCAGTCTTCGCAGTGACCTACCAGTAGCCACCCCAGGGCCAAATGAGGTTCTCGTCAAATTAACCTGTACCGGCTTATGGTAAGCACTCCCAGAAACATGCTACAGTCCATACAAGTAACTCCAAGAAACGAAAAGCCGGTCGGAGCTTCGCGCCGTCCAAGCTTGGGGTGCCTACAATTCCATTATCGGTCACGAAGGAGTCGGCATTGTGGTGAAAGCAGGTCCTGACGCCTCACAATCTCTGCTCGGCCAACGAGTTGGTGTCAAATGGTTGTACAGTGCATGCAACGAATGTTCCGTTTGCAAGCGCGGTTTCCCGCACAATTGTGCCAAACAGCTTAATACGAGCCGTCATGTGCCCGGCACACTGCAGCAGTACGTGATTGCGGATGCGAGGTTCCTTACTCTCATTCCGGAGGGCGTGGCCGATGAGGTTGCGGCCCCCTTGCTATGTGCTGGACTGACCATGGTTGGAGCTTTGTCCAAGCTCGAGAATGAGTTGAAGGAGGGGGACTTTATTGTCATCTCGGGATCTGGTGGCGGCTTGGGCCATATTGGAGTGCAGATTGCAGCTAGGATGAAGAAGTTGCGAGTCATTGCTGTTGACAGTGGTGATGAGAAGAGGAAACTGAGTCTAGACTCTGGTGCAGAGGTGTTCTTTGACTTTAAGACCGATGATGTCGTGGCCCGGGTGATGCAGTTGACTGGAGAGGGTGCACATGCTACAATCGTTGTCCCTGGAACGGAGGATGCGTTGAAAATGGCCCCAACTCTGGTGAGAAACATGGGTTTTATTGTCAATGTTGGGCTGCCCCGAAATGATATTTCAATTCCACTTTCAGCTACATTGTGCACAGCGAGAGGTATGACTGAATCTCTCTGTCTTCGATGGCGTCTGCTAATCTTGGTTAATATAGGTCTTACCTTCATGGGATCTTCTGTGGGAACTGAGAATCAAATGACCAATCTGCTCAAGGAAGCAGCAACAGGGAATATAAACCCAGCTATTGAAGTTTTCGAGTTCTCGGCCGTGCCGACATTGATTGACAGACTAAGGGAGGATGGAATTACCGGAAGAGCAGTCGTGAGATTGCCACAGTGAAGTGAGGGAGAGCCGAGAAAAATAAAACCAATCTACAATATGACATGCTGAAAATGAATTCTCAGAAGTTCCTGATCAAATCTGGGGGAGAAGGGGTATTTCGTAGAAACTAGCGACTCGGGAATGTGGACCTCCAACCGGGCTCATTAGCGCTATGAAATTCCCTTTAGCCTTAGCCAGTGGATTTTCAAACAAGTGGACATTTTCTGGACAGTCCTGACCTAACAGATTGAGTGAAAATGCCCAAAACGCTATTTGGAGACTGTATTTCCTGAAACCGGGGACGGATGTACACTGTAAGGCCGAGGGCTTCGCATGCAAGATGCGATTTGTCTATGATGGCCCAAAGCTCCACAAACTCCATGATTCAGGATTCATTCAGTCACTCACAGCGAGTATAGACTCAAGCACAGACTATTTGACTTCACCTGGGCAGGGATAGTTCACTTACTCTTTAGCTCCACGTAAACATACTTAAACTGGGGTCCCTCTTCTCATGATAGTTCTAATATACCCCCATCACTCAAACCTCTCTCATACTACCCAGCATCTTTCCACCAACTTCTCATCATGTCCGAACAGAATTGGCGCCCCGGAAAGCGAGTAGCCATCGCCGGCGGAGGCCCAGGAGCCATCTCAACAGGTCTCGCCTTCCTCAAGCGTGGCTATGACGTGCGCATCTTTGAACGGCAGCCCGAATGCAAGGCCATCGGGGGCGCTGTCCTCCTGTCGACACCTGTCTTAGCAATCCTACGATCCTACGGACTGAATCTGGAAAATGTGGGTTCCTATACGGTAACCCATTTCCAAAACCACACCGGCATAGAACGTGTCCAGCTCCCCTTCAATGAAGAGGTCGAGCGACGCATGGGAATCAAAGGCTGGCACTACGGAGTCCTGCGCTCTTCTGTTTTCAAGAAAATCTTGGATCTCGTGCCGGAGGGTATCATCCATGCGAACCATGAAGTAACGGGCTATGTCGAGCTCGAGGATGGTGTTGAAGTCGAGTTCAAGGATGGAGCCAAGGTCACCGCTGATATACTTGTCGGCGCAGATGGAATCCGCTCGCCGGTTTCACGACAGGCTTTTGGCGAGCCTGGTCTGTTCCATACGGGAATTCGTCTGTGGCTTGCTTGGTGCGATTATATCCCTGGCATTCCGGAGAATCACGGTGTTATTTCTCATAACTGGCAGTACCAGGCTAGTTTCTTTCCTATGCTTCACGATGGTAAACCGGGCTTTGAATGGTGGGTCGTTGAACCATCATGGGAAGGAAAGCCTCTGCCTGATGACCCGAAGGAATATCTGACCAACATTCTGAAAGGCTGGCAGGAGCCTATGCCTCGCTTCCTTGAAGCCACCAATTTTGATACGCAGGTGTATCGATGGGAAATCTACAACAGACCTTCTATGAAGAAATGGTCGACTGGCCGTGTCGTATGTGTCGGCGATGCGGTGCATCCGGTATCACCATATGCCGCATATGGCATGGGCATGGCTATTGAAGATGGCTATTATCTGGCCAGGTCACTAGATGGAGTTGATTTGCGAGATTTGCGAGCTGTCAGTGCTGGTTTTGAGCTCTACGAAAAGCAGCGCGTCGACTATGTCAATCACAACATGGAATTTGCACGGTTCTTAGGAACAATGTTTCATGCTTTGCCTTGGCCTCTTGCTAAGGTTCGTGACTGGATTTTTGACTACACCCCGTTGTTAGGAAGTTACTTGAAGAAGGGTTATCTAAAAAAGTCCGAGGAAGAGACGTTGAGTTTGAAGGAGCTTCAGGTTATTTAGGGGTTTCTGTCCTGAGTGAAAGGCTTGGGGAATCATGTGCATAATATATTCTCGTGTTTGCCAAAATACAACAAAATAGGCATATTGGATCTAGTAACCCTCAAGTCCCACGGCAATGCTGGTTTCCACAGTAGTCCAACCTGGTTGGCCGTAGAAATCCTGCAATAGCTTTTCGGCCTTGCGAGCAGGGATAACATTTGTTAAATCATGGCCGTCGGTAGGAGGGTCGGGAATCTGAGTGTTATCAGGTCGAAGCTTTTTGACAATGTTGACCATCTCATTCAGATTGAGAGGCGTGGCAAATCCGAAGATCCGCTGAGAAATGGTGCTTGGATCGAGAAGGGCTGCTGTATGAAGACGCGCAATGTCAACAACATCTACGAAATATTCTGATACAATATAAATTAGCTGAATTGCAAGAATAGGAATACCAAGCAGATTGTACTTACGTGGGACATAAGTCTGGAATACTCTAGTATCACCCTTGAGAAGACCGCGAACCCAGCCCATTGTTGAGCCGTGGATCTCGGGGTGTAGGATTCTTCCCAACTATAACCAGTCAGCATATTCGGATATATCAAGCTACAATTGCACGTACCGAGAATTCTGGAAGCACGGTGTTGAATTCAAAGCCAGGCTTATGATTCTCAACCCATTCCCACGCTGCCTTTTCCCCTTCTGTCTTGGAGGCAGCGTAGCAGAACAGACCCTTGAGCTGTAGCGAGCTGTTTGGATCCCAGGCTGCCCTAACGGCTTCATCATTCCATGTATCTGAACTTTTTATGAGCCATGAAAATTACATCGAGTCCCACCGTTGCAGCAACTTACTCTCATCCACGCTCACGCCCTCCTTATCAGCCTCCGGGAATAGAACCGCCACCGACGAAGAAGTCAAAACCACCCGCTGGATCTCGGAGTGACGAGACGCCGCCTCCAACACATTGCGGGTTGCCTTCACCACCGATGTTATGACCTTTTCCGGATCTGAGTCAAAAGAGACATCTGAAGCCTGTACATTGGCATGAATCTCGTCAGTCCACATCAAGAATTACCGGATTCAGCACAGCATACCACATGAGCAACCCCCGAAACACCTTTCATCACTTCAGAGATTACATCCACATCGTCAAAGTCCGTCAGAATCACCGACTCGTACGACTCCTCCCCAAATTTCTCCCGAAACATCTCATCAAGCCATGGTTTCGGTGCGCGAACTGCCCCGCGCACCTTGAAGTTTAATTCCAGCAGACATTGAATGATATTACTTCCCACAAAGCCATTGGCTCCAGTAACCAGAATGCGCGAGCCCGCAGGCAGACGGTGAAGAGAGTTGGCCATGACACGGATGACCGGGATGAGTCTCGTGTGAAAGAGTGAGAGGAACATCACAAGCGGGGAGCGGCCTGTGTGGAGTCGAATAGAGTTCTAAGTAAGCGGGCATGTTTGTGCAATGGGCCGAGAGGGTTGGATTGCAGTCAGAGTGAGAGACTTGGACACAGTGATCCGATGCTACAGGGGCTCTGACTGGCCTTGGAACATGCAACTCGCAGCCATGGGCAGTTCGCTGACCTGCAATGCAGCACATCCATGTAAGTGTCAGTCCCGAGGGTTTGGTACGCGCAGACGATCTGTGGTTTGATTTCCGAAGAAAAAGAGATAAAGACAGTGATTGGGTTGAGAATACGTGAATGGGAGAGATTACACAGATTCTACTCGATTCTATTGTTTGGCAGCCTCTACATATACTGGCAACGGTCATCCCCAAGATATAAGCTCATGCGAACCCTGGTTGCAGTACGGGAGGCCATGACGTCACCGGGTGGATAACAGGCCTGTCACTTTCTTCAGCAGGAACCTGCTTCTGACAACCATACTCATTGATCACTTATATATCATCCCAATTCCATTTAGATAAATCTCACGCGTGAAAATGCAGACACGCTCTAAAACTCAAGTCGGCCAACCCGCACAACCGCCAAAACAGGCAGCATATGAACAGCCCTCGAACCCAGTCTCGCACAACCCACAGGAACAACGAGCACCAGCCGAGACAACACGTCACCATGGCGACTCAATCGCGGCTATAACCCGTACCGCCAAATCGAACCCGTCTGGCGACGAAGCCCGGGCTCGTCTCGACGAACAGCACAGACGACACGAGCAGGAATTGCAGAGTGCGTCGGACGTTGATCTGGAATATGGCGTTGAACAGCAACCATCGGAGGGGCATATTGCAGAGGCAGTTCAAAAGAAAGGAATGGGGGTTCAGCGGGCACAGGCTGGTGCCCATGCTGGTCCGGTCGGGAGTGCAGGGGGTCCTGGCCACCCGGGGTTTGGCGAACAAGAGAGCTTAACGGCGAATATGGACCAGAAGAGGTTCGAGCACGAGACCTTACTCGGGGAGAGGGTTGGTCATAGTCCCGCGGAGCCGGATGGGGAAATTGCGGAGAGAGAGGCCGTCAGACAGCAGAAGCTGGAGCGGGACGCGAACATTGATGTGGAGGGCGCTGTCAAGGAGGCGACTGGGGATCCTGTTGTAGGTCACTGAATAGTTGCATCTCGTCAACCTGGATAGCGATGATGTATGACAAGAGCCGTTGCAATGTCATTGTAAATGGGCATGGCTTTCATTAATAGTTGCAGACTAGCTAATTGCAGCTAGTATAAACATGAGATTGGTATTATATGCACTTCGAGGTCGATGAATGGGTATGATAAAGAAACCGAAAGCGCCAGATATGTGAGAGATGAAAGGGCAGTGCGCAAAGGAGATGAGACATCAGTCATCGTGATCATCCGTGATACCCATAGAGACCTTCTTGAGTTCAAGATCTTTTTTCAACTCTTGAATACGGCGGCCCTTTTTGTTGCGAAGAATGTGGTTCTGGACCTTCTCCCACTGTGCGGTTTCAGTGCGAATGAGGGCCTCCAATTCGGCAACTTCCTCGCGCTGCTGCTGGAGCTGCTGCTGCTCCTCCAGCTGATCGTCATCCAGTTCATCGTCATTGTCAGAGTCGCTATCAGAATCGGCGCGGCCAGTCTGGCCTCTAGCGGAGGGGTATTGAGGAATGGATGGCGTGGGAGCTTCCTCCTGCTCGCCGGGTGCATCGTCATCACCAGCCAACGCAGCCTCCATCTCAGCTGCGAGAGTATCTTCGAAGTCGTCCATGATGTCTTCATCGGCTTCGCCGTATGCATCCTGCTCCTCATCGTATTCGTCTTCGTATTCCTCAGCTTGTACCATTCCCTCGGCACGGTTAAGTGACGTGCTGTCCACAAGCTCGAACTTTGGAGGAAAGATCGATTGTTCATCTTGGGCTAGTAGCTCTTCCACGGCCTTCTCAACTTGCTCAATGGTGCGGGTGCTGAGTCGATCGCGGAAACGTCGCTTGCGAACCCAACGAAGCGGAGGTGCGAGGCCGTGTGCGTATTGGAGGGCTTTGTCATCGGGAACTTGAACGTCCGGAGGAAGTGGGTAGTCAAGTGCCTCTTGTTCACTGTTTACTCGTCCAAGAACCAAGAGCATCTGACAGATATCCGCCGACTTGTACCAGCCACGTCGATCCCAACTCTTCATGCCTTCGATGATACAAGGCAGATCCACCAGCGCTGCGGCATATTGCCTGCCTTTGATAGTCAAGACGGCGCGACGGCCTTCACGATTGAGAGGTTTGAATCCGAACCCGTTTCCTTCAACCGAGCGATCATTGATTGCTTTCCGCAGAGCTTCACAATCTTCTCCTGGCTCCATCCGTAAGATGAATTGTTCTTCGATGACAGGGTCCGCTTCGGTATCTGAGGCCTCCGAGTCATAGCCCACGCCGACTGGCCGGTTAGGGACAACTCCCTTGTTCTTGATGCGAATTGACTGCAGTGCTGGCTTCTTGCTAGGGTTCAGCTTGAGGCGTTTCGGGCCTTGTTGGACAGGCACGGCGGGTTCAGGCTGAGCGACATTTTCGGCGGGTCGTTTTTTCGTCGGTTTCTTCTTCTTCGGTTTCTCCTCACTTTCTTCGGGCTGTGGCTTGCGTGCGATCTTGAGAGTGAGCTTGCGCTGGGGTTGGGGGGTTCCAGAGGCTGTAGATGGTGCTGTTGGTTCTGGCGCAGGTGCCGGGGCAGATGCGGACGCTGGTTCAGCTGGGGGGACCGGCCTCTTCCCAAGCTTCAGCTTCAATGTAGGTCGCGGGGCATCCGACATGATGCCAGTACGAGACAGATCTCTTCAGAAAGGGGAGTTCAGTAAAATGCGAGTGAGTGGTTGAACGGAGAAGTGTAAGAGGAAGAAGACGCGGAAGCTGGAAGTCTCCGCCCTGGCCGCGTGAACTTCGTCTTTTCGTCTCCCAGTACCTTTTCTCCACCCTTGACTTTCTATTACTTTCGCCTCGATAGACTCACTTTCCTATTCATTACCTCAAATTCTGACCATACAATCGGATCCGGGGATTCATTCATTAATTGCCTGCCACAATGTCGGGCCCAAACCTTCACAATGCTCTCCTCCGGCCTCCGATCGTCCAAATCCTACGCGCGCAAGGCTTCCACTCCACACGTCCGTCCGTTCTCGAGTCCTTGCAAGACCTGACTGGCCGATACATCATGATCCTCGCCTCCTCTGCTGCCGACCATGCGGCCAACGCCCACCCACAAGATCCAGTCCCCGCTCTGGAAGACATCTACCAAGCTTTACAAGATGCTGGTGCCATCCGACCACAATTACGAGAATGGGAGGAGGAATGGCAGGGCGAGGAAGATATGCGTGGCCTCGATTCTTTTCTTGGCTGGATCACTGGCCCAGCCCACCGCGAAATTCGACGAGTCGCTGGCTTCGTCCCGAGTGAGGGTGACATGGTTGACCGAGACGCGATGGAGAAGGAAGATTATCTCACATCCTTGAAGAAGAAGCACAGCAAAACTGGCGAAGAGTCTCGCTATGCTGGAACTGTTCTGGGAAAGAGTGCCGAAGAACATCCGATCGTCATTGAGGGTGGTCTCCCCAGCATCCAAGAATGGGGCGCGCAGATCCGAGCACGAACCTCTGATCCCATGGATAGCGATACATCTGGTGTGAGCAGTGCCCCGAGTCATCTTTCCGACGAGGAAGGGGTGGCCGCCTGAAGGTGATCGCGGCCCAACACCTGTTCCCTTACAAACCAAACGATCTTAATTCCACAACCCACACCCATGACGAAATATTAGCCCTCGCCTCGGGCATGCACACCAGACGGCATTTCAAAATCAGGTGCTCACGGAACTGAAAATGTCCCGGCTTTGACTCACCCCAGTGACACTTTGGTTTGCCTCGAAAGGTTCCGGCTCTCGTCAGGCTTGACTATGTGATGCCCGAGGCAATGATTCCACTCGTGCTGCTCGGATTCTTGGCCCAAATCGCCCTGTGCTAGCCTATCATCGCCTGGTTTGATGAGCCACCGGCAATGTTGTCTCGCAGTTCCAGGTATCAAAGGAGCACTGTATATTGTCAACCGCTGTGTGGATCTAGCCACAAAGCATGCTGCAAGAGGATGACCAGCAGACACTCAAGCGGATAGCCATAAATAACCAAAAGCAATCGACAGTCATCAATTGTTGTTTGCCGTGGTTGTTCACTTGGACAAATAGGACAATATTATATGAGAAAGACAATATTGGGGTTCGCATCTTTCAAATTATGACAGCTTTAAGTGTGCTCCATAGTCTTTCATAGGACAGCGACGGCTATCGATATACCAAATCCAAATCTGATGCCCTTGTGGCTCTTCTGTAAACAATTCCTGCTTATACATCAACTGCGTGACCTGGTCACACCCTAATCTGCAACATCCTCCGTGCATTCGGTCCAAGAATCAATTCGACTAGTATATTAGGGTTTTAATGCTTGTAAATCTAAAGTCCAGGGTTAAAAGTTTAATTATTCTACATGTTTCTAACTATCACATCTGGGGGACCGCAACACGGACGTTGAACTGCTATTTGCCGAGTGGAGGCAGACAAGGAATCCCCGGAGTCCCCCGCAATTTGCCCCTTTTGTCGCTTCCAGGGTTTGCGTGTTGGGACTTTGCTTTACTCGGTTCCAGCTGTGTATGATCTGAGACATCACTGGAAGCTACCGCCTCATAGCGCCACCCAGCTTAACCCGACTTGGCCGACTTGGCTTGGAAAAAGTATGTCCAAATGGACACCGAGAAACGCCAACACGAGGATCGGAATACAGTATCGGTAGTTGGCCGTAGCAGCCCGAAGAAGCCTCGGCCAGACCGTTTCAATCGGTTCAGCCCTGGTATCAGACAGCCGAGACGCTATATTAGACGGCTGCGATCCCCGTCACACGGAGGGCCCCGAATACCACTGGTTTCTGTAATTTCCCGGCATTTCATGTAGTCTGGAACTCCCACGATTGCCGCCATTCTTACCCCAGACAGGCCTAATACGATGAACTGAACAATGAATCTCCACTGTTTTGTCCTATCGCCACATTTGGCTTCGACTCTGAACCAGTCCTACCCCAGTCCCACCCGATAGCTCAACAACTGCCCCATACCCCGGAATGATGATTACATATCGTTACGAATCCCCAGAGTCCGCGGGGTTGACCAAGACCCCCTTTTATCTGGCCCTTTCTGCTGATCCAAAATCCTAACTTGGTTATACATTTTTGTATGGACACTATCACCATGGACTCTCCCGAATATGCCACTGGCACTACCCAGTCAAAGTACGATTCTGATTATATTGAGGAAAAGAATATTGGTGGGAACCTCGCAGACCCTACTTCAATACTATCTGAGACGCACAAATCATATCTCATTGAGCGACATGGCACACTGGACTTGGATCCCATCCCTAGTATGGATCCGGCAGATCCATACAACTGGCCATCATGGAAGGTGAGCATTCAACAAACTTCCCTCCTCTCAGTACTTATGTTGACAATATGACAGAAAGTTGCCAACCTGAGTCTCGTTGCGTTCCACGCTTGTATGGGTACATTTACTGCGGCTGCAATTATCTGTGCTTATGAAAATATCGCGGAAGATTTGGGCGTCACAATCCAGCAGGTCAGTTATCTGACATCGTTGCAAATTGCAATCTTGGGCGGTGCTCCATTGTTCTGGAAGCCGCTCTCTCATCGATTTGGTCGACGTCCTATCTTCCTGCTCTCGTTGATCCTGAGCTGTGTTTGTAATGTCGGCTGTGCGAAGAGCACAAATTACGCCACCATGGCGGCATGCAGAGCTCTCGTTGCGTTCTTCATTTCACCTGCTATGGCTATTGGTAGCGGTGTTGTGACCGAGACTTTCTTTAAACACGAAAGAGCGCAGTATATGGGTGTCTGGACTCTGATGGTCACCTTGGGGGTACCGATCGGTCCTTTCATCTTTGGGTTTGTTGTTCAGCGTGTTGGATACCGCTGGGTCTACTGGATTTTGGCAATCGTAAGTGATTTGTGCTTTTAAATCGATCCTTTACGTTACGTTACTGACGACAAAAAGACAAACGCCATCCAATTCATTCTCTACATCTTCTTCGGACCCGAAACTCGTTACATTGGAGCCGATATTCACTCCAAGTCTTCTGCATTCAAAAACGAATATATTTCCCTCCGCCGAATTGACCCAACTCCTATGAAGTTGAGGGAATTCTGGCACCCGTTCACATTGTTCACCAATATCCCCGTTCTGCTCTCAGCAGTCGCCTACTCTATGGTCTTCCTCTTCGCATCAGTTCTTAACTCGGTCGAAGTTCCTCAGCTTCTCCAAAGAAAGTTTGAGCTTGACGCACAGGAGCTCGGTTTAATGTTCCTAGGTCTCATCGTCGGTTCTCTGCTTGGTGAAGTGCTTGGTGGATTCATGTCCGACATGTGGATGAATACCCGTGCCCGGAAGATTGGACAAAAGCCTCGCCCCGAGTTCAGACTATGGCTTAGCTACATTGGCTTCTTGCTGAGCATTGCCGGCATGGTTGTCTTTTTGGTATGCACCGAGCAATCGGCCACTGGCAAATGGGATGTCAGACCAATCATTGGAACTGGTGTTGCTGCCTTTGGCTGCCAGGTTGTTACTACTGTCCTTACTACCTATGCCGTCGATACTTATCCCCAAGATGCGGGAAGTGTTGGTGTCTTTATCAACTTCGTCCGCTCGACCTGGGGATTCATTGGACCTTTCTGGTATGTTTTCATTCAGGCTGTGTTTGAAATTGATTGAATGCTAATCATGTTCAGGTTTACATCTATGTTCGAGAGTATCGGCATCGCCAATAGCTCTGGCGTTGCTGTCGCGTTGATTATGGGTGCTAGTTTCATTCCAATGGCCCTGATGCACTGGCAAGGCAAGAAGTGGTATCCTAAGCGCGTGGATTGAACTGCCCCCGTATTTTTGATGAAAGGGGATAGCGGAAGCTTTCATGGGCAGTAGTTTATAGGTTACTCGATTCTTGATTAACGAATTTATTTTTCTATTGGGGACTTTCTGGAGAAAAGAAACATTTCGACACAGTTCTGGTATTTCAGATTCATACATATGGGCTTCCACTCATGTTTTACTTTCCTTCTTGTTTCATTATAGTCCCTGAGGAATTGTACTGATGATGTTGCAGTAAATAATGTCTGATATTCAAACCAAGTTGGACTGCCCCCACAAGTACATATGATAGCATGAACAGAGACCTTATGAATAATTAACTGAGGATTGATATTTAACCTCTGAGGCATGTTTTCACGATTCAGTCTCTTGATTTAGGAATGATCCTCATGCTTAATTTGATCAACGGACTTTGCGGTCTAGATCATACACTTATACTTAGGAAGTAGGAGTGGGCTAAAACATTCCACAAATGGGCCAAGTCAACTCTTCTTCAAGGTCTCTTCAAAAATGTATTACTCCTTTCAGATCAGATTGTAAGGAGAAAAGCAAGGTAGCACAATAAGTAGATCATGCAACGAGTAACTTCTGGCAACGGCAATGTGGATAGGCTACCTCAACGCGGATTTGAGTAAATAAATTGGTCTAAAATCGTAGCACTCGTAGTCATGAGCGTGATACACGCGATATCATAATCAATCCTTGTCGTTTTGTGTACGTTTCCGAGTTCCGATCCTGATCTTTCGGGATAAGGTGCTCATCTCCATTTGCGATGAGGGCTTCAACGAGAGTCGCTCTTCCAGCGTGAATAAAGCCCAGTCGTCGGTATAGTTCAACAGTAACATCATTTCCCGCCTTAACAATGAGCCGGATTTGAATATCCCGAGGAGAGGCCCTATACGACCGAAGAGTATCAATGGACGACTGGCACAATTTGCTGCCGAGTCCACGGCCGCGATGTTCCGGGAGGGTGAACAGGCTTAACATCTGCCATCGCTCTTCCTCCTCGTCAGATCTCTGAGGTGGCTGGCCGGCTTCTAGGGGTAACTCAAAATCGGCGCTAGATGAAGGCCCTCGAAGAGTGACTTGACCGATCCATTGAATGTCATCGGGGCAAATGCGATCACAATTGGATGGCGTGGCGGCACAAATGAAAACTTCTCGATCTGGAACAGTGAGGCGATCGACCCAATCCGCGTCGCTGAAAGCTGCTTCAATGTCGTAAGTAGACGAGAAAGACCCAGGTGAAGTCTTCAATGCTTTTAAGCGTAGGTCTCGATATTTTTGAGCGGAGGCGTTGATTCCATCCGTTTTCGAGATAGGGAAAAATGAATAGGTAAAGTTAGAGGCCATGATAGAATAGATTGAAGCATGTATTCCATTACCATGCCAATTAGTTATTTATATGCAAGAACTGCCCGAATTACATGACTCAGAACTAGCAAATATCGGCTAACTGAAAATTGGCCGTTGACCGGCCCGATCCACTTTGAGATCCCAATGGAACGGACACTGACTAGGGTACACTGCGTTCATCAGCACGATACTATTTCTCATATTGCTGCTAGAGAGCAAGTCAGACGGGAAGCGTTGGACTGAAGCGTATGTATTTATATGCATCGGCTAAGGCGCTTATTTAACAAATATTGAACGCTCTATTTTTCCAAGGTCTCGACTTCTTTGGGGAGGAACTTAAAAGTTTTCTCTTCGGTATCTGCTATAATAAAGTGATGATAAAATTGTCGGGGTATCGTTTTCGAACTCTGTTATAAGCTAGCACACAACACGCTGTTCAATGACCGGTGAAAGCATCTCCTACTCGCGGATTCAATTATTCATTGATTTTGAAAAAAAGCTGGATCATCATTTTTCTAATATTAGAAAAGTCCCCACTACTCATGAATCTAACACTGATAGGCAAACTAAGCACAGGGCAAGAAATTGAAATCAAAGAAAAAGAGATGGAAGCAACCTAACAAGCTAGCAAGAGACCGAAGACTAATGCGAGGAAATCAAACAGTAGCATTTCCAATCATTGCTTTTGAGCAATGAACAGGCCTTAAGGATCGGAATCAAGTGCCGGGTCTTAAGACTCTGGGAAGCAGACATGGTGGAAACTGAAGCTATAGATTTCAAGGTAAGATGTGGGCCTTGCAATAAAGACTTGGCAGCGAAGGGCAGATTCATTGAGAATGGAAGCAAGTAATCCATATGGCTTGAAAGAAGGATTAACCAAGTCTGTATTGCTTTTTTTCGAAGCCCTACTTTTCTTTCAAGTCACAAGATCTGGTTTTATCCTTTGTTTACTGTAGCTCCAATATCGTATGTTTCAGTATTTCGAAGGTATATCTTTGTTCCCAGTAAAAGATTTTAACACTTACTATAACATAAATATAGACCTGCTGGCAGAATTCAATTTCAGTATACTTCTTAACTTGAATTTATCTCATTGAATGTGTGGATATCTATAACCAGCCCCATTGAAGTTGACCATTTTTCATCACTCTCTCAGACCCTAATAATCATTTTGGCACACTATGTCAGACGGAGCAGGATTGAGCAGACCTACTGGTCTTCTTAAAAGCGCGCAAAAAGATGAGCCTGTTAGTCGAAAGAGGAAAGATGAAAACCCACACGGTGGGAGGGCGCAGAAGGCCAAGAAGCGAGGTAAACAGAAAGATTCAGAGGAAGAAAAACCCTTGAATGTCGCTTGGCTTGAAAAAGACCTGCGAAAGTCATATGTCAGTCAGCTTCCAAGCCCTGAAAAGAAAGAGCCAACTCCGAAACGAACCGAGTATATGGCCCACGATCCTGCTATCACGGATTTGGACAAGGTACCGAAGGGTTGGACTCGTCATGACCATGACATTCATCCCGAGTAAGTTGTTTTGAACGACAAGACATATATTGTAGGCATACTGATATGGACTGTCTAGTGATTACAAAGCTCAAACTGAGCGGTGCCTGCAGCGATTAAAAGAAAATATTATGCCGATCTATTTCAAGAACCGGCTGAAGGAGATCAAAGCGAAGTGGAGCGATCGCGAGTAAGACCTCCTAGTTCATGTTTTTTATTACTTCGGCAGACTAATTCCGTAAACTCAAGTGAAAGAATGAAAGCGTATCCGGGACTTAGCTGGCCCGTTGTACAGCGGTTGGAAACTCTGGTCAACTCCCTAGACTGGCTTGCCAAAGAGGATAAGAAAGACCAACATCAACAGGTGGAGAATGTGAAAGCTCTTATAAAGGCATACAAAAATCAGACCCTCAAGTGGAATCCGGGGCTTGTCACATACTGGTCCAAGGGCGTACGGCTTTGCGAGCCAAGACCGTTTGATATGAAGGAGTTCATGCATGTCAGCATCAAACACGAAGGCCATACAGGATTTTGGGTGGAAGGAGTATGTCAACTCTACTTTACTGGCTGGCTACAACATGCTAATACGGAATGTCTTACAGTTCGATTATGCGCCGCAAGCTATGAGGAGGGCACACATTTATGTCATCCCACCTGGCCTCGCCAAAAGCCATATTGTGAGGTCAATCCGCCCTTCACAAATTAGAGAGAGCTGATACGTTTTGTGTAGATAGACTTTGCTATTCGTTTTCCGAAGCAAGGTCCCCATCATGCCCAAAAGGCGCTGGAGCTGGACTTTGTCGATGACACCGGAGCCGAAATAATGTCGTTATTTCCTGGCGATCTGACAGATATCCGAGACTTGCATACGAATAGCACAATGGCCATATCATATCCACCTGTCATTGGGGTTCTTACCATTGAAGTGGCGAATGGTGCAACGGAACACGGCCTGGGAAGAATGATTGAGCTCAATATGTTGGACCCAGACTCAGGCACCTTGCTCTTGAAAAAATGGGAGCCTGTACCATGCGCGGTAAGAGGTGGGACACCAAATACCGGTGGTGAGAGATTGAGTGGCCTATGGATGCGACGAAAATTGTATACTTACACGGCCCCCGATAATACTGATCGCCTATGGATCCATAATGAGCGCCCGTTTATCAAGGACATGCCAAAGGCAACGAAGGCACAGATGGCAGCGCCCATTCCTTTTTGCAAAAGAAGGATTGAGTCTCTGGACAAGTACCCGGGGATGGACACGACTTATCCAGGCGGTCACCCTGCAAGTGACGATGATGAAGACGATGAAGACGATGAAGATGATGATGAGAATGATGATGAAGATGATGATGATGATGCCCCTTGAGGGAGTTGCACTTGGTCTTTTATTTGTTTTTGTTTTGTTTTTTATATCACGTTCGAATAAAGCTATTTTCAAGACACTTTTGCGCGCCAATGACGGGATACAAAGTTGAGTAAAAGTAGAAGTTGAAATGTGCAAGTGTGGAAGCCCTAAAAAGGTCTGACATCAGCCCTTCCGACTCTCACCTCCCCAACTCCCACGATGGTCTTTGCTTTTACCCTCCCAACAACCTCACCTCTTTCATTTCAGTCTTTCATCTCTTCTTCAACTCATCCCTCTCTCCCCCAATCGGCCTCCACATCCCGCCATGCCCTCCGCCTGGCGCTGAAAGCTCATAAGCGCCTCCCCCGCGGTCCGCGTCAGGATGCCCACCTCCCAACAGTCCTATCCGCACTGAATGATTACCTCCCATACCTATTTGCCATTTCCAACGGATTAAATGGGAGAACAGTCCGACCAGATACACAAGCCTTTTCTCCCCAAGATGGGACCTACGCGCATGGTGCGGGGGAAGAGATCGACATTACACCCCACGCTGAGATCGAGTCCGCATGGAAAACAACATTGTCATCCTCGAGCACATTGAATATAGGCACAGGCAATAATAATCCCAATGGAAAAGGACTCCGCATGCGTAGTGGACGGGTCGCTGGTCGAGGCATCCAGTTTGAAATAGCATTTACGCTTTCAACACTCGGATACGTGTTGAGCAGGATGGCGCGCGCGGGAGTTTTGACCGCGTTATATATGCTTTCTACCCCGACTGCAGAAGATCGCACCAGCGCAGTACAAACAGCGACGCGTTATCTGTTGCAGGCGAGCGCGGTACACAACTTCCTTGCGTCATCTCCGGCCTCCGCTACCGCAGTGCCAGATGTGGATGCTGGAACACAGGCGGCACTGTCGTCGCTTGCGCTGGCCGAAGCTACCCTGCTAGCTGTTCTGAAGGACGATGCTTACATTGTTGCGTGTATCCAATCGCGAAATCCGAATGACAAGGAGTGGATGGTTCACGCACCTGCAATTCCAAAAGTGCGTGCTTTGCTCTTTGCTCGGCTTTGCGTTCGCGCTGCAGAATACTCCGAGCAAGCATCTGCTGGCCTTGGGGCTGTCGGATCTGCATCGGGGCGCACAGGGCGTGTAGAGGAGGATGTTGTGCGCTATACTTCCGTCTTGGGGCGTGTCGCTCGTGCCCGGGCTTGTCGGCTGTTTGGCGTAGAAGCTGAGCTGACAGGCAAGACTGGCGAGGGCATTGCCTGGTTGAGAGCTGCAAAGACCTCCCTCGGAATTCGAGGTACTGCCTCTTCGGAAGAGGATACATCTGCCTCTGGGGCCTCGAAGGGTGGCCTATCCCGCTTAAAACGTGAGTGGACAGAGAGACGCGAAGAACGCAGAGTAGCCAAAGATGCTGGCGGTAGTCGGACTGAGAAAGGCGCTTTGGAGTCGGGTGACGATGCTGGCAGAGACGAAGAGGGACGAGTAATTTCCATGTTAGAAACAAAATGGGTGAAAATGAACGATACAGTGAGTTTGAAATCGTTCCGCCATTGAAAAAATGCTAACTCCTTTAGATGAACACACAAATCGTCCCATCGGCTACTCCGTTGCTATCGAACCTGCCTTCAGGTCGAGATATTCACTCTCCGCCAGCACCATATCAGCCACCTTCTCTCGAAGAGGACCAGTTGATCCGTATGCGCGCTCCGTCAGAGGAGAGAGATGACTTGCAATTCGGAAGCGATGATGACAGCGATGAAGATGCAGCGCAGCCGTCTGGTGGTCGTGCTCCTCCGGGAGGATTCCCGGACCGTAGCGCAACAGCCTCTAGCGTTTACTATTGACTGATACCCGCTATAAATGTAGACAATTGGATGCACACCATGGAACTATATTCGCAAAAAACCACATTGGTGCATAAGGATACACTCATAGTAAGAGTTAGCGGATCGAGTTTCCTTCGTACTAGATCAACTACGAAAGTGCCAACAGGCCAAATGATAGAGACAAAAAGGAAGATTGATCAAACAAACTGATATCTATATGTACAGTACAAACAGGCAAAGGAACAAAGAGAGCCGTCTCCAGACTCTCTCCTCCATTTCTTCGTATCTCACCACAGTTCGAGACCCAACGTTGGCAAGTCTGAGACCAAACGATAAACCAAGGCCATGGAGAATCCTTGTTGCGCTTCTCCCCTTCCACCTAGTTCATGTTCCCAGCCCTCATATGCCAGTATCGACAATTAAGCCCCAGATCCCGGATCGTAATCGCGCAGCGTAACATGCAATCAAGTAAGAAACGCTTATGCCGACTCGCCACCGAAGTGGTTCTTTTCCTGACCGAGGTAACCCTTAACCTTGCGCTCCTTGATGAGCTCGAAGTACTTCTCTGCAGAGGGAAGAATATTAGTATACGCAGTTCCAAGAAGTTCCAGGTCCGACTCCAGTCCCCTCTAGCCAGACGTTACAATGCATCTGAACAGATCTTCTGGAGAAAGTCTTTCGTCGAGAAAGAAAAGAAACTAACCTCTGAAGATACCGCACTTCTCGAGGTGGTTCACGCCCTCGCGCGCATAGCACTTGCCCAACTCCTCGCCGACGAGACGGGCCATCATGCTGCGCACCCATTGCTCGCGAATGATCGCATCACGGGCGTTGTGGACAGCGACATTGTCCTCGAAGTCGACGCCCTCGTAGGTTGGGGGGACGGTGGGCTTTTTGGCAAGGAAGGCAGCGGACTCGGCGGTAGGCATTGTGGGTGGTGTGAGTAGTGCTTGTGTGGGTGGTTCGGGTGGTAAGGCGTCGCTTTCTTGCTGGCGCAGAGGGCAATGGCAGCAAGGGTGGATGGAGGCTTGAAATCGGTGCTTGCGGTGTCTGTCGTGGATCTTGAAGGTTGGATTACCCGTGTTGTGATTGGGTGACATCAGGGCGGTCAGTGGAGTTGACTCTGAGGGGATCTGGTCACGTGCTGTGAACGCTCTGCACGTGACATCAGCTCGGCTTGGGTCACGTGATGTCTATAAAATCCGAAAACGGGTTGTCCTGCATGAATCGAATATTATGTTCGTTCTATTGTTCTATTCATGTCAAATATATAAGGAGAACGATGAGAGTATCCCTAATTCCTTTCGAGAGAAATGGTATTTTCAGTCCTGATGTTCAACTCCATCGTCCACATAACGCCTGAATCAGGTAACGCGCCCATGAACCATTGAAGCAATGTACATATCAAACACAATCTTCCAGATCCGATACCCCGAGTGATTGTCATAGAAGTAACCATGATGAACGTCAACAAGAAATAAAAAGGAAATCATAACATAGGGTGACGCACTCTGCCTTCATCAATGTTTCTTTTTCTTTCCCCAGAAACTGTCATATCTTTCGCCGAGGCTCTCCTTAACACGAACCCAGAATGACCGGTTGAGCCATTTGCTCAGCTCGCGGTAATAATAAATCTCACTCCAGCAGTCACGACCGAACATACAGCCAGCCATGTTGACAACGAAGTCACGAGCGTTCTGCTGGTAATGCACGGTTGGATTCTCTTCATCGCCACAGGCGCCAGGAGGGAAAGCGTTGATGCTGCGTTGAGGTAAGAAGCCGACACTACTGCGGACCCATGGTTGGCTCTGGTAAATGTATTCAAGGGCATCCTGTTCCTTGTGTTCCCAGTCCATGTGCATCTGCTCATACATGACTGGATCCCACCAGGCATCGAGAAGCCGATCGGTCCAGAGAGAACGACGAACGAAGAAAGAACCCAGGTTGAAACCAGAGCAATCTTGCGATAGAAGCATATTCAATGAGTTAGGGTTGTCGTCGCCTTCCAGGGCTCGGCCGAGTTCGTCCAGCCAGAACTCCGGGAGCGGGTGTGTGATATTGAGCGGGTTGTAGGCACCGATATCGCGGTAGACACCGGTGTCAAGGCGATTAAAGATATGGGACTGTAAAGAAGTCTCATGCTCCATAATCCAAGTATTCAGATCAAGCCACCAGAACCATTCTGCGTCGGGATACTTCCGCATGGCTTCGCGGATCACATCGCCTTTCTCCCAACTTTCACGCCATTCATGTGAGTATCGTTTCTTGGCCAGGAGATTGGCGAGTTCCAGCTCGTAGCCCCATTGCTTTGCGTACTGTTGCTTGTTCCAAATGCTGTTGCGTTCGATCGCCCATTCGCGTGCGCCCTTCAGCTCCATCACTCCTCCTTCCACGTTGGATCCAAGTATGATGACGAACTTCTTACCGCCACCCATTGGTGATCGACGATACATTTGCATGATTGCTTGGATGTGCATCAGAATCAAGATAAGATAAATAGAATGGAAAGGCTAGCACTTACTTGACCAGCATAGCAGATATGCGATCCAAACCAAGAACAATAATAAGGCGACCTTGAAGCGGCCTCTTCGCAATGATATCCCAAATGGCCGCTTGCCTTTATCGTAAGATCTCCATTCCTTCTCATATAAATCCTTGTCGACATATTCGCGAGAAGAAAGTCGTCTGAGGATGGGCAAGCGGGTGGTGAGCTTGTGCTTTTGACGAGAGAAGAAACCGCTATTCCGCGTCGAGAAGGAAGGATACCCGCGCACCTCTTCACTTTTGGCCCTGGCTGCTGCCCATGAGATGCCACTGGCGGGTGACAATGTGCCTGGTCGAGGCGAAGAAGTGCCGCTGCCCGGCACGAGGCCCGGGCTGGACCACCCTCCGCCCGCGTGGGGAGAGGGTGATCGCGACAGGGACATGAAGATGATCTGCGCGTGGCAGTAGTACTGTCGAAGGATATGAAATTTCGATGCTTCGCGGAACGCCTGTAAGGAAGGGGGTGGAATGAGGACTCGTGGTGAGGTCAGAATGATTACAGACGTAAGGAGAAAGAAGGGAGGAAAGAACGCGGCACAGTGAGGATACACTGGACATCCTCGACTTTTACCCAGTCAGTACTTTGTTATCTGCCTGGTAAAGAGATCTAGCCCTGAGTTCGACGGATGCGGTCACGATGGGATACTACCATCGTCATATGTCTCTACCGTACAAAAATAACTACTCATCAATTAATCCAATGCAAAGCAACTTGTTACTCGATTGGCGGGAATTCATCGCATAGAATAACTCCAAACCTTGTTTCGAGGCTCTGCTCTCATCCATGGATCGACCTATCTGTCATAATGACGGGCACCAGGAACATAACCCCAATGCCTTCTGTGCAGAATATCGGGAGATCGGCCCTACGGATCCGCATGCGGAACAATAGCCATTGTGGATAGTAGGAACGCTACCTCGCAACGATGCAATTGCTATCAATCTATGTCCAAAGCAGAGAACCAAGTAACAAGTAACACCGGAGATTGTATCCGCCAATCCTCAATCCCGATCCCGATATTTCTGCGCCGACCGAGTCGGCAGTCGGTTCGCGGCTCCGGCTTTGGTCATCAAGCCCTGCCGCATCGAAAAAGGTTCGTTCGCGGGCCGGGACTGAGCACTATCGCCGAAGGTGAATTCACATTGAAGTTTGAGGAACTTCTTTTTATGTCGGTACACAGTAATTACGTCGCCATTGTAGAGCTTTCCAAAGGGCAACTGATTCGGCCTATTTTCGTTCGGTGGGCCTCGTTGGAGTAGAGTGCCGTTGACATGGATGCCCATGCGGGCCTTCGTGGAGATTATAGCCATAACTCCAGGGATTTCCTGCCAATTTTCGCCGGTGGCAATCTTCGCCTCGATGCCCGGTGCCCAGAACGTAAGCTCCAGGGCGTAGGCGGGGATTCTTGTGTCTGTTATGTCTGTGTGTTGAATAGTCGCCAGCGGACCACGACCCCATGAAGTGAGTCGGTTCTCCAGGAATATTGTCAGGTCGAATACTGAACCAGGAAGCGCTCTCAATTTGCCATATCGTTTTGGCGGCTTGGCAAAAGATTCCGGATTTATTGAGGGCTGATGAATGATTGGCTCGCATGGCTCTGATTCTTCTTGGAACTGTTCCAAGATGGCTTCGCCTGTCTGGGCATCAAGGGTTGTGGCGAGTTCAGGGTCATAGCTTGGTTTGCGCAGCCTGGCTAGAGTTACGGGAACAGGAGCTTCCTGGCTGTTCTGAGGGCTACTATCGGTGGAGGCCTCGCTAGCTGTGTCGGGCACCGCAAGGTCAATTCGACGAGTAAACTTGGCTTTCGGAGTTTCTTGGGGACTAGAAGTTGGTGGAACTGAATCTGAACTTCGGTTATTGAGGCTAGGAGGGCTCGCGGGCTCCTTGGCGTCTCCAGGAGTGGTCTGCCGTGTTGATGATTCGTTAACGGCGCCGGCCTTGAAATGCATGATTGAATGCACGGAATTCATGTTCAGTTCTCCAACAAGCTTCTCTGCGCCCATCAGGCTGGGGGCGGTGCCACCAAATGGGTTCTCCGGGAGGGAAATGATCGAGTCGCTGGGGTCATCATTCATCATCGACTCACCAGAAGAGGCATATTCTTCGATCTGGATGTGATCGAAATCATACGCGCCAATATTGCCCAATGCGTGAGAGCTTTGCAAGGCTGAAGAGGGGATTTCACCAAAGAGACGTTTGGCTTGTTGATCCACATAGGCTTGAGAATCCTGGAAGCTCTCAATCTTTGGAAGGCTTGGATAACGAACAGACGTCGGGACGTACTCTATGCGAGGCTTTTTGGCGAGAGCTTCACTACTGTTATGCTCGTCTTCGTCGGCTCCATTGGCGAAGCCAGGGCCATCGGCAATAGACAATTGCGAAGCGTCCAGCTCGTCCTCGGGATCTTCCCCAATGATCGAAAGCCCGCCATGACATTCGGAAAGTAAATCATCATCTTCATAGTCGTCCACGTCGGGAACAGTTGCAATCCAAGGATGTTGGAAGCATTCTTTCTCTGTTGGGCGTAAAAATGGATCCCTGTTGAGAAGTTGAGCGACAAAGTCGACACCGTCTTCAGAAATACCTGCCTGACGCAGAACATCAAAATCGGCATCACTTGTCATGATAGTGCGTAGCATCTGAACGCCTCTATCTTCTGCTCGGCCAGAATAAGGGGGAACACCAGAGAGAATATGGAATAAAACCGCACCGAGAGACCACATATCAACGGATTGACTATATGGAGACGTTTTGGGTGGTCTAAAAATCAGCAAAGGTTTTCCGAATAAGGAATGGATACTCACGGGTCTCCAACACGACGTCTCTTTCGGAACTCGCCACGTCGATATTGTTCATAATCAGGATATACCTCTGGCGCACAATACAAGAGGGTGCCACAGAATGTCTTCAGGAAGGTTTCCTGTTCAGTCACCTTTGATAAACCAAAGTCTGACAACTTGATTTTGAGTGGTTCCAAGGAAGAAATCAAGATGTTGTCCGGCTTGATATCGCGATGGGTAATTTTTCGTTTGTGCAAATAGTGGAGAGCGCGTAACACTTGTCGCGCGATGGTCCTCACCATCTCCTCGGCAATTCTGCCTTGTGTTTGAAGGTATGTGGACAGCTCACCTCCTGGGACGTATTCCATGATGATGTAAATCCACCGATCATGTTCATGATAGTCGACGTATTGAACGATGTTGGGCTAAACTGAGTCAGTGGCATCAAATCGATAGACGCAGAAGTTAACGCTTACATGTGTGAGGTCCCTCATAATCTTCATCTCATTGTCGACCTTTTGATCCAGAATGCCATTTTTCATGAAGCGGCGTTTGTCCAGCTCCTTTGCAGCAAAGACGGCACCTTGCTGTTTGGTCGCAATCTTGTAGACCGTTGCAAATGCACCCTTGCCAATTTGACCGGTAACATTGTACATTGAACCACCTGTCCAATGCATCCCGTAGGGTTTCGAGGATGACCATGTTAAAACAGAAGGGTGGGGGCCTGTACGTTCTTTGTGTCGGGGAGCAGCTGCCAGAACTCGTTCAAAGTATTTCAGCAAGTTTCTTTCGTATTGGACAGCGAATCCCTCGCGTGGCGGAATTCGGACCAGGAAACGGACCTCGTCCGAGGCGTGGTCGCCGATGACAACCTGGATGACGGATCCGTTTACAAGCATCCTGCTGTTTTCTTTTTGAGTTTTTCGGAGACGGCAGTTGTCCACGACAGTGCCATTTGTGGAGGTGTCCTGAAGCATGAGGATTCCATCTCCTGTCAAATAAATGCGAAAATGGGCATTCGATACCCGCTTCGCTGCATCATCAACTGTCAACAGAACATCACAGCGAGCTGGATTTCGACCAAAGCAGAATCCCATGCCTAGATTTTGTACACTGGATGATAGTCTCAAGGCAAGATCCATTGTTGGCGTTTGAGACTCATCATCCAATTCATCTCTCTGGTGGATATGCTGAGGACTGACTTTCCTTGTGGCAGTAACGGCATCATGGGCAACACGAGAATTGGGATGAAGGGTGCAGATGATGTCGGACACATCTTGGTCCTCGAAGCCAGAGTTGCTCATGCCCATCCGACGAGGATCAGCGGTTGGCTGTGTGGATTCTTGTGTGGCCGCCATTGTAACGAAGTCGGATGAAGGATCAAATGCGGTTGCTATGAGAATGAAGAAGGATGGAAAACAGCTACTGGGAAAGATCCAAGGAAAGAGGGTATATGTGCTGGTGCGAGGACAGCCAAAGCGATTTGCATAACAGGGTCATTAATATCATGGGCTAGAAACAAGGTATGAGTCGAGAATCCGAGGAAAAGGCCGGGGCGAGGTGATAAATATACCTCTGGGATAATGCGACAATGAGACCAGAGGGCCAAGCACCCGGGTCAAGGCTTCCTGGGCAGTATCCCCACTGATCGTTCACAAATTTGCCAGGGTATCTACCACTGTCACTGACAAGCAGGCAACAGCAGACTGATCTCCAAAATATAGGTGAGCCAGATTGACCTCTGGACAGCAGCTGCACAGCTTCTTGCAAGTGGGGTGTCTCTCCAGGTATTCTCAGAGCACGTATGGGTGAAGGTGATTTGGGGAGCGGGCCATTTATTAGAAGCGGCTGATATAAATTTGGGCCCCAGGTAGAATAGCGTTTGATGCCCTTGGTCAAAGTATGAAATGGTGGGAGGTGGGCAGTCGAGGCACTGATCAATCAGAAACAGACCAGCGCGTTTTCCGGGTTGAAAGCTATCGATGCAGGGGGGAGGACAAAGCTGTGGCGATCTTGGCCTAGCAAAAAGGTATGTCTGTCAAGGCGAGCCCAATCGTTAGCATAGTTCATTTCGTAGCTTAGCTGTGTCCTTGTTAGCCTCGATTCGGAAGAACCAACTCACACAACTTGACGCACTCCCGATTACTTTGTCCAAAGTTGGCAGAATGCAATCGGCGGACAAACGGGATGGGGACGCAGAATCGCACTCCTTGGAAGGTCGTCGTCCGAGGAACAAGAACATCCATGATCGAGCCGCAACAATCGTGACCTGCAAACACCTCAGGCACCGAGTACCTGAGGCCCTGGTGAGCCTGACTCACCAGGCAACAATGACTCTGATTGGTTGATCGGCAACTAGCGTCAACCAGGGAACCACCCAAGACTCGATCTATGAGAAAACATCGGATAGTTGAGAGAAGTTGAACATGATATTTACAGTGGAAAACCGTTACTTAGCAGATTGATAATAGCTACTACTTTGTCTGATCCGCCTTGAGACAGGTTCAAGATCTTGGATGGGAATTTTCTCTCCCAATTAAATACACTATGTACGGGTGTCTGTCTATACGTAAATTATTTAGTTCCATAGGGCTTGGTCGTGTCTTCATTGCGCTTGAAATCGCCCTTGAGCGCAGTGTCGAAGACTCGCTCAAGTCGTGCAAGTGCTTCGTCGGAGATTTCTGTGACACGTCAGATTTGGTTAATTGTTAGCCTGGGTGCAGATGGAACGCTTACGGTAATGAACCACCACCCGACCGCCCATTAGTCTCAGCCCTTGTTCTTGTCCAATTTGTGCCATGTCATTCGGCCCCACGCCAGATGCCTCGAGATCCAACCAAACCATATTGGTGTGCAGGGGGTACTCCAGCTTGCCTCCGCAACTGGTCCACATCTCGGCGACCTGCTTAGCTTTCGCATGAGTTGCCGCAAGCTTTCCTGTCTGACCATGAGGATCGGTGCCAAATGTTTCATCCAGCGCGACTCGGGCGGCAGCTGCAATTACACCAGTCTGACGAGCTCCACCACCAATAGACTTGCGGAACCAGCGGGCTTTCTTGATAAAGTCGTGAGAGCCGACAATAATACTTCCAATGGGGGCACCTAAGCCCTTGGAGAAGCAAAGGCTGACACTGTCAAACAAACTGGCGTATTCGGGTAGGCTGCCGGCACCGGCCACCACGGCCTCCCAAAGACGGGCACCATCCAGATGGACTTTGATGTCATGAGCATGTGCCCACTCCACAATACGACGTGCCTCTTTCAACGGCATAATCATTCCATCAAGTGTGTTCTCCAAGCTGATCAGTTTGGTGGGACAGTAATGGATATTGTCTTCGAGGACAGCGTGCTTCTGGATGTCCTCCAAGGTCAAATGAACCCCGTTCTTGGGTATAACAGTCTGCATTGTAGCCCCAGTCCAAGCACTTACACCACCCGCTTCATAGCAAATGATATGAGATCGATGATCGCATAGCACCGAATGAGGAGGTTGTGCGAGATGAGAGCGAATTGCCACCTGGTTTCCCATTGTCCCCGACATTACCAATAAACTAGACTCATGTCCTGTGATCTTGGCAACATGGCTTTGCAAATCATTGGTGACTGTATCTTCATTGAACACATCATCGAGGAGGGTCGTTTGGCAGATAGCTTCAAGCATGGATGCGGTAGGTTTCGTCATTGTGTCGCCTAGAGTAGTTAGTATACATGTCATTGCCATTGGTGATTCCAGCATACTCCTGAGGTCAAATTCGGCAGCACCAGCCCCCTGCCAGGTGTTGGGCTTCATATTGTTGCCGGGAACTGCGGATGTAGACATTGTGCCGATTGAGAGCTGTACTGCGGTAATGGCAGGATGTATTGTGGCTCTTTTTAGCGACCAAGAGACCAAGAATGAGCGACAGGCCGGTTGTAAAAAGCGAATCATGAGTTCTGTTGTCAACGTCGCATTGGTCCCGTGAAATTAACGGGGAAAGAGGGGACCTGGCACGTGATCACGCGGGGAGTACACCCTGAAAGTGTGAGTGCAACATAGTCCAACATTATCCGCCGATCCTGAACTTGTTTATTCAGTGATTGGTTTAGGTGCAACACGGACAACTCATGTTCCAGCGTGAATGTCTTCAGTGCACTCGATGACGACACGCTCTGCCCTTATCGATAACCTAATTGAGACTAGCGTGGTTTCGAGCACTGCCGGCTGACTCAGCGGTCTGGCTGCGATCCATGGCTTTCTCAACGTCCGCACAATCTTACTCTCGACACATCATGGACTTGTCCCATTTGACTCGCCCGGGCATACTGTCCCAATGCTCACGGTGCTCCAGCTCACTGGCTGCACTGGAGAATGAGTGGGCAAAACTGTCCAATGTCTATGCTATCCCAACGGCATGGCTCAGTGTCGACCTCCATCGTATCACCGTATCGTCGGAGCGCAAACAGATCCCCCATACCTCTGACATGACCGTCTTGCGTGGGCGTATCATCCAAGAAATTTCTTGCAAATTATGTCAACAACGAATTGGAGTCTTGTGTCCATTTGACACTGGGTAAGCTGCCCTGAACCAGCAGTGCATCCTCTCCTTGCTGACCGATATTCAGACTGAATATACTGTGGAAAATGAACAAGGTTGCGTTCAGGGAGATCGTTACTATGCGGACCGTGCAACCTCAGTTCAAGCAGGGGACCCTCGAACGCCTCCTTAATTCTACCCCGAAAGAACCACCGCGCCGTAACTCAGAAACTGTTCAGGACAGTGCGCTTGTACCGGCTGGCGTTTCTGACCCTACCAATCTCGATCCGTCAGTACAAAGACAGATGATCAGCCAAGGCAGAAGCATCGATCAAATCTCAAACTCCGTGAATCACCTACAAGATACAATGTCAGATCTCAAGCATTCCTTCACCGCACTTCGAATTGAGTTGAACGGACCAAATAGGCATATTGGAGAGGGATCCAACCTCCAGGGGCATGATTTTAATATGATTGCTACCGTACTCAGGGAACTCAAATCCAAATCCGACGAAATTGAGAAATTGAAGTTGGAAATTGAAGCTCTGAAGTTAAAAAACCGTTACATGGGAGGAAACTCGCCACAATCACACCAAGATACATTGTCTGTCTTGAATATGAACGCTGCGCTTCCTGAAGTCCGGAGCCCGGGCCTGCTTCAGGCAGGCCGGAAGCGCACCTGGCCCGACGCATTCCCTGCTGATCGGAGCCAACAACCTGGCGCTTTCTTTGATGAAAACGACATGACTGACGATTCGGACTTATCATTCCCAGCTGTTCGTGAATCCCGTACTGATCTTACCGATCAACAACGGCGTGCTATTACCAGCGGCCCGTCGGAATACAGGGCGGAGTCAGAGCTGCCCCCTCGGAATGGGACCAGTAAGACCAACCGAGCTCAATCCCAACCTCCACAACAAACCATAGCGAAACGCCCGCGTCTCAACCCGTCAAATGACGACCACGCTGAAACAACTACATCGCAACCACCTGCCCCGAGAGGACGTGGCAGACCCCGAAAATCGATCAACGCACTACCGAATCCCAATCCCGATACTCCACAACCTTCAAATCCCACCCCAAATGAGCCGGGAAGTAACACTAGTTCCACTAGTCAACCAACCTTGGCACGCCGGCAATCCCGTCGCAGTCTGCGACCAACATCTCCTGACCCGGGGCCATCTTATAGCGACAATGCTCAAGATAGCTTATCTGATTTGCAGCAAGCGGCCAACAAAAAAACCAAACGCAACACTGGCTCTCCGAATGGTAGTCGCATTGGTGCCCCGGAGGAAACTATGGATGAAGTTGGTATGAATGAGAAGCGTAAAGCTAAGGTCGCGGCGCGGGACGTTATGGCCAGAATGGCGTTGCAGCAGGAAGAGGCTCGAGAGGAAGGCAATACACGATAGACGCCTTGTATTTCTACGATACTTGTACAATAGATTCCAATAAAGCTGGTCTAAATGGTTAACATTTACATGCCACAATAGTTCTATATTGGGACCCAATTTACCTTGCACTACCTTTGTGTTTCATCACTGACTCCTTTCTACAGGAATATATGCGTATGATGCTACATCAATAGTATTTTCTCGAAGAATTTAAGGTGTCGACGATTTCCCATGTAGATTGCAAATATATATCGTTCGTTGTTTTATATGAATTGTCTATTTCTTAAGTCTATCCAACATCAAATCACGAACAATGCGAACCTAAAGTATATAATGATATCCATTGTGTTTACATGGAAATTAGACTTTGGTTCCTGGTGGCGGTGGCTTCCTAACATTCCTGGAGGCGGATATCGCTAACTCAAAAAGCGGCCCCGTTTTTTTTGCTATCTTATCGACTATCAAGGTCTTGGACTAGTGAGTAATAAGATAAATTTGACCTATAGACATCACTTAATAGCTCTGATGACCGTCGTGAAATAGAGGCAGATATAGATGGATATGCACGTTTATATTTCGTCCCCAATGGCCCGATATGACTTCCTACAAAAGCGACAGCAGGATGACTAGAACAATCGAGGTAAATAGTTGGTGGACCATGTAGAACCAGGTATTTCGAACGTAATAGGCAGCAAAATCAGTCCGTCTTTGTATTGGAGAACTAGCGCCAGTCAGAGATCGCTGGTTGGAAGGCATCTATTTCGACCCCAGGGGCTTAGATCACTGATTTTGAAAAAAAAAACGAATCTATGTTAATAATTCATAATCAAATTGGAAAGATGCTAGGCTTACGCCTCAAAACTAAACGTCTTGAACGGCCCCTGAGAAAATGCTTCGCATTGCTGAAGTCGTTCTCTCAGATAGAAAAGCTTACCTGGAAAACATGTTACGTATAGTTAACTAACCACAATCCTTTTCATCTTCTATTTTTTACCAGCTTCTCCATTCTTCTCCATTCTTCTCCATTCTTCTCCATTCTTCTCCATTCGAAAACTTGAGATTTGAGATACAACCGTATCATAAGATAGGGTGTTTCTGCATGATATTATCTCTGGCAATCTTGCTTGTTAAAAAAAAAGTAGGAATACATAAAGTGTCATAAGGCATGAAAATGGATATAATCTCAAGTCGTTGGGCCATGATTCAAGGATGGCGGACGCTCAGCTTAACGAGTTGGAATGAAATGCTTGGAGTCGGACTCTTGTTGACTGAATGACTCAGGGAAGGCCGCGATACCACCGATGATACCAATAGCCATGAAGCCGAGGGAGATCAAGGACCAGATGACACCCCAGCACTGGGAGGAACCACCATACTTCTTGGCGAAGACGCTGGCATCGGAGGTGTTCACTTTGCGCAGGATGAGGTCATCACACTGGGATAGATCGTTAGCGAAGTATATAGAGAAGGGCAGGGGGGAACTTACAATATCCCAGACACTGTATAAAGCGGACATGACGCCGATGAAGAGCTAAGCAGGAGATATTAGCACCACAGCCATGAGAGGGAGAGAGAGGATAAGCGACTTACCACGACCCAGCGCAGGGCTTCACCGTGGGCAATGAACCAGCATGCCACCAATAACCCAACGGCAAGGATGATAGTCATAATGGTCAGCCAGTCCCGTCTTGCCCACCAGAGTGTCAGCAAGAAGCAAACACCCAGAACAATGCTGGCGATCTTGCTAGCCACAATGTCAAATCCAGCAAAGATGAGGAGGGCACCGATGATCGAAGAGCCGAGATAACCAGCGGGCAGGGTGATCGCACTGATACCACCCTGCATGTGGGTGACACCACCTTCGTGAGGATCGAGAGAGATGGACTTGACTTTTCCACCGGTGCAACAAGCCGTGATCGCATGACCGAACTCATGGAAGGCAATCACCAACATCTGTCACATGTTAGTTGTAACGAGGGAGGAGACAGGGGGTGAGAGTGGTTTACTTTAAAGGGCCATAGAGACCAGCGAACATAGGGTAGATTCCATAAAAGTGCGATCACGACGACATAGACGGCCATCACCCCCAGGGTCACGGCCTGCGTATGGTTGACGGTCAAGCCACGGCTGGCAAGTTGATGCGGGGCGGTTTCCACCCTTCGGGCTAGCGCTGCATATAGGGCTGGCATGGTGGGTAAAAAACAAGCAAGAAGCAGAAGTGAGAAAGAAATCAGCAAGGCACTCTTTGCGCAAAAGCTCTTTATTAGAAGAGTTGAGAAAAGTCAGGGCCGAGATACGCGCGTAGGGATGGACGCGCATGTTTGGGTGGCTGGTGTGGCGCTATTTTTAGTCTCTTGGCTTTCACTCGCATAGGGCTGAGAGGGTTTCGGGACGGTCAAAGGGCGACAGGATATTAGAAGGCTATGGTTTGCTAGCCATGGACCTATGAGAGGTAAAGCCATAGGTGTAAAAATCCCGCGAAGATGTGAGAATTTCTCTTGTTCTTTGTTCGGTTCTACTGTATACACGCAGTCAAGATCCAAATCCACAACAATGAGAATAAATTATAACCAGCCCAGTGACCTCAGCAAAGATACAACTGCCCAGATGCACACACAATTCCTCAACCTGGCACGTGATGGGCGTCCTTACCTTCTCTCAACTCCATCGCCATTCAAGGCCTCGGACCTTCACTGCGACCTGCCGCTGCTACTCAAATGCGGGGATGGAAATTGGGATCAACACAGTTGCCGACTCTATTGCAAATGGAATGTAACGAGAATGCCGGCTCTTATATGGCACTTCCGATAATTTCTTGTCACTTTTGAACTCACGATACCCCAAATCACGCTCAAATATGGTGGGCATGCTACTAGTCCTGGTCGCAGGACTTGCTGGATCTACATGCGCCCACCCAAAAAGGACAATTCCTCGGAGGACGAACTACCATGACAATGCAGGAGTCCTCGACTTTGTTAATCCCGGTATCGGTACCTATGGAACGACACCAAATGGAAACGGCGGCATGATCCCATCGGTCTGTCCTCCGTTCGGAATGACGCGGTGGACACCGCAGACGCGAGAAAACTTCATTTCTCAGGTTCCGTATGGTGATAGTGACCGTCTGATTCATGGATTCCAGGCGACTCACCAACCTGCGATTTGGATGGGCGAGTCAGGTCAGATTGTCCTGACCCCAGGTATGGGTGATGTTCAACCGTTGTTTGAAAATCGCGGGTTGGAGTTCCGCAAACAAGATGAACGGAGTACACCGTACGTCTATGAGGTTTTGGTCAATGCCACTCAGGTTCTGAATCGTGATTGGAATGCCACGGCCGAGGCTGTTGGTGATGGGGAGGTTCCTGGGGGTGCAGGATCGGTGCCTGGCCAGGTGAAGGATGGTGCCAATGGACGGACACGAAAACGTGAAATAGAATCGACTCTTCGGGCACAGTCTGATGAGAACGACAAGCCTTCGATTCAGGTACTTATCTAGTGTGTGGGTCGCGATTGTGAAGTAGCTCTGATGTCTTTTCTAGATTGCCCTGTCAGCAGATGCCCACGTTGGTCACCTTCGCTTCGACTTCCAAAGCAACGACGAAGCTCATGATCCTTGGGTCTTCATTCAAGCGTCCCGTCGGAACTGGACTGGTGAAGTCCACATTGACCCAAAGAATAGAGAAATTTCCGGTTACAACACAGAGCGCCAGGACTATCTCCTCGGGCCTGACAAAGCACCGTCATTCAAGGGGTACTTTGTGTCTCGCTTTTCCGAACCCTTTACCAAGTATGGAGTTGCGAACGGCGGCTCTCTGACCGAGAATGAGAGTCAGCGACATGGAAACTTCACTGGCGCATACGTCAAGTTTAGCAAGAAGACCTCGCGCGTAGAAGTACGGACGGGCGTCTCATATGTCAGTATTACGCAGGCTCGGAAGAACCTGGAAATCGAGGCCCCAGATGGACACACATTCGAGGATACTGTCGATAAAGTGAAGTCTGCCTGGTTGGAGAAGCTCGGTCGAGTATCGATCAAGGGCGTGAACAAAACCGACTCAGACCATGATCCTCGAACGATCTGGTATACCGGACTATTCCATGCACTCCAATACCCAAATGACTTTTCCGAGCCCACATCAAAGGAGGATGGCGCCCCAAGAATCTTTTACTCCGGTTATACTGATAGCGTTCACACTGAGAGCGACTCTTACTATCAGTCTTGGTCAATCTGGGATACGTACAGGGCCGAGCACTCAGTTCTCACTTTGTTTGCTCCAGAACGAGTCAACAGCATGATGCGCTCGCTAATTCGCATCTTCGATTGGACAGGCTGGTTGCCGATGTGGGCAAACCTTGTCGAGACGAACATCATGATCGCAACAAATGCAGACGCCGTCCTCGCAAATGCACTAGAGCGTGGATTTAAAGACTTTGACATTTCCAAAGCTTGGAAAGCCGTCAAAAAGGATGCATATACCCCACCAGACCATGACACTGAGCTGCTGTACTATGACCGCGAGCCGGGTACGTCGTACGAGGCCCGCGCTGGTCTAACGGCATATATGAAGCAGGGCTGGGTCTCGAATGACGGATGGTCCGAAGCGGGTAGTCGGACCTTGGATTACGCTTTCGATGATTATGCCTGCTCAGTTGTTGCTGCACATGCTGGTGTGGACAACGCTACTGTGGCTGCACTGCAACAGCGAAGCCAAAATTACGCTTCTATCTGGAACAATGAGACGCAATTCATGCAAGCTCGTAATGCGAACGGGAGCTGGGCGAACAATACCTGGGGCTGGACGGAGGGGGATGATTGGGTATACACGTTCGATGTTATGCATGATGTGAAGGGCTTGGCTGCACTATTCGGTGGACGTGAAGCTCTGCGAGATAAGTTGGATGCTCATTTCAAGGGTGGTCATAATGACCATACCAATGAACCGAGTCATCATGTGCCGTATCTCTACTCTGTTATTGGATACCCCAGCCAGGCCGCTGAGACCATCAGAGAAATCGCCTGGTCGAATTATAATACCACCAGTGGTGGACTGGGCGGAAATGAGGACTTGGGCCAGATGAGCGCCTGGTACGTCTTCTCAGCTCTGGGCTTCTATCCCGTCAACCCCGCCAGCGAGGAGTATATTGTCGGCACGCCACTCTTCGAACACGTGTCCATTCGTTTCCCTAGCGGAGCCAGAACTGGTGGACGGAATCCGCATGGAAAAGAGAAAACACTGGAGATTGTCGCCCCGGGCGCATCCACTATGTCATATATCAAGAGCTTGATGGTCGACGGCAAGGCCGTTACCTCTCCAGTCTTGAAGCATGGTCAGCTCGTGCAGGCAAGAAAGATTGAGTTTGAGATGAGCGCGACTCCAACTTCATGGGGGAACAAGCCTCTTTGGTGAGGTTGCATTTCATATAGTGCTACCGCGAGTGCCCTCATCGTTTAGGGGAAAATAGGAGATAGTGAACTGGGTGGCTTGAGTTAGCCGAGATGTTTAACTTTTGCCGTGCATAGAAAACTGAGCCTATTTCTCTATCTGCAGTTTCAAGCGAATCGGCGTTGAATCGCATCATTCTTCTGTTGTTTGGCAAATCATTGCACCATCCCAGATCGGACTTTTGACCAGATCCGCATACATTGTCCATAACCATTTCCCCCCCGATTCTACTCCCGTGGATTCATGTAGTTTAATTAAATCATATTTACACTTGGATTGGTTATACGATAAGTTATCTTATGCTGCTCAGACAATCGAAGAATACCTCCAATGCTTTACAACCCAGAGCCAAGTAACTATCCGAGTTCAACAAACGAAAACATCCCAGTTCATCACGCCATCCATATCCATCGCCCAAGACGCGTGAGCCCAGAAACTAAGGAAAGTGCCTCAAACGGGATCTTGGAATGCAAGTAAGGTATATAAAGTCAGACATGCCGAGGGTGTTGCACACAGTACCCCCCATCCTCTTTTCCTTCCACATTCCAACATGGAGAAGAGCACTTTTCAAGATTCAGCGGCCTTGCCTCCGCAGTATGACAGCAGCGACAATGACAGTCTGCAATATACCACCGAGACAGGCGGGAATACCTCGAAAGCGACATACCAAGAGGCATCCGGTGCTCCAGTCGAGGTGAATTCTCCGTTGGGGTATTCAGTGGGACCTGTGACTGTGATTTTTCTCAATTTGAGTAAGATGATTGGGACGGGGGTTTTTTCAACGCGTGGGTATACGCATTTCCATTCTGGAGAGGCTGTACTGATCGATATCTGTAGCGTCGAACGTCCTGAAAGGCGCTGGCTCTGTTGGTCTGTCGTTGATCTACTGGGTCCTTGGCTATTTAATGGCCTCAAGTTCGCTTTCTGTTTATATGGAGTTTGCATCTTGCTTTCCGAGTCGCTCGGGCTCCGAGGTCGTTTACCTGGAGCAGGCGTATCCGAGACCGAAGTACTTCTTTCCTACTGTTTTTGCGATGCAGACTGTGCTGTTTTCATTTAGTAGCAGCAACGCGGTTGGTATGATTTTGATTGGGCGAAAAGACGAGAATTCTACTGATGTTTTGTATAGTTCTGGCACAGTATCTTTTCAAACTCGCAAAGGCTGAAAGCACTCCTTGGAAATTGAAGGGTGTTGCTGCGGCTTCTTATACTATTGCTGTACTGGGTTAGTACATGAACTTTGACAACTGAGAAGGTGACATTTGCTAATAGTTGATCGTGGCATAGTTCTTGCTTTCAATACGAGATGGTCTCTCCGAATCACAAATGTCATTGGCCTCGTGAAATTGATTACATTGATCTTGTACGAAACCAAGCGCAACACTTGAGGAGTCAAATGCTAACTACTAGCAGTATCGGCATCAGTGGATTGGTCGTCCTTGGAGGCCACACCTCGGTGCCAGACCCCAAAGCAAATTTCCGAAATGCATTCGATGGCAGTGGTGCAACTACCGTCTATGGAACAACGAATGCCTTGGTCAAAGTCATGTTCTCATATGCAGGCTTTGAGAATGCTTTTAATGTGGTGAATGAAGTTCGGGTATGTCTTGATCTCGAAGATATTTTGTTTCAGTGCTGACTTTGGCTAGAATCCCACCAAAACTCTACGGTGGAGTGCCCCATTGTCGCTCGGGCTGACGGCAACATTATACATCTTGGCCAACATCGCGTACTTCAGTGCGGCGTCCAAGGAAGAGATCCTTGAGTCCAAGGTTGTCGCAGCCGGTTTGTTTTTCGAGAAAGTCTTTGGTAATAGTGGTGCGGCGACGGCATTGAATTTCCTGATTTGCCTTTCTGCATTTGGAAACCTACTTGCTGTTCTCATTGGACAGTCTCGTATGTTGAGGGAATGTGGGAGGTGAGTAATGTGCATCTTGTGTCAAGGTCTTTCATACTCGTTCCAGGTGTGGTCGCTAACCGAGTATATCGCTATAGACAAGGTGTTCTACCATGGACCTCATTCTGGACGTCCACTCGGCCCTTCGGCACACCTTTAGGTCCATACCTGGTGAAATGGGGGTTTACCATGCTCATGATCCTAGCACCCCCAGCGGGTGATGCCTTTAATTTCAGTAAGTTTCCCCGTCATGACACTGGGGTCTACCGTCTTTTGATTGCCGATGAAATGCCGACTAACTTTCACAGTTGTGGATATGGGGACCTACCCAACCTCCATATTTGCCTTGATCTTGGCCATTGGACTAGTGATTACTCGGCAGCGGCGTAAACGGCTAAATCTGGGAGCCCCAGACTATCAGGCTTGGCATGTCACCGTGGGATTTTCGATTCTCTCGAATTTATACATGGTCGCTATGCCGTGGTACCCCCTAGTGCGGGCGCGACGGGTGATGTGAGCTTCTGGTATGCGACATACTGCGCGGTGGCTGTTGGAATGTGAGTGTCTAGTGATCTGAGGACCCCAATACACCTTACTAACGGGGGGTGATTTAGTATTGTGCTGTGTGGAGTGTATTACTATGTCTGGATCAAACTTCTCCCGAGACTGCAAGGGTTCAGGTGGGAGCAGACGGTTCTTCAGTTGGATGGCGGTGCGACAGCGCATAAGATGGTCCGAGTGAAAAAGGATTGAGATATTGCTTTACCTAGGATAGTGGCATTAAGTTATATATCTCTGCCTTACCACTCAGTCTCGTCACGGGAATCCAAGATCACGTTATCGGCTTAGATCAGGCGCCGGAGCGAACTCCACACTTTTTCCCCTGCCTTTCATCATGAGCCATCTCAATGTCGTTATAGCCGATGAGCCGAACGGTGATATATTCTCAACAGGCCCTTTCTTCGCAATTACTCCTCTCAATTCATGTGCATCGTGTCATTGATACATAACCGACGACTGTTCATCTCCCCGGACTTGCGGCTATGCGTTTAACAGAAATCGGGTACCCCAAACACACGCGATGACCCGGCGGGACTGTCGGCTGTGGAGTCAATTCCCCATTAGCGTTGACTGTGGCTGATTGAGGTCATGGAATGAGCTGATCTTCATCAAAAAATACCGCATAGGTTTTCGCTTCATTGGCTCAGTTCCAAAAACTTCCGCTATTTAATGCGCCATGGATAAACCAAGTGGGACGGGAAAGGACCTCAGATGTCATCAAAGATTCTGCAGAACCCAGGGACACTTTGAGCGAAAGCTTTAAAAGCTGACGGCTGCCACTGGGGCATTCGGTCGTTCCAAGTCTTATTACAATATGCGCTCCTCCAGCACTTGGCTTTGGGCCTCACTTGCGGCCTCCGCGGCCCCGGCTCTTGCCATCCATGCCCCATTGAACCTGAGCAATGGCTTCGAGCTCACTGCTAATGAAAAAGCCAATTACCTGACGATCACTCAAGATGGTCGCCCTATTTGGGACACGGTTCCAGGCCGGGGATTTCTCAGTGCCAGCGCAGGAGATGATGAGATCATCGCTGCCAATGGTAATTTCAAGATCAATGAAGTGGACCAGAAGAAGTGCACTGGTCAGCAGATCACCAAGGTTGATTTGCGTCAATGGAACGGCAGCGCCAATGACCATGCTGCGGTCATTGAAGGTAATCTTACCGGCTGCGGTGATGCTACTGCTCAGTTCACTGTCGCGTTCTGGGTGCCATCCCAGTTCCCTGATCGCATTGCCTTCCGCGCCAATGTTGACTCCGAGTCCGATGCCACGAAGCTGTTCCTGACTTACCGTTCTTCCCCTGCCGAGGACTTCTACGGTCTTGGTGGTCAGGCCTCCTTCGCCTCATTGAAAAACCAGACCGTCCCGATCTTCTCCCGTGAGCAGGGTGTCGGCCGTGGCGACCAGCCAACGACTGACCTGGAGTCCAAGGATAGCTTCTTTGCTGGTGGAGATCACTTCACCACTTACTCCGCTGTGCCCCAGTACATCAGCTCCAATTCTCGGGTGTTCCACCTGACACAGGAGAGCTCGGCTTACTCCACCTTCAACTTCACTGATGCCCGTGCCGTCACTGTCCGATACAGTGGCCTGGATGTCGATGGATACTTCATGCAGGCCGAGAACATGCTGCACGGTATCACCATGCTGACCGAGTACACCGGCCGCATGCCCGAGCTTCCTAAGTGGGTGGACACCGGTGCTGTTCTCGGTATCCAGGGTGGACAGTCTAAGGTCAACCGCATTGTCGATCAAGGTCTCAACCTAACCACTCCCATTGCCGCTGTCTGGCTTCAGGATTGGTCTGGTACCCATTCCCAGAGTGTTTCCTACATGTCTCTCAACGTCTCCCGTCTCTGGTGGAACTGGGAATCCGACTCCAAGCTGTACCCAACCTGGAATGAGTTTGTACAGAACCTGCGTGATGACCACAATGTCCGTACTCTCTCATACATCAACCCCTTCTTGGCCAACGTCAGCTCCAAGCCAGACGGTTACACCTCGAACCTCTATGAAGAGGCTACCAAGGGAGGATACATGATCCAAAATTACACTACCAATGACACCTCTGTTATCTCCAGTGGTCCTGGTCTTGATGCCGGAATCCTGGACCTGACCAACCCCGCTGGCCGATCTTGGTTCAAGAACGTCCTGCTGTCTCAAGTCTGGAATGCCAACATCTCTGGTTTCATGACTGACTTCGGCGAGTACACTCCTATTTATCCCGATACCCGCTTTGCCAACAAGAGCATCGACCCCCTGGTCTATCACAACACTTACCCCCGTGAGTGGGCGGCCCTTCACCACTGGATTGGAAAGAGTGTTCCTAGCTTCAAGGATGCTATTCTCTTCCACCGTTCATGCGCCATGGCGGCCAATCGCTACATGAACCTCTACTGGGCCGGTGACCAGGACACCAACTGGGGCGTCAATGATGGCATTAAGTCCTCCATCACCGTCATGGGTCACATGGGTCTCTCTGGCTACGCCCATGGTCACACTGAGATCGGTGGATATACCACTACCTGGGATAGCAACGGCGTCGTCAACCGGTCCGCCGAGCTGCTTGGTCGCTGGGGAGAACTCTCCGCCGTTGCCAGCACTGTCTTCCGTACCCACGAGGGTAACGTCCCCCAGGTCAACGCTCAATTCTATACCAACTCCACGACCTACTCCTGGTTCAGCTACAACGCGCGCATGTTTGCCAGCCTTGCCGCTTACCGTCGCCGCATCTTGGATACCGAGAGCAAGAAGCTCGGCTGGCCCTTGCTCCGCATGCCCGTCATCTACCACCCCAACGATGTTAAGGCCAAGGCTATCAGCTACGAGAGCTTTTACCTCGGTGCCGATCTGTACGTCGCACCGGTCCTGGACCCCGGTCACACAAGCGTCAAGGTATACTTCCCCGGCAAGAACGAGACCTTCACCCACGTCTGGTCTGGCAAGAAGTACCAAGGTGGCCAGACCGCACGGGTCTCCGCACCTTACGGAAAGCCTGCTGTCTTCCTCGTCAATGAGACCAAGAACCCTGACTTGGAAGGGTTCCTGCAGTTCGTCCGCAAGGAGAACAGCACAGTCATTTACCGTTAAACATTACGTGTCTACGAACACCCTTACCCTCGATGTATGAAAACCCGAAGCTCGACTCTGAGACATATCAAAAGAGTCGGTGTATGTAATTAGAAATTCAGCTGCCAATCTATTTCCTTCAAAGGCAAAACCCCGACGGGACTCGTATTTTCTATCACTAGTTAGCCCGATCACTTCAAATCCGGACGTTATAGATCGACATACTCCGCACGGTCTTCTGGAATGTTACATTTCCCCTCATTTCATAAACACCCTTCATGACTTTGACCGTGTTGCACCCGGCTCGCTTGCAATTTGGACAAGTCAATCGGTTATCGGCTGGGAGTTGACTTAAAATGGTAATAGAGCGGATGTATAAGATTTTACAATCCTAAGGACCTTTGCCAGTTTTATCACCATGAGGTTGATAAACACGATACTTTACTGGTTGCCAATTGCAGCTTCGGCAGAAAAGGCGAGGGGTACCAGTGATCGTGAGTTTTTTTCATCTCAAGTTTGGTCTGATACAATATCGTGGCTTAGCTAGAACATCTAGTCGTCCCGTTGACATATGAACCCCTGCCTCTTGGAAGTATAACACCAAACGGATGGCTCAGAACGGAGCTTGAAGCCTCCGCGGCAGGACTAGGAGGGTAAATCAACGCATGAGGCGAGCTCTTCAAATTAACACTAACAAATACCAGTCATTTATACGACTTCTATCGCTATGTTGCAAACTCATCATGGATAGGCGGCGACCAAGAATACAGTGGCCTAAACGAAGCCCTACCATACTGGCTGAACGCCATAGTCCCGCTTGCCTATACACTTCAAGACGAGCGTCTCAAAGCCGATGTCAAAACAGTCGTCAGCAAAATCATTGACTTGATTCAACCGGATGGCTGGATCGGACCTGAAACACTTGAAGCGGGAAACCGTCTTATCTGGGCACGAACTCTAGTCTTTTTGGGATTGACGAATCTTGTCGATGCCGACCCCGAAATCTACGAAGAAACCGTTATCAATGCGCTGTATCACTTCAATGAATTGATGAATTCCATGTTGAAGAACAATGGTACGGGGATGATCTATCATGATGGCGATCAGACTAGTGCGGATGATTTTGTTTGGTTCCGGTCTAGGTCACCAGATATGGTTGTTTCTTTGCAGTGGATGCTTGATCATCATCCTGGGAACCAGAGTGAGATTTTGAGAGAGAATATTCAATTGATCCATGAGTATTCGTTCAAGTGGGAGGGCTGGTATACTGAGCAGAGTTATATCAAGGAGGACCTCAATATTGTTCCGCAAGATCTGGCGGATCAGGAATGGCCGTTTTTGCATGGTGTTACTGTTGCTGAAGGTATGTTGTCTGCCGTGTGGGAGGCAAATATGGGACTAATAAGACTTGGTGCAGCTCTGAAGTATGCAGCTGTTTTTAGGCGCTCTACTCACAACGATAGTCTGATTACTACTGCTAAGAATGGCGTATGCTCACACGAATCTCAATCGTCAAACCTCACTGGTGCTATTGCTAATTTCGTGTAGGTTGACTGGACATTCAAATATCACGGCTCAGCTTCCGGCTCAATCCTAGCTGATGAAGTGAGTGAACCTACTCACATACCAATTGGACGTGGCTGACACAATCAAGCGTCTCGCTGGTCTGGATCCATTCTATGGATCTGAGCTCTGCACAGATGTTGAAACAATCTACTCACTCGCCTACAACTACTTCGCAATCGGCGATCCAGACTATGCAGACCGCGCTGAATTGGCCGCGTTCAACGCCTTACCAGCAGCAATGTGGCCAGATTGGACGGCTCATCAATATATGACTGAGCCAAACCAACCGTTTTCTAAAAGGCTTTCTGCATCGCCTTTCTGGAATGTTAACACTATTGGCCAAACATTTGGCGTTGAGCCTAATTATCCTTGTTGCACTGTCAACCATCCTCAGGTATGAAGCTGGCACGTCTCATTCATGTGACGATGACTCTTAATATGATTCACAGGGATTTCCAAAATTCACGATGTACAGCTTCCTCAAGAACGGCGAAAACGGACTAGTTCACGCTCTTCTCAGTCCCGGAAAGGTAAACACCAAGATAAATGACAAAGCGGTTAGAGTCGACTGTCAAACCGACTATCCGTTCAACACGAGTCTTTCATACACAATCGACAGTGAAACACCATTTGACTTCTACCTTCGCGTCCCACAATGGTCAACAGGGATTAAGATAAACGACAAAGCACTCTCAGTCGACACAAAGACAGGTCTGACACAACTCCAAATCCAACCGGGAAAGACAACCCTCAACTACGTCATCGGCATGGAAATCCAAACTCAGTCAAGAGCGAACGATACCGTAGCCATCTACCACGGTTCAATCCTCTACAGTCTATATATCGACCCAATAACAACAAGCACGCCACCAACCTACTACAATACACAACAAGAATGGCCAGAAGGAACATACCCACCACAGATGCAAGATCATTCCATGACAAATGGCACAGAGTGGAATGTAGCTATTGACCCATCGACTTTGACTTTCCACTCAGGATCTGGGTCTTTGCCTAGGCCTACTTTTGATGATGGAAAAATGCCCATGTACATCACTGCAAAGGCTTGTTTGATTGATTGGCCTTTGTTTAAAGGGGCTGTTCCTGCTTCGCCGCCGGCGCTAGGAGATAGGCTTTGTCTTGGGGAAAGTTTCGTTGCGAGGCTAAGACCGTATGGAGGATCGAAGTTGCATATGTCTGATCTTCCTATTATTGATATTGAGAATTAGCGAATTGTAAATGGAACGGGTGAATTTAGGGTTCGTATCTTTAGTTTTTAGCAAATATTCAAAAAGATTATCGACACAAAATCGGAGTGTATTATTCTCTTGATCAAGCCGTCATATTGAATAGGAGGGAGCATGTTAATCTAAAAGGATTCTTGAACAAAGGCCTTCGTGGTATTTAAGACATCTCCCTACCAATCAGCTTCTGTTTCATTTCAGTGTTTCAAGAGCACTAGGCTTCTTATCGATATTTTAGTGGAAGAAATAAGTCACAATAGCTAGTTTATGTTCTAGTCATAAAGACTCTTTGATAAGAACGATCGATATCATAGTGTTCCCCTTTCCAAGTCCCTCCTTAATCCAAAGAAGATAAAATTACCGTTCCACTCCCCTAACTAGAATACTGTGGGTCTTATGGAATCTATTCGAACAATTGACGGAGTAACTAGTTCTTTAGTCTCCTTTAACCAACTTTTACCCGTGATATAATACTTAGCAAATTCCAAAGTATAGCGTGACACCCCAACACGGCAAGTAAATTGGGTTTACTGTCTTCAAAGGCCATAGAAATGATATGGCAATTGATACATTTTATTTCGCCATTTAGTATAAAGTATACAAAGGCTCTCTTTAGATTCACTTTGAAAATTCACTTTCCATGACCTCAGCACCAATGAAATCTGTAGAGAATTATGTACATGTTCGGGCCTTCACTTGAATCAATTAAATGGCCAGGCGGCATTATCGTTCACCTTGCAGGTTCCCCTTTTCTTGAATGTCTTGACAGTCCTGCGAGCAAGGCTTGTTCCACTCTGTTTGATCATCTTCCCACACTTTTCGCTGAACCAAATACCTGTCGCCACAAATGACCACGAGTCCGGGTTCCTTAGACAGAGATTGGCATTACATATCCCGTCCTCTCCTTGTTTGTTGGTTGGATCCACTCCACACAAAGGCATCTTTTCTGTCAACGCACGCATCTTAGGCCCGTCCCCACAACGACGATCAAATGTGCCTTTAGGAAGCTCTAAAGATGCACTCAAGCCATAAGCATAATCCAGGCCCCTATTTCGATGGTCAGATTTCGTGTGATTTGTGAGGTGCATTTTTGTGGCAAACAATTGCAGATCAAGACTTACGGTTTGTCTCCAAGCATAGCGTAGGTAGTGTGTAAACACTCATGAATGAGGACTGATGCCGCCGAGCGCTGAGCTTCACGAAGTTCAAGTTCTCCATTTTTGCATTGCTCAAGGTTAGAGGCGGTCTTCTGAATTTTCGTTCCAGCTATTGGGGGGTTGAGGAATGAGTCACAAAGCGTGAGTGTACCTTCTTTGCTGCTTTGCTCATTCATAAACGCAGGAAAGCCTTTCTTGCACCCTTTGGTGCTGGCCGTACTTTGATCACATCGGACAGTCAGGACATAGTCGCCTTTTGATGTTGAAGTTCCATCCAATAAACTTGTAATCCGAGTCAATGTATTTGTGTAGTGGGATTTCCAGTCGGACTTTGCAATGGTGCGTTTGTCGAAGAATTCTTGCACGTAGCCGAACTTGCTAAAGTCTGCCTTGGCCGCGTTTGCCATTTGGATAGCATAGCGAAACTCCGTAATAGCCTCAGTCTTCTGCTTTTCAGTACAAATTAAGCCTGTTTCGGTCGTCCACTTGATCGTGACATCTTTGTTGTTGGTATCTTGGTCGGTATTGCTGTTGCCGCTTGTGCTTGCACATGATGAATCCGCGCGCGTATCTAGCTCAACAACAGAGAAAGCCAGTGTGTGAGTTATCATAAGAAAGATGGCAGCAAGTGCTAAACAGAAATTGGAAGCCTGTGGATAAACCATGATGAAGTGGATACTGGCAGACAATCGAGGCAAGGAAGTTGGTTGTCTTAACCTTCTATGCAGCTGGGTATGAAGGAGTTATAAGCAAAAGACATTACATTGTAGTAGCAGAAAATATTCTCATATCCAGGTAAGCTTCCAGTGGGCCACTCTATTTTGCTTGAATGGGGGCGATTAGGGTTGGGGGCGGGTAACATGGAGGGTCCGCGGCCCCAAGAATTTCGCCGGCCTTTTTGTTTGAGATTTCTTTTTCGCACTGAGTGGAACTTGGGGCTAAACAGCAAGCCTTTTTACGCCGCCGGCAGGATTTAGCTCCCGTGCTATGTATAGCGGAGTAAGATTAGTCCTGGTTTCAGGAATAAGGGGCCTTCCCCTTCTGGAAATGATGCCAGGTGCGCCGAAAATATTGAATTACTCTTTGATAAGAGGTAACTACTACCTGTTGGCCATTCAAGACATTTGATGAGATTGGTCTCGACCAAGTATCGAAAATTCCTCGCTCTATCTTTTGAATATGTCCAAGACTTAATAATATCAAGTTCAATTGAAGATACGAACGAGTGTGATGAATTATTCAACAACGCTAAACTCCAGAGGATTGGATGCAGGTAGCACGATAGGCCGCTCCGTCCAAATGGGGTCCTTAAATCCGTGGTGATAGAACAATACAGTCTGGCTATGCTCCTCCATACTTCCCCAATTCCAAGTTTCCAACAAACAACCATCCACCTGATATCGAATTTCGTCCCCTAAGACCAGATCTTTCGGCAGGAGGTCTCCTCCCACACTGTCGCTCCACGACTCACCAGGTGCTAGACTGATGAATCGACCAGATTTGGCGATCTCAACAGGGCCTTCATAATCAATCCAGAGAGCACCAGCTATGGCGCAGTTGACACCGTTGAGCTCGCAGTAATTCCAGTGACCATCGTTATGACGTCGAAAGGCCCACTCGGATGGAACCAAGTTGTCTGCATCAAAAACGATAGACCTCGTCGCAGGCTCAAAATTGCCCTGTGGATCTTCTGAGGTGATGCCAATGTACGTGATAGTATATTGCATCACGAAGTTCTCCGTGAGTTTCTTTTGGTTACCGCCACTTAATGTCACCCTAAACTTTGGGGTTCCGGGGCTAGGTCGATAGTGTTGTTAGTATAAAACCATTGTAATAATGTGATTTTGTCACTTACACTGGAGTGGTGGGCCACTGCGGTCGTGGTGTCTCATAGACGGGAGGCTTAGGTCGATCAACCACATCGAACGACAGATGATGTGGCCCAGGAAGAATTGCTTGGGCGGAAGGATTGGGATACTTTTCAAGGCTTTGTTCGATAGTACCCCATCCCCACCAAGAAATCTCACCACCCGGCCAAACCAGCTCATATCGTTCGCCTGGAATCAAGGCTTTTATCCATGATTCCTCCAAGCCTGTTCCAAACCAGATACTTTGGCCGGGCGCTAACTCATGAAAACCTTGTTTAGAACCCCAGAAGGCACCACTTGAGAGGTATTCATCGTTCCAGGATTCCACTAGGCCCTCAACCTTTTCCATTTCGCCATCAGCGGTGTGTCGAAGAAGAACAAAGCCCTTGGACCCAAATGCTTCAAAGCTGCCAGACCAATATATCGTGCACGGCTCATCGTGGCCGTCATTCGGGTCCCGATGAATATGATAGATGAGCATGTTATTGGAGCCTTCTTTCGCAACTGTAGGCCCATCAAGGGACTGTAGCTCAATAGAGAGACTGAGCTTTGGGGTATTTGGCCTGGGAGATATCAAAATTGGTTCCCCCGTTGGGCGGGCGCGATACATACAGCCTATCCGATGACAAAATCTTCAAGAATGGAGAGATACGATCATTCTCAGTGACAGTGGTCGTGAATTCATGCATACTTGCGAAGAGGATAGCTCAGAGATAGTGGGATGAACAGGAGACCATTGACAGTGCCCCAGCGTTCCAGGGTCGAGGGTTGATGACAAACGGACTACCAGCTGAGTCAAACAATAACTTGGGTTAACGTTACCCCCAGGTCACCGCCCCCAGGGCCCGGGAGCCGCAGGGGCTATTCTTATCCAAGCTAGGCTTGTTTAGGCACTCCGGAGTGGAGACTCGACCGAAATAGTTCCCACAAAGTCCAGATCAAGCTAGCTAAGCTTTCTAACCTGGAAAAGCTTAGCAAATTTTGACACTCCCCCAGTGAAGCATCTTGGGGGCTAGCTTTGAGGGTCCAAAACCTCGCGCTGCACTCCACTATTCCTTAGAATAGATCGACACAGTCACCCGCATATACGCGCTAACTTTGTGTCGCGATTTGGGGGCCAGCCATTTCCCAAGCACGGCCCTGATCCTGGGCCCTGGGAGTTATTGGCTGAAGATATACGCGATAAGCCAAGCGAATGGCCCCCAATGCTTATACAATATGACCCTGTATGCAGGAACCCGCAAATCCATCCACATCTACGGGTGATGATGGGGCCAACACGAAGCTTGCTGGAAGATTGACGTTTCATAGAAATGCTTGGCCCCCTCCTCAAGGAGTGCATACTCTAGCTTCAAATTCAACTATAGCGCAGAAATATCTATCTTTGCACATTGTCTCGCCCCCAGCACTTAGGACTATGGGACCGTGTCTTCATCACCGGCCCCATTCTAAAAGTGAAAATAGAATATAGAATAAGATAGAATAATCAAACATAACCCTGACTAAATGAGGAAGTACAGGACCTTTTCTGTATGACCTTCATTCTTATTACCTGTATCCTGCACATTATCTACCTCTCTCTCCGGTAGTCTCAATCTTCATCTTCATTTAATTCTCCAACTACAATGATTTTCCGAATCCTTTACTTCCTTTTCCTGGCCACTATGGCCACGGCTGTCGTTCATCCCAAAGCCCGAAAGCCCTGCTACAGCATTATGGACCAAAAGAAATTCAGTCAAGCCATCCAGAAAAGCATACAAAAGACTCCGGGCGGCAGCAACCCAAAGATCGGCTACAAAGCACCAGTCTCGCACGAGGACACACTGAAAGGGATATCATTCTATGCAACCTCTGGCTGTCACGGTGACGGTGGGGGTGCAGTTGTCGATGTTCTTCGCTCCGACTTCACTGGAAATGACAAGCTTTGTTCCACGAGCAAAAATGTGAAGGGTGGAAGGGATGATCTGGAAGGCGATGGAGCAAGTATGATCATCGACGGCAACATTGGCTCTCTTTGTCAGCTCCACTTCTACAAGAGCCTTGGCTGTGCGAACGACGACACAGACTGGCTGGGCTTTATGAGTTCCACTGACCAGATTTCTACGTGTGGATCTGCTACCAACTCTGATGGAAAGACAATCACTGGCATGCGCTCTTTCAAGTATGTCTGTGCAGCTTCAAACTAAGGTGTACACACGGGAAAGAAACGAGCAGAATGTTTAATTAGATTTAATTATGTTGACCATGTGGCTTCTGTTCGTCTATAAAAGCCATGTCCAACGACTCAAATTCAATTTCTGATTATACCTCATGTTTATATTATTTTGTCTATGTATCAACGTACACTGTGTATGAATAAAAAGGCGTGACTATAAATTCCGTTCTGATTTTTTAGGATCTCCAACGATGCAAACGATTCAGGTCTCGGTTCAATATAACGAAATATGACTTGCAGGCTCTTCGAGCCTCTAGTCAAAATTACAGACTTACTATGAAATGAAACAGAAAACCAGTCGAAGGTACTGATGAAATGATTTCCTGGGCACGCTAGAACTCTGACAGATTATATAATGTATGAATTCAAACCAGACTAATAATATAATACAGAGTACTCCAGCCTTAAATAGCGATCGAGTTTGGCGCCATCTTGGGGCCAGCAAGCGGCCACGGATTGGAACGGGGAGTGAGACGGCGGAGGAAATACCCGTACTGAGCATACCAGGAGTATGACTCCGCATTCAGATAAACTTCTTTCATGGTTGTTTTGCCGTGTACAGTGTTAGTGGCATGCTGAGCATTATTCCACCATCCTTGAATCTCTGTCGGGTTGGCTTTGCCATCTTTGTCGTACGGATTAGTGTTTCCAATCCAGTCAATATGTGTTAATTGCTTGAACAGGGTACCAGCTGCAATTTTACACATCATTAGACTTTTTTTCCTTAGTAGCTTGGTAGGGGTAAATACCTTCAGTTCCTGCATTCCAGCGCTCGATGTTGCGGACTCTCTCCCAATCCTTTTGAGTGACGTCCCCCGGACCACCATTACCAGAGTGCTTTGCGTTAAGCGCTGCCTTTTTCCATACATCGAATCGGGGTTCTTCCCAGAACCCAGTGCAAAAGTTTAGCAAGCTGCCCTTCTTGTCTGGCAAGTCGACCTCGAAGACAAGGTCTTTGTCGCACTTCATGTTGCCAACAGACTCATCATTGCAGGAAATATACATCTCGATATCTGGACGCCCACCTTTTCCAGGCATGACATTCGTCAAGGTGTTCATCTTCTTCAAAACGTCCTCAACCTTGTTGATTGTTTCTTTCTCGAAGCTCATAGCAAAGAATTGCGTATATCTAATTCACTGTTAGGCACTTCCGCCTTTTGAATCGAAGAGAATGGAACATACGCGGCGTCTGCTTGATTTGCCTTCAGCTCGATCCCGGCATTTGGATGACTCTCGGGGGCCAACTCTTTCAAGAAAGGCTTGACATCCGACCAACGATCCCATGCATCGGCTGCCAATTCCAGGGCGCCAACCCAGGCGCGCACAACTGCATCCTGTCGTGTCTCGGCATGGTTTGCAGGATTGCTGAGTCCACAACTAGAGTCCCATTGTGCGATCAATGGATTCATAGTGTAGGTAGGTGAGTCGCGAGGGACCATGACACCAGCCCAGGCAATTCCCGCAAAGAGGCCAGCCTGAGCGAGAGCGGTTGTCAGCATCTGCATTGTCAAGAACAGGCAGATCACTTGTGTAGATTCAGGTAGACGACCGTGTGGTAGGAAAAGGAAAAGAAATAAACAGGTCAAGGGTATATGTGGCAAGAGACGGGACGATGATGGGTTTTTATTTGATCCCAGGGAGTGCTGCGTTCTGATTTATTAATATTACCGTTCGATATAATCTACCCACTCTTGCAAACCATTGTGCTGAAAGTGTGTTTCTGGCACACAATATTCTTTTTTTTTCTTCTTTTTCCAGCTACTTTTCCTATACCTGTTCCGAGGGCCCCCGGGTTCCTGCGTATTGGGGGCCAGTGTTTGGCGCTAGTTCAGGACCCGCCGGGGCTGTGGCCCCTGGCCCCTGTGGCAGTTGACCTGAGCAGATCGGCCCGAACCCGTAGCATTGGAACCCTAAATTGAAATATTCTGGGTTCTAAGTGGGATAATGCCAAAAAGCGCGCAACAATAGCCGTCATTTGATTTGATATATTTTTAGAATATATCAGATCAACAAAAGAAACACGGGTAGAGTGGGTATTATCCGCGTATAAGCAAAATAATACCCCGGTCTTTGATCTATATAACCTCTGTTCGCCTCTCTGTGTTCTCATCCTAAAATAAAGTAGCGAAAAGCTTCCCTTCTATATCACATTTCTCTCATCTGGACAACATGCGGCTGTTGTATCTCGGATCAATTGCCATTTGGGCAGGCGCAACAGTTGCCAACCCTGTCAAAGCGGCTCCCAACATCTTAAAGGCTATGACTGGTGACTATACTGTTTAATATATGCTGGCTCTTATGACTAACTCCCATTTCTAGCTGCCGCAAAAGTCAGTTGTAGTGAGCCCTGGGTTAACGACGCCAATGCCACCCCGGAGACGCAATGGAAAGATTCTCATGCCCAGGATCTCTGGGATGCCTTGGTATACGACTATGCAACAACGAATAATCACAAGAAGTATCCATCTTTTTCTCACTACGTTGCTGAAATGTTGGGACAAGACGGCGGAACCTGGGACTGTGCCAAAAGCTCACAGGATGGGACCAACGGGTGTATTAAATATACATCCGATTGCGTATGTCTTCCCACTTGCACAGACAATACTCCCTCTCCTTTAGACTAAGATAAAGTCTGAGAAACTAATCCTCAACAGAAATCCGCGTACGGGCCAGCTGCGAACTTCATTTTGATGTCTCTCTCCTCAATTTCGAATGTAAGTTCTATTGTTGTCTTCCTGCTCGGACTTCATCTGACTATGTGACACTGCAGTTCTATGACCCATACTACCAAGACATGGTGAACGCTGACTCAGCGGCTGCGAGTTCAATGGACGAAATTGGTGAAGTGTTTGTCAAATACAAAAAGCCTGCCATGGATGCGGCGGAGATCCTTGGATGGATCGCCGAATTTATGTCCTTTGGTGTCGGCCAGTTTGCCGCCAAAGGTCTCGAGAAAGGATTTGCTTCCAAATTACCAAGTTATGAAGAGGCAACAAGCGGCAAGGCATCTGAAGTTGCCCAAGCGACGAAAAACAAAATTAACGCATTCAAGCAAAATACAAACCAGATGGCTTTTGAGCTCTCGTCTATTGCCTCTGAATACATCGCCGAAGGCAAAAACCTGGTGTAAGTCGGGATATCCACATGATGAAGATGTGGTAAAATGCTGATTTTAAACAGGGGGGGAGCCGAGAGTATCATTACAGAATGCACAAAATTTTCCGAGCTGGCGCACAACATAACCCAAACATGGTCCTCAAGTATCAATCAATACACCGACAAGCTATTCAGTGGCAAACTGACTGGTGATGATTCTCAGGGAAGTGGCATCTCTGAATTCACCACACTGACGAATATGGTGCGCGATGGAATGTACACTCGACGTGTTGACCCCGGAGATGTCACTTCCCATGCAGTGGATGTGCTGTTCTCGCAGTTGATTCCAATTTCACTGCATCAAGATGATGACTCGCGTCCAACGCTCATGTAAGTCCACTCCGGAAAACACTGCTCGTCTTTGGCTCAAACTTCTAGTGTTCGACCATATTCCTGTAGTGATCTCAAAACGGCCAAGACTGACACTCTTTTTAACGAGCTGTTCTATGTATGTATCTTTGTCATGCTTCAACTGATTTGATGCTAACTGGCTGAATCAGTATCCCGGTAGTAGCAAATGGAATGAGGCTAAAATAACACTGAAGAAGTACCCTAAGCAGTGCTTTTTCTTCGTGGACGCCAATAAATCTGGCTCAGGTATCGCATCGGGACGTTTCTCCAGTCATATTCAACGCCTAACTGTTCTCCCTGGAATGACGTCAACTGAGCTTAATGGTCACCGCATGGGTGACCTGACTGTGGAAGACTTTGCATTAAGGTGAGTTCTGCCTATTGACATCCTACGAACCGAGCGTTGCCCTGATATTTCAAAATAGTATTCACGAGCAGTGGCTCAGTGACAAAGAAAAGAATAGTAACAAGAAGAGCTACAAAATCACCAAGGATGCAAAAGCAGGAAGTCCCGCGAACTTATGGGAAAGCAATGTTGCTGCACCGGGGATGTACAATGCGTACTTCAACGAGTGCGGTAGCACTGACCCGAAGGACATTAAAGGAACCGACAAGCAAATGGACATCGTCTCGACCAACATGATGAAGGCGAATGATGTGAGTTACATCCCCTCTTTCTTCACTCTGCATTTTGATTTCATATATCGCTAACCCTTCACAGTGGAAATTTGCCGACGCCTCGAAAGGATTCCCGTGTATACCTGTCAAAACCTACGATTAAGAACGATTCCCAGCGAGGGAACATGTATTTAATAAGTTCTTAGACCAGATAAGTCTTTATTTATCTAGCGAACCTTGCGCTTTTGGAGTATGCTCGTACATAGACATATACAGGAGGGAGGGAAGAAAAACTGGGACTTCGTGTACTATCGTATCATCGAATTCAGTAAATCGCTTTAATCAGTCTGAGGGTTCAATTGTTAACTTAGAGCTGAGCTGAATTTGGAGTTGGGATCTAGTTCGGGGTCCATATGGACTATCCTTGTCAAATCTTGGCTTATATGGACATCAACAGTGGAAACTTGACCGAAATAGATTCCACTCCAAATCATGCTGGTTGTATGGCTCCTGACCAAGTTATCCTTTATAACGTCTTATATGAGGCATTCCTCAAAGCGCCGCTACAATACTGTCACGATACTCTGTTAGAGAGACGTACATGTCATAAAGTTTGAGTTGATGCAATTTGGCTTTTCGTACGAGAGGCACGAAGATTAGATAACACTGGGAAAGTAGATTGACCCTGCTCAAAGATGTAGAGCCAGACTAAGTAACATATGTGAATGACAACCATCTTATTCAGTTGCAGTCTGTGCCAATACCACCACGGGGGACCAGTTGTAGATGAAGTCTCCCGTGTTGTGCAAGGAAATTTGGTAAAGGCTCACCTCCAGCTCAGTAAGCGAAATCATCAGACTATGGCCCAGTCGTCTTTTCATTCCTTGAATGATTTCACGAAGAGCAATCAAGTAAGTATTAGTGCATAGTTGCACTAGTCCAGGCCGGAAAGAATCGGTTTTCGACTCGAGAATCGTGAAGTTCTGCTCCTGCAAGCGGTTCGGCAAGTCTGAAACCCAGCTGTAGTTGCGAATGAATTAGTTTTGAATAATTTCACTACTACAGGATAACGAACTTGTAGTCAAGACCAGCCTTTTTGAAAGCGTGGTTGATATTCTCCTCAAATTCTTCTGCTTCAGCACCTTGGATGCGCTGGTGCATCAAGTCGGCATCCTCCCATTGAACGTATCCACCAGGCTCTATAGCGCATTTGGTTAGCTTCTGAGAAGAGGTATCTGATATCTGCGTTCAATTGGACCTTACTTAGAAGCTTTTTGAAATGGTTAATGATTCCCAGCGTGTCGTTGTTGTGCAAATTGCTTGCCCACATCCGAAGGTGGACCACATCGTAAATTCCCTCCAGAGACTCAGGAGGATCAATCAAAGAGTCAAGAACGCCAAGTTTAACGTTCTTTGGCCATAAGTTCTTTGATGGATACTGGTCGTTCGATATGTCATATCCATGCAGCTGGACAGTTGGTGGGAGCTTCTCTGCAAGATCTAACAACCAGATACTGTTCCAATGTTAGGCATCTTTGCAAATATCCAAGATTGAAATGGAAATTGAATGGAAGGAATTTTTGAAGACATGAACCTTACCCCGTTCCCGTCCCAAGCTCAGCAATCTTCATATTCTCCGTCACTGCAATGTCAGGGTGCAGCTCAAACCCTCGGTGAAGCTTCCAAAGAAGGTGCTGTGCATCCAGTCTGTGTACAATCAACGATCTGTACGATACTCGACCCTTCGGTATTGACATGAAGTCAAGTCAGAAGTAGTGGATTCAGCTAACCTAACGGAATCTCCAACACCTCGCCCCAAAACATAGTCGTCTTTTTGAGTCATGGTCATCTTTGTTAGAGTGGATCTGGTAGAACCTTGGGAAGAAAATGGAATTGAAGACGAATGAGTCTTTGATAATTATCGATTTGCTTGTTGAGTGGCGCTCTCTTGATATGTTAGCTGAAATATTTCCGCGAGGGAGTTCAGGGTATTTATATATATGCCTTGGAAGGACTCGTTGCCGATTCATAACTCATAACTCATTGACCATGATTGGGAATGTATATACTTCTGCAACAGGACATTCTAAGAAGGTTGTGACGTGGTAGAGCTATGTGCAGAATTTTCAGGGTATCACTGCATATTTCATCCGGCACAATCAAAACTTGTTGTTACACAGCAGTACAGTACGTTTTAGTACAGTGGTGTAACCAAAAGTATTTGGCTGGCTGTACTTAGAACTCTACTTTCTGCCATACCGCCCTCCAGGACCCCTACCCTGATCGGACATCCAAACCTCTGGATTCAACATGCTAGTCATTATATGCGTTCCATAGGTGTCAGATGCAATGCCTCGTCGGGTCTCAGGCTCAGTATGATGGATGGCATACTAACTGTTCAATTGAATGGACCTCGGAGGGTTTTGGCCGGCAGTAATTCAAAGTACCCCAGGTCAAATAACCCTGAGAGAACACTCTACAACTGGCCAAATAATTTTGAGACACCGCTGTGCTTCAGCATCGGACCCACGTTCAGATCTACAATAGCTGGTACGTCATCCTTATATTTAACCACATTCGCTATCTTATGAGGCATGATCAGGCAAGATTGACTGCTAAAACAAGTTGAAACATGGAATGTCGGTCAGTTAGTACGATACTATGCTCAACCAAGTACACTGATGCAGTAGGCGAAGTCATATACTCGAATTATACCTCTGCACACACCGATTGAAGGTTTTGGTAGCCATGACGTGGCAGCCATATGAAGGGATCTACAAGTGGATACAGAGAGATAAGGGATGAAAAGGTGATGATTGGCTATCTCGACCGGGGATTAATAGCCTAACCAATAAAGCTGTCATGTCGATCGACCATATATATCTTATATTTCTTCAGTGTAACATCAGTGTCAATCTAGAGCATACTCTTCCAAATTATCAGACTGCAGGAGATTTCAATAGGGAGTACTGGATAATAGATTGTCGCATCTCAGTTTCTATGATATTCCATTAGTTCTTGCCACCGTGTTGTACACCAGCAAAAGATCGACATTTTAGGCCTCAACAAGTTTTGTGTGCAGGTTTCCTTTGAAAACTGAGCTTTATTGAAGTCAGAGGAATATAAGTAGCTCAGTCTGCTGCTGTATAAAATTTCAAAAAGCCAAGCTCCTTCTGTCTTTGAAAATATCAATACCAATTCAACAGTCTGCACACCCATATCACCATTATGCATTCTCAGACCTCGACCACATTCACCCACCAGGTTGACATACTGGAAACGGTCGCCAAAATCTTAGCAAAGTACCAAGACAGCGACTACTATGTCTACGAACGCGAACAGCATTGGTACATGGGGATAGGAAATCAATCATCATTGATCATCGACTCGAAAGGGGAGACCGCGACGATCAATACGGAGTCCAGTGAAACATCTCGGACAGTTGCTGGGGATTCAATTGCAGGAATTGCAAGGGAATTCGTTTCGGAGAATACAAAACATGGTTACCGGGTATTCGGTCAAGCAGGGTTCAACTATGCTGCACACGTTCGTGGACAGTCATTTAACCCTGGCTGTTGGCCACTTTTGGCCTTGTTTGTTCCTCGTACCGAGCTTGTACTGGAGCCTCACACGGTTACTATCAACGGTGTTCATGAAGAAGTGAGGGACTTGTATGACTTGATCCACCAAAACACAATGAGCCTTGATGTTTCTCTTTCTCCTAAGGTGGAACCAATCGATACGCTGGATACCCAAGGCATTTATCAAGATAGGGTGAAAAGAGCTCTTGCAGATATCGCTGAAGGCCAGTACGTGAAAGTCATTCCATCACGGGCATTGGAAGTGGGGCAAAGGATCAATATGCCAGCAACCTTGCTTTCAGGCCGGCGCTCCAACAATCCGGCTCGAACCTTCTGCCTGAACCATGCTGGCTATGAGGCGACTGGCTTTAGTCCCGAGCTTGTGATGTCAATGGAAGACGGGAAAGTCATGACTGAGCCATTGGCTGGAACTCGCTCGAGAAAAGGGACCCCAGAAACCGTCGAGCTACTACGACAAGAGTTACTCAATGACCCGAAGGAGATTGTCGAACACGTGTTATCCGTCAAAGAGGCGATAACAGAACTTCACCGACTATGCCCACCAGAGACAGTCAATGTGGAAGATCTCATGTCAATAAGAGAACGTGGCTCTGTCCAGCATCTCGGATCGAGTGTTGCTGGAATTCTATCTCCCGAGAAAGACATGTGGGATGCATTTGATGTCTTGTTCCCCTCAATTACCGCGTCCGGTATCCCCAAGGATGCGGCGCTTGAAGCAATTCAACGCCTGGAAGATCAGCCACGGGAGCTCTACTCTGGTGCGGTCTTGATGATTGAAGGCCCCAGATCAGTTGAAGCAGCACTCGTTTTGCGCACTGTGTTCCAGGATCAAAGCCGTGGTTGGGTTCAGGCCGGAGCTGGCGTCATCTCTCAATCGAATCCAGAGCGAGAACTCACTGAAACACGAGAGAAGCTCGCAAGTATTGCCCCATTTGTGATTCAGAATGTGTGATTAGTAGAGTTTAGATACATTTTCTAGTCTATGGATAATGAGAGATAAATGAGTTCGATTGTGGTGCTATAATCAACAAGTTTTCGGTATCTGATTGGTAGAAAACAGGATTTAATGATACACTGATAAGCATCCAGAGAGCTAGCTAACTCCTCAATTTCGGTATCGTATTGTTCTAGGGGTTTGAACCGGTGGATCGTTCCTTTCGGTGTTCGAATGAACGGCTTCTCGTCAATGGCAACAAACACCTGGCCTCATCAATATGACTATCACGGCTGCTGTTGGAATTTTCTGTATCCAGTAATTCCTTCTCAAGATCTTTTAACTCGAATGGAAGAGCCGAGTAGGAGCCCTTGCTCCCATTGGAATCTTCTATCTCGAGTAAGAGGCTCGGGTAGCGTTGCTTATTTCCAACCACGAGAGCTGCTTTAATACCAGCGATATTTTCAAGCCGACTCACAATAGAGAGTGGATTTATACTTTAACCAGTGGAGAATACAACGATATCGTCAATTCTGTAATCATATTCCCATAGTTCTGGTTCAGTCGGATGCTTCCTGAAGATATCCTTCGTGTGCCACTCATTTAGATCGAGACAGTTGTGAAACACGCTCTGGTAAGGCCCAAAGGTGCTGTCACGACGAATGAACCTCTCGAATTCAGTTTTGTTCCCATGGATTTCAGGGTCTCTTGGTTGCTGATGAATGCCATTGAAGGGATGAAAATGGAAGTAATTCCAATGTAAAGAGCTCATCGGGTACTGAATCAAGGATCCACATTCGGTAAAATGTATTGCATTGAAGACTCGTGTTTTGGTGACAATCCTTTTCGCCCTTTATTTGACTGGTGGAACCTATGGACAGATCATTGTCAGTTGCCCTTTGTCTATTCATATCACAAACAGAGCTTACCTCCCACGGTGAATATCCACTTGAGCTTGGATATGGACTTCATCAGCTCCGAATCTTCAGATAAATCTTCAATAATTGAGGGTGGTAGAAGAGCTCCGTCAAGATGAGGGTTCCTAATTGCAGCCCGAAGTGTTAAGCTACTAGGTGGTCGGCGTGGATATCCGAGCATTAGTGTGATTCCAGAGAACAGAAGATAGCAGCTAAGGGTAAACTCTGCAATGTAAAACAAGGGAAATTCGACATAGACTGCTCTGGTATCTGAAAGCATCGCGAACTGACATTTCCTGCTCTTCGGGTCTTGTTGGGATATCAAACGCTGTGCGTCGGATGTAGCCAAGGAGGAATGACTGACTGGAACGAGCTTTGGCATTCCGGTTGAGCCTGACGTATGTAGAATCTCGTTCAAGTCAGGTTATCATTCTGGTTAGCATTTTCTTCTTTTGAAGGTCTCACCACTGCCGAGGTGGAATGAAGCGTAGTCCATGACCCATTGTAGGGATATCCCTTCGCTTGCTTGGGCCCACGAAGAATTTCCATTAAGTCCTGGATCTGGATAGCCTGAAAACTGCTTGTTTTGAATATATCATCCGCCGTAGAAGCAAACGTAGAATCAAGAGCAGACCTCCGACCCGACATTGCTTTAGAAAATTCTCAATTATGGAACTGCTAAGCCGAAGCGAAATCAGAAGCACCTATTTCAAACATAAGTATCGAGGTATCTATTGGAGTAAAGAAAATTCTAATTACGCAACTATTTTTTTCATCTTTCTGGCCAAAAGAGATACTAAAATATGCCTCAATTCACTTAGGCCTAGGTCAGTGACGAAAGTATTAGAGCCAAGGTTTTATTTTGAGATCGCATGTCATACGCGAAGACGACCGAACGAATATTGTCCAATTGCCAGCACAAATTGTTCACGATAACGATCAGATCATGATAAGAAAGAACAATGTTTTGTGAATTGGGCTCCGCATTTTCTGACGCAAAGAGTTGATAAACGGCTGTCTTGTTAGGAAATTGCGAAGCCGTAGCCTGAATATAGTTGAGCAAAATCCGGCTACCTACTCGACTGTCACTCAAGTCGGTGACACGTTCCATATTTTCTGTGGCCATGAATCCGGTGAAAGATAAAGCACGATATAACATGTGAGGGGCGAGATGACACTCCTTGTTCTTCAACTGTAGGGTTGATCACGTCAAACAGGTTAGAAAAAGCAGGATTTTACAGCTATCACCAATAGAACAAGGGATGTTCCGTGGTCACTAGGATTGGCTGAGCTTTTCCTTTATATTTGGAATATCTAGTAGGGAAGAACTATGAGGTAATCGTCAAAGTTTATGTTCGGGATAGAGTGTTCCTTGTTAGTAGGCTGATCGTCTCCTGTCACTGCTGGCGAGCGTCACACGCAGAAGCACACAGAGAAGTTATGCTGTGCTACACAATGTAGCATCTAGCTACATAAATGTACTCAGAACTACTTGTGAATATTGGGACAATAGTGCGTCAGGCCGTAACTAGCCTTGATCGGGTTACGCACACCAGTGGTGGCTATAAAATACGGATGTACTTTGGACTTGCGAATTTGCCATCTTCAAGACATACTACGAACCAAGAACTATCAACACAAGACCTGCAACTTAATTTCAAAATGGATCACACACTACACGTCTTTCGTGGATCAGGTGATGGCAAGATAATTCAGGATGAAATCAAAAGAACATTGGGCTCAAACGATGTGCTTCTCGATATAACCCACGTCAGTATATGTGGAACAGATGATCTCTTCTTGAGATCATCTCAAGTGCTTGGTCATGAGGGTGTGGGCGTTGTCAGAGAGAAAGGCGGCGGGGTGACATCAGTTAACATTGGCGACCGTGTTGGCGCTGGTTATATCCAGAATGTGTGTGGAGAATGTAAAGATTGTGTTTCCGGTACTTGTCCATGCATCATTTGAAGCCTAAACAATTCGGCAATTGACCTGCTTGTCTAGGTTGGAACCAATACTGCGCTAACAGACAACGTTATGGCGCCAGTGCACCCGAGCAAGGCTGCCTTGGGAAGCAAGCGGTCTGGGACGCAAAGGCTCTCATTTCCATCCCGCAAGCGTGTAGCTCTACTAATGCCGCGGCACTCATGTGCGGTGGAGCTACTGCTTGGACAGTCTTGACCCGTTACGGTATTCGGCGCGGACAGCGTGTGGGTATCATAGGGGTTGGTGGGATGGGTCACCTCGCAGTCAAGTTATCCGCAGCTTTGGGGTACCACACTGTGGTCTTTTCGCGCTCAAACTCCAAGCGAGATGACTGCATGTCATTTGGGTCTAAAGAGTTCTATTTGATTCCTAAGCATACTGCGGCGAAAGCACGGCCCATGAATGATCCTGCAGGTGTCTTACCTGGGATATTCGAACCTGTGGACCATTTACTATTATGCAGTAGTGTAGCAGAAGACTTTACTATGCTCATGAAGCTGGTGGCTACACGCGGTACTATCTATCCATTGACAGTCAGTCTTGATTCTGTTCCAGTTCCCTTACTGGCTATGATAGACAATGGAATCGGGATACAAGGATCCTTGACGGCGTCGACAGAAAGTCTTTTCAAAATGTTGCAATTTTGCGCTTCGAATCACGTCAACCCCCTAGTTGAATGCCATTCCTTGGACCAAAATGGTGTCAAAACTGCTTTCCAAGCATTGAAAGAAGGATCTGTGCGATACAAGACTGTGTTAGAGAAAGCAGCATGTACTTAGATAGCTTTGAATGCACAGAATTCTGTTTTGAGATCTCCATACATTTCATTTCGTTACCATCTATGTATCAGGTTACTAATGACAGTTTTAGATTCTCAGTCCAACACAAGCGCAATTTTGACCTTTGAACCTCCATGTAGAGTGTCAGTCGCTAGACTCATTTCGCATACAACCTCTGAAAATATTCGTTAACCGAAGTTGGAATAATTTCAGGAAAAAGGTCATTGTGCAGCAGACCGGGGGGCCTCCAAAACCTGCCTTGACCTTGCACATATCGCAACAAAATCCAAAAGTCAACCGGAAAGTTACTGCCTCTCTGAAACCTCTTCGGTGCGGATGATGGATTATCAAGTATTTTTCTGGCCTGGTCCACAGAAGTCAGGTTGATTCGAGTCTGCTTTCCTGAATGATACCGCAGAAGCTCGGCGACTTCTTGAAAGGAAATGTAATCACTTCGAAATCCCAAAATCCTGTTCTCAGATTTCTCGGGATGGTGGATGCATGCCACGAGGTACTTGGCCACATCTGCGCAACTGGAGTAGTCCATTTTTGCTTCTGGATCCCCCACGCACTGAATTTCATACCCATTCTGCTTGATTGATTCATCCCTTTCAAACCATGGACACAGAATCTGTTCTTCTTGGAGATCATAGAGCTCCCCACATCCAATAACGGTGTAGGTCATCTGGCCATTTTGGATTGCGGGATGCTTAGTAGCATTTTCAAAGCATCTCATTTTTCCGTCCCAGATCTGATCAAAGCGTTAGAGGAGAAAAAAAGACTAAAGTGGGGCGGAAATTATATACCGGATGCAAATATCCTCCTTTGTTCTCAAACCAGGGAATTTGGTGCATCCCGAATTCGCTTGGGAAGAATCGTCGAACTCCAGCTATTGCAGCGGCGTCTTGAATAACTCCTTGTTTACTGATCACTTCATTTCCAAGAGTGCTGACAACAATATTCACATCATGACTAGCCAAAATCTTGGCGAGATGATCGCTAGTGATGTTTTTGAGATCTACTCTCTTTTCGATGATGCTCGCCTCGTCAAAGTCACTGACTTGAAAATCAGAGGTTGGAGAAACAAAAGCAAGAACTTTCAATTGTCCTTCTTTAGACTTGTTCATTGCTCTCAACAGTTGTCTTCCAATTTGACCGTTGGCTCCGAAAACAGCGACGGTCTGACACTGAGTAGACATGATGAATAGAGGTTGACTTTGGTGACAAAAAAAGGTGTTTATTATCTGTGAATTTGCAAAATGAAAAATGCAGATTTGAAGATATGTTTAAATTGGCTTGAATGAACGGACACAGAGCGGGTTTACCAGAAGTGGTACGAAAGCCCTGTTGTCATTCCTTCGGGTGGCAAAGCCTCTTTAGAGACTCCTGCGTGAAAATGTAAGGCAGGCCCCATTTTTGGAATGCGATGAAGGATATGGTGAGGTGTTGGTGATACAAAGGAAAGACTTGACGATCCCCGCGTCAGGCATTTGGAATGCAAAGGTCTCACATGGGACATAAAGCATTACAGGAACGGTCAGACCTGAGGCAAGCGCATTTTATCAACTTAAAATAAAGATGATGAACAGCGGGAGCTTCCAAATCAAGCTACTGGCAGAGATTAGATCCATACCAAATCAAAGCCGGATTATCTAGCTCACGCCTGGGCACTGGAACCGTTTATATCGGATTCAATAGCCTGGGATAATGTTGGAATACTATGATTTAGACCATTGAATTCTTCTTAAGCTTGCCTTTACTATGTTGTCGACCAAAATGGGTTGTGATAAAGCCGCGAATTAAGTTCGTTATTTAGTGTCTACTTTTTGCATCACTTTTTTCAACAAGGTCAAGGAAAAATTACCATATCTCATTCAACCTCTTCCTAGGCTATTATGTAGGCCTCAAAGTCTAACCAGTTGTCTCAGTGAGATTCAATGCGCACACAGGTAGAAACCTCCAATCCATCCTACTACGTGTAAGCATGATTGTAGTGGAGTAACGATGAAGCTACTTACAGGTTCTCCTGTAGGACCAACGCCGTTGATGGGTGAGCTTTCATACACCAGATAGGGATCTCCAAAAGACTTGTCGGCAGCTCCCTTGGTATCAACTGACTCTTTCTCCACTTCTATCTTGGTCACTTTCTCACTTGTAGATGACTGAACATATTTCAGGTAGTCATGAATGTTGGGTGAGTTCGTATCGTCAGCAATGACAGTTGTGCCTGGCCCAACGAGACCCAATTCTTCGCAAAGCTTCAGGTCATTGGCGTACTCCAGTTTGGCATGGTCAATGAAGAAAACATCAACAACACCAGTAGAGTATTCTTGTCGCAGTTGCCGAATAGAGTCCCGGCAAGGACCGACACGGACTTCCACGATGTCATCCAATCCAGCCAACTCAATAAGTGCACTGGATATGGCAGCGAACTTGGCACTTGCCTCAAAGCTCATGTACTTCCTACCACCGGCTTTCTGCAAGGCAGCCCCAAAAAGCAACGCAGAGTAGCCAACATATCCTCCTAGCTCAACCATGAGATCAGGCTGCAATTTGGGGATCAACTCTTGGGCCACAACTTTCCCTTTCTCGGAACCGACGTTCATCAAGAAGTCAGTTGTACGACCGTACTCGTCGATTGCATCTAGAATTCGAGTGGCATTTCCTTGCATCTCGTTATATCCAGGATGAGCGCGGATAAATTGCAGCAGTCGCTCTTCTCGGCCATCGTTATGCTGTCCAGCTGTTAGAAAGAAAGTGCGGCATTGGAGAAAAGGAAATATGGAACGCACATATATGGCCTCTTCGGGTTTATAGAAAGCTTTCTGATCTTTGGTCATGATTATTTCTTTCAAGGTATTTGTTTCGGGTGTATTGATTTTTATCACGGTGATAGTGTACAGCGGCGATTTAACGATTGAACCTCCAGGGGCTGCCAGAGAGATTGAATAGGATGCCGTACGGGCGAGAGACTCTGAAGTATGGCTTGTAAGTCAAGTTCAGTGGAAGGTGTTCCATCATCTCGCATCATGTGCTGTGGTGGTATGTATTTCAAATTCAACGTATGATCAATCCTAAACACGTAGCCTGGCTTCGATGTTCGAGACTTCAAGACTTCATTTGCATATGGAGTTATGCAATGCAAATGCAAGGATGGCCCAACGTACGACCTAGGAGCGAGTTTCACAGAAGCGATCAATTGAAAGTGACACAACAAAATGTCTATCAATTACGTTTTTGGCGAAGCACATGGGTATTCCTCAAGTCCCAATCACGCTGATAGGCCTAAGTTGATGCATACTGCATATCTGAAGAAATTTTAAACCCCGTATTTCAACGAATATGAGAACCCCGATGCAGTGCATATATCCGGAATTTATGCTCTGTACCCCAAAATTGGCAGAATAGTGGCAGTCAATTAGCTCGGTTGATTTAAACGGCTTTCACGTATCGGACCATGCATCTGCAGATTTCCGGCGGGCCAATGAATTGTGGCGTAGACACGACAATCCTGTGGTCGACGCTCATGAGTTATTTCAATGTAGTGCAATTTCCTTGAGTTAAGAAATTGCATGAATTCAATGAATAGATTAAATCAGGTAATGAAATGGGGACAATGTGATGTCAGTCTGTAAGGCCTACGTACGTCCGGACGTAGGGGCGAGGAAGAAGATGAAGTCTTTTTTTGAGCACGGTCGCCGCGATAAGCGCGACGACACTCCTGACTAAGCTGACGAATGCCCCATGGCCTTGGGAGCTTACAGTCTGGTCAGGTCGACAGATGCCAACAAAACCCAAACAAAAGGCCAGGAAAGAAACGACGGGCAGATCAGGCCTACTGTACATGATATGATGATATATCAAGGAGCATGATCATTGATCATGAATAAAAAATCAAGAATCAAGAATCAAGAATCAAGAAATGAATGACATAGCTGCATGTTTTTCTCTTCCTACAGTCGCAACCTGGCTTCATCCTTCATCGAGGATCTTCATGTCTGAGGCACTGGTCAGATATGTTGTGTGACGCACACCGCTACAGTAACTACAATCTTAACGGAAGCCTGTGTTAGGGTGTTCTGATCTTAGAGTCCCACTCCCTTTCTTGTAAAAAACCGAAACTTAAATAGTATTACCTATAGCAAAACACGATAGCATGTGTGAGATCTATGGTACCATCTAGTATAGCTTTTGGATTACCTTGAAGAGCGGAGTGGTGACCTGACCGTCACGAATGGCCATGTAGATCTTTGTGACGTTTGTTCCAATGGTCTCCTTCTGTCTTCCATCGTCATCAAGATTACCCCCCAAGGAACCTGGGTGGTCAACCAGCCCACGATGGAGCGGAACCTGAAGAACATGACGTATCCATTGATAGATCTCCCTCGTTGCAGGTGCCAAGTATTTCGGAGTAGATTGTTGGGCCAAGAATTGTTTGCGTGTTCGTTGATGATCCTCGATTAGCGTCAATGTAACAGCAGTTGTCCATTTCGGAATCAATGCATAGGAAGATGGGTCTATATCACCGCGAGTGAAGTGATCGAAAATTGCATGTGCGGAATCTCTTGCCACCTGTTTACACCGAGTCTCGACTTCGGATTCATTGTACGTATGCCAGGCTTCTGTGATCTCCGTCCACAAATCAGTGAACACCATAGCTCCGTGGCAAGAATACCAGATCTCTCTGTGAAGTACAGCCAACCTTGACTTAGTTGTGTCAAAGAAATCTTCATCCAAAGCGCGTAGATCAAGTGCTTGGCAAAGAGAATAAAGATGTACTGCGCACATCATCGTGAGAATATCAACTGATTCGGCTGTATATCGAGCTGTAACAAGGGCTAGCGAGTTAACAGACTGATTGTTCATCTCGGCAACCTGTACATGGCTAACAACCGAGTTTCCAAGGTATGCCAGCTCTGAAAGATAGGCCGACATGTTGACATCAGTCCCCTTGCATGTAAATGAGAGGCTAGGATCATCAAAACAAAGATTAGGTGGCAAACCCTTGTTGATGGCTGGATTCACGAGCTCTTGACATTGTGAGGCTATCAGTCGACCAAGCATGACGATTGCAGTCTTGGTCTTTTCCATCGCAGTCGTGACAGATGCAGCCTGAAAGTTGCCACCATGGTGGAAACGGTCTCCTGCTACATCAATGAGAGGATTGTCGGTGGACGAGTTCAACTCAGTGGTCACTTGGTCGTCTGCAAGCATAAGATCTTCAAGCACAGGACCAATCCATTGAGGTGCAGTACGCAATGCATACCGATCTTGTACCAGGCCTTGCTGTTTGATGTTCATTTCGATGCTGAGGTGAGACCCAATGAGAAATGAGCGGATATTATCAGCCACTTCGATCTGTCCTGGGTGTGGTCGACATTGGGAAATGAAGTCATGGTAGTTGTCCACTGACCCGAGGAGGGCCTCCGTGGTCATGGCAGTCAGCAACTGCGCGAGAAGAGCAAGGATATGGGCGTCATGTAGCACCAGTGCGGCGGCAGCGGCGCTCGGGGCAGTTCCATTGATTAATCCAAGGGCTTCCTTAGCCCTCATTGTCACAGGTGAAAGGCTCGCCTGGCGCAATGCGTCTGCAGCCGACATCACTGTTACATGATTCTCACTCTTTTTGGGCTTGACCTGCACAAAGATTCCTGGATTTCCTTCAAGTAGGCCACCAACATATGAAAGTGGACCAAGGTCACCAGATGCCGAAATGCTACCTCTCAAGGGAATGATAGGCGTAATTCCCTTGTTCATTGCTTGAATCAGCAGCTGGATCTTGTCCATGCCCACGGCCGAATGTCCCCGTATTAGTGAGTTACAGCGCAGTAGAATTGCACCTCGTGTCACATCCTCCGGCAGAGCATAGGCTTTGTTGTAACCATTTGGAAGACCTGGTAGGATACCACTCTGATGATGTTGCAGAAAGCCTTTTTGAAGCAGTTCGACTTTTCCTGTTCGCGAGTTGGCATTACCGCCACATCCAGTATTGACTCCTATGATTGTTGATAGTAAGTACACATCCAATGCACCTCCTGAGGTATCTGCTTACCATAGATATCTTCCCCGTTGTTGAGATGGGCATTGAGTGTGTCAATGCTTTCCTGCACACGTTTCTCAATTGCACTAGTCGTGGACAAGGAGACAGTTACAGAAGACCTAGCCAGAATATGTTAGACACGCAAGGTCAATTTTCATAAAGGTAGAAGAAAGGCCATCGTACCTGGCCACCGCAACAAGATGCGCAAGTTCCAGCGACTTTCGATCGCCACTCAATGATATGGCGTCGGTTTCCTTTGCATTCTCGAGAAGGCTAAAGGCCTGATGAACTTTTTCGAGGTGTCTCATCATTTTTACTGATTTTTTGCTAGACAGCTATGACTTGAAATTGAGTTGAAAGATTTAGATGGAGCCTTGATTGTTTCTTTCATTGAATAACAACACCTGTCTGTCACTTCTTATGTAGGCTTCCTCGCTCAGCTGAGGCAATCACGACGGAGTCTAGTGGATACCTATGTACACATGCCCGATTGGGCTTGTCGTACGAGTCAATCTCATATGCCACAATGTTTTCATCATCATGCGCAAGGGGTTGTTGAGTGCCTATGCCCGGATTTGGATCATGTCCCTGTCTGCAGATTGAAAGGCCAAATCAAGAATCTTGCAGATCATGACAAAACAGTGGGGGTTAGGAAATCCACTTACTTACAAAATGATGTATATCTACTCACAATATCGTTGGAAGTCATTAAATAACTCAACCAGACTTGAACCTTACACATTGGAAACAAAGCCCTCTTTCGACATGGCAAAGGAAACACCAAGCGTTGATGTTCTGATTGTCGGTGCTGGTCCTTCAGGGTATGCATCGTGATCAAAACTTATCAACACTTAACTAATTGTCTATTGTAGGCTCATGGCCGGGACATGGATGGCAAAAGCAGGAATCAAGGCGGTGATCATTGATAAATCGCCATGCCAAACTCAACGTGGACATGCAGACGGTATCGAAAGCCGAACATTCGAGATACTCGACAGTTTTGGACTGGGGGATAGGATATGGAGAAGTGCTAACCGCACGGTCGACCTGTCTATATGGGTGAGCACTAGATCTAGTGTTTCCTTCGTGGTTGCATTTTCCAGCTTATTCCCGGGCTGGAATATTGAATTTTATACTTGTTGATGGAGCCTTCGCTGACTTTACAGGAAAAGAATGACTACGAATCCATTGGAATTCAGCGGACAGATCTTATGTATAACTGTACCCCAGGCCTCTCCAAATTTCAAGAAGCAACATTGGGCCAAGGCCAGATCGAAGAGAGCTTCATAGATTTTATTGAAGGCTCGAACTCTGTTGAAATCAAGTGGAAAACACATCCGGTCGATTTGACCATCAACGAAGGAACGGATCACCCTATCCAACTGGTGGTTGAAACTAGAACATCTGAAAGTGAGGTATGTCAAATTTAACGAATCAATATTCATATAGGTACCTATTGACCTATATATTGCTTTATTTTTAACGAAAGGCCCAGCACAATTCCTGTACAATCAATGCGAAATATATGATTGGATGCGATGGAGCACACAGCTGGGTTCGAAATTCACTTGGACTCAAGCTTGTAGGTGATCAAATTGGCGAAAAATGGGGAGTTATTGACTTGATTCCACTCACGGACTTTCGTAAGCTTCGAGGCTTTTCTCACGGACCGATAGAAGAGAATTGATACTGACCTGAAGACCTTTAGCTGATATCCGCAAGCGATGCATTGTCAAGTCCGATGCTGGCCAGTTGATGATCATCCCACGGGAACGGAAGCTAGTGCGATGCTATATTGAATTGTCACATGAAGTGGCCGCGGTTCTCAAAGAAAAAATGGATCCTGCGTTGCTCGTCGCCATTGTCAAGAAGATTCTGAGGCCTCATAGCTTCAAGACCTCAAACATTGAGTGGTCCACCGTCTATTCGGTGCGTATACCCACATACAAAAAGCGCAGTGATCTCAGGAACCATCTGACACTGACTATTGGCTTAGGTTGGACAGAGAGCATGCACAAAGTTGTCAATGTACAATCGAATCTTCTTAGCTGGTGATGCCATACATACGCACTCACCAAAAGCGGGCCAAGGCATGAACGTGAGCATTCAGGACACGTATAATCTCGGCTGGAAACTAGCGTCCGTCATCAAAGGAAGGGCAAATCCTAATATTCTGCGCACGTATCAATCCGAGCGCCTTCAGACAGCAATGCGCCTGATCGAGTTCGACAAGAGGATGGTCCAAGGGGTCTTCCCAAAAATGTCAGCCCCCGATTTAACGAGCAGCTCGTCAATGAACCAAAAGATGAAGGATGCCCTTAAGGAAGAAAACGGGTCTGCATCGGGAATCACTGTGATCTATAAACCAAGCTGCCTCGTCACACGAGCATTGGAATCGACAGATCGCAGATTAGCTTGTCCTTTGCTTCCCCATAGTAGAATTGAGCTCGCTGGAAGTTTGGCGGTTGGTGCTAGACTTCCCGACACTCAGGTCTTATTCCAGTGCGATTCCAGACCGTGGTCTTTACAGAAGATTCTTCGCAGCACTGGAGAGTGGTATCTGATGGTTTTTGGTGGTGACATTTCAGATGGCATTCAGATGATTCGCGTCAAAAGACTCGCATCGGAGCTAGCTCGACATGGCTCTTTGGTTTACAGACCGAATCGACAAGACTTTGACTGCGTCGGTAGAGTCTCAACAAACCTGATTCATTGTGCACCTCGGAGAAGCGTGAACTTGATGGAATTGCCAGAAATATTCAGACCATTCGATGAAGGTTTGGGGTATGACTACTGGCGCGTGTTCGCTGATGAGGAACTTTATTCTGAAAGGCGAGGTGAGGCATATCGTCAATACGGAATCGGGCCTGAGGGATGTATTGTCCTAGTACGGCCCGATCAACACGTCGCTTTGATTGGGAGTCTAGACGATTATGCTAGGATTGAGCTATTTCTGGGTACTTTCATGACTCCAGCATGTTTAGTATAGATACGACCTGTAGGTATGGTAGCTTCTTCCAGCAGGTCAACCTAATGCTAGAGTGGTAGCTGGAGTCCGAGAATGAAGATTCCCATGATTTCCCCACGTTTCTTTGGGACTTTTGGGGCTCTTTTCAAGAATAGCAGCTCTGTCTGAGTTAGCAAGAGAAATCAAAGAGAAATTATAACAAACGAGCTGTCTGAATGTCACCGTAGCCCGAACGGCTCTTCAAATGTAGATTCTCATTTTCAAGTGGAATGGGACCTCTTTTTTCACACTTTTCGTGTTTTGACAAAACACTGTACAGCTACAGGTTCGCTAATTGCCTGGCTATTACCACACTGGCTCACGAAGACGAGATAAGCAGGCTCGGGCCGGCGAAATAGATCGTAGAAGAAAACCTGGATGAGTCGTGGGGATAAAATTTAACATGGCGTACAAACTAGAGCCCATATTTATGACCATGATATTTCTATACACTTCTGACATCTCTGAAATCTCCAAACTCCAAAGCTCCCATCATCTGTGTCAAGAATCAAGGGACTGTGAACAAAATGGAAAGCTCGTGGTCTATAACTTAGCTATAGTCGCAAATTTCTAGGAGGATTATAAATAGGATGTAACTTTTTTGTTTCCCTGTTTAAGCTATTACATCGAATAGACCACACAACTGCGTGGCCAGAAAGTCTCGTGAAGCCATATATCAACAGAAAACTTGGAAACCTAAATCCTGAATCCCTTTCACAAGAAACAGAACTTGACCCCGTATCCACATCAAGTTCTAGATGGTATTCCGAATAGGATCTTTCTCAGCCCCCTCAATATTCTTCGAGAATTGCTCTGCAGCTTTAGAGTCATCTCCGAAGATCGTCTCCGCAACTTGCCTCTGAGGGGTTTCTCCCATCCACTGGAACAGAGAAAAGTCCTGGAATTTATCCGTGCGGAAAATCTCCAAAAGTTCAAGTGGTTCATCGTCACTCAGGTTTTCAACGAAATGTCCCATGTTTCGCGGCACAATGCCCACATCGCCAGCCATGTAGTTGAATGTTCGGGCCTTTCCCTCGGAAGCGAAGATCGTAACACGGGCGCGGCCCTTTTTGAAGTATGTCCATTCGTCAGCGTTGGGGTGCCAGTGCATTTCGCGTAGAGCGCCAGGCGCCACTTCCAAGTGGGCTGCTGCCACGGTCTTTGAGATGGGGAAGTTGGTTGAATCTGTGATGCGAACAAGACCACCTGTACCCTCAATGGGAGTTTGCGCATGCATGTGATGAGTAAAGTTGATCTTGGACTTTTTGAACCCGCGTGGTTTTTCTTCCTCAATGCTGCCTGGCTTTGATCCTTGGAAAATGTACTTTTCGGATGTTGGGATATTGTCGAACTGCTGGGGCTTGACACGGAAGTTCTCGGCGAGAACGGCTTTGGGGGTATGGGCTGGACCATAGTTTAGTCAATATTACACTGTTGATCGGTAGCTTGCTCACCCATCCAGTCCGTCAAAAGGAATGTAGATTCCTCTGAGAAATGGCCATCATCGAAGATCAAGAGAAATTCGGTGCCGTTAGGTCCTAGACCCTGAAGCGAGTGAGGATGTCCTGCAGGGAAATACCAAAGATCGCCTGCTTCGAGATCATCCATGAAACTGCCGCCTTCTGTGTCGAGCGCAGTCACCCGGACTTTTCCCGCCAGCACGTAAGCCCACTCGGCCTCGGTGTGCCAGTGTAGTTCGCGGATGACTCCTTCATCTAGCCGCATGTTGACCCCAGCCAGTTCACGGCTTGTGGGGAGTTCACGGATAGTAGTTTGTCGAGTCCATCCGCCCTCCTATATTGCCATTAGCATATCCATTTTACTGGTGATCTCACTTGGATATAACCATACCTCAATCCGAATATGAGAATCGGCGAAGCTCCATCTCATATTGGAAATGCTGCCTCGGTCTGTACTTGGCGGGCGGATTAAATCTGGATTTTGACGCTCACGATCCCTGTTTCGCGGTCCCATCACGGTGGTACCATCTCCATTTCGAAAGGGAAGTGGCTGTCTGTCATCTCCAACCGAGTCGACTTTGTGGTCATAGGGATCGCGATGACCTGGTGAGAAGGGGGGATGACCGATAGACTCGCTGTAGAGATCTGGATGACCCGGTCGGATCTGGAGCAGCTGCTGCAGTCCATAATCGGGAGCTGGAATAGCTGAGACGCCCAGCACAAACAAAAAAAGAGTCATTCCTAACATGATGGGCAAATGCAGGGAAGATGAGAGTTGCAAGGTTGAGACCAACGTGACTGGCAGCTTAAATGTCTCTCCGCACTTCCGCCGACTCCGACATCTCCAACTGCCAAAGCTTAATCCTTTCCTTTCTTCTCCTTCTTCTCCTCTTCTCCTCTTCTTTGCTTGTCTTCTGGTCTCTGTTTCGTCGATATACTAACCTTGTCTCCACAGTGGAGAACTATGACGCAGTTATTTTCTCTGCGGAGTCAAATTTCGACTTGGGAGCTCCTTGCATTCATAAGAGTCGCAATTCCCGCTATTCACTTCCACCATGTCTCAAGAAAGGGATCCTCTACTAGGACACAGGCCTACGGGTCAAAAGAGCCTATTCAAGTACTTGTGTTGCGAAATCGATCCTGCCCATGGCGACCTCCTACTGCTTTTCTGCTACATCATCACCGGCCTGTTGGACAGCTCGGCAGTGTTTATATGGGGCTCATTCGTGAGCATGCAAACAGGCAACACTGTTTACTTTGGACTCGGTCTTGTCGGCACAGATGACGATCGCTGGATCAAATCCGGTGTCTCCATAGCCGGTTTCTGTTTTGGCTCGCTTTGCTTCGCCGCCTTCCATCGTCTGTTCCCAGCCAGGCAGCGATGGGTTCTCTGTGCCTCTTTCCTTGCTCAGATGCTGTGTGTCACCCTTGCTGCTATCCTCGTTACCGTTTATCGCCCTTCGCGCGACGCGCCTTTGACTTGGCTTGTGCTTGTTCCGCTTGCCTTGGTCGCTTTCCAGAGTAGTGGGCAGGCCGTCACTAGTCGCGTCTTGCAATTTAATGGCTTAACCAGTGTTGTTCTTACTAGCATCTACTGTGATTTGTTCTCGCATCCGGACTTTCTTTCTCCCAGGGTTATTCGCCATGCGGAGGAAATGCGACGTCTAGGCGCCGTATTATGCCTTTTGCTTGGTGTCATCTTAGGTGGACTCTGGGCTCATAGCTCGGTGGGGCTGATGGGAGCGCTGTGGACTGCTGCCATCTTGAAAGGATTTATTGTTATTGCATGGTTAGCGTGGAAAGGGAAGGATGAGGAGTAATGCGAGGTGTGGCAGTTCCATAATTGATAATGAATTTGGTGAATGGATTGAATACGGATATAGTGGCTGAAAGAACGGCGTTCTTCGATATATGTCATTTGAAGTATTTTAGAAAAAGTGCACAGGATGAATCGATCGGTTGAAATACCAAAGTGTTAGTCAATACATTGAACTTGCGGAATAGTACATCGTGAGACTCCATGACAATATAATTCGATAACCTGAAGTACGCTGAAGTAAATAGGGACTAATGTGTTTCAAAATCGGGCTCGGGAAAGAATTAGTGAACTTATAAATCCAAAGTGAAATCTCGATCTGAGTTTGAAATTCCACGAGGATCATGTCCACATACCCCGGATTTTGAGTGGAGGAATCTTCAGGGTATACTTGAATATCCGTCATAGCTATTGAATCCCTGATCCATTACATCAAAAGCCTTCTCCCCCGTTTGAAGCTTTATCGAGCCTTGCGCCAAAATTGCCACGTGCTTTGGACGTTTCCTAGTTTAAGTTATACCCTTCTTCCACGGCACTGATCATTCTACAATGCCACAAATCTCAACAGTTGGTTGAGTAGAGTGATCAGATTTAGTTGTTCCACATAGTAGCAGATCAGTTGTCCGAATTTGACTTTGATTTAGACGCCGCCCTCGGTTTTCAAGTCCGCTACTTCCCAACGTGACATTGAGTTGCCACTGATGAACGGAAAGGATTTTCCTGACATGAGCTTTGACAACTATGACAAAAGCTATTTCTTCAGATCCGCTGCACAGTGCTCTATAGCCCTAGCCTCCTCCTGCCTCGATCTCAATTGCCTCGTCTCATTCAGTGAATCCCGCGACTAGCATCACTTCACACTACAATGGCACAGCGGAACCAGGATACATCAAATTCCGACGATGACGAGTGGAATAACGCATTAGATAATGAAGAAAAGCATAAGTCGGCTCACCGACCATCTCAAGATGAGAATCCATTCGGAGACGACGAGGAGGGAGACACGCAGTATCGAACAATGCGTTGGTGGCAATGCAGCATGAGTATGTCAACTGCACTCTTTCCTCTGGCGCACGAAAAGTATCTGATATCATTGATTTACAGTCATGATTGCGGAAACTATATCCCTCGGCATTCTATCGCTTCCTTCAGCCGTTGCAGTCTTGGGACTGGTGCCGTCAGTCACTCTCTTCCATTACGGACCACATTCTGATTTATATCTAGCTCGGTGATCCTCATTGTCGGACTCGGTATCACGGCTACATACACTGGCTACGTGATAGGTCAGTTCAAATTGCGATATATCAAGGTTCACAGCATGGCAGATGCTGGGGAAGTAATGTTTAGCAGAATTGGCTGGCCACGCTTCGGCAGAGAGTTTCTGGGAACGGCCCAACTCCTCTTCCTGATCTTCATCATGGGCAGTCACATCTTGACTTTCACCACTATGATGAGCACTGTGACAGACAATGGCGCTTGCTCAATTGTCTTTGGCATTGTTGGTTTGATAGTTTCTGTTCTACTTGCACTGCCTCGGACTCTACGCAAGGTTTCGTGGATGGCATGCGCTTGCATGTGGTACCCTGGGTCACGATCCTTTTCAGTATTGACTTTGATTTGACAGCTTTCATAAGTATTATTACTGCTTTGCTGGTTACCATGATTGCTATATCTATACAGCGTCCGGGACATGGTCAGGTAGACGCGATTACGACAGTTCCTCTGAACAAGGCATTCTTGGCCGTGACGAACATTGTGTTTGCGTACGGTAAGTGTCCATATTCCACAAGTGGATAAACGTTCACTGATGATTTCATAGCCGGTCATGTCGCATTCTTCAGCTTTATATCCGAAATGCGGGTTCCTACTGACTATGCTAAGACTCTATATCTGCTCCAAGTCATTGACACGAGCATGTACGTAATTGCTGCCGTTGTTATTTACATCTATGGCGGAAGAGGTGTCAAGTCCCCAGCATTGAGCTCGACAAGCTCTGTGACAGCCAAGGTTGCATTTGGAGTTGCTATTCCTACGGTATGTTACCCCAATCTGACTTGAAACAACGTCTAACGCAGTACCCAGATTGTGATTGCCGGTGTGATCAACGGACACGTTGCCGCCAAATATATCTATGTACGAATCTTCCGAGACACGAATCAGATGCAGAAGAAGTCAGTGTTGTCTATCGGATCCTGGGTGGGGATTACCGTCGTTCTATGGGTGATTGCCTGGATCATTTCTGAGGCCATACCAGTATTCAACACGCTGCTAAGCTTGATTGTAAGTCCTTGAATTTTGGCCATTTTATGGTTCCCCAGTTAATTCCATTCTACAGACTTCGCTGTTCGCCAGCTGGTTTACTTGTATGTGGCTGTTTGAGTTTGTTCCGACATCGACCGAGCTAATGTATTTCCTAGACGGACTAAGCGGTATTTTCTGGCTTTTCCTTAATTGGGGTCGATACAGTTCCAACTGGAAGAAAATGACGCTCACCTGTATCAACTTGATTATCGTTGGGATCGGTGCTTGCTTGGTGGGTTTATTTGAGACTCAACAATGCGTCACTCTAGCTGACTCTCAATTTAGTGTGGAATGGGGCTGTGGGTTTCTGGGAAGGCCATTCATGATAGTAACAATAGCTCCAGCTTCACTTGTTCTCATGAGTAATGTTGAAGTTGGGCCTGTAGCTTGTGTATGTGAATAAATATCAAACTATATTTTTTGAGATGAAGACATGGTAGTATTGGCTGTTTTCATGGTTTTTGAAGCGCACGTAACAATTTCGTCGACTCAATCGCACCCAAGTTAGCTCACCCAAACCTTGATGCCATGACGTTACGTGTCATCAGTGGTTAACAAGGGAGAATTAGTATGCATGTCCAATAGATCATAACACAGGCTCACTGGGTTCACGTTCGTACTTAATTTGCATCCTGTTCGATAGCATCGCAAAGGTGCATTCCCAGTGTGCCAGGCTATCTCAAGACCGCATCAGTTCCACAATTACGATCCATACTTGGTGGAAGACATAGTTAAAATGCCTGACAAAGTAACGCAGACCGGAATTCCCTCCCGTGATTCGGCAAGCTTGAAAACACTGATTGACGAAGATCGTTACGCCTCGAGCACAGGTTTGGAGTCAAATGAAGCATTCTCAGACAAAGATCGACCCGACGAGAAAGACTCAACACTTGTAGAGTGGGATGGCCCTGACGATCCGGTGTGAAATCCCCCCCCCCCACAAGGATGCATGCATATACTACCCGGGCCTGGCTTCAATCACTAACGAACTAATAGGAGAAACCTACCAACTTTTCTCCCGCAAAGAAATGGTTTATCACCGTCGTCCTTGGACTAATGACAATATGCGTGACTTTCGCTTCATCAGTATTCAGCACAGCAACCGCAGTGACAGCAAAACAATTTCATGTCTCAGACGGGGTGATGATCCTAGCAACCAGCCTATTCGTATTAGGCTTCGCCTTGGGTCCAATAATCTTTGGTCCACTCTCCGAATTATACGGGCGGAAGCGACCGATGTTCTTGGGCATGATTGTCTTTGCAATCTTCCAGATCCCCATCGCAGTAGCCCGAAACCTCGAGACAATCTTCATATGTCGCTTTTTGGGCGGGGTATTTGCCAGTGCGCCTCTTGCCATTGTGAGCCTTGCCTCTTTCGCGATCCCGTCGAGAAACTGTTACTCACTAGCGTCGTCTGGGGTAGGTGTCGGGTATTTTGGCAGACATGTTTGAGCCAGTAGAACGTGGAATTGCCATCGCCATCTTCGCCGCTAGCACCTTCGTCGGTCCCGTTGCTGGTCCAATCACTGGTAGTTTCATCACAAGGCTCCTAGGGTGGCGCTGGACGGAGTATATCACCGCAATCTGGGCGTTTGCCTTTTCCACCATTGGCTTTCTTTGCATTCCGGAGACATTCGAGGGGACTTTGCTAACAAAGCGTGCCAAGTGCCAGCGCACCAAGACCAAGAATTGGGCTTTTCATGCCAAGGCGGAGGAGAGCGTTGTTGGTGCGCAAGATATTGCGCTTCGCTATCTCCTTCGGCCTTTCCAAATGCTGTTCTTGGAGCCCATTCTTCTCTTGATCACGCTGTATGTTGGTTTCATCTATGGGTTCTTGTATACCTGCTTTGAAGCCTATCCTATCTCGTTTCATTATGAACGCGGCTGGCAGCAGGGAGTGGCGGCTTTGCCTTTCGTGGCTATCATCTGTGGCGTCGCCGTGGCGTGTCTAATCATCGTGGCCTTTTCGTTGACACGGTATCGAAGTATAATGCGCCGCACCGGACGAGTCGATCCCGAGGAGCGGTTAATCCCAATGATCATTGGGGGTATCCTGGCGCCCATTGGAATGTTTTGGTTTGCTTGGACATCGAATCCCCACATCTCTTGGATTCCACAAGTCATCTCCGGAGGCTTTTTGGGGGCCGGGGTGTTGCTGATCTTCTTGCAGGTATGCACTTTCTTCTGCCTGTGATGATTTGTCTGAAATCAGGCCAATTGAATACTGAGGCCCGTGAAACCCTAACTCTGATCGACAGGGACTCAACTATATTATTGATGTTTATCCTATGTATGCCAATTCGGCGATTGCAGCCAATTCCTTCTTTCGGTCATGGCTAGGGGCTGGATTTCCGATATTTGCCTTGCCAATGGTATGAGTATTCCGCGGGCAAGTTTTTCACGAGGCTGACTGCATGATATTAGTTCAAAAATCTGGGTGTGCCTTGGGCCATGACTTTGTTGGGATGTCTCACCGCGGCGCTCTTCCCTGTACCCGTTGCGTTTTTCATCTATGGGCCAAAGATCCGATCATGCAGTAAATTCAGCGTGAAAGGGGAGTAATTAGATTAATCGACATCAGCCTGAGACTGACAAGGGGCTCCATGATTGATGTCCCTCAAATTAGCCCAGAGATGTGACCCCTGGAATAGGCTATGCCCATATTCGGCTTAGTGATTCCAGCCCGGCATTCCAAGTTTCCACGTGAAGGCCGTAGTTCCGACTGCCGGCACTTCCGATATAGAATGATTTGAGATCTTCCAATGGAACTGCAAGTGGAAATTTGGATCGGATTCATTACAGGAAAGCAAAGGGATTATCAGACACAGAAGGAAATGGTTGGCTGTCACGGGGTGTAATACGCTGACTCAGGCCTTGGCGTGCAGACCACATTCGAGTCTCAAACGACTTGACTGATATTCCGATGTCACTGTGACGAACTGATGGAGAAAGTGAGTTACATCAGAGGTGATAGACGACAAATATGCATGACACGCGGTTCATGTTATCGTGGCCCGAGGCACAATTGGACTCTGCTGGGCTCCATCGGCCGGGTCCGATGTGGAGCAGAGACCTGTAGGCGAGAGAGAGGCTTCGCTATGCACTTCCTTGACCAATCCGCTGGTAATGATGCATCTCATGTCATACCCCGGGATCTAAAAGGGGGTGACCGGGGGAGAACTAAGCTTCCTGGGGTAGCAGGAGTGCACGAAACCCCCAGCACACCGTTCCGCCAGGGAGAAATCCGGGGAAACCAAGACTTTTAGCTAATATTATCTGCCGTGGTGACTCTCGAGCACTTCCTTCTCCACATTTGCCTCGACTGGCCCCGTTTTCGCCAATGGGAGCTGCGATCCTCGGACCGGGGTGCTCTTTGGCCCACAACTGGGGGCCCTCCAGACTCACGATCGTCCGGCAGACGGCGATGGCCGTTCAAACCTCACTGCGTGTATATATGAACTTGTCTCCAGCATCATACTGTTTTTGGCGGGGCAATTGGTGTGGCATGATCTTCAATCTCTAGATCTATCTTCATACTTACTTCTCTTTTAAGATATACCATGGCACCGTATCTTGGCCTTCGAGGAAATGCCCTCCTCCGGGCTGCGGTCATGCTGGTCGTGTGCCCTACCTTTACTTGTTATGGATACAACATGAGTGTGGCCGGTGGCCTATTAACACTGGACGCTTTCAATTCTCAATTCCCAAGAATGGACACAATTCACGTCGATGGGGCTCTTCAACAACAAAACTCGCAGATCCAAGGTCGGTCATTTTATCAATGGTTGAGCCAGTATAGATCTTCCTTGCTAATGTGCATTTTTAACAGGCACCGTTATTGCCCTTTATACTGTCGGTGGTATCTTCGGTGCCCTATCATGCGTCTACCTCGGTGATCTCTGGGGCCGACGCAAGGTCATCTTCATCACCAACTTTATCACTATCATCGGTGCCATCCTTATGGCAACATCCTTCCAATTTGCCCAATTCATCGTCGCGAGGCTGGTTCTCGGTTTAGGAATTGGTGGCTATGTGGCGACAGTACCGGTCTGGCAATCTGAAATCTCACCTTCTCACAAGCGAGGATCCAACGTTGTCACTGATGGAATCTTCGTCGGACTTGGTGTGACGCTTGCCTTGTGGATTGACTTGGGTTTCTACTTTGTCAAGGACAACTCCGTCTCATGGCGATTCCCTCTTGCTTTCCAGATCGTCATGTCCATTACTGCAATGATTTTCATTACCATGCTTCCAGAATCCCCTCGCTGGCTGATCAAAACCGGCCGAGTGGAGGAAGGACGTCAGGTTCTCGCCGCTCTGCTCGATGCCGATGAGCACTCCGATACCATCAACGACAACATCCGCGATATCGAAGCCTCCCTCGCCTACTGCGGATCCGGATCATGGACCGATATGTTCAAGAACGGCGAACAGCGCATCTTCCACCGTGCCTACCTCGCCGCTACCGGTCAGATGTTCCAGCAAATGTGCGGTGTCAACCTGATCACCTACTACGCTACCACCATCTTCGAACAATACCTCGGAATGGACGCCGTGAAATCCCGCATCCTTGCCGCTGCCATGGGTCTGATGCAGCCCTTCGGTGGTTACCTCGCCTACTACACAATTGACCGTCTCGGTCGCCGACCCCTGATGCTCTGGAGTGCAGGTGCCATGTCAATCTGCATGGCCGGTCTAGCGGGAACAACCTCCCCCGTCGCAGCCAACAACACAGGTGCCCTGGCCATGGCGGTGGTCTTCCTCTACTGCTTCCAATTTATCTTCACAGTCGGCTACTCCGGCCTGACTTTCCTCTACGCCGCGGAGATGGCGCCTCTCCAAGTCCGTGCCGCTGTCAGTGCCGTTTCCACCGCCACCGTTTGGGCGTTCAACTTCCTGCTGGCTCAGGTGACTCCCGTCGGTTTCTCCACGATCGGAAGCAGATATTACATCGTCTTTGCCGTAGTCAACGCGGCAATTGTGCCTAGCGTTTACTTCTTCTTCCCTGAGACCAAGGGTCGCACGCTAGAAGAGATTGATGAAATCTTCGCGCAGTCCAAGAACATCTTCGACCCACCCCGTGTGGCTCGTGCTATGCAGCTGCGTACGGTGCATGTCGGCGAATCAAATTCCGATGCTGAGAATACGGGCTCGAATGACGATGTCATCAAGGAGGAGGTTAAGGCGTGAGAGATGTGCCTGGACTTACCTGTCCACTTCCAAATAGGATGAGCAGGTATATTTAAGACCAGAATGCCGTGATGAATTAGCTATAGCGGGACTTGTACATATTTCAGATTCCCGACCGGGTCATTGGACCGGTCATTGTCCTCCAGTCACCAATTTGACCCTTTTCCTTTGAATTGTGCTCTCTTGTACAGTAATGCGCTTTTGCGGTCTTCTGTAAACTGCAGATTGACTGGTATCTCGGTTCGAAGATGCGACCGTCGACTTGGCACCGTTTCAGGCTATGCTGCAGAGTTTCATCTGATCCAGGAGGTCCTAGATCCGTGCCTTGTTTGAACCGAAAATCGTCGTCGATCTTAAGAAGCTGTGTTGCAGGTGCAGTATTACATGTACATCAGGCTAAGCAGCGACGCAGATATAGCATGGCTCGTACTATATCCAGCGCTTCGACCCGGAGAAACGTCCAAGTTTAGCAAGGAGCAAGGGTTTTATTGCTCAGGGTCTTGTCTAGATCAAACGACTGACATGTCTCCGGTTTCATCTTGTCCGTTTCACAACCGGCGGCTCCATAGGACTCCGAGTATAAGACATACAGTATGGAATTGTTCACCATCATGTAATTGAAATATCACACTATCCTTTCAAACTCTACCAAGGCATCCAATATGAAATCTTTCGCATGGTTGATCTACCTCCCCATGATGGCAGAGGCTGGCGAGGTCCTATGGAGTGGACTGTTCAAGGCCTCTGCGACCGTGGCTGACTTTGACAAATGTAACTTCGCACCGCACTCACTTCCTTGTGAGCCAAACACCATATACTGATCGATTAAAGGGTCCTGGTCTAACCAAGTCGGCGCTTGGCAATGGTATATTCACGGCACCGCATCAACAGACGAGTACCTGGGACTCTCGCCTGATCACAAGAACCCAGCCGATACCAGCGAAGAACAAGGCATCCGAATCACAATTGACGGCACATCCTTCTGGAATGGCCAGACGATGGAACGATCCGAGCTGATCCCCCAAACGACCGCGGATCTGGGCAGTGGCCATTTGTACTACCACTTTTCATTGAAGACCAATGAGACCAATGCGCCCAATCCCAAGTTTGAGCACCAGATTGCTTTCTTCGAGGTTTGTATCCATCCTGCGCTGGGTTACGGGATCAGAGCTCACACATCCCACAGAGCCACTTCACCGAGCTTAAATACGGTCTCATGAGCGGCGATTCTGCCGACTCGGACAACACCCTGCGATGGTGTGTGGGTGGGACATCACACTGGACGACTCAGCTCGAAGCTGGGAACTGGTATAACTTTGCCTATGACATCGACTTTGATACGCAGACGGTCGGGCTCTGGGCATCGAATGGGTCTAGCCCGTTGACGCAGGTCGTCTCGGGTGTAGCTACCTCAGCTTCCACTAATTCGGCGGATTGGCATATCGGCGAGTTACGGCTTGACAATGGGGGATCGGACTCGGCTGCGGAAGACTGGTTCTGGTCTGGCATCTTCGTGGAGAGAGCTCCGATTACGGCGGCAATGGCGGGACCGAAGTGAGCAAACAGAGCAAACCAAGCATGCCAAGCAAACCAAACACACAAACGTAGTAACATAGCAATCGTAGCAAACATAGCAATCGTAGCAAACATAGCAATCGTAGCAAACATAGCAAACAGCCAAATGCAAAGCCCCCCACCCCCCAGTCTGATGAAGTCATACTCAAGCTTGACCCAAGGTGGAAACGCGAAGGAAAACAAGAAAGTGATGTGAATCGGAAAATTCCATTAAATCATAAAGCTAATTCATAGTTATTTTATCGTATATAATTTATGCATTTACCGGCAGGTGTAACCACCGTCAATGAGGAGATCATTGCCAGTCATGTAAGTGCTGGCATCGCTGACCAGGTAGACGTAAGCACCCTTGAGCTCCTTGGCGTCACCGTTGCGACCCATGGGGATCATTGACATCCAGAGGTCCTGGATATCCTTGGCCACAAAGTCCGACAGACCAGTGTCGATGTAACCAGGAGAAATGCTGTTGACTCGGGCAAAGTCGCGCCACTCGTTGGCGAGCGACCTGGCCAGGTGAATGCAGCCAGCCTTGGCGACGTTATAAGAGGTCTGTTCCTGGGGGAAGTTGGCGATGTGGCCGGACATGGAGGAGGTAATGACGAAGCTGCCTGTGCCGCGCTCCTTGAAGTGAGCGCCGACCGCCTTGGCGCAGTGGAAGGTTCCGGTCAAGTCGGTCTGGATAACTTCTTCCCAGTCCTCCACGGAGCCGTCGAGGACGCCAGCATCGGCGGTCTTACCAGCGTTGGCGATGAAGGAATCGATCTTGCCAAAGTCCTTGATGACTTCCTTGACAAACTTGTCGACGCTGTCCCAGTTGCTGACGTTGCACTTGTAGGCCTTGACCTTGACTCCGTACTCGGCGGCGAGCTCCTTGGCGTTCTTCTCACCACCCTCGGGGCGGGAGGAGTATGTGATGGCGAGGTCCGCGCCCATCTCAGCGCAGCCACGGGCGGCTTCGATACCCATGCCGCGAGCTCCGGAAGCGCCGGTGACGACGACAACCTTGCCCTTGAGGCTCATGAGGTCGAGGAGACGGTTGGCCTTGGGAACGGGGATAGGCATGATGGCGGATTTGGGATTGGAAGGTAAAGAGAAGAGGTGTTTGGTATGGAAGACTGAGATTTGAGGTATAAGGGTTGAGCTTTGAGGTTGGAGAGAATAACATTGTTTCCCCGGTTCACAACTGGCTTAAATACATCGAGCCATCCAATGACTTCATGATTTGGTTATCTTTTTAGCGCTGACATCAGACACCAGGAGCAAAGGCCTGCGCCTGGCTCAATCAGGTTGTTTCTTGTTCCAGGCGCCAGATCCAGTAAGAATCGAACAGCTTCAAGTTGGAGACGGGCGGGACCGTGACATCATGACTTGCAACTGGCCAGTTTGCCAGTTGAAGCTCACCGGAAGATCGTATGAGCTCCTTCAATTCAAGAATACTGCCACGATATACTTGGAAGCTGTTTCCCTCCTCGCTTCCCGTCTCTCTCCTTCTCTTTCTCTCACTTTCCTCCACTTTGTCTGGTCAAAGAAACACAGGCCTTACCCCACTTCTAAGCGCCAAGGCCGAGTATACAACTCACGACTCCTACGCAGGCTGCAGTTAGGCGAGCGATGCATAGTTCAAAGGACCATAGTATTGCGGATAAGGAGAATCCCCCCGACAATCGAGATCCTGGTTTCTTGTCCAGAATGACGAACACGACAATAGAATTAAAAGTCGTTGACTCAGCGATATCCAGAGAACAAAAGCTGTGATTTGGCCACCTAAAAGGAATCTAGAAAGTCCGAAATTCAATTCCTAGCTGTATTTGGGGGAATTAGTAACTTTACTTTTCTTTTCTTTTTTTTTCTCTATGGAAAGCGAACTGGGGGGAATTCCCCCAACTCAGCCCGGGCCCAATGCCCAAAGCCCACTCCAGCGATCTTCTACTGCGAGTACCTTGCATCACAACGATTTCGACGACTCATTTCTTGCCAGGTGGGATCTCTGACTTCCTTAGCGCCCTTTTCTAACCAATCGACTAGGGTCCGAGGCTTTTTCCATAGAGATAGTCACATCGGTCATGTCGCCCGTCACCCTCTCCGCACCAGTCAGGATATCGAAATCCATACGTGGAATGGGCCCGACGACCCTGATAACCCGTAAGACCACAGAGGTATTGCCCAAAAGAGAAATTCCTAACAATCTTAGGTTCAATTGGAGTAAGACCTACAAATGGACTCTCACTTTGACCGTTTGTTTCATGTCAGTCCCACCCCCATCAAACTAAAGCACGGCTGACAGGGTCTACAGCTCCATTTTGACCGGTCTCCCTGCTGGATCATATGGTGCTGGAAACAATTACATGGCCACAAGGTTTCATGTCCAGAATGAGCCATTCCCCAACCTAGCCTGGGCGACGACCTCGTGGAATATGGGTGCTGCCTTTTGGCCACTGATATTCGTCCCGCTGACCGAGTCGTCGGGTCGTATGCCGGGCTATTTTGTGGCGTACTTCATTCTCGTCGTGTCTCTATTTCCCTCGGCATTTGCCCAAAACTTCGCTACTCTAGTGGTGACTAGATTTTTTGGCGGTGGCGCTTCTTCCGTGTCCATTAACATTGTCGGTGGAAGTATCAGTGATGTCTGGTACGGGGATAAAGCTCGAAGTTTGCCAATGTCCCTGTTCGGCTTCACCAGTGTGGTTGGAATCGCCTTAGGACCATTTATTGGCTCTGCGATTCAGACGATTCACAAGAACGATCCATGGAGATGGTGAGATCTTTTTTTCCTGGCCTTGATTCACTCTTGCTGACCAAATCCAGGATCTTCTATATTCAGATCATCTACAACGCAGCATTGATTCCAGTCTTCTGGTTGATTCTCCGCGAGACGCGCGCAGACGTGATCTTGAAGAAACGCGCGAAAAAGTTGCGGAAAGAGACCGGTCGCGCGATTTATGCCGAGGCTGATCTCGATACTACGAGTGTGTTGAGGCTCCTCCAAATTTCATTCGAGCGCCCTACGCGAATGCTATGTACCGAGCCCGTTGTGGGCTTTTTCACATTGTGGGTTAGTTTTGCGTGGGGTATTCTCTTCCTCTTCTTTTCTAGCGTCTCGCAAACCTTCAGTGCCAATTATGGCTGGAGTACATTTCAGACTGGTCTCGTTCAGCTGGCTATCTCAGTTGGCGCCGTGATTGGCACTGTGATCAATCCGATTCAAGACTGGATTTACCTCAATTCAGCAAAGAGGAATCGTGAAAATCCGGGGAAGCCGATTCCGGAAGCTCGGCTATATACTTCTATTCCTGGCAGTATTTTGTTTGCAGCTGGGCTGTTCTGGTATGGTTGGGCTAGTACTGGGGGCGGGTCCATTCATTGGATTGTGCCGACGCTCGGAATTGGCTGTACTGGTGTTGGGATCTACTCTATCTACATGGCCGTCGTCAATTATCTAACTGATGCGTATGAGAAGTATGCGGCTTCAGCTTTGTCGGCTGCGTCGCTGGGCCGCAATACTTTCGGTGCATTTCTGCCTCTCGCGTCGTTCGAGCTTTTCGATACATTGGGCTATGGCTGGGCTGGTACTTTGCTCGGCTTTGTTGGAATCGCTCTCTCGGTCGTCCCTGTTGTACTTGTGATCCAAGGCCCAGCTATTCGCCGAAGCAGTCCCTTTATGCGAGAAGCGATGTTCGAGCCGGGCGACAAAGAGTTGGAGAAGGATCAGCAGTCAGAAAAGACAGATGTGTGATAACGGCGCTCTATTATTCTGGTCTACATGGCATCGACAAGAGAGAGAATATTTTATGTTCTGTAGAAACCTACACATGGGGTCCAAGTGTGGCAGTCTTTTTCTTTTCTACTTACCAGGTTTCGGAAAACGGCAGTTTAAATGGCAGCAAGGTACAATATAAAAGCGTTCCTTTTCTCATTATTCTCCAACATATTAATAGAATCACTAAATGTCTCTTCTCAGGTTGGCATCAACATGTGAGTGGGTCTTGCAATCCTTCTGTTCCATCCTTGGTACATAAGTCAGAGCATCATAACGTCCAGTGTAAGTAGGAATGGTACACAAACTCGTGTGTTGTATCAAGATAGCGCTGCGCATCGTGGTAGCTAATTTGAATGGGTTGGTAAAACAATGAGTCCTAAGCACGCCTGTGGTGGTCTCACCGAACGCAATATATATTTCGATTATGCTCGGCAAACTTGGACTTTCTATTTGTGTAGTGCATCTTGATAGATAAATTATTGTATAGTGATACGAATTATGTCTCGGGTGTTCTTTAATTTGTTAAACTACGTGACAATGTCAAAAATTCAGTTTAGAGCTGCCTGACTGTTTTGCGGTCGGTTATACTCCATTTGGCCTGGAGAATTCGACTGGGGGCAAGGGCTAACACTAATAGGTTGTGTTTACAGTAGACCGTCAAACATCAAGAGGCTTCGATTTTGGCTTAGGGTATCACGAGTGCTAAGGACTGTACAGAACTGGCGGCTTCGAATGTGCATGTCAACTTGACGATGGCACCTCGAAATTGTTGGGTAGGAAATTACCATTTCTCAAGTCAGATATCCAGCGCCATTTAAGTAATGCTCCAATAGGATATAATACATTACAATGTGGTTGAGATAACTTGCACTGCACTGCCGCTCCTAACTCGAAACGTGCAGAAACCAAGTGGATATCGGCGATCAGCCATTTTTAGATTGACGGTCGAAGAAAATCAAAAAAAATGCAATCAACTGCTCTCGTACCTGCAGTAAGCACATGCAAACCGCTGAATGGTGCTTGAGTGCATCAATATGACTCCGGGATATTCTTCTTCGCACAGCACTACACGTAATTGACAGTTTCTCCCTGGGTCAACCACGAATGAATCAGCAACTTTCCAACATTTTGAATGATGAAACAGAGAAATTACTCCGCTGAATCAGCCCCCGAACAGACCAAATATTCTGGAGAAAACCGCGACTGCCCAGGCTGAAGTGGCTCCGGAGAACATCCTCCGCTGAATCAGCCACGCGTCGCAATCCCCCCAAGTCGAGACATCCAACATCGACGTTCAAACGCCCACCCTAAATGAGATTCTTTCGAATCAAACAACTGTGATTCGTCCTGCTTAGACGACCCCTGCTTAAATTGATTAACCTCGTGGGGCAAAAACACCCCAACTCCCGAATTTCTCAACGAGTTGACGCGGCGCCAAGCTGCTTCTGTTCCGGATGCGCCCCAGAACTACCACCAGCCAGGGCTAAGGCATTGGACACACAGCAAGTTCAATGCTATAATGCTCTAACAGTGCTGTTAGTCTGCAGAATGAACACGCGTCAGGGGATGAAAATGACAATAAGAGGAGGGTATAAATCAAGGCTCTCTCGCTGTGCAGGACTTGAAGAGATATCAACACTATCACCTTGACAACTCTGCTCTACATCATGGTTCAGCTTTGCAAATTCCTCGCCGTGGCTGCTGCATGCTTGGCAGCTCCTGCAATCGCTCATCCTGGCGAGAAGCATGATCCTCACCACGTGAAGCGTGAGGTCCACGCCCGCGAAGCCATGGCTGCTCATGCCAAGCGCTCTCTCGGTGCTTGCGAGAGCACCTTGCACGCCCGCGAACTGAACAAGCGTAGCATCGCCCGTCGCTCCCACACTGTTCAGAGCCTCCGCAAGAAGCGCGGCATCACGACCGGTAAGCATCCTTGGTTTCTGTTTCGTTCTAGACATAGGCTCACCACTTTGCAGCTCCTCAGAAATGGCGCCGTAACCTCGCGGCTCTTGAGAAGTGGGAGGCTATTGATCACAACCGCACTGGCATTTTGGACTACAGCCCCGCGACTCCCGAGTCAATGATCTTTGCTGCCAACACTAGCTGCATTTTGTCTCCTACCGTTACTGACGGTCCTTACTATGTCTGGGGGGAGGTTGTGCGCCAGAATGTCAAGGAAGAACTGTATTCGGATGGTGTCGATGTTTTCCTCGAGGTGCAGTACATCGATATCAACACCTGCAAGCCAGTCCAGGGTGCCTTGGTCGACATCTGGCAAGCCAATGCCACTGGTGTCTATAGGTACGATACATCCATGTTCATTTCCATTCCCAGAGAGCACCATCTAATCAATACCAGTGGAATTTCAGAGTCGGGTAACTACGCCGCCGACGGCTGGGACTCGACCTACCTGCGCGGCATCCAACAAACCGACCGCGACGGTGTAGCCACCTTTGACAGCATCTTCCCCGGCCACTACGACGGCCGCGCAACTCACACCCACCTCCTCACTCACTTGAATGCAACCCTCCTTCCCAACAAGACTCTCGAAGTCGGCACCGGCAGCGTCGCCCACATCGGCCAGCTCTTCTGGAATGAGGTCCTCCGCTCCGCTGTTGAGGATACCTATCCCTACACCTCTAATACGCAGGCCATTACCACCAATGCCGATGACATGTGGAGCATTGAGCAGGCTGACAGTGCTTACGATCCCTTCCCTGAGTACCTCTATCTCGGCGATGACCTCGATGATGGATTGTTCGCTTGGATTCAAATTGGTATCAATGCTACTGCTGATTTCACCGATAACTCGTACTACTCCATTGCCGCTTACCACGATGCTGATGGCGGTCACGAGAACTCTGACAGCTCGTTCGTTGGTGGTACTGGCGGCGGTGGTGCTCCCAGCGGTTCCATGTCTCTGTCTGGGTCTGGTGGCATGCCTACAGCTTCGTCTAGCGCGTCTACCTGAGGTTGAGACGAAACAGGAAATATCCTCGATTGTTCTAGGGTTCCAGCTAAACTATATTTTCTCCCACGGGGACTCGACCCGCTTCACTCTGGATTCGTGATTCGTCGGGTGTCCGAAGTGCTGCAACTATACGACTCCGTACCGCTTAGTGAAATTGAAACCTTGACTCTATTGCATTTTGACTTTGTCCTATTCCGTCGTCCAAGCACCAATGATCTACAAAGTCAAGCAAGAAATAGCCTGTGAGTGGCTCTGGACGAGAAGCCAAGGCAGGTCACAGCCACGCGCTAGTCCCGAAGTAGAAGGTAGTCGGCCGGTGATGTAATGCGCGCATGGCCGAGGTTCGAGTTTTGGGCTCGACGAGGTTTGGCGTCTGGCATAAAAAGTCAAAAACACGCATTAATGATGGATTGGGGGCTTTCACCCGTGCAGAACCCAAAAAAACTCCCAAAAAAAGAGGGAGTAAGCGAACCAATTTCGACTCCACCAGCCCAGATCTGCCGACAAAGCCCGGAGCTGCCAACCACGCCAATCATTAGGGCTTGTCGCTTACACTTGGCCCATGGTTTGCCTGCGCCTGATTCCCCCATGAAAGGCAAAAAAAATGTGGTTCATGTGAGAGAGGTCGACGAAAGATACAATAACTGAAGACTAACCAGTGTTTCTGCAGTCGATGTATCCTAGTCGAAGCTCACAATTCAGAGCTTGCATTTACTTCATGCACGCCCTGCTTTAGCCCGAAACATACTTCAGACGAGGCCAAGAAATTGCGATCCATCGAATAGACTCGGCCCTATAGATTTCCCCACTTGCTACTGGTACTTCGAACCCCCTGTTCAAGAGCCGTGTGATCGGATCGGATCTGATCTTCGAATCCCCTTCTCTCTTTCTCCTTTACATGGCATTCCCCATGCCTCTGCGTGACTATGGAAGCTCCAACCCTTGATGCAAGCCGCAGCAAAGCCATTCTGATTGTGACTGCGATCTTCTTGGCTATTTCGCTCATTAGTGTTGCGCTCCGCATCTTTGTTCGCACGCGCATTGTTCGTGCTTTTGGGTGGGATGACAGTATCATGATGGTGGCCATGGTAAGTTCCTCTCTTAACTCCATTCTCAATTGTGCCGAAACTGATCGCATCGCATAGGGCCTCAACCTTGCCTTTGCCATATGTGGAATACTAGGAAGCAAGTATGGAATTGGTAGGCAATTGGCCTTTTTTGAACTTCATCCGGACTACTTCCATCGCGCATTACTGGTAGGACTCTTATCTGTTTGGACCAGAGATGGACACCTCAACTAACTCCCCTCTCACAGTGCTGGTGGCTCGGCCAAATCTTCTATGTCTTGACCTGCGTCGCGGCCAAGATCTCCATCATTATCGCTCTCCTTCGAATCACCGTCGATCGCATCCACGCCTACATTCTTTACGCGGCCATGCTCCTCGCCACTGCCGTCGGCCTCATTTTCTTCTTCTTCACTATGTTCCAATGCTCGCCGGTCAACTTCTTTTGGAATATTCGACAGCCCGGGGCAGAGGGCACGTGCGTGAATAAAAACACTCTCATTTCCATTGCGTACTTGTACAGTGTCGGCGCGGCGGTCACCGATCTGACCATTGGCCTCTTGCCCGTGGCGTTGATCTGGAACTTGCGCATGAATCGCCGGACCAAGGTGGCCATTGCGGGGATTCTGGGCATCGGTTGCATGTTCGTGGCACTGCTAATATTTCCCTTTTCGTCTGATCATCTCACTAATTGGCTCTAGTGCGAGTGCTGCGGTTATTGTTCGCATTCCGTTTGTTCATCATTACAAGGATCTAGAGTTTTTGTGTATGTTTCCCCTCTCCCACCTTTGAAGTCCACCTTTACTAACCAGATCATAGACAACACTTACCAAATCTCCATCTGGTCGAATGTCGAAGCAGGCCTCGGCATTACTGCGGGTTGCCTCACTACCCTCAGACCTCTTGTCCGATTTCTCCGCGACGGATCCTCAAGCCACAGCCGAACAGCTCGGTCGTTTCCCCTTTCTAGTCATGTCGCCGGGTTCCATCGCACATCACGCTCCCATTCCAAATTGACTTCGCAACACGATGCCAACCAATTGTGGACTGGAAGTGGCACGGAAGACCATGGCGTGACTACGACTATCATGGGGACGGGGCGGGTTACAGCACCCAGTGGGAGCGAAGAAGATTTGAATCCGTCGCCGTGGAAGGTCGAGAGATCGGTTCGCGTGTCTGTGCGGGATTCATGATATTTTAATTAAATTCTTATATATATGTATATGTATAATTCACGAAAGATGATGTTAATGTTTACTTTTTTTTTTATTGTTGATCAGGGGGGGGGGGGGGGGGGGGATATGCAACACACACCAAAACTCCCACTCCCACTTCCACTCCAATATCAATCCCAACTCAACTTGGGACTTTTGCAGATCAAGTGATGATCAAAAAAACATGCATGCGAGTGCCAAGAATAGGCGACGCAATTCTAGGAAAGCCTCAACAAATAGTTCGGCACCAAACCGCAGTCGCGTGAAAATGCCGATTAGCCGCACAAAGCCCTAGTTTTCGATGGCACACATAGCCGGGCCCATTGGAGAATCGATCCAAGTCAACAATAGGATTGTAATGGGAAATCTCAGATCGGAATCGAAGAGCCGCAAATCCCTACGCTACTCTAAAAGTGGACATAGTAAGAAGGAAGAGATCATTATTAGCTCGGCAAAGGCCAGATGAAACAAAACTAGTCAACCCATGCATTTGGTCTCGCCATCGTTTCATCTCCGTTCATTTCATTTTAGTCCGTTCATTTCACTGTTTGGTTTCTTCCGTCTCCGCTCGGACGAGGCCCTCCTGCGACGACGATACCCCAACGGCATAAGGGTCGACCTTGGTGGTCGCAAACTTGCGTGCGGGAACCTTGGTCGCGAAGAGGATGTCCAGCTCGGCATAGGTCCGATCCTTGGGCTCGGGCAGTCTGAAGAAGGCCCACACAAATGTACATAGTGCCGTGACGCCCCAGAAGAACCCAGTTTTGCCGGATGCGTTCCATGCGGTCGGGTTCATGAAATATGGTTCCAGGACTTGGGACACCACGTTGACGATTTGGTACGCTGTTCGGGCGAGGCATACTGTCAGTGGACGCAGGCGCACGGATGATGTCTCGGATACGATGGCGTAGGCGATCGGGCCGACCGTGAGGGAGTAGGTGAACAGCCAGAGGAAGCAGAAGGCTGCTTGTGCCCACATTGCCCCATTGCTGTCAGATGCGGCATTGAGGATACCGATCAGGAACAGGACTGTGCAGAGAATGCCTTGGCCCCAGACGTACAGGGTTCGTCGCCCGAACCAGGAGATCAGCCACCACGACAAAAAGGTTCCGACAAAGGCGACGCCGGTGCAACCGACACCCAGTTGGAAGGAGCGGTTGACGTCCATGCCTGCTTGAATGAAGAAATAGGTGGGCGAGTAGGCGAAGGTGCTACCAGAGAGGATCTGTCCGGCAAAGGTGAGACAGCAGATCTCTGTCCGGCGCAGGTCAACGCCCTTGAAGCAGTCTGCGTAGGTGGTTCCGGCTTCGATCTCGGATTCGATTTTGATCGTGTGCAGCATCATTGCGAGTTGTCCGTTGATCTGGTCTTCCGTCTTGGTACCACCCAGTCGCCGGATACTGCGCTTCGCATCTTCCAATCGGTCTTGACGAACGAGCCACCAGGGACTCTCGGGTGCGAGCCAGCAGATGGCCATAAGGGGGACAGGCCAGATCCATTGCAGGGCGAAGGGAATTCGGTAGGACCACTGGTCGGTTCGGTCAACCAGTCCGTATAGCACCCCAGAGGCGATGAGCTGGCCGATAGCCCAGCACATGTTCACATAGATGGTGAGGTATCCACGCAGGTTGGTTGGGCAGACTTCCGATGCGTACGCGGGTCCGATCGTTGCGAATACACCCCAGGAGAAGCCACAGAAGAGCTGTCCGATCAGGAGGACCTTTGCGGAGTCGGCGAAAACGGTGATGAAGAGGAATGCCGTGAGGAAGAACAAAGCAACCACCATCACGATTCGGTAGCCATATCGGGATGCACCCCATCCGTTGAGAATGCCACCTGGGACATGTCAGCTTTGTCGTTGGTTGAAAGAGCAGGATACTAACCAAAGATACAGCCAACGGTACTGGCCATACTCAGTCCTGTCTGCCAAGGCGCTGAAACCTGGTATCCAATATCTCCACCGTAGTCTTGTCCATATTTCTTCGCAAACTCTGGATAGCCGAAGAAGTTACCCATGAGGATGGTATCGTATCCCTCCATAATAATGGACATGGAGATCAAAACCGACCACATGACCGCCTTCCGATTCTCTCGCAGGGCCTGCATCAGGGTTTGATTGTGTTCATCGTCGGTCGCCTGCTTGGCCTCGATGATGGCGCCAGCGCCCAGGGTGTCCTCGACATGATGAGCGGCTGTCTTCTCCAGCGCGATCTCTGTATCAGTTAGGGTGGCCATGGTAGAGAAAGACCAGTTGTAAGCGCTGTTGTCCCGTAGCTACAGGCCCTGGACCGGGGATCATCGTCTATATATGTCGCTGCGCATTGCGACTGGCGCAATGATCCCCGTGCATTAGTTCGCCCCGGAGATCGTGGGGGAGAAACGGTTATTCGAGCTGTCCTAGATTAAAGTCGGCCCATTTCGGGACTTTCAGGCTAATCTGGCCATCGAGGCGAGAGAGAGAGAGAAGCAGATTCGTCGTCGAATATGTTCGCCATTGTGCCTAGACCAAGACCGGAATGTAGGCTTGGGAGTTGTGGTATTTTTCGCACCTATCACGAGACAAGAACCAAGTCAAAGGGATCCTGACAGCAATTCATCCGCTGAACCAGTTAGTGTCTGGGGAAGCGAGGTTGGGGCATTCCGGGGAGCGTTGTGATTGGACCTTGACCGAATGGCGGCGACGGCCCCGGATTCGAAATGAAGCTATTCCCTTCGTGAAACGGGAGACCTGCCGCGAGACAATTCTGCTGGTATCAGATGTTCGAGTCAATCTCACTGTATCCCGCAGGGCTGCCAGTGTCAGGTGTCTTTGTTCTGTACGGCATCTCGTTCCGGGGATTTGACCTTGACTGATCGGGAGTATGAGTCTGCCCACCCGATATCAGTACTCAGCTTCTTTGTATTTAACCGGAGTGGCCAATCTCACTGGTGGTCCAAGGAATGTCAAATCAAGCTTGACAGGTATCCCTGTTGCACTTCCCCTTCACCCCAGGAATGAAAAAGTGAAGCCAAGGCCCCTGTTCAACTTTAATCTTGCATTCCAAAGCACTTGATTACCGACTCTTCCGAATATAGTCTCGGACTGAGTTTTGATCTTTGATGGTCAGATTGGCTGGAGAGGGAAGAAGCGATCAACTGCGGAGGCCTAGACTTGACCGTTCCTCGCTTACGTGCTGTATGTAGATGATAGCTGTCGCGTCCAGAAAGCCTCTCGAGGATGTGGATGCCAGGCATCTGTATCATCAATCAGACTGTCCTGTGGGCCATAGAAGCCAATATGAGCCAAGCACTCTGTACCGATAGAAACAGGACCGGGATGGATGATCATAGAGTCGGCAGGAGTTGAATGAACTAGGGTTGTAGTGTGGGCCGGGATCTGATGTTGGAGATTAATGTAGGAGTCTGATCGACGTGTTTTTCCCACGCTTCACGCCGCTAGTCAAATTGTTGCCGCTAGTTCAGTGCTTAATGAGTACTGTCTGTGCTGGATCGCAGCACCAAGGAAGGTGTCCGATTGGTGGTCGCGGTTATCTTGCAGGGAAAACGTAGCTGTTAGTGTTGTTTGGCAGAGAACGGCCGAACGCGAAGAATGCACTTGACCTTATCATTTGGCAAAAGCCATTTGGTTGTGCAATCTGCTTGAGATCAAACTTATCTCAAAGAAGACAAAAAGAGTAGCCATGTTCAAAGGAAAACGCACGAAGCGCCGTTCGTGATGCATTGGGGTATAAAAGATAGAAGGACCAGCTAAAGAAGAACGAAGAGAATCAATAAAATACAGGCGACGACCGAACTCAGCTCCCATCAATCCGCATGAACGCCTTGGATTCCTGCGCGTTCATCACCATGTCGGGGATCACAAGCCGAGGGATCCAATACGGCTTGTAATCAACAAAGCTCACGTCTGGACCAGAGGAATGAATAACCCACTCAGTCCGACCATCCGAACCGAGAAAGAGTCCCTTGGATAGAACACCTTGGACTGAGTGTCGGTAGACTTGCACAGGTTCAAATTCTCGGCCCCAGACTAGGCGACCTGTTGCAGGGTGGTGGTTGATGCCGACAGGGTGCCAGGCAAGATCGCCGGAGCCATAGGGAATGTGGGCTTGGATTTGGTTTGCGCCTTCATTGCCGTTGCAGCGAAGCTGGGTTTTGATGTTTTCTTTGTGACTTGTGATGGTGATCTATGTACGTGTTAGTAGATGGTGATGTGTTTGAATGAGCAGAGAGAACTTACCAGGCCATTAAGGAAACCTTCATCGCCAAATTGACGGGTTGTATCAGCACCAGTGGAAAAGCCTTCGATACTGCAGGGGGAGGTGCCATTGTAGCATCCATCGACAATGATCGTCCATGGACCGGCGATCTTCGTTTTGGGATTATAATCTGGGAGCTCGGAGCAGTCTCTGACAGGTTCAACGGTCAAACTTTGCGCCAGTGGCTGTGCGCCCGCGAGGAGGAAGAGAGAGAAACAAGCTGCCAGCATGATGTGTGTGCGTGTGTGTTGAGAATATGGGAGGAGAAGGAGTCAAATTTTGCAAGGGCGAATGTCGCTATTATAGTCCTGTCTTTCGAAATGGAACTAGATTCGCCAAATTCCCTCAAACCCATAGTAAATCAGATCCATTTCAGGCTGCAACGATCTAAATAAGCCCTCGGGACCCTGATCGGTCGAGGGTGTTGGTCTCCACCAAGGGGGCGGAACTATAGAAGAGACCGATGGCTATTGGTCGACAGGGACTGAAGTTAAGCTGTTCTTCCTTTCAAGTGAGACATTTACAGGTTCTGCTTCCCCACATTAGACCCTTTCGGCCCGTTGATGTCAAAGTCTGCCATTTGCCTCCCAGCAGGCGCGAAAGAGTCGACGCAGACACAAGGCACAAGGCACAAGTGTCTCATCATTGTGGGGAATAATCAGCTATTTCGAATGTCGGGGGCCAAAGGTTAGGGTTGGAAAGGGGCTGAGTAGGACCTTGGACCCTGAACGGAAACCCTAAGACCCTGGAGAAAAATGGGAAAATGCTGTCGAGTCCACATTCAACTTTCAGCCCCCGTTTGGCGACAAAAATAACCAATCAGATCCATTTCAATCGTAAAAATAACTATTTGCGACTAACCCCCAAGGCTTGGTTTTAGTCTAAGTTAGTCGGTTTCATTCCTCAGTAGTCCTTCGGCCTCTTCTTGTCCAGGTGACTTCTGTGACTCCAGGGTCTCAGCCATAGTCAAACCTTCCTGTCGGCCTTTGTCTGCATTGACCATCCACACCAGTGGAATTGGCATCAGGATCAGAATGGCAATGACAAAGAAGCCACTGCGGACTTGACCGGTCGCATCCACCAATACACCCACAATCGCCGGTCCAATAAAGGAGCTCCCTTTGTCGGTCGCAGCGTACAGGGCGTAGAATGCAGCCTCGTTCCCAGGGGGAATGAGGAGTCCAAAGAAGGACCGACAGTACGAGGCCAGTCCACCACCAACTACTCCATGTACAATCGCCAGGGGGAAAATTTCCCACGGCTGTTGTAACCCAATCACGCCCCATCGCTGGACAAAGGGGATGTAAGCAAGCAGCCCATACAACGGAATCAATTCAAACAGTGCAATGCACAGGATGATCGTGTGATGCGACTGCAGTCCAAAATATCGCGACACGTGGGGCCACAGAAATGCGCCCGCCATTCCTGACAGAGTTGCGGTGATGGACAAGAGTCCGATCAAGGGCGTGCTGAGATGCAGCTCGGTGCGTGCAAACAGGATGGCCGTGCCCGAGACGGTGGCCAGCGCATCTGAAATCAAAAACCACGCCACCAGGAACAGAAGGACTTCCCGCAGTCTGACAGCTACTTTCACCGTTTGCCAGAGGGACTTCCATGCAAATCCGACCAGTCCCGCCCATGCCCGCCATTTGCCCCCAGAGGTGGAGATATCTAGGGGTGGCCCCGGGCGAGCGCGCAGCAAATGACGAGCCACAAAGGTGAATGCGGCCCACCAGATGCCGACTAGCAGTAATACGAGGCGCATTGGCAGTGTCGCCGATACCTTGGCAAGCGAGGTCTTGGACAGTGTGATGAGCATGATGATACTGATGACTTGTACCAATACGGCTGCACAGTAACCAAGACCAACTCCCTTCGACGAAATCTTGGTGGACAATTGTAGCTCTGGTGAGGTTGACGATGATCCCTTGTGTGGCCCATCTTCCGGTAGGCCTTGCGCTGGCGGGTTTAAGGGATCTAGATCATCCAAGCTATCATTGTCACCCCATGCATTCCAATCCGAGTTGTCTTCGCGGTCGTAACTTGACAGTTCCGCGCCTTCGTTCACTTTGCCGTCCTGCAGTGAAGGGTCGTTCGCGACAAGCACTGGTAGGTAAGAGTTGAGCACGACAAACGAGGACCCGAGACAGGTCACGCCGACGACGACCAAAACCGCCCCGAGGATGTATACAGGTGGCGCGATGAACACGAACAGCATGCTGGCGATCGATCCGACAAATCCAAACGTCATCAACAAGGTCTTGCGGTTGTTTTCTATCAGATGTTCGTTAGCTCTGGTGTCCCCTGTCTGTATCTATTGAGTTCGACCGTTTCGTGTTCAATCGTACCATAATCCGCCAGAGCACTGAACGATATCAACGTCAAGGCCTGGATAAGTACCGCCAAGGAGAAAGTATACATAGCAAAGCTCGCTGTATTGATCTCTAGGCCTAACAGAGGCACCACACACTGGCCGGCGGCATCCTGCGTGGTATTCCCAGAGGAAGCCCCCACACAAGACTCGCGACTCGTCTGTAGCACACCGCGTTCGCGGGCTAACTGTTCCAGGGTGAGGGGTAGAAATGATCCTAAAGACAATGAGTGACTTGTTGATATGTGCCCGAGTGTTTCACGAACCAACGCCACACACGGCGAACACCTCGGCCGCTATCCCGTACGAGTACCACCCAAGGATCTCCCGGCGGCTCGTAGCTGTTGTATCCTCGCCAGCATACCGCGGGGGTCGCTGTTGCCCTCCATGGGAATGAGAACTTTTGGAAGCCGACGATCTAAAGACAGAAAATATGGACAACATGAAGAGAGGTACAGTTTACAAAGATCTCCAAAAGAAAAAAAAAGGTACGGAACGGATGCGGGCGGAAGATCGATGTATAGCCCTTGATGACGTCATATCTAGGAACTCTCTACAGTAGAACATTGTTTATAATATCATCGGCAGGTTTTGCATCTTGAAGCTCACAAATGGCCTGAATAATAATTCACTGTGAGCATGTTAAGTGGAATTTGTAATTGAGTAGGTCTGTTCGGTTCAATGGTGACTGGCTGCTACGTCAATCTGCGGTCAGGATGCCATGGGATGCCTCACGAGATGACAGAAGAATATAACAAGAGTGTCGGATCAATGATCGCTTCCAATAACTCCGCGGATATGCCCTTCTCTGTCTTTCTCATTGGCCCTGGCTTTATCGGTGGAGAGCTCCTCGATCATCTCCTCGAAGAGGGCTATGTAATCACTGCGCTCGTCCGTCGGCATTGCGCAGTCGCCGAATTCACCAAGCTGGGGGTGAAAGCCATCATTGGAACCCTGGACGAAGGGCGATTAATCCGAGGCCTGGTTGCCGCCAGTGATATCGTCTTCCATACCGCGACATCGAACCACTTGCCATCGGTCCAATCGGTCCTAGATGGCATAAGGACGCGGGCGGATCAGGGTCTGATGACATACTACATTCATACCAGTAATGCTTCGCTGTTGGCCGATGAAGCTGCGGGTCGATATATGGACAATATCATCTATGATGATGAGCGGCCCTCGCAGATCGATACGTTGAGGAAAGATGCGCCCCATCGGCAGATTGACCTGGAGATTGTTCGGGCGCGTCAGGCTCTTGCACAGTTTGCGAAGATTGCAGTACTGATACCACCTGTTATATATGGCATTAGCTCGCGAGAAAAGCGGTTGTCGGTTCAATTACCTACGCTCATCCGGTACTCCCTGAAACATGGATACGCAGGTCAAGTCGGCAGCGGCCGTTCAGTCTGGGGATATATTCATGTGAAAGATCTGGCGAGAGGTTATATGACACTGTTGCACTGGATGGAGCGCTCCTCCACGGATGATGTCTTGGAAAATCCATATTTCTTTTGTGAGAATGGCGAAGAGCTTTCCTGGGGAGACTGCGCCGCTGAGATTGGCCGACTCCTGACGATCGAAGGACGGATTGAAAGCCCTGAGCCTCGCACTGTCCCACCAGATAATTATGACGATCTCTTCGGCGAGTTCACTGTTGCAATTGCGGGATCAAATGCCAGAAATCGCGCGAGTCGACTTCGCAAATTGGGTTGGCGGCCATTGGAGAAGAACACATTTATGTCATTGGTCGAGGATGAGATTCCATTAATTCTGCAAGAGACTGGAGAGTTCCACGGCTATGGATCAAGTCGGCCTCATCATTGTATCGAGAAAGACATTGGTTAATACGGAGCACTGGCTTGATTTGTCGCCCGGATGTATTTTCTCCACCAACGATGTCTTTAACGAATGCTGGAGCCTTGTACAGTACATCTTAGGCTAACAGAAATGCGATCGTAGATCTCGGTGCGAGAAGAGTGGCCCGGTGGAGTGATGTTCGGTGCAGTGGACTGCTGTATACTGTACAGTACTTGTACAACATAGCTAACGGCCAAATGTCAAGTATGAGAATTTGACCAATTTTTGCCTTAATAGCATGTCCATGTCAAGATAGAGACATTCACAAATTATATTCGTGGAAGGGCAGTGGGATCGACGCACGCGAAACCGCGAAAAATCACAAAATAATTCGCAAGAGGAGATCACCCTTCCACATACGTACATCCATGACATTATGTACTTCTCCTGAACATGGATCATGAAACATTAAACAGGGAACAGGGAACCTTCGTGAAACAAACTCCTTCCACCTGGAATGTGACTGAGAACGGGCGGTATCCCGTGGGTGTGATCGACAGCGCTCATTTGTCAGTGATGTAGTTATCAGTATCGAACGCGTTCAGGTCCACCGACCCTATGAAGCCAATTTGTGATTGGTTTGGCTGCAAATTCCGTCAGTCAAAAAGCTCCCCAGACAATGGACCTGTTGTGAGGGGACAGGGAAGGGAAGACCCCGCCAGGAACTCGGCCAATCAGATATCGTAATAGGCGGTGGCAAACCGGTCGGTAGCCCGTTGTTATTTTAGTCCATGATGTAACTGACTTGGGAGCTGTATCTGGTCTACACTATAAGATCGGAATCATCTCTTGTCCGCGATCCAAGCCAATCCGTCTATCCAATCCGTCTATCCAATCCGTCTATCCAATCCGTCTATCCAATCCGTAATTCATGCCCTTCATTCATCCATTATGACCGTGTTTATAAAAAGAGAGATCATGGGCACGACCATGGAAACCACAAATCGATACTCAGACCTAGAAGCCCGAGGAGTTGGTGCCTCGGGCGTTATTTGGTATGTACCATCAATTTTGCAGACGTTGAGAATAATTGCTGACAACACAAAGCTCAGCTAAAGACAGCATTTCAAACCACACAGTCGCTATAAAGAAGATTGTCAGACCATTTGCGTCTACTGCTGTGGCCCGGCGCACTTATCGCGAGGTTCACTTGGCCAGTAACCTGCGGCATGACAATGTATGTCGAACCTGCCACCTAGAAGATGTTATCGCAGTGGAACCTAATCCAATTTAGTTGATTAACATGCGCGATATTTTCATCTCACCATCTGAAGATCTGTAGGATAAATTTACCCAATTCTACGCGGAAGGTCATACTAATCTGTGTCAGTTATCTTGTGATGGACTGCGTTATGACAGATCTCCACCAACTTATCCAATCCATCGAAAAGCCGTTGGAAAGCCAATTCATAGAATTCTTTACGTATCAAATGCTGGTATGTCCACAACAATCGATCAGTCCTGAACTTAGCCCCGCTAACTGAGGCAGCGAGGATTGAAATACATCCACTCCGCCGGTGTCATTCATCGCGACCTAAAACCGAGCAATCTACTGATTAATGACAACTGTGACTTGAAGATTTGCGACTTTGGTTTGGCTCGAGAACAAGATCAACAGATGACTGGTTATGTTACAACAAGATACTATCGAGCACCAGAGGTCATGTTGACCTGGCAGAAGTACAGTTATGCAGTTGATATCTGGAGCGTTGGTTGCATATTGGCAGAAATGCTTCTTGGGCGTGTTCTCTTCCCTGGAATGGACCATGTGCATCAGTTTACCCTGATTACTGAGCTTCTAGGGAAACCATCCAAGGAAGTTTTGGAGAGAATTTACAGCAAGACTGTATGTATACCATTCAAACTGAGAGATGCAGTCACTGACATCGATTTAAGACACTACAATATGTACAGTCTCTACCAGAAACAAAGCGTCGTCCAATCAGCTCTATTCTTGGAGACGCAGACCCCCAAGGTATGGCATTCATCACGATTTATCTACTCCTGATCCTCATAGATACTGATTTCAATAGCCGTTGACCTGTTGGAGAAAATGCTCAACATCGACCCGGAACAAAGAATTACAACGGCAGAAGCCTTAGCTCATCCGTATGTCTCGACTTATTTTGACCCCGAAGATGAACCCGTCTTCGACAGGCAACTTGATTGGTCCCTTCTCGATTCGGAGTTATCATCCGAGGAATGGAAAACCAAGATGTAAGTCTACTTATGGTGTTTGATGTTCTCCTAGGCTGATAATTGCAAGGTATTTCGAAGTTTTAGATTATCACCGCGGTGCTTGCGATGGACAAGATGCGGATCAGTTAGCTCAGGATCAAAAGACTGAAGACTGGTTACGCAAGGAGATGATGGCTGAAACTTACTAATAAGTTTCGTGGAAGACAGCCCTGAGCACTGTGCAGTAAATTATCCTCTCATGTTCAGTATGATGAACTCGTGAACTCAATATTTCGCTTTGACTCACATGTGTACAATTTTTGTTTTTTAATAACCACTACTAGCGATCTAACGATGAGACATTGTCAGAAATGAGATTATGAATAAATGATTGAAGCATTCTGTTGCGTGGTTTATATCTGTAGATCGGTGTGAATGTTTGGGCGAGACCGACATTGGAGGTTCGAACTTGGCATGTCACACCTCCGATCAATAGACTTGAACTATACTAATACGGACAAGCAGGATTCAATCGGAGTATAAAGATCTTGGCAACGGCCCAAGGCAGCTGAATAATACCCAAAGCAGACCAAAATGCTCCAGAAAAGTGCTGAACATCCCGATTCCGGGCCGGTCCAGGGCTACTTCCCAATTGGGCTGGATTAGCGACCAACTTCAAATTTGCTGCTCTTTTCTTTCTCTCTTTACTTATATTCAAAAGTCATACCTTTTCAAAAGGTCAAGTGCGTCCACCATGGGCGTGTTGCATTACTTCGCGTTCATCGTGGGCCGGTTGTTGTATGCCTGTCGCGGCCATGATGCCTATCAAATCATTCACTCACGGGCGTTCAAAGAAACTCCCGATGCAAATATGACCCTTGAGTCTCCTGAATGTGGTCCGTCTGGTTCGAAGTTGCCTCTTCACTGCACTTGTCTGGCCGATGACGGAAGGGGATATTTGCCTGAACTGCGATGGAGTCCCCCAAGTTCTCACGAGCCGGTCCAGGAATTCGTCTTGATTTGCGAAGACCTCGATGCACCTATTCCGTTTTACGTCTTCCATCACGGACTTCTATGGGCGATTCCTGCCTCAACTCTCTCCGCCAACAAGGAAGACGTACAGCCCGATCAGCACGATAAGATTTCGCGCCAAACTACCGCCGGTTGGCGATTTGTTCCAAACATGCTGGGAACACCCTACGCCGGTGCAGGTGCACCATTAGGTCATGGGTCACACCGCTATCTCTTTACGATCGTTGCTCTGAACGCGCCGCTGAAGTTCAAGTGTCCTGAAGGAACTAGCAAAAAAGATATCAAGCGAGCTATGAATGGCAAGGTGATTGGCTGGGGACAATGGACTGGAGTGTTTGAAAGGCCATGGCCTTAATAGTGCTTTGCCAGATGTACTTATCAACTTATCTCTGTGATAAGACCACTGTGGAAAAATGATCGAGTTTGAGAGACGGAACCGAGGTATGCGGGCAGCTATTCCTTCACTGCATTTACATTCCTTTTACCCAGAGCGTCGTGCGAGCTTTGATATTAAAATAAACCAGGTTCTGATGACAATACATGGCTCTCTGCAGTCCGTTTTGATATCATATTCACACCTCTAACGCCAAATACTGGTCTGTGTATTCTATTTTAGGCACGCATTTAAGACCTCAGTCCAACGTGAGATAATTGTAAACATGTCTCACCTTCAGCCACAGATGACAGTTATGTCGAGGAATGGTATCCAACACATCTCTTCCATACAAGGTCAGCCGATTAACAATTCTTAATAAACTGTCATGGACTAGGAGACCTGCTTTGATGATGCCGGTAATTCAATTGAAAACTGTCGCTCCATACCCCATCATTCTGTGGCCGAGGACAAGTTGCATGGCCTAAGGCCAATTTTGGGGTTTCTACATCATACCAGGGCTTTCCCCGAATCCACATGCAGCTGACTCGGATGTAGGTCTCTGACTCGGCTCTTCTACAAGAACCGAAAGTGACGTCCCGGTCCAGGAAAAGCCGCTTTACATCATAAAGCTATAGGATATGGATATTCTTATAATGAGCTTAGGCCATATATCATTCTTAGGTGAATAGAACGTTCACCCGCACTGTTGACATCCATTATCTCGTCGCAGCACGCAGGGGCTGACGCATCACGGGTCAGGGGCGTGACCAAAATCGATCCAACCATTCAGACAGAAAGCCGTATATTACGCTGATATCAGCTTGAGCAAGCCTTGTTACTCATTTAGGAAATCTGACTAGTAAACCGTTGCTCCTGCAGCACTCTTGCTTACTCATTCGAAACTTTCTGTGCGTGTCCCGTGGTGAAGATATCCTTGCTCAGTGCAACTTTGATTGAGGTGGACTTTCTATCATGTCACATGTTGACTGAAGATGAAATTACCGTTTCAATTATTTGGTGTTTACGGCCTATTAAACCTCTTTGACTACCGGAACTATTCACTCATTTCCCTCGGACAAACTTCCTGAACGGGACTGCATTTCTATCGGTCAGCAAATATCATGACTGGGTTCTCATGACAATCTGCTGCTTTCATGAATACAAGTGGGAATTTAAGTTCCACCCTCCTTTTACTCCCGGTAAGTAATTCATTAAGCGACGTTAATACAGTTGGTCAAATAGGATTTGGCAACCCGAGCGTACTTCTACTTGGCGAATACGAATGTCCGGTTAATGTATCTAAAGCGTTGGAACAAGTCCCAACCATATACATCTAATAACTCATCTATTTATACAGGCTACAGTCCACAGGTGATCACTCAATCGACTGAATAATCAACCGCAGTCGCCGGTCCGTCTCATCAGCCAAAGCCAACTGCCCATCAGAGGGGGAGGCAGAAAGCAAGACTTTACAAATTTGGCGAACAACAGATGACAAATTAGACAGACACGCGCGCGACTGACTGAGGTCTACCACTTCTCCCCGAGGCGCCCGAATCTCTGCACCCACACCGATACTGGCTGACCTTGCCGTCATCTCCAATATCGGCAGCACCGTGTCAATCGCCATGACTATGAGTATGAAGACATTAGCCCGGGACTTTGATACGCTGCAAAAGGGACATTTGAGAATCCTTTCTGCCTGTTGCTGTACCCTTCCCAGGTGAAACAGCATCCTCCGGGTACTCATTGACTCCACTGCTCGCACAACTTCGCTGGATGCTAATTCGTGGCAGTCGCAGCGAAGAGAAGAGGTTCCTTCGGACAATGAATCGAAATCACTCTCTTCTGACAAAAGAGATTGATCAATGCTGTCAGTGTCCATAGGGCCCGAGAAGATGTTACTGGGGGGCATCCCAGGAACTCTCCATGGGTCCTGTATTGGATAGGAAGCCTCTTGCTCGTGTGCAACGAAGGACCCTCGGTTGCAAAAGACACCTGGAAAATAAGAATCTGTTTGGATTACATTGGCAAAGTTCAATCCTCCATCCATGATTTGAATTGTGAGAGATGCGTCCGCCATTGGACCAATCGCGGGAAGAACCTGGTTCTGCGTTGAAAATTGAGTCCATGGCATGCATGGTGGCTTAAATCCTGCGTGGAACATGGGGCTGTCCGTTTTCGAGCTATTCTCCAAGGTGAAGTTATTGAAGAACTCTGAATGGTCAATCGGCCCGGCTCCGCCTGCAATGGCGCATTCTTGCTCCAGGATCCAGTCCCCGATAGGGTCACCAGTCTCTTCGAAGGGAATATTGTCAGTCTATTTATACATCGGGTCCCAGTCTGTGCTTACCAAAGAACCCAACTGCCGAAATCTCCGTACAACCAGCCAGCTGCGAGTAACCAACCTCGGATGTGACCTCGTCGGGGCTCGAGTCGCTCTTGTGTGATAGAGCCTCCTCCTTGCTTACCATGGGACTCTGTTTTCGCTCCTTCCTAGAGTCCTTCTTATAATTCCCCTGTCGAATGGCACGATTAGCAGAGCCAGAATGAAGACCTCTTATCTGCTCGCCGGAGACTGGCCGGGAACGCTTGGTCTTGTTTTTTGCAGGTCTTCCCAATGGAAGTGACATGGAGTATATGCACGCAAGACCCTGTTTCTCACATCTTGCACACGTGGGACGCTGGTGTCCACAGCCTATCTTCGCTGCTTGGCAGGCGTTGCAAGTTTCGCGCATCTTCCGACTGGGCTCCTCATCTGCGACCTGAGAAGGTCCTAGCTCAGGAGTCACCGATTTCATCGTAAGAAATGCAAAGAATATACAAATAATATTCTTTGACGAAGGGTTGTTGTTTGACGCGTAAAATGGAAGTCATTGATGGTGATGATGTGCCTGTTGTCGGGTCTCCTCTGGATATTTGTATCCTGGAATTACTGACAGTGATCTGCACATCACCGGATAAAGCTTGTGGTTGTCCAACAGCTTCAACCATTATTGATGGCTTGAGCCGGCCCGTTCTCCTTTCACACCACAAGGTTAGATCCCTCCACAACACCCGCCAAGGACACGTTGAGTTACATGTAAAGAACCTAATTGACAAATTATTCTGTCCCACCTTTGTTCGGCGCCGGCACACAAGTACCGTGAAATTCAGTCCCTTATATACTAAAAAAGGCACATGCGTTTGTAACTTTCTATGCTGATCTAAGACGAACTTCTCCGAGTCTGGAAATGAAAGGAATTGGAACTACGCCGGTTTTTAATTAAACTACTGCAATACAGTCTAAGCTGGATATTTAGACCCTTTATGCAGACCCTTTACGAGCTAAATCACGTCGCGACTTTTCAGAGACTTGAGGGGCATCTTAACGAAATTACGTCGAGATCGCTTTGATTCAAGTCTTCAGGACATCTGATAGCAGCGCTTGGGGAACTTGACCTATTAAATGAGAGATAATGCAAAACGAGCCGGCACCGATATCGTTCTGCAAAGGTATATCAACCATTCTTTTACCTGGTACCGACTAATGCGGGCTGTGAAATCTTTATATTGATAGAATTCAATGGCGTATGGACTACGCCGTTCCTTGTTCACATATCAAGCTTGCTTTATCATGTATGCGTGATACTCTCGAAACCCAAACTCAGCAGAATGTAGAAAGATTGACTTTCTCCATCAATGCCCCAAGAACGTTGAGGGGCATGCGATAGGCAAAAGTTCAGTGGCTGTCACAAGTTTCTTTTTTCTTTATATCAAACACTTTAAGAAAAGAAAACTTCTTAAAAAACACAAGATGACATACTAAAATATCTTTACAACCGACTTTAGCATCAAAAGAGCTACAACGTGAAAACCAACAATCTGCGGCCCAAGAGAGCTTCACTTTATTAAACCACAACTTAAAAATTTCTGTCGGTATAATATGCAGTGTGTTGTTGAACAGTCAATCAATATTGTCAGCCAGAGCTTCCTATGTGAGGATACAAGGCCCTATATTTGTTTTCACTTGGTCTTGCTAAACCAAGGCCGACTATTGCAGTTTCAAGGCATCCCATTTTCATTTTTACTTTGAAATCAGGAACTTCTAGTGAGAGTTACTTGCGACTTGTATTCCACATTAAAAGACTTTTGCAGGTACTGTCCAAAACATTACTGAAAAGAAGACACAGAGAATACGTAAGGGTTGAAAGATTCAACAGGTAAAAATTGTTGTTTGCAATTATCGATTAACGATTGTGGAATCAATATTTCAGCCATTTCCTGATTCCTACATATATCCAAAGCTTGACGGCACAAATTTATCTGAAAGCTTGAAACTACAACTACAAGAGGCCACGTGGCCTCGGTTTCAGGTGTCATATCTAGTCTCAATAATTCAATTCATCATGCCACTAAGCTCAAAGTGGCGAATAAGGCCTTCGAACAATCCAAAGCACGAAAGGATGTTGTTGCACTCGGCACTGCTGAAGAAGCGTCCCCATCTGTAGGCTCATTCCATCCAACGAAATAGTTTATCGCAAGCGGGAAACCAAGATTGGCAGCTTGCATAAAATTTGCAACATCAAAGCCTGCACGGGCCTTCATAGTAGGTGGGAAGATATGTGCAAAGCAATGTGGGAAGCGATAGGGTGATGGTTGCTCGAACAGAAAGTAGACGTAACGGTGGTGTGTAGTTGGTGGTGCACGAGGGGGAATGTAGGTGGCTTCAATTTCCGGGTAGTCCTCGTGGTCTTTGTCAGGAACCAGTTGGGAGAGATGGTGCTTTTTGGAGCGTTTAGAGAGATTCGCTTGATACCAGTGTAAGACGACTGTCTCTTTTCGTGTTCCAGGGACGATAACGTCAAGGTCAACGAACAAGACCAGGTATTTCTGCTTGAAGTCGAAATCCTTCCCGCTAATTTCGGGAATCACCGTGGTTTCTTTGTCGCTGTCAACATAGTGGAACTGACTCATGAATCGGATATCGTACCTCGAATGTCCAATGTCATGCCCGGCTCCATCCATTTGCCCCCGGGATACCTGAGATCCAGTATTCTGCTTTTTGGGAGTAGATGAGACCTGACTTGCGCAGCAATCATACATATAGCGTATAAAGATACTATCAAACCAAACATGGCTCATTGAGGAGAATGCAAGTGTGGAAAATGAGGTATATCAAATTAAAAGCTAGTACAAGAAAGAGTTCGGTCCACCTTCATTGAGCTTTAAATATGTAGTCTCAACTGCGTCCAATGCCTTACTAGGTGTCATGTCTGTCCCTGGGTGTGCATCTCGGCTTGCCTTTTACGCCAACCCCAACCGTTCAAATACACCAGACAAAGAAGAGGCGTGACAAGTAACACAGTCAACGAGACAATACAGTACGTCCATTTTATGCCAATTGCACGAGTCAAAGGGTCGACAGCGGCTGCTGCGCCAGCGCCAAGAAAGCATCGGACAAAGTTATTAGCAGCCATGACGGTGGCTGGTCGGTCGTAGTACAGATCCACGATGAGTGCATTCATGACACTGTACGCAGCGGTGATACAATAGCAAATTGCAAAGATTATCGACAGGGAAATCGAAAGAGGTGGGTTCAAAGGTAGTAGTACCCCATACGCCACAATGAACACCGATGCGAGTATCTAGACTAGGAAGTCAGATCAGGGCCATAAAATACTCAAGAAATTTACATATGACAAGACAGCTTACCGTCATTGGTAAGCCAATCTGCAACCTGGCTTGTTCGATTGGAAAGCCGAGCATGTCCTCTTTCTGGTTCTTGTGTACCGTTAAGCCGGCTTGACAGCGGGTTCGCCGGTAGTTCCAGTCAACTAACACTCCGTTGGTAGTAGCACTGAGAAGGGAGCCCAGGCCTGCGGGGATGAAGCAGAGTCCTATTTGCAAACCGTCGAGATTGTACATTTTCTCGAATTGTACAGGCATGCCCGCCGTGACAGCATAATAGCTCGCAAAAACGACACCGTTTGACAGGATAATTAGCCCCACTGGTCTGTGAACAAGCAGACACAAAGCGGACCACGGGCTGTGTGCATGGCCAATGTGTCTCGGGAACATGGAGACAGGGGGGGCTGTGATAGGCCTTCGTGTGCAGTTCCATAGCGATCTATTCCAGCCGACGGCAGGAAATGACCCATTGCCCACAATCGTACGACACGTCTCTGGGAAGAACAGCAAGAAAGGTACGAAAAGAACTCCAGCCGCGATGGTTAGGAACCAAAAGATTGCCTGCCATCCCAGATATGTGTTCAAGGCACCTCCGAGGATTGGCCCAACGGATGGCGCGAGAATATTTCCCAGAGACGTGAATCCCATGTAAAGACCTCTCTCGGCAGATGTAATGATATCGGCTGCAACGGCAGATGCAAGAGCAACAGTCCCACTACTGCCGCAGCTTTGGGCCCCACGAAAAAGCATTAATATATAGAAGCTGTGTTGTAAAGCGAGAGAAGTGTTGGCAAAAATATAGATAACGAAGCATATGATGTACACGGGTCGACGGCCTGCTCGATCTGCTAGGGATCCTGTGAAAATAGGAGCAAGACCTTGACATATCTTGATACTCATTCTTAGTAGCCATCCCATTTGATTATGAGGTCGAATAAATGATCATACCATATACGAAGTGATAGTAAGGTTAATTTTAGATGAACTGACATGAAACTCTCTTGCAAGTGTGTTCAAGGCTGGATAGTATATGTTTGCTGATAATGGAGAAAAGCTTGATGCCAGGGCTGCAGTTAAGACAACAAGGCGCTTCTGTACTGGCGTGAATACCGAATAGGGTGGGTCTGTAGGTTCAGTCTGTAGCAAAGTTGTCGTTTCGTTGGTCTCGTCAAAGCCTGCTCGACGGCTATCTGACTCGCTCATTGTGATTCAAATCGATTGTTGACTTTTACTAAACAAAGAAGATCTTTTTGACAAAAGCGATGGTGACTTGAGATTATAAATATACCGTTCACAAGTACTACTTACTGTTCACCGATCATTAGTTAACTTGTCAGGGTAGTTTTGTACACAATTTAGCACGCTACATTGTAGCTGTAATTGAAAGTTGAATTTCACCAGCATATATCTGCCATACATTTCGATCAATAAAAGAGAGTGAGCTATTTATCATCGGTCTGTCAACCATACATTTGTCCGAATCAAGCTTCGGCAAGATTGGACCCTTTCATATTTTTGCAACAGGATTCAATAAAGGCTCGACTTGACCCGTATATATGTGTACTGGCCTAAACAATTTACCCCGGTTGACTATGCCTTCCCCATTAGAGGGTATACTTTCGCGGTAAACTAGATAACTCACTGGTATATTCTCTCCAATGCGCCATGATACCGATAATGCGATGAACAAGCATTGCGGCCGGAATAATATCAATCTCAAAGCCACTTTCAGAGTCATCATAATATTCCAAGACCATAAATTAGAAATAAAGCATACTCACATCCCAGTAAACACAAAATTGCCATAGAAGTCGGCATTCGGATACAAGCCGCGAGATAGAAAATACTCATCTTTTTCAGCTGTCCTTTCGATAGCCTCTGCGACTTTCAGTAGCGGCTGTTCCACATAGGTAAGGTCTTTCAGAATAGTCCGAATGGAATGGACGCGCGGGTCCATGCCCTTATAGGTCCGATGACCGTAGCCGAATAACTTCCGTTTACCTTCTTTCACCTCACCGATGAAAGCTGGGACATTTTCTGGCTCTTTTATTGCTTGAAGCGTACGCTGAGCAGATTCAGTAGCGCCAAAATGTAAAGGACCGTGGGCGGCTGCCACCGCTGAGAGCAAGCAAGAGATCGGGTCGGTCAGTGAAGAGGCCGTGACTAGCGTTGAAAAGACTAAAAGCGCCATTCCATGCTCCGCGTTGAGGTTTCCAAAGCTTCGGAAGCAGGAAAGCCGGATTTGATCCCTCTCGGTTGTGATTGTGTTGATGAGTCCTGCCATTCTGAATATATTGTCGTAGTAGGGCAAATCCATAGAAGGAACTTCAGTTGCCAAGCCTAGTCTGTGGCAGCGTACAATGGCAAATATTACACCGTAAGCTGCGATTGACTTGAGAATGGCTTCATCGGCAAATTTAGTGTTTGTTTGGTACACTGTTGCCTCGTGATGAGCCGGAATGAAATCTGGCACGCATGCAAGATAGGCCGACAGTCCGGCCATGATCATTGGAAGTGGGCTAGTTTGGGTTCTATGTTTCGGTGTATATCATCAGAATGCTTATACAGTAAAAAGAAGAGAAAGAATTGGGGGATGACTGGGATTCATACGGAAAACTGAGTATAGTCTTGTAGACAAGATCGGGAATCTCTTGCATATACCGTGCTATCTGCAGCTGCAGCCTTGAACGCTGAGGTTCAGTTGGAAATGTCCCCCAAACCAACAAATGAAACATTTGTTCGAAGTCTGCGCCCCATAGCTGCTCCAAGGTGTAGCCACGATAAAGAAGCAGGCCTTGTTCGTGATCACTGCGGAGGTATCAGTGCATGATTCGCCGCAAGGCCAGTCTCGCTCACGAAAAACTGATAGATGATTCTGTGACTGCCGTATTTTGTAATCCGGGATCGTAGATGCGCAATCCGTGAGCCAGTTGGTTAGCGCGATCGCTGTCAATCGAATGCGCCGTGACTTTGCCTAGATCAGTGGCACGTATTGCGTTGCGGTGAATCGGAATCTCGTAACTCTTGTTAGTTCGCGAGTCGCGGACAAATAAAGTGCCATTAGACATGATGGGATATGACTACTCTCGGTGGTTAAGGTCAATGTAATCAGGCGCTGAGAGCTTTTGAGGACACCGTCGGTGCTACCACTTCCCCATTTTGAACTCAACTCCTAATTACACCGGAGTTTCGGATGCTACGTTAGTTATCCATTTACTACAAATGGCGGAGTTGTAACCAGGATATGTAGCAGAAGCCTTGTTGGATCAATGCAAGTGTCAAATTAGAACTATTTCGTCGCATCATAATTCCTCATTAAAAGCCATAGCACCTCCCCATATCTTCTTGTGCTCTGTGCTTACTCGGGCATGTGCTTGAAAGGGCGAGCCAGGGACTCCTCACAGAAGGGAAGCTTGCTGACGGTCCAGATCTCGGTGTCCTACAGAACATAAATTAGCTCAGACCGAATACCCCATTGTCACATGTGTGACTCGCAATGCATGTGCACATACCGGCTTCAGAGTCTTCTTGATCTCAGTGTCCAGGGTTCCAGCCTTAATAGCAATGATCTCGGGGGCGGCATCGGGGTCGTGGGCAATGGGGGAGCCACACTCGGAGCAGAAGATACGGTGGACGGCGTGGCCGGAAGAGCCCTTACCGGCCCAACTCTTGGTAGGACCCTTGATGGTCAACTTGTCCTTGGGGAAGACAGTGACCAGAGCTAAGGGAGTGTCAGTTCCACAGTTCAGCATACTCAATTGCACGGAAGGGGGCGGATGTACAGTAAGTCGAACCGCTCTGGCGCTGGCAGTCATCACAGTGATCATAGGCCGTGATGAGAGGGGCGTCCACGTCCACGGTGTACGTGACGGCTTTGCAAAGGCAGTGTCCAGAAAAAGGCATTTTGAATACTCACAAGGTTCTCAGAGGTGAGGACCTTTGGAGAGGGAAAAGCGCAGTATTTAAGAGTTTCGATCCCCGTCTAAGCTCGTGAGAAGTGACAGGTCACCAGTACCTCGACTGACCGCATGTTTACGCTGGGGGGACCAGGTACTCAATACTCTGACATCATATCCGAATTGGCTTTTGCGAGAGCTTTTCCCCGTTTCCACAGTTTCTCGTGTCTTCCAAAGATTCCAAATTGTGGCAGCTTCATTAATTGGCTAATGGACTGCATCAGAATGACAAATTATTGCCCCGCCATAGCTTACTGCCCCTCCATCACTTGGCTAAGCGCGCCACTAGAGTACAGTGAGATTGCTCGATGTTTTTGCGCACAAAAAACCCCGTTCCAAATGGGCACCGCAAATCAGTTCCTTCGCGCAGATTTAATCCTTGCTTATCTTGTGGTTCACCGGACGGGAGCCCGGCAACAGTCCATTCGGTCCGGATATCAACGCCCAACGGGGCATAAGTGTGGGTTTTGAGGCCCTGCGGGGTGTTTTCGAAGCTGGCGCGATACCGAATCTTCCCCTGGAGCAGGCCAGGGATGTAAACAATCCGGTCCGTCAACTCATACCAGCTGCGAAGGGCCTCGTCGGGCGGCGCATCTGCTGGCGCTTGGCACCGCTCGTAGTGGATCACCAGTGGGTTCTGTTCGATCATCGCTCCATGATCGTGAAGCTTCTCGACGAGGGTCTCCTCGGAGACCGAGGAGGGTAGGGATGTCAGGGTGGAGAACTGAAGTCGCTGCATTGTGATCAATCAGGGACTGAACACTCGGTCAAGGATATGTGCCGGGGGTTTCGTGCGTTGGAGTCCCAAGTTAGCGGCGATCACGGCTTGGCAGGTCGGACTCCGTGGCTAACCCAACAGACTGGCTCAGGGCATGTACAGCAGATGATAGAGTAAGTATTTGTGATTGGATTATGCCTCCTGCGAGTTGGACAGCTTGCGGTGGCCTACATGTAAGCTTTGGCTTCTATGCAGAGTGGGAGATTGATCAATCCGATCCCAACAAAGCCTTCATCTCAACGAAAAACAAAAGGCATAACTAACAGACTGTACTTACACAGTAGAGTGTAAGCCCTACGTAGGTCCAAAAGGGAAGTAAGTCAACATCGACGTCATCGCCGGTTTCTCGCCTCAGGCAACGATTCAGGCTTCATACCTTATCACCCATACTGTCGCTTATAGGGATCTGTCTGGATATAGGTCATAGCGGAGCTATAATCTTTGGTCTAGAATTCAAATGACTCGGTCGCAGCATGAAAATGGATGCCTTGGAACTCATTCGTGCTCGTTTCACGAGACTGTGTCATTGGCCTGTGACTCTACCATCGACATGTTTGACTTTCAGGGAATACGAAACAGTCGAAAAGGTTACAGTAAGCTCCAGGCAGAGTGAACGTAATTGCCTACTCGCTATTCCTCCTCTCTATGGGCAGGAAGCACCATAAGCAAGGCTGAGACCCAGATATCACCAGCCCCAAGCCAAAGAATGCCATCCCTGTCTTTGCCAATGTATTTTTGACCAGCAAATGGGGCCATGATGCTAGCCATCCGGCCAAGACAGAATAGCATGTCGCTAGCGCTGGCACGATAGGAAGTGTCTAACGCCGTTCTTTACGTATCCACGCCCGAGATGTTTAAGTACTAATATTTGACAACTCATCGTTGATAGAGGATTTGGAATACACCCACGCTCTGCATAACATATTCCAAAGCTTTCGAGCCGACGCAGCAGGCGGTACCCTCGACGTGAGTCTACACTGTCATAGAGACACCTTGCAAATTGCCCGAGATTACCAGTGACCGACCATTTTTGACTAATCAAGGGTAATGAAACGGAGACTAAAGCGACGAATGTGCCAATGACTCTTGACAAGTAAATGTATACGTAGTCACGGTAAGCGTCGCTGACGCTTCCAGCGCCACTGTCTACATTGTTGCGGAGCAAGTCTTTTATCCTTGGAGGGTGCTTTATTGTCGGCTTTTTAGGCGGAGATGTAAGGGTCATCGATGTAAGCACTAGGATCATAGAGGTCGTAGGGCTCCGAAATTTCAGGGATGGTGGACTCGAGGGCAACGTCTATAAGTATTTAATGTGCTTCGACCTTATGATTGTGTTCTTGGGAAACTCATTTTGGGTGTGTTATTATTGATTTTAAGATGAATTGAAAAGGGATAGAAAGCAACGAACAAGGCTCTGCAGAAGAGGAAAGACATTGAAGTCACATAAAAACTTCAACTCTATAAAAATTCCCACGTCAACCATCGATTTGGGTCGACGCAACAAGATACTTGTTGTATCTTGACAATGTAATTCAAGTACAGTAGGATACTACGGAGGCCCGTCAGAATATGAAAGTATGTATTTAACGTGCGAATTGCGAGATTAGTCACTAGTAGCTAATCCGCCTAACATTTTCAATCTTGTCTGCCACACTCTACTCCAAAAACTGGATCAGCGCAACTCTCACTACTAGGGCCTCAATTCAAACTTGCCTGCATTTGTGCCGCCTGACCACCCTGAGGGTTTTGGCCTCCGTATACAGCGGCCTCGGCATGCTGCGCATCGCGAGCATCATCCTTTGTGACGTAAACAGGCACATCAGCGCTCGCAGTCAGTCCCAGAGCCTCATTGCTGTCGGCAATTGATCGGACCTGAGCAGTGACAAAGCCGATTCCAAGGGGTTGATTGAATGCTCTTCCCTATCGTACTCTTATTAGAATTTGATGCAGAATTGAAATTTTCCTCGGATTTCCTGACCTCTGTTGCTTGGATTTCATCTGCATCCGTGACTGAGATCGAGGTTGGTGGTTTCCTTGAGATTTCATCGACCTTGTTTTCAAAATTCATTTGCCGCATTGATAGACTCTGGGCGGTGGCTGTTCAGAATCAGCTTTGGGCAATTCTTAAGCATTTAAATTGAAAGTACCGGCTGGTCCACCCCGAGCAGGTCCATGTCCAGTTAGTGCACTCTCGGCCTGCGAAATGGCTGAAACATCGTCTTGTGTAATACGTTGACAACTCTCAGCGGCGAGTTGGATTTCAGCGACAGTCGGAATATCGAAGCTCATATTTCTAGAATAGCCGTTGATTTCTTGTATCTACTGTCGTCGCAATTGTTTCTCTTAGAATATATATAGTGTGGAACAAGTTGCAGTGATGTCACGGTGAGGCCATCTCAACACACTGTGCTTTGCCTCTCCCGCGTAAGTGGTGGTGGCGTTGGCTACATTGACAACGAATAAGACATAGAGAATTCAATGGTATTCAATTGATCAGTAATCATGGGGCATTCACTAGACCTGCGAGTTTGCCATGAGGTCCGGAGGCAACGACCTTGGCTCTTGTCCCCGCTAGCTAACGCCCTGGTTTGATGGTAGTTATGAGGAGTAAGACAAGCATATGCTGCATCTACGTGTATTCTTCAAAGCCCGGCAATAGTCTCCTACAACGTCCATTAATCACCAGGATTAGAAGTAGACAGGTGTGCAATGTATACATGGTTCGAGGGGTATATGGGGATGAGCCATTATTATCGTTGCCCTGGTCCAGCGCGCCACTGATTTCTATAGACCCAGAGCATCATCCAACCATACCACCACTCTAACCCTCCATGCCACGACCGCGAGTCTGACTTGTTGTCGCATAGAGCTTATGGAGCTCAACTTTATATATTTGCCATTGTCCATCCTTCGACGAGTGGGTGTAGTTCCCCACTATACTAAGTATTAAGTGCATCAAGCTGCGTACCACTTCATCATAAGTTATCGCCCATATCATCCGCGCTGCAAATCGATGTTCTCTTTTGAACAAGAGGCAAAAAGGGTGAATCAAAACAAGACCGTAATGGCCAATGCCGCATTATTGGGCCACAGAGTATATATAACCCAAATAGAACGTCAAAGCAACAATCGGTCTTAGCACAACAAATCCAACATATCCCATATTCCTCTCTATACCAACGCGGTGTAAATGAACCCTGGATCGACGTATGTCACGTGGTCTCGCGCTCGACCAATTGGAATCCGATGGCATCCCGGTCCCCATCCCGGTACCGGGATGGGGAGGCTACAGTTCCTTCCTCCCTCCGGTCGACTCCAAAGCACCTGATCATCACATATCCGGGAGATTTCGACACCGGTTCCGCTCTATTTAACATCAGAGCATCTCAACGCCAGAATGCCGAGGGCTCGGGCCCCCAGCGACACGTAAGGCCCTCTCCATGACCTTCGTAATATCGCTGAAATCAGGTTAGACACCTTCCCAAGAAGGGAAAGAAAGCATGCGATGAGTGCCGCCAGCAAAAGGTCTGAATGTTGCATGATTGCGTATGACAACGTACTTACTTTTGTAGGCAAAATGCGATGTCTATTTGGCTCCGGACCAGCCTTGTCACCGGTGCCGCAAACTCAAGATCGAATGCATCGCATCTGATGGCTTCACCAGGCAGCACAAGCGTCAGTAAGAACCCCCGGGGAAGTGACACAAACGAGAATCCTGTTTCTTACATATGCTCCTCAGACGCCTCGAGGGCCTGGAACGAGAGAGAGAGCAGTTGCGTCAACAACTGCAAGACTCTCAACTGACGAATCCGCATCTAACACCAATCGCCTTGCTAACAGCTGCAGCAGAGATGGGAGTACCCATTGAACCGAAACAAGATGAGTCCTCGGCGGGTTGGCAATCTCCATCGGTGCCTTATCCGCAGCAACATATTGCACAAGTGAATCCATTGTCAAGTCCCAAATTAACAGGACCTGATGCCACAATGCCTCGGACCTTAAAGGGCGTCACGGTTACTGGGCAGGAGATTGATGATCTTTATCAATTGTGATTGAGCCTGGAGCTTTCTCGGGGTTAGCCAGAACTAACATGTCACAGGTTCTTTCAACACTTCGCCTCATTTCTGCCGATCCTTGACCCGCAAACCACGCCCAATGCCTATTACTTGCAGTCGCCATTCCTATTCTGGGCCGTGGTTGGTGTTTGTAGTAGGTCCTATTCCCAAAATCCAACACTACAGACCGCGTTGGCCCAAGATATCACCGAAATGGCGTTCATGTCAGTATTATCGACATGTGCACCGTGGCATACAATTCAGGGTATGTTGCTCTTGTTGACGTGGCCATTTCCCAAGGAGAATCGCCCAGATGTCACTTTCCCGTTGAGTGGGATGCTACTGCATGTAGCAATGCAAAACGGCTTTCATATCCCAATGTCCAGCCATGAATTCTCTAGGATTAGTATTCCAGCTCCCTCGGAATTGGATATGGTCCGACGCTCAGAGCTCTGGGCGCATTGTGTTCTTGTATACCAACGGTAAGCTTTCGATTGAATACTACTTGAGAAAGAATTACATTGATAAATTGAATAGGTCGTGTATGATCAAGGGCCAATATCCACGGAACCTGGTCAATGTTGCCCATGATCCTACCCAGCGTCAGGTATTATTTGACAAAATCGCCCCAGGCCTTGTCATGAAAATTCGATGCCAGGAGCTCGTGACAAAATGCAGCGAAGCAGTTTTAGAAAACGGCGTTCGTGCCATGTCTCTGGACCAAGAGCGTTCTTTGGACATCTTACTTAGAGCATGCGAAAGTCAAGTAGATGAACTTGAAATGCAAGCAGTAGCTGGTTTGTTCTCTTTTCAAATACTACATCCATTTCTCCTCACTAACTATTTTATCACTAGACGATGAAAGATTTCACCTTCTACTGTGTCGGATGGCAATCCAGAGTTTCCATTTCTACAAAAACCAAACAACCGTCTCCAGTAGATGCCTTCCTCGTCTTATCGTTACGGCTTGTGATCTAATAGACCAAGTGCAAGCCCTAGGAAAGCGAATAGGGTTCCTTTCCATGGCGCCCGTTCAGATCGGGTTCGGTGTACTCCTTGCTTCAATCTCATTGCTTCGCATACTCAAAAGCAGCATGGCCTGCAGTGTACTAGATACCCGTCGTGCACAAACCTCCTTCTTTGCAGCTATCAATCTGGCTAAGCAAATGTCAACTGACAGGACTGATACGGCAGCGAAGACAATCACTGTCATGAATCAGCTATGGAATAGCAGCAAAGCATTCCGCAAGGCCGACGGCTCGGAGTACACAACTCTTCGAATCCGCAGCCGTTTGATTCTCAGTCAGATTCTAGACGCCGTCTGGTGGTGGCGAGATGAATTCGATCCTGGGGCCCGAGCCAAAGTGCGAGGCACTGAACCATTTGATGGTTCTTCTGCCCGAAGTCATACGTTGCCTGTAGACACATGCCGCCCTGTCACAGCATCAGATCCTAATCGCGAGCCTTTCGGAAGTACGATCCTGAATTTGAATGCCCCACAGGACCAGTTCCAGATGGACGAAGACTTCTTTGCAAACTTTGAGTGGGCACTAAGCGATGATGCTCTATTATCTTTGGATGGCTTTTCGACGGACTGGTCTACCGCCAACCATCTACCTTGAAGATGAGTCCAGAGCTTCTCGATTTGTGCATACATCAGGTCCAATTAGCTCTCAATAAGCCCCCCCCTCCTCCCCCCTGATCGACAACATCAGGTATCATACAGAGATAAGACCCGTTATCCAGCCTTACTGCAAGCTGTCACAATTGCCGACCCCGGGCTCATATCTCGGCTAATGTTAGTCGAATCTGCATGCGTCAGCCTGCCTTAGCCACATACGAATATGCCCACATGCCGTATCAAGATGTTAAAACAAAGATCTTACCGGCAAATCCGAGTCATGTTCCCTGGTCTATCGAGGCACTTGCAGATGGTATGGACGCGCGGCGTGCGGCCTGTCGGCAGATGTTAGGAACTGAAGATCGTGGGTGTGGCCCAATTGGCGTTCAACTATCCTTATTTGGGTTGAGACTACAGCCACGTGAGGAAATCATTGTCCAAGAATCACCTGCATAAAGATGTCGACATTTTGAGATATCTCCAGATGTATACTTGGTCAAGAACCTTCACGTCTGGATGTCTCTATCTTTGCCACACTTGCACTTCCTCCAATGGAATAATGATAGTCATATCAGGTCCAATCATTCAATTTACTGGTATCTTCCAGTTGGTTTTATTTTGGTCCAAATTTTCCTTTGTTCTATATTCATCACATGATGGCCCTTGCTTTTTTTTTTTTGCCGTTCGCCAATGAATTCCGCCACCCCTCGACACCCCCCTGTAACTCACCTGCAACTCTGCTGTAACTCCGCAGGGGCTCCGGTGTGGGACCAAGCCACGCGATACTAACATTTGCCACTAAATTGTAGTATTCCGTATCGGGTGATTTTCAGCGTAGCTGGGATATCTACTAACAAAGTTTCCCCGCATTCTTGAGCCATGTCTTGCCCTAACTCGGGCTCCCAGCAAGGTCCGGATGGGAGAAGTCAGAACACTCATCATACCATCCATTATTGGCAGTCATTTGAATGTGTTCGCACCTGAGGAGAGCTCGATCGTGATGGTCAATCGCCGCCGGGATTCGCCTAAACTCGAAAGATAAGAAGCTATAGCCGGATGTCTCTATTGCAAGGGTAATTCCGTGGGAATGGCTTGGCATCCGCTCAATGTTCTACTGCTAACTTCGATGGGAACTAGTGCCGGAGATGCGCTAAATTAGCTTGCAACAGGGGTTGCTGGTTGGTTCGCCGCCAGCTTAGCTGCATACTTGGCATCAGAACTAAGACTTTACGGGCAGGTCTCCGCCAACCCCCAAGATTGTGTGTGCGCCGGCTTATCACTAATAAGCTATTAAGTGGAGTTGCTTCTTTAGTGTCTTGGACGTTATCAGTCTCGGCGATGGGGGTTGCGCTTGAACCCCGGGGAATTGTGGCCCCATTTCCAATGCTGCGATGTATTCTCCGGAGTATACGGCTCTTTGGTTTGCTCCAAACCCCCCGGCATCCGATCGAGACCGTGATTGATCTGGGCTTCTGGAAGTAACCCAAGGAACGCCACCAGTTATCTATACAATCTCTATCCATATCAGTGGCGGAAGTGGCCTGAGAGCGAGAGCTACAGAATCCCAGCGCTTATCCCACAATGGGTCGTGGCTTACACTCGTGGCACCTAGAACTTTCAGCTTTTGCCTTATGCGCCTTGTTGCACGACTCCTGTTCGTCAGTTTTCACCCCTTGCTCTTTACACTTCTCCACCTTTCGCTCCCCCTCAAATCAGATTTCCGTATTGTCAACCGGTTTCATTTACGTCGAAGGTCCGCCACACGAGGTTACATCCATTTACGGATAAGCTTGAGATATCGCCTTCGGTCGATAAAGCGGAGTTCCGTCGGTCTTATGCCTCTCGTGTGCTTGCTCTTCACATAAATCATGTGTTAAAACCCCTTCTTGTTCTCGCAGATTCTCGCATGCCTATCTTCTCCCTGTGAAGCCAACATCTGCGCTCCACATTCATCATGGAGAAGGACGAGTCTATCGCCATTACCACCGGCGCCATGGTCGACGAGACCGCGCCGGATGAGGCTCTCAAGCAGTTGCGCAACCTGAAGAACCACCACCATTGGGATCCTAACATGCCTGAGGATGTCGTTGACGAGCTGGACGAGGCGCTGAACACTACCGATGAAAAGACTCAGATCAGCATTGCACACGAGCTCATCGACAACTCGCCTTATCCTGAGGTTCGTGCTGCTGTCCCGAACGTGGATGAGGGCGGTGCTGTTAACACCCTTCGCGCCTGGGTGATTGGTCTAATCTTTGCGACTATTGGTTCATCCCTGAACATGCTGTTCTCCATGCGTCAGCCCTACATCGTCATTCCCTCTTACATCGCTCAAGTTGCCGCCTATCCCGTTGGAAAGGCCTGGGAGAAGTTCATGCCTAACAAGACCTTCCGCGTCTTTGGCAAAGAATTGAGCTTAAACCCAGGTACCTTTTCCAAGAAGGAACATGCGATTGTGGTGATCATGGCTAACGCCACGTTCGGTGGTGGCGCCGCCTACGCAACGGATGTCCTTTTGGCTCAGCGCGCGTTCTATGGTCAGCGCTTTGGCTGGGGCTTCGAGATCTTGATGTGTATCTCCACCCAAATGCTAGGCTTCGGTATGGCCGGATTCTTCACCAAGTTCCTGGTCCAACCTGCCGCCATGATCTGGCCCTCCACTCTCATCAACACTGCTCTTTTCTCGGCGCTGCACGATCACTCCCTTCCCGATCCTAGCAAGGTCTCTGGTTGGAAGCTTGGTCGGTATCGTATGTTCTTGTACGCTATGATCGGATCCTTTGTCTGGTATTGGTTCCCCGGCTTCATCGCTCCCTTCTTGAGCGTTTTCGCCTGGGTAACTTGGATCAAGCCAAATAACGTTGTCATTAACCAGCTCTTTGGTGGTGCCACCGGTCTTTCGCTTATTCCCATGACTTTTGATTGGACCCAGGTCTCCGGCTTTAACTTTAGTCCTCTGATCGCCCCCTGGTATGCGATGGCCAATACCATGATTGGTATGGTTCTTTTCTTCTGGATCGTCACTCCGGCCATTCACTATTCTGGTCTGTTCTATTTCAAGTACCTGCCGATCAGTGATTCTAGCAGTTACGATAATACCGCCAATGCCTACAACGTCAGCAAAATTCTCACTCCTCAATTTACCTTCGATGCCGTCAAATACAAGGAATACTCCCCTCTCTTCTTGTCGACCACTTTTATGCTGGCATATGGCCTTTCGTTCGCCAGTATCGTCGCTGTTGTTGTCCACACAGGTCTGTTCCACGGACCTGATATCTGGGCTCGCTTCCGCATGGTTGGCAAAGAAGACGAGGATGTTCACGGTCGCCTCATGGCTAAATACAAGACCGTCCCAATCTGGTGGTATCTCGCTTTGTTCCTTATCATGATGGGAATTGGTCTGGGAGTCGTTCTTGGATATCCAACTCACCTAAGCTGGTGGGCCTTCTTCATCGCCCTGATCATCTCCGCTGTTTGGTTCATTCCTCTGGGCATTGTCAAGGCTTCTACCAATATCGATCTTGGCCTCAACGTCATTACTGAGTTTATCATCGGATACATGCAGCCTGGAAAGCCCATGGCTATGATGCTGTTCAAGACCTACGGCTACATCACCATGTACCAGGGAATGTACTTCACCCAGGATTTGAAAATTGGTATGTCCCTCTCCCTCTCTCCCGATGTAATCTCAAGTTACTAACTTTGTCTTAGGCCACTACATGAAGATTCCCCCTCGTGTGACTTTCAGTGCGCAGATGGTCGCCGGTGTCTGGTCTTCTCTCGTGCAGATCGCCACCATGAACTGGGCCCTCGGCACAATCAAGGACGTCTGCGACAAGAAACAGGTCAATCACTACACTTGTCCCAACGGCCGTGTGTTCTTCAACGCCTCCGTCATCTGGGGTGTCATCGGTCCCTCCCGCATGTTCTCTACCGGCCAACTCTACTCTCCTCTCATGTTCTTCTTCCTCGCCGGTCTCATTCTCCCAATCGTCATCTACTTCCTCGCCCGTACCTTCCCTCGTACCCCTATCAAGTACCTCAATGCCCCCATCATCTTCGGTGGTGCTGGTTTGATCCCTCCTGCCACCCCCCTCAACTACCTGTCCTGGGGTATCGTCGGCTTCATCTTCAACAAGTACATTCGTGACCGCTGGCGCGGGTGGTGGATGCAGTACAACTACGTCCTCTCTGCCGGTCTGGATGTCGGTCTGGCGCTTTGCACCATTCTGATCTTCCTGACTCTCAATCTCACCGGCACTTCCTTCCCTGACTGGTGGGGAACTCGCATCGCGGCTGATACCATGGATATGGCGGATACCGCTATCCAGATTCCGCTCGCTGAGGGCGAGAAGTTCGGACCTTCCACTTGGTAAATGCTGTCACTTAAGGAAGTCTTGGTTCTGTCTGGGGATAGGGTTAGTTGAAGATGTCGATTAGGTGCCGGTGCTAATATTCGGATACCCATTTAATCAACGCTAGCAACGAATAGTAACGCCCTAATGATTTGCTCTTTTGAATGTTGCTTCTTTCCAGATACATAATTAGTAATAATACCAGTAAGATTGCTTGTTCTTCACCTCAAGCTGTCCATGGCATGTTATCTACAGAGAACGATCTTCGTGTATTTTTCACATCGGTCATCCGAAGTCATGTCTGCCTGCAAGGATCATCTCAGCCTCAGTTTGACAGCTGACTATCGGTGCAACTATTGTATAAGCTTGCATCTATAATACGAGCCTGTGCTCTCAATCTCTTCTTCTGCTCTCAATCTCTTCTTCTGCTGACTCTCAGCGCAGCACTTCTTCCAAGGTTCCTATGCACTTACCACAACCACCTCGCCACATCACGGTTTTTACGCTGAGTGAATAGCCATGAACAATATTGAACATATTTGAAGGTATTTCAATTGCAATGCAAATATACAAACAATATATACAAACTCGTCGGACTCACAATATTCACAAAGCGAGGTCCATATCGGAATTGACGAGACAAGACAAAAAGGAAATTCATCAGCGGCAGTGATATGGCAATCTATCCCAAGGATAGATGACATCCACAAGCCGATTCATCGAATCATGGCATACGGTGAAATCAGCATGTCTGGATTCACACGCATCCAGATTCATATCCATATACTTTCATTCGGATCTTCCAAGACCCAATTTCACCCTAAATCCACTCCGTTTTCAAATGCATGATAATTCTTCCAAAAGGTAGACGTTTAAACTGCGACTCTGCGGCGGCGCATTCCAACGTCAAGACCAAGAGGCTTGCGCAAGAATCCCTCGCTGGTCTCCATGGGTCCGTCCTGCTGCATCTCGAACTCGAAGAGGCGGAAGACAGTAGCGGCCATAACGAGGAGTTCCATCTCAGCGACGTTGCGTCCAACACAAGCGCGGGGTCCGTGACTGAAGGGAATGAAGGCGGCCTTCTGGCGGGGGGTAAGGCGCGAGGGGTCCCAGCGCTCGGGAACGAACTGCTCGGCGTCGGGTCCCCAGATCTCCTTGGAGCGGTGGATGGTGTAGCTGGGCACAGAGAGAACGTCACCGGCCTTGAATGTGTGTCCGGAGATAACGACCGAGGGGGCACCTTGGGGAATCTCACGGGGAAGACCCATAGCGGAGGTGCTGTGGATACGCATGGTTTCCCAGATGACCCATTGGAGGCTGCATTTTGTTAAAAAAAGGGCTCTTTAAGTGAGCGGAGATGATTATTGATGACTTACTAAGGAATATCCTTGACCATGGCGTGGGTGGGAACCTCAATGTCCTTGGGAATACCCTCGTCGAGAACCTCGTGCAGCTTGGGGATCACACCGGGGGTAACCATGCACCAGTACAGGATAGCACAAGCAGTGTTAGAGGTAGTATCGGAGCCAGCAATTAGTTGGGTAAGAGCCTCGGCGGTCAACTCAGGGCCTGCAAGGTTGTTGCCATTTCCGTCCTTGCCTTCCATCAGGCGGGCGAGCAGATCGACACGAGTGTTGTTGGCCATAACTTCCGGCTTAGTACGTTCATTGACACGAGCGATGGCGATACCGGCGAGATTCTGAACGGCTTGCATGCCCTCGCTGAAGAACTTGTCGGGGATGTACTTGGCGAAGGGGATGAGGGAAGGCATGCAACCTAGGGTAGCAGAGACTTCACCACGGCGGTTCAGAACCTCAACAGCAGCAACATACTTGGGCGGATCCTTGGGGTGCATGCGCATCTCAGCAATATCCTGACCCTTCTCGAGCATACCGAAAGGAGCACCGAAAGCAAGATCACCAATGATATCAAAGGCCAGGAAGTTAAACCAGTTCAGGGCATCAAGGCTAGCGTATCCAGTCTTGGGGTTACCCTGAAGATCAGCCAGCTTTTGCCACTGCTTGACAAACTCCTCGACGTTTCCATGAATGTATTGCTCGAATTGGCCAATGGACTTGGCACTGAAGGTGTGGGAAACAGTCTTGCGCTTGCGAGTGTGCTCGGCACGATCACGAGTGTTGAAAAGACCACGGCGAATGGAGACAAAGGCATCGTAGAAGTCACTGGAAATGTCAGTTATGGGTACTGGTAAGTTGGTGAGAATGACTTACGCCTTCAAGAAACCGTTACCGTGTCCATAGATGCTCTGAATAGCGGCGTCATCGGCAACGGAGACCTGTGTGGGCGAAATACGCACGAGCTTGCCGTGCTTCTTGTGCAGGTCATCGATCTTTTGATACTTGTGGCCTCGGCGGGCCTGCAGCAGCAACCAAAAGTTGGTGAGGGGAGCAAAGCTAGGAGCTGGGATGTCCCGCAAGTGCGACCGCTGGAGATACGGCACCAAGAAATAGGCGCCAAGCAGGCCCAAAAGGATCAATGGGATGGTCTCGAGGGTAAAGAGCATGGTGACAGTATATGATATAGGTATTGGAGATGTCAAAAAGATATGAAAAAAAAAAACAGCACCGACGGTACGGGCCAAAAGTACGATGTCGATCACACTCAGGGATGATAAGAGGGATATATGCACAGAATCACTCGAGTTTGACTTTAAGATTCGAAAGCCAGGAAAACCAAAGGATCCTGTGGCATGATATTTAAGCAAAAGGGTAGTCCGGATGGTCTGGGGTCAATGAATCATTCCCCGAGGCAATGGCAAGCAACGGTAAGCAGTCTCGGTAGTGTGGAGTAGGAACGTTGGTGGCGGAGATCCGTGGAGAGTGCCGTCCTGAGGCCCCGAGCACCGGCTTCGGCTATTCGCGTCATGGCCCAAGCAATCAGAGGTCGCATATTTCCATTGGAACCCCATTCTCGGTGTAAATCTGCACGTCTTGATTCGACGCAGAATGTGGGGGAATGCATCCACGTGAGACAGTGAAGGCAAGGACATGGTCACGTGTTGCTGTACAGCTGCGCACCTGCCCCGGTCAATGTCATGATTAGGTCAGCGTTCTTATGTCATCCATGGATGGTCCCCTTTTGATCAGGTGATGCTGCCTGATCTGTCAGGCCAGCACAGGGTGAATCTCGGGCAAATGCCGGGCATAATTCCAGGTTGTGCATTCACTTACTAATAAGTTATAGTTATTCACATGGCAGTCATAAATTACCGTTAATGTACATAATCTCGCCTCTATCTCTCCATTTTCTCAATTCTCTCTCTATAACCCATTTGCCCTCAGGAAGTTATGGATCTGCTGGTAGGCCCCAGTGGCGTTGTAATGCAAGTTGATACCATGGCCAGTGTTCGGTTGAATGTAGGCAGAGAAAGTACTGGCCGAAGGGAAGACCGGCTCGGCAGCCGCGGCAATGGATACTGCGGCACCTCCAGTGGCAAAGCAGTCACCTCCACAAAAGGGAATATCCTTATCGCCATTGATGATATACACGGGGCCGGCGAACTGATTCAGAGGGGCCATACTGGCGACAGTCAGGATTTCACCGATGGTGGATGGCTGTTTGGTCGCTTCGGCATAGGCCAGAAGATCGGTGTCGAAGTTTCCAGGGGCAAAATAGAGGTACATGTTGTTGCTGATATCGCCGCTGGTGAAGTAACCAGCGGTATAGTCTGATTCCCGGCCTTTGTCGAGACGAGCTTGTTGGAAATTGGCACCGGAAATGAACATGCCCATGAAAGAAGCGTTCATCGAGAATCCAGTCAGGATGATTCCATCGGAGAGATCGGGGTATTTGGCTGTCAAGCCGTATGTCTGGGCAGACCCAAATGAATGGCCGACATGGACGATCTTGGAAGGTTGCTTGATGCATGAATCAGAGATGGAACCCTCACGCACCATCCGGGTAAGCTGGGCCAGAGCCTCCAGTTCCAAGAATGACTGGATCTCATTCTTCGCATCTCCGTGGGAGGATTTGCCGAGGCCGAGTCGATCATAGGCCAGAGTATGATAGCCCTGAGACAAAGCATGGTCGACGTAGGAGTAGTTGTAGTTCTGATAGGGCAGGTCCCAATAGCTAAATCAATAGTGTTAGATCATGCGGTAGTGGAAAATTATTGGCACAATAAACCTTTTGTCAAAGCCCATTCCGTGGGTCAGGATCTGAAGTACATGAGGGCTGTCTCCGCCCTTGTCGGGCATACAGTACTGGGCCGAGATATCGTAGAGACCAGAGATGGTAGCATAGCCAGACAAAACATCCGCTGTCACGTTGGCAGCCTGCGTACTTGCGTGGAGGGCGAAGGCAGTAGCGTCCAGGTTGGTCTGGGGAGTGCTGATCTTGTCGAACACACCATTACGGGCTGTAATCGGGACTTTCACAGTCATGTCATAGCAAGTCTTGGCACTTGCGACTCCAGCCATGATGGCCATCAGGCTCAAGCTTGGGATGTGCATGGTGTATGGTGAATTGACGGCAACTATAGAATATGGATATCTATGGCGGATGTAACGACTTTATATCTAACCTGTTGACTTTACCCCCCGCTACTGTAGGATTGAAGGCACCCTATGGATCGATGTATTTGTATTTGGACGTGTTAACTCCATTCATTTGCCAATGGGAAAGTCTATCGAGAATGTACAAAATTGGGATTTGTGTGGAGACGAAGCAAAATGTAGATCCATAATGCACGTCCAAGGGGCATTCTGGGGCTATTGGTGTTTAGCGTCAAAATAGCGGGTAAAGGGAAATTAGAGACCGAACATCACCTCATACGTTCTTTCATCCAGCGAATTATCTGTCGCAATCTGATATCTGCTCGCTTTCGGTTTCGGCCGTGAACCGAGCATCTAGTACTGTACATGCGAACCCCGATGCTTAACGGGAGATCCTCCAACGTTCTGAGATAGATCAGAGAAGCTTGGACTCCGCAATGGTCAATGGAGAAGAGTTACGGTGGGGTAGAAATGTATACAGTGCTAGAACTTCCCTTACCCCTGTCGCGCGGAAAGAGAAGCTTTGCGATGCATATGTTTCGGCAATTCGATGAGACCATGTGCGTGCCCTAATAGCGAGTCATGCGGCTTGCTGGAGCCGAATTGACAAATCTCTGAAACAATCTCAAGAGTCTAACCCGACAAGGCTGAGGATACGAAGATCATTGAAGATCAAAGATCGGGCCAGTGCTCCCAGCCGGTTATGTCCCGTGCCTGATCTAACACACATCGAAAAAGGCAAAATGAACCCGAAAAATGAGGCTATAAAACTATACATTCAAGTGGACAAGACAGAGCATATCGTCCCTGAGTCCGATGCAGTATGCAAATCCCAATCATCGTTGTCTTGGAAGTGTATTGTACTGTATGGAGTATATCATAAGTCTAGATCACCACCGATCTCCTTCTACTTGAAATAGACCGTTCTTCTTTTTCTCCACCTCCCACCGCTCTATCCAAGCTTTCATGACTTCCCGGGCTTTTTGGTTGCCCACATTGACTGTGGGAATAACGCGGCCGATACGTAGAGAGCAGCAAAACATGGTCAGCTCGCGGAACGAACTGTGTTCGCTGTAGGGAACACCGTAACAAGCGCTCTCCCGCGTACTTCCGCGTTGTGGAGTAAGACTTTGGCTGGTGAATGAGGTCTTCCACTCTTCACCATGTAGAACGGTGGGCACTGGGGGGTTCTGTAACGTTCGTCCGGCCGGCGAGCGGTAAGTCCAGCCCGTTGGGCGGAAGCCAACGACTCGGGAGAAGTGTGGTTTAAGTGTGTCAAGGTAGTCTGCCAAAGTGTCGGCACGAATTTCGAAAAGGGTCTGCATGTGCACTTGCGCTTCGTGAGGATTGTCGGTCAGCAACTCGGAGAGTTCTGGGTCTTCCAGACAGGCGCAGATCCGTCGCTTTGGCGGGGTTGCGAAGATCTTGGAACCAAGGGCCTTTGCAATGCCCATGCAAATTCGCTCTTTACCGATGCTATAGGTGCCAATTACTACCAATAGTCGACCGCCGACCTTGGTTGCTTGATCTCGCGGTTTGCTTCCTGGAATAGTCGAAAGAAATTTGCTCATCAATCCCCCTGGACTTTTCGTTGAATCAAGTCCAACTCCAGCCTCTTCGTCTAAACGAACGCAAAGCTCTTCGCAAGCCGTGATCACATCTTGCTGGTCTGGGAATGCATATTTAGGGCTCAAGTAAGTCGTGTCGAGGTAACATAGGTCGATCCGTTGCTGTCGCGGCTTTCCAGTCACTGGATTGATGACATCCGGACGCAAGAGTGGGTGCTGCACCTGGAGTGGAGATGCCCGAAAATCACCACAATGCAGTATTCGCTGCTGACGGGAATTGGGTCCGGTGTCAAAAGTCTTCTCAAATAAAAACAGAGAGCTGCCAGGACAATGGTTTGCATGGAGCATGGTGACATTAGCACCTCCCGTGTTCGGCACCTCGGATGTGATTTCAAAGTCCAGATCAACTATCCACTTGGGGTCGACGCGAAGCTGTTGGCGGACAAGATTGGCAGTAGGTTTACTGCAAAAGATAGGTCCGTGGCACCAATTCTTGCCTAGTCCGATATAGTGATCACTGTGGAAGTGGCTAAGAAAATAGGCATTGCATCCTTCAACGGCTCCGTAGCGAAATGCGTCTACACATATTGAGAATCCAGGCATGATTTTGTAAAAGGGGCAAGTCCGCTGGTAAGCTTGTTTGCCACGAGATGACACCTCGCTAGCGGCTGCGGCTACCCAGGCCGTGTCTTCTGCGTTTCCTGCCATCATCTTGGAGAACACGGACCCTCCATTCGGCTTGTTCTGTGAGTATGGATCAGGTTGTGGGGGTCGAGCTATGGCGGCTCGTTCAGTACGCGTCAGGCCTTTATCGGTGTCCACCGGGTTCAAAGGCGGGTTAGGAATCGACTGGGGAGTAGGACTCGTAGTGACAGAGGCTGGTTTACCGTCAAGGCAGTCGTTGACATGCACTGTGATATCCTAGTCTAAGAATAAGCATCATAGACTTGGAATGAAGCAATAGATACCCACCATTTGATTCAGGCCACTGAGCGCCGTCTGACATATAGGGCACATTCTCACCCCATCCTCGGTCTGTTCTGGCCCCAAATATTCGTTCGAATCTATCGCGTCCGCATAAAACCCGCTTTGTTGCTCTTGCTCTTCAGTCTCCCATGGTCGTTCTCTAGACTCTTCCCCAAAGACGCCTATAAGGTCGTCGTCTTCTATATCGTCAAAATTTCGGTCTTCATCATTATCGGCATTATTCGTGGCTGCTCTTACCGATGGCGGAGGTGAAGGGTGGGATTGTGGTGCCGTTGGTGTTTTCGGTTGATCCATTGGCAATGCCTCCCTTTTTCTTACATCTGTGGCAGGGTTTTCATGTGTGACAGGAGTTGTCTCTTGTATATCTCGGTATACTTCCATATCATCTTCGCTATCTGACTCATCGATGAATGGCCCACTTCGGTTTTGGATCTTGCTCGGTGGCGGGGCGTTCACGGTGTTCGAGTCCGCGGTTGGCAGGTGTACACTTTCAGCGTTTCGTGAATCGACTTTGCGACGCTTGGCACCTGAATCGCCATTGAAAAACTGATCATCGTCCTTCAGGAACTCCTCATCCCCACCCCAAATGTCAGGCGAAGGTGATCGTACTCCGTTCGTCTTATCCAGTGCCGCTTGCTCAATCTTTGCCAGCCCTTTTCTATCTTCCAAAAACAGTCCTTCAGAAGTATCTTTCTTATAATTATTCCCTCGAAATGCTGGGGTACCTCGTCCGCTGCTGGGCGAGCGCGTGGAAGGTGTCACAAATTGAGTAATTCGAGCCTGGCTCGAGACTGCCCCTTGTGGCGTGTCGGTCTTCTGGAAGAAGTTTAATATGCTCGTATTTCGCTTGGCAGAGGAGGCCTTTGAGGCAGATGGCCTTTTCGACGGTGTATTCGCCTTCTTCACGTAAGAGCCAGCCATTTTCAGATCGTCAAGGAGGGGTGGACAGGTCGATAATGGAGTGGCAAAAGTCGGACAGGGCACGGCTAGCCCAAGAAGAGGGTGGGTGTCAGTGTATGCAGTCAAGTATACAAGATGTTCATAGTATGTGCAGGCTCAGGTGGAAGTGTCTTCGGGAGGCGCGAAACAGGATCGCGACACGAAGTCACGTGGTAACTATATCAGATTCAATCCGCATTCTGCCTGGCGCATCGGCTCCTTGCCTTCCCAGCTCTTAGGCCACATACAGTGCAGACGTTCGGATTGCTACATACAGCTCTTCTGGTGGCTGCTCACTTGGCAAACCTAATTTCGTTTTTATATTTCAGCGACACCCTATACAGTGAAACTATAGTTTTCAAGGTGCCCAGTGACAATGAACGCAATCCAACCTTGCTTAGTCGATATAGACTTGGAAAATTATCTACGTCCAAATATTTGAAAAAAAAAAAAAAAAAAGGCTGCTGATCATTATTGCGAGAAGGTCTAACGAGGTATCATAAAAAATGAGGAAAGTATCCCAGGCGCCAGCAGGAACCAGAGGTCCGGGGATGGAATCTCTCCATCTGAACAAGGCTTCAGGACCAGCAAATAAACCTTGGTTTCATAGTTTCTTCAAGTCCATGTGGCGTCGAGGTTTTCAGATATTTTCTCCGCGGGTAACCATCTCTCAGGCCATAAATTGATTCGTTTCGGTAAGGGACAAGATGAAGGCCTCGGGGAGTTGGTCATATGGTTATCTCGTCTTTTTTGAACCCCATCTAATGGCGTCAACAGTAATGCAGGGTTCGATGCGTGGTATATCGTAAAATCGAGTTCAAGGTCGTTTAGCGTGCTTTGCCAGCCTGGTTGGAAGCCTCTGTATTGAATGTCAGGTTAGCCTCAATCCATACAGCTGTCATGGTCTTTCCAGAAACGCATTCGCATGATGTCGAATACACATTTTTCCATCGTGGTTTGAGCCTCTAAAAGCATGCGCAACTCACCTCGCCGTGTGGCATCCTCCAACAAACCCACATCAACTTCCGACCGGGGCAACATCACATAGCGCACCACACTGCCTCGGATGAACATGTTCTTCACTGAAGAGAGGTGAGGGTACTTGACAAGATCCAGCACTTCAACATCGTCGAGCTTGATGTTCAGGTATTGGTCGACCGACTTCAAGATTCCACGGATGCGGATGTCATTCTTGAGCTCAATGGTGACCGTCTGGTTTGTCAGAGTCTTAAAGAAGCTGTAATCATTGAAATGTCAGTTACAAAATATCATGCGACAACCGGGTGACCTACCTGAAGAAAAGCATGGTTGCGGTGGCGTTGAAAGCTTGGAGGGGTGTGACGGAGAGGTGCGACCGAGTAGAGCGGTTATTCTGCCGAGCCGTCGGGCGGTGTGCAGTGACAGCTTTGGATCTTCTACACAAATATCTCGTCAATATGGGTACATAGGGGTACACAATAATAGTGACAGGACTGTTGTGTAAGAGACAGCTGATCTTTTGAGAGATAATGATACGTTTATTGAAAGTCTGTTTCCAACATTTTACTCTTCATCGCAATGAAAATGATGAATATATATGTTTCTACCAAGTGCCGCTTCACAGTAATTTTACTCAATTGATATGGACTCTATGTCTAGGTGACATTGCTACAATGTTTACAAATGCCATAATTTCCGTTCCCATACTCTCAAAGGGATATAGAGCACCACAGACATCACCGCAGCCAGAATCCAGCTTATATCAGTACCCTCGGCTGAGCCACCTATCGCAGCGGCAATGGGACCTACCCACCATTGTTGACTCATGGAGATAACAGCAAGAACTGTTGCAATAACCCAAGAAACAGATGCGGAAATTCCATGCGGAAGCATCTTTTGATCGTTCCACGCATCAAGGTCATATTGGTAGCCACTCCTCCAGACGTAATGCTCAGCGAGAAGAACAACACAAAAGGGAACAGTCCAATACGCACATATCAACAAAAAGTTCTTCAAAACGTCCTCCAAATAGTTCCTAGCGATTATAGCAATCGCCAGATAGCACATACTACCGACCAATGACCAAACTAGACGAGGCACAACAAGAAGCCTCTTTGAGACCATTTGCCCCGCCAGGCCCAGGGAATACACATTTGTTGTTGTGACAGCAGCTGCCGACAAGCCGAGGAGCACTTCAATCAAGTATCCCAGGCCACGGACGCCAGGGTGTATATCTTCAAAAACAGAGCCAATGAGCCCGCCAATCCCACCTCGGTCGTATGAGGCTTTGAACCGCGGATTAGGGCTGAAACAGAGTGATCCAATCGCAGCGCCCAATAGCTCGATCGATATTTGGCTAGTCAAAAGGCCAGCATAGGTCCATGAGAACATTACATTGTCACTGACTGTCTCGCGTATATAGACACTATAGTCTGCCGCTATCGTCGCCCAAGCAACTTCAAATCCAATAATGGCAGTGCTGAAAGAGAGGATATGTGAGGATTCGGTGGACCCGTGGCCCATAGGCACATTAATGAAATGCCGAGCTCCGAATCCCGCAGTGATAGCCAAGCAAATGATTGTCACAATCCAGCAATATCTCGAATATTTATGGAGTACTCGATACCCAAAGAAGCCAAGAATGATAGCCACGAGCCCAATAATGAGTATAGACACTGTCATTGGTAGTTTTCCGCCCCCAGCGTCATGCAGCACCGCCGCGCCAGAAAGTGTGTTCACGGCGGCCCAGCCAAGGGCATCAACCAGATTGAAGACAGCAAGAATCTTGGAAGGCCACCATCCAAAACAATACCGGGGGACAAGCATGGTGCGAAGCCCGAGTTTAGGACCAAAACGCACTGTAAGTGCTGGTACGGCAGCGCCGATCAAGTTGAAGAAGATGATAGCAAGACAGGAGTCCCACCAGCCAAGTCCAAATGTTGTAGGACCCAAGAACCCAGTTGCCAGAGTGGACATATTGCAGTTTGCAGCAAAGAACATTGTAAACAAGTCTCGAGGGGATTGGTCGGTTCGCATGTCCTCAGGAACGCGTTCAACGCCAAATTCCTCCACTCCGATCGTTCGGGACCAGTTACGCGCTTTTAACCAGAATTTGTTGGGAGAGCAAGGATTGGAGGCAGGCTGAGTCCATTTTTCCAAATTGCTACTTTGTCCTGAAGAGAGCGTGACTTCGTTTTCCGGGGCCATGGCGAAAGTGAAGCCTATAACAGGGGCCAGCGTGTGTAGTGACACAAGAGGTGAGATTGAGAACTGAAAAAAAGGCGACTTGCCAAAATTCATCCATGCCACTTGATTGGAGATTCCAAATCACTCGCGAGCCAGATGCATGTCACCCTCGATTCGAGGAGCCAAGGGGTTGGGAAAGCAGCCAGATGCATACAAGGGCTGCGATAATGCAGGCCGATACCCAACACAAAGAAAGGAATCCTCTATATTCTTTACCTTTGCAATATACAGGTGATAAGTCAAGTGTATACGACCATGAGAAAAGAAATTCTAAGCATCAACTACAGCGCTTGTGCAATCTAGTGCTTGTGGCTCCGAGAATGTGTGTTTCCGACAACATGTGACGTTAGACCAATGACAACTCTCGGATCATACAGAATGCCATCGATCAATCTAGTTCTGAGTATGTTATGAATCTGTGATTTTTACGACCTTGGAACTGATATTTCCTCTGATTGATGGCTTAAATCGACGATCACCTGCAAAGAGACAACAAGGCATTCTATAAACATGACAAGAATACCAATACGAACTGAAGAACATTCCCAAACCACATAAAACATAACAACATTTCCCAAAATACCATGAGGCAGAAGTGATCGACTTAGACCTCAAGCGTGGTTTTCTCATCTTGTTCGAAATTCACGTTGCTCACTGATGCAGGAGGGGCAGACGGAAATTTGGTGTACTTGGGTGGACACATATCAATAGGCTCGTCACTAATCTCCTTTATGATGTCTTTTTCACTCGGCAGTGCTTTTTCCTCATTGGAGTTCCCAGTATCGGGTTTGATGAGTTCTTTGGGAACATCCACGTCCGTCCGTCGAGTAACTTTTCGAGTCCGAATACACCATGCGATACCGAGTACAGTAGTCGCAAGCCAAAGCACCATATTGACCAAATCGATCCAGACCGCAGCACGCATACGTGGGACTGATAATGTCGCGTCTTCATATTCGGCTTTGTTACCAGAGATGTAGACCGACCCGAAGACACCCACTTGGGCAAGCCAGAGGACAAGCAGGACTCCATCCCAGGCCGACCATGCAACTTTGGTCACAGTAAAGAAGCAATGAAAAATGCAAGTCAAGACAGAAAGGGCAGCGACAAATTCAGCGTAGATCCATTCTGGGTAGGCGTGAGTCTTGGTTTTTGTGGCTTGTGCCAGATCGACTCCATAAAGACCAGCAACGGTGACAGCAAAGACAAATTGAAGAGTGCGGAGTGCAGCACGGCTGATTACTCCACAGAGTCCCCTTTTGTGCCAGTAGTGATCGATTCTTCGCGTGGGTTTGGCCATGGTGGGAAGTGCGAGGCGTAGTATAGAAAGAAGGCTTGCAATTAAGAGGTACTAATATAGAAGCGCAGAAAGAAAAAAAGACTAAGAGACTCTCCCGATGCTTAAATAACCAAAAAGTCTTCGGCATATGTGCAGCTTTCTATTTTAAACACACAGTTGAAACCTGATCTGAAAGCTTCAGACCGTGCATTTCCGTATCAAGAAATTCCATCGTATCCGTAGGTGAACCATGCACGACGCAGCCAATCAGAGCATCCAAAACGGCAGAGTGGATCCCAGTCCAGTAGTTAACCACGGAACCGTCGATCTTCCCCTTTAGGGTTTTATACTTGGAACTCGATTCGTCGCCATTTGAACGTGTTGCATCCAGTTTCGATTCTTCACTTGACTTTCTCACAATTCATCCTAGCTCTACTCTGTAGATCACTCAATTGATCAGACTACCTTGCAGAAATGACCAACGCGAGACAAACCGCGACATCAGTTGATAATGACGACCCTCCCCCGCGATACAACGCTTATTGGGGTGCAGAAGATAGACAAGCTAGACATGAGCTGTCTTTGTCTGAGCCGCCATGCTCCACTGCACCATTGCCTAGTCTTTTCCTAACCGACGATGGCCGGGTGGACATGCGAGTTGGATCCCGATTTAGCCGCAACCTGGAATGGTTGATGGATGCCCAGCCCACTGAAGCGGAGTCATCTCGACCGGCAGCTGCAGCTCCTACATTAGCAGCTCAATTTAACCTTGGTCTCAATATTGTCATCCAAGTGGTAGGTAGTCACGGTGACGTACAGCCCTTCGTCGCCCTGGGCGAGGAGTTGCAAAGACATGGACACCGCGTGCGGTTGGCAACACATGCCAAATTCGAAGCATTTATCAAGTCTGCTGGACTTGGGTTCTTCCCTATTGGCGGAGATCCTGTTGAGCTAATGTCGTACATGGTGCGCAACCCGGGATTAATTCCGAGCATGAAGAGTCTGTTGGCGGGCGATATTCAACAAAAGCGAGCCTCAATTGCTCAGATTCTACAAGGCTGCTGGAGGTCTTGTATAGATCCAGATCCACATAGCAAAGAGCCTTTTGTCGCAGATGCTATCATTGCAAATCCGCCAAGCTTTGCCCATCTGCATTGCGCACAAGCCCTTGGGATCCCTGTTCACCTTATGTTTACCATGCCCTGGACGGGGACCAGAGCTTTCCATCATCCGCTTGCAAACCTGAAGTATCTTGGAAGCGATCCTACAATAGGGAATTTCATCTCCTATTACTTTGTTGAATGGATCACTTGGCAAGGGTTGGTATTTTGTTGCTCGTCGAAATCAGGTTTGTGCTAAATCATTACAGGTTAGGCGATCTGATCAATGAATGGCGACGAAATACTCTAGAGTTGGATCCTGTGCCGGTCACGGAGGGTCCAAACCTACTCGAAACTTTGAAAGTTCCCTTTACTTATTGCTGGTCCCCAGGATTGGTTCCAAAGCCAGAGGACTGGGGCTCTCATATAGGTAACTTGACTGGACATGCAATATAACAAGATGTGCTGATGGACCGTAGATGTTGTTGGATTCTTTTTTTCGTGAGCCAGTGGCTTATGAGCCACCGGCAGAGCTCGATGCATTTCTGCGTGCAGGACCATCACCCATTTACATCGGATTTGGCAGCATAGTCCTCGAGGATGTGGAGAAAACCACCTCAATTCTCCTGGATGCAATTCAAATGACAGGAGTGCGTGCTATAATCTCTGGGGGTTGGAGTGGGCTTCATGGGCGAGACACTCCTAATGTCCACTACATTCGGGACTGCCCACATGAGTGGCTATTCAAGCATGTCGCCGCCGTCGTTCATCACGGCGGTGCGGGTACTACGGCATGTGGTCTACGGAATAGCAAGCCTACTATTATTATTCCGTTCTTTGGAGAGTAAGTATGGCCACTTTGAGCGCATCTACTTAGAACTGACCAATCATGTGTTTAGTCAACCATTTTGGGGCAACATGGTCGCTGCTGCTGGGGCTGGGCCGGAGCCTATCCCCTATAAGAGCCTGACAGTGCAGAGACTAGCAGACGCAATTTCTTATTGCTTCACCCCGCATGCTGTTAGCGTAGCTCAGTCGATTGCGGATAGAATCCAACAGGAATCCGGTGTCCGTGCAGCAGTAGATTCGTTCTATGCACATCTGCCACAGAAGATGATGCAATGCGACCTCATTCCGGGGCAAGTTGCAGTTTGGAAACTAAAGAAAGGAAACCAGACACTCAAACTTTCGAATTGCGCCGCATTTGCTTTGAATAGCCAAGGGCGATTTCAAAAGAAACATCTCCGAAGGTAAGTGATGGATTCAAAGCCTGCGACTCCTCTAGTCTGGTGCGTGCCTGAGCTAACCGAGAGACAAAAAGATATCAGAGCAAGCCTTTCACGATCGAAACTCAATGCTGGGACCCATTTACGGCCGTCTCATTAGCTTCACTGTCAACTTTCAGCGGTATGGCCGATGCCACAGCTGGCATCTTCATCGACCCTTACAAAGAGTATAAATATCTTCGATCAATTCGAAACTCGAGCCTTTCCGGCCCGACCGAGGTGGCTTCTACAACAGCCATTGCAGCGTCGACAAATCATCTTGATGTCAATGTGGACCCGGATCATCCTCCGAATGATCCTGAATACGCTAAACGGATGGCACTAGCCTCGGCAATCAGTCTGGGGAGATTTCTCGGCCGATCTTCACGCGGTATGTTCATCGACCTGCCACTAGCAGCAACAGAAGGGATGCTGGCCATCCCCAGGCTTTACGATGCTCGAACACGGGAACATGCTCCTGTGCGAGGATGGAAAAGCGGTGCAGCCGTGGGGTGGTCGACCTTCAGCCATGGTCTGTATGAAGGCTTTACGGACATCTTCGTGCACACCTACCATGGCAAGAAGAAAGAAGGGCCGTTTGGAGTAGCCAAGGGATTGATGAAGGGGCTCACCAGTTTGACGGTCAAAACCGGAGCCGCTACGATCGGCCTTGTCGCTTATCCAAATCAGGGCATGTATCGTTCTCTTCGAGCCCATTTGAGAACCGAAATTACTAAAATAATTGTGGAGGCCAGATGGGTTGAGGGAGAATGGCGTATGAATGAGGAGGCTGTGACTGTTGACGTGGACGTGTTACTATCTGCCTTTGATGATCTGTTGGTGACCCGAGACAAAGCACGCCGAGCACGCTGGATGTTGGGCTAAATTGCAAATGTCTTTGAGGCATGAAGAATTAGGCGCCCTGAAGTATTTCCCCTGGGCCCACAAAGACAGTCTAGGCTAAGCCCTAAGAGATGTTTCATGTTACTATATAAATCTCCGTACTCGTATTCGCGGATCTTTAACCAGTGGGGCTGTGGAGGATCAGGCAGCGACTTCTGCAAATGCAGTCAGCTTATTCTGGGACGAGTTTTTTAGCTTGACGCAGGAGATTTAATTTACGTATCGTCAAAAATTCTATTTCTTCAGGTACGATATGATATGGGCTCAAGGATGTGACTTGATAGGGTCTACGCTCAACCGGCTCTTCAAAGCCGTTTGCTGCAAGGGTACGGAGTATACTGTAGACTGTCAGATGCGGGTCTCTCCGCTAGCAGTCTGGTATACGAAGTAGCAGAGGAACGAAACAAGCCACACTCTTGCAATGTGACTGCCTTGTGTTGACCATGCAACGTGAATCCACTTCAAAGGGGCCTGTTAGTTAGAGGCAGTGTCAACAGGATATAAAGAGACAATTGGGTCTCATGTCAAAGAATCACTCAGAATCATCAATTATAATCACAATTACAATTACAATTCTGCTATCTACCCTTTTCCGCCGGGATGGGCAACCCAACTGGAGTCTCGATTGATGCAACACCTTCGTGGATGTTATATTCTCTACATTCATTACATCCTCATGTCATTCCGACAACAATCTCATTGATCTACCTATTCTGCACGGGTTCAATATTCTTCGATGTGGTCCATCATTTACTTCATCGTTGCAACAACTCATCGCATCCTTTATTACAACGGTTAGCCCGTATACACCGCTACCACCATCTCTACTATACTCGGCATATGGATTTCAACGAGAAATACCGCATGCTGAATCTGACGCAGGCATTGCCTCTGGAACTGGTCCTACAAATCATTGGCACCGTACTAGGATACTGTATTGTTACCTTGGTTGTCCCGAATGGCCGTGCTTGGATTCCACAAACCCACCTATGGTCTATCATTGGGTTTCAAGTTGTGAAGATGATCTTCGTCATCCTCACGAGTGGTCGTGACTCGAACCACATTATCTACGAAACTGCGCCCAAGGACCCCAATTGGATCTTCGTGGGCCCGGAATTCCACGCTCTCCACCACGTCTACCCTGATCGATACATGGGATCTTTTGTCAAACTGTTTGACTGGGTATGGGGCACCGCCTACTCCTTCCGAGGAAAACGCTTCGTGATCACCGGTGGCGACGGAGCTTTCGGGCAGGCCATGCGGCAAGAGCTAGAACGCGAAGGGGTGCAAAATATTCGCAACTTGAAATTTGGAGAGGATTGGGATCATGAACACTTTGATAAAGCAGCCTCGGTGCTTTCGACTTGCGATATCCTCATCCTAGCGCATAGTTCCAAAGGAGACGATGCAATGAAGTCGAATTGTGATTCGGCCGTTCGACTAGTGGAGCTATTCAAGCAACACAGAGAGAAAAACACATCCAAACCAACTCTTCCTGAACTGTGGTATGTGGGAAGTGAACTTGAAATGCTCTCCGTTGGAAATGCGGACTTACGACGCTTCTCTGACTCCAAACGACGCTTCCTGCCACACGCGCGTTCATACTATGATGATGCCGATCTACTTTACCGTCACCTCGTGCCATCTGCTTTGATTTCCGCTGGTTGGGCGGCCAAGTGCTCAATGTGGTGGATCCGGAGAGGCGCTCGCTATATTCCTGTCTCGAGCACTGGGATTGCCTATCTAAATTATTTTAAGTTTATGTATTGGACTCCTTATGAACAGGACCAGGTCAGATTATGAAGATACCCCGATTGAATATGAAGTTCACGTTATACTATCTTGTTTTTACTATTTTTCTTTTCTCTCTGAAAATAAAACGGTAGCTTAATCCCCAGATTCGCGGCCAGGCCTGCGCCCATCGTGGCGGATGCGTGTCTTGCAGAGCAACGGATGAGCAACGGCCAATTGATTGCGTGCTTTCAAATTGTTTCTTCAGTATTTTCGTGGGGTTCGGTGATTGCCCGCCATGGGGGCTCGACTCTGTCAAATCAATTGGAGGCCAGATGAAAGAGAGGCGTTCCACAATGCAGGTAAGATATTTACATTAGCGCCACGGGCCTAGCGCAGGTCAGAATAGACAGATCAGCTCGGTGTTTTGTCTTAAAATGGGGCCATTTTCTTTGTGTGTACTCCACTATGAAACGGGCTTTGTCCAACTTAGGAAAATGAACATAGACACCCCTGTCACGTTGAAAAACAGCGTGAGCTTCTGTGTGTGTGATAGGTGGTAGATCAGGCACCCGTGTAAGACTAAATATCGTGACTTTGTAGTATAATTTGCAGTGATTCAGGTTTCAAAGGAGACAGGGGCGCCTCTTGCAAGTCATTCGCATTCACTGAGGGGGGAAATGTACCCATCGTTCGATAAATGGTTGATCTCAAAGTGTATGATAAATATCTGGAAGCTGAAAGGACAGGACGTGTATGTACGGGATATCAAGGTAATTACATTAAGAGTCAGCCACCAGGGCCGAACCAAGTAGATAAATAGCATGCATAATCATGACCATCCAAACTAAATTCCAGAGGAACGACCAGCATTCCTCCTAGGCTTCATAGCCCAGCCAGACAAACAAGTCCAACCAGCACCATTCTTCCTCCCCTCATCAAAGACAGCCCCGACACCCTCAAGCAGCTTGGATCTCTCACGACCCATTTCCGCCCGCAACTTCACCAGCCAGGACTCCCACATCCATCCACCAATCAGACCAGTGATACTGGCGGTATCGGCGGTGCTACCAATTGGCCCTTGCACGGCTTCGTATTCCTCAATTTGACTCTGCACACGCGGGGCGGGGGTCTCACGTGGTGGTTCGCGCTCGACAGGCTCCGTGCCCATGGGAAGGAACATCCAAGCGCGCTTTGTGCCAGTAAAGCCGGTGTTGTGGAGACGAGCAAGGAAGCTCTTTGAAGCGACAGGGTCGTAGCCGCGTTTGCGGAGATTGAAGGCCATCTCCACAGATGTTGCTGAGGCGTGAGGTCCTGCGCGGGAGATTTCGGCGTCCAAGACTTGGAACTCAAGATATCCACCTGGCTTGAGGCAGCGCATACATTCCTTGAGCACAAGGTCGTATTCATCGCTATCCTTGTCAGAGGGACATTCGGTCTTGAGCAGGGCGTGAAGGGAGCGTGCGGATATCACATCGAACTGATTATTACCAAAGGGAAGCTCCCAAAGGGCTTGGACGGTGACCTGGCGGTGATTGGGTGGGCCTTTGATAGCGCTGTTCACGATTTGTGTCTTAGATGACACCGTGTAGACCTTGACATTGGGGAAATCATGAGCTGCTTGCCAGGCCCAGTCGCAAGAGGAGTGGCCCCCGAGATCAAGGATTCGGAAGCTACGTTTGCCTGGTCCCTTGGTTGGGCTCGGCTTGGAGGTGGTACGTGCAAGCCGGCGCTGGGCAGGGCTTATCAGGAGTTTACCGCCATTCAGAGACCGAAGAGCGTCCATGGCCCACATAGATTGACAGAGCTGGGCGAGGACCAGCTGTTCCTTCTCAAGCTTGTCAAATTTGGCCTTTTCAGCGAGCTCAGACGTGATCACCGAGTTACGAGGAGCCTTCGCAAAAGGACCCTTGTATGCAGGTCGCTCTGGGCGGACCAGCTCATATTTTCCCATTAAGCAGTTAATGTGTAGGTCACCCATTCCAAGACGCATGGATTGAACGGCATCAAAGCGCATGTTCCGATGAAGGAACCCATCAGTTATGCTAGACCGTTGCCGAATAGATTGAAAGCCTTGCCAGTAAATAGAATCTTTACTCGCAAGGATGGGTGGCAAGGGGCTCAATGCCTCCGGAATTGCTTCGGAGAACCGGACCATCTTCTTGGAAGTTTCTTCGGTCTTTTCTTGTACTTGAGGCTCGACAGCTATAGTCTGGTCCTCAGTAGCCTGGGCAGGCTCAACCTCGTTGACCGGGTTGGTCTCATTGAGAGCTGAGAGGTAGGAGGCCTGGGCAGCCAGCCAAACACTGGTTCGGTCATGATTGTCAACTGCACGGTGCTGCAGCTCTTGGTCATAGAGCTCGTCGTACTCGTATCCGTTTCCTGAGCGAGGGATCTCCTGCACTTGAACAGTATCAAAGGCCGCGCTCATCGGACTATCTTGATAAATGGACCGACGGGTTGGTGTCTCACAGAGGCGAATTGCAGTAGGCGGTCCTTCTTCATCACGAACAGCGGTAACTGGGTCTTCATCGACAGGACGTTCGGGCCAGTCAACCACTTGTTCCACAATTTCCCCCTCCTCCCGACGCCATGGCAAGTTGTAGAACCCCTCTGCCGCTGCTGACGTTGGCTGGTGGTTGATGTTTGGGATGGACCAGGTATGGCGGGCGCGCGGCGCAAGCGAGGCAAAGAAACCACCAGGTGACGGAATGCTCAGGTCACTGAAGCTGTATCCAGACAGCTCAGAGGCCGGGGTCACCCCATCGGCACTACGTGGACGACTGGGAGGTGCCTGAAGCTGCCACATCTCGCCATTCCCCTCGGAACTTTCAGACCACGAGTCCGGTGTTCCATCCAGACGAATATGGTGTAGCATGGCCAGAGCCGAGTCGGGCAGAAAGACACCTTGATTCGTGGGGGTGGACTCGCGCATTGGCTCATCGTTCAACTGCAGCGATGGCGAGGGCGAGGGCGAATATCTCTGAGCAGCGGAAGGAATCTGCGGGAAGTTTCCCAAAACATGGCGCCAGTCCTCATGCGAGCTCTCAATGGCGATGGGCTGTTCAATATCTGAGCTGCCATCTCCATTGTCCATCTCACTATCACTTCCATCCAGGTCACGTCGAACATGTATATCATGCGCAGTCCAATTTGTATCTGGTAGGGACTGAGAATCCGGCGTGGCCAATCCACTGATGACTGATTCCTGGTCTGAAGAGATGCTACCATCGAGCGAAGGGGGAGCGTGGTATGCAGGTACAGCGCGGCCGAGCATCGATAGAGCTGCAGGGGATACAGGGATCTTCGGTGGAGGAGTCGGCGGTACTGGAGAGCTCTTGTGACCTCCAGTCATAGATGGCCATCCTGTCGGCGAGGGAATCTCAAGTGTGAGAAGGCGTTTGCGACTTCCTATTGAGGTCACCGAATTCCGAGTGATTGGTGTCACCAAACTTGATGGCCGAGTGTCGGGGGAAAAGCACGAATCGCTGAATTCCGTCTCATTGTCATCCATATCATCATCTGTGGCGTCGTACAGATCATCATAGCCTTGCGAATGCCGTTGCCATTCCGTGTCCGCTTCTGAGCAGCATGATGAGGTTGTCCCTGCAGAGAGAGGCGATCTTAGACGAGCGAGACGTGCATGCGTGGGCACTGAGAGACCGCTTGTCTTCAGCCTGAGCTGCGGGCTGATTGCTGCTGGCGTGGGTCTAAGGAGTGACGCCTTAGGGCTTGCCTGTGCAAAATGTGACTCGCGTGTATCCTCCATTATAGTATTAAGCACCGTCCCCCGGGCCTGCCGGAGGGGCGGACATCGAACAGTCGAGCGAAATGTGTCGGTCATCTTGTCAACTGGTGGATGCTGGTTTGTGTGAATCACAGTATCTAGGGTATCTCAAGTAAATAAGGGAATACCAGACACCGATCTACGGGTCTGATCAAGAGAAGGTGTAAACAGAATAGAATGAAAACAAACGAAAATGCACCAGCTACCAGAGCAGGCACAAAACACAAATCAACAGAACGCTAGACTTCCCAGTCACGGCACTGAAATGCCTATATAGTGGAATGGGCGCTTTGCACAGCCGGTCACCAGCCGGGGGAGCCCAATGAACAGACGATCCTTGTTCACAGATTGTCATATTGTTGCAGAACTACTGCAGTATTGGGCACACTTAGTCCAATAACCCCGGTCGCGACGGTGGCTCGCCACGATCTGATTGGTGGTAAGCAAGTGGGCGCATCGCCTTGAACCAGGGTGGTCTCCTCGCGTGAAGGAGCCAAGGTCGTTTTCTCAGCAAAAGACAAATGGCTAACTAGAAAAAATGGCAGTGAGGGCGAATGAGCATCGTGGATGCAGTGATGAACCTCCGGGGGTCAAGGGATGCAGTGTGAAGAGGCCGATGATTGGCGCAGCGTAGCCGCCCAACTACTATCTTTAGGGGAATTAGCGGCTTTTTCGGTGTCAGTGCCACCTCATTTATGCCGCATTCCTCTTGGATTCGGACAGAAACTGGGATAATTAATGCATCCATGATCGGTGAGCCGGACAATGAGGGGAAATGGGCGCCAAGTCGAGAGTAATGCACCCTAAGGCATTGCCCAAAGTAATTATAGAAATCTGCTAATTGTCTGCATGTAGTTGATGTGACTGGAATGTGACCTCAAGGCGCGTAGAGAAGTTAATTCTTCATCACAGATTTATCTTATCTTACTTTCGAACTATACTGGCGCTACTATACAGTAGACATGACTCACCATCACCTTCTGGTTTGGCCTGGTCAAGTCCAAATTTCTCCAGAGGAGCCAGAGGAGAACTTTTGATATGCGACAATCAAAATGACCACGCCACACACATGCTGTAGTCATGCTCACAGTAGTGTCGCGCTTTGTCGCATAACTTATGCAATGTTGAACACAGGCGTGCTTGTCTAGGCCGGGTTATAGGGTACTTTTGGAGATACTACCGGTTGAGAGAGAATGCTGGATGATGTGGTCAGACAGCCGAAAGCATCCCAGCAGAGTCCCTTGCACAGTACTGTGTAGTCCTACCTCAAGAACCCCTGGGTTAGGGTTATTCGTAGCACTTACTCGGGACCGTACGTCAATGACGTCACGAGGTGAGGTATCGCAAGCCACAGTGGCTCCCGAAAGAGCAGATTTTGGCTCTTCGCGGTGAAAGAATATTTCTAGCACTTTCCTCAAGTCAAAGGATCCCATGGCTTCCGGTCCAGAGGTTTCTATCTCTACGGAATATATATAGTACCCCCATGCCCCCCCTCTCCAGCCACTGCATGGCATTTTCTGTCCATACAAAGCAACCCCCCCCCCCCAACAGGATTGATGAATATACTCTTCTATCCTGGGACGAATACTCAATTTCTATTGTTATTGCTTTTATTGTTTCTGAATATTCCTTTGGAACTTGGACTTTGCCGGTCTGCTTATTGGGGAGATTGGCAATTGCAACAAGAGGGTTGCCGCAGAAGTGCAGTGTTGCACCCAGAATACCCTATACCTGTTTAAACAAAACTGAATCAAACCCAAGCCTTATTGAAGGGCTAACATGATGTGCTCAAAATCGTACTGGAAGCCTCAACATGAGGCTGCTACGGCAAAAGACTTGCCTCAGACGCCTAGTTCTCAAAGTGCCCCTCAAACTCCCACGAGCTCTGTTGCCCAGTGTGAGTTTGCTCAAGCAACAGAGGAACCAGTGAGTCCAAGTTTACCCTCGGAAACACCATTGGTCACGGGCGCTATCTCTTCAAATGGCCATATGACCCATGTTCTCCGAACACGGGATGGATCGAGTCCAGAAGGCGCCACTTCTCGGGAGGTGACGAGCAATGATGTGCCACGTAGAGGGCGAGTGGTGCGGGCATGCGCAACATGTAGACAGCGCAAGGCAAGATGTAGTGGAGAAATGCCCGTATGTCTGCAATGTCGCCGACTAAAGGTGATTTGTAGATATCCATTGGGTTGGAAGCTGGAGATTGAACGGTAAGTGGTGCGCATTTATCAGATATATCTTGACTGGATAACGTTACTGATGTAGGTGACCGGGGATTATAGGGAAATTGATAGTCTCTCTACAAAGATCAACGAATACAGAACCTGTGTTCAAGATCTTCTAGATACTGGAGATCCACCTACTGGTTATTGGGTACGTTCTCTGTTACGAAAGGTATGTTACCTTCGGCAAAACCTCCACTATAACCTTTACTAATGATTTATGATAGCACCTTTTGATGGAGGACACACATCCCAAAGCAGAGGTTCCAGATCAAAAAGAGATCTCACGCGCCACAAGACAAGGGGGAAAGCGTCGTCTGAGTAAAGGAGGGCGAATACGTATGGAGAAGGGTGCACAAGGAGTGAAAATCGGTCAGAAGCATGGCGATTTGCTTGCGGAAAAGGACCTACCTTGGGGCGTAGTGTCTGGCCTGAATGATCTCTCCATAAACGTCCCCACAGCAGTGGACAGATACTGGCTGCCTCCTCGTCACATTGCGGATCAGCTTATTGAAGACTATTTCACTACTGTGCATCCTGGGTTTCCGATCCTGAGTAGACCTGAATTCCGTGCTCAGTATTTGAGCGCGTGGAATAACCCACGGCCACTCGGGGACAAATGGCTGGCAATATTGAACATTATATTTGCCATCTCAGCCAAGCATGCCTACTTGACGGACGCTTCGTGGCGTGGATTGGACAATGACCATCTGGTGTATCTCACTCGAGCAAGACTTCTGAGTATGACGGAAGTAGAGCTGTTTGGTCGTCCTGATCCCCAGCAAGTACAGATTGAAGGCTTGATTGCTTTCTATTTACTTGCATCTGATCAGATTGATAGGTAAGTGCACTTGATCTCTCTCACTGTCAGTTCTAAAGGAGTCAACTAACCAAATGGTCTTCATAGGGCATGGCGAATCTCGGCAATAGCCGTTCGATCTGCTGTTACTCTTGGGTTCAGCGAAGTAGTATCTGATACCAGCACCAATGAGGTCAGAAATAGGCTATGGCGGTGTCTCTATAATCTGGAGCAAATATTAGGTCATATAACTGATCGTACAATCTCCATCTCGGAGAGACTTTGCTCTACACCCCTCCCACTACCTTTTGAAGAGGAGGAATTCGAGCAAAATTCCGCAGCTTTGACGCTGCTCAGAAGTCCCATGATTCGGCATGAGCGAATTGATCAGATCATGTCAAGCTCGAGGACTTTGCCAAATGCCGATAACAATGGTCATTGGCGACTCAGGCCACCAGATGATGCTTGGCTGAAGCGCATACCAGCCAATTCCGGTCTCTATTATCTCTTCTATTCTGACCTTACCATTTTGCTTCAAGCAATCATTGATAATCGCCATTCAACTGCCACATGTGCAAAGAAGGACAGTCAGATTGATGATCTACAGTCTCAGCTCCAATATTGGAGACGAAGTCTTCCGCCATCACTCGACTTCAATCAAGTGGAAATTAGCAGCGGTGTGAGCCACGTGCGGTACAAGCTGAGTCTTGCATTCCAGTATCACAGCACCTTGATTACCCTGGGCCAGTCTTGGCTTCACCGGCGAGGAAAAGATGAACTCAGCAGCATGCCACTATTGAGCCATGAAATGGCGATGCTGACACTAGACGCTGCCATGCGAACCTTGGACATCTTTCCTTGTGAGCCGAGTGTTGCACGGCTCTATCAAATGTGTCCGTGGTGGTGCGTTCTTCACTACCTCACGCAGGCAGCAAATGTTGTTTTGCGTGAACTTTCCCTGAGCAGTGTTCACATGCCTGACGAAGAGCTGCACCTCGTTTGGCAAGCGAAGAAGTCGATTCGTTGGTTCCATGCTATGTCTGTCTACAGTCCTGGGGCAAGACGTTTGTGGCAGATCTGTGACTCGGCTTTTCGCAAGTTAGCCAGCCGAAAGTTGTACAACACTGAAGACATTCCATCTACGCCAATTGAGCCCACTTTTTCCACTCACATCAGCTCAAGGCAACCAATCGATAATTTTGTTTTGTCAGATGAGGCAGACGTTGGATATTTTGGTCTCATGATGAAAGATATCAATTTGTCAAACTGGGACGAGTTATAGTATGTCGCAAAATATCTACCTTGGCTAAAATGTTTTGGCCTGGCTATTAAAAGTTTGGATTTTTGAGTTACGAAAGGAGACTGTTCATCTCATTGAACTTGAACCTAAGCCAAAAAATTATATAAATAATATAACATATGAAAAATGTTACAAGGCCTTTCGAATCAAATAATTTATTATGATCATCTTTTATGTAAAATGTTGAGAACTAGAATTGTAAAGCGTATCGTTGAAAAAGGTTGGTCAAGCCCGGAGCAGTGTGCCCCGACTAGCACGTATGGCCCGCTTTCCAACACAGTTCAAGCGCGATATGTGATCAGACAAAAGAACGATGATTGTGATAGCTATGGATGTGCCAGGCGAGCAGAAACGATCCCGGGCTGCGAGGCGTTGTAATGGAGCTACGGTTAGCCACTTGCGGTTCGAGTGTAGCCACCATCACCAAGTAGAGTTCAACATGACCAACGCGATAGTACCCAATCACATACAGTTTGTATAGTACATGGTTACAAGTGGTCAGTAATTCGAGACTATATCAGACTATGGGGCGAGCAAGAGGCCGAGCAAGAGGCCCGAGTGCACTGTTAGGACTCAAGCAGTGATGAGAAGATGATCTATGCAGTCCCCATATTTTGTTTCCTGTCAATGACAATGAGAACTTGCACCAAAATCACCTAACTCATAAGTTAATAGGGCCATGGAGATCGTGAGCCCCACGTGAGAGTTAGAGCCCTTATCGGTTCTCAAAGGAAGTCGGGAGAAGAGGAACAGGAAATGGAAGAATGAATCAAGAAGCAAAAGAACGAAGAAAAAAAAAACCAGTAACTTATAGAATAATTGAACAACTCTGACATCGTAGGTGATCTCCGCGAGGAACAGCGTACGATGAAACCCACCTTTGCCACTGTACAGCTTCAGAACATCGTCATCTTGTAATTTTTCTCTATATCTGCCCCTCCCCCTCCTTTTCCACCAACACATCATTCACAATGTCGCCGCCAGCCATCATCGCCCCCTCTATTCTCAGCGCCAACTTCGCCAATCTCGGCCATGACTGCTCCAAGAAGATGGAACAGGGCGCCGACTGGCTACACATCGACATCATGGATGGCCACTTCGTGCCTAACATGACAATCGGCTGCCCGGTCGTCTCGCAGATCCGTGGCTGTGTCGACAGGCCCCTGGAGCCCGGCAGCCGGGGCACCTTCGATTGCCACATGATGATTATGGAGGTTCGTTGAATATTCCCGCGCGGATCCGTGACTCCGCAAGCTTCAAGCTCCGGCTGCAACGCCAATGTGAAGCTCCCCGCTGACATTCTCTCCACGAATTAGCCTCATAAATGGGTTCGCGAGTTCAAGAACGCCGGTTGCGACCTTTACTGCTTCCACTATGAAGCTGCTGTCTCCTCCGTCGCCGCGACCGACCCTACCGATAAAGAGACCACCGAGCGTACCAGCCCCAAGCAATTGATCCGTTATATTCACGATGAGGGTATGCAGGCCGGTATTGCTATTAAGCCCGATACACCGGTCGATGTTCTGTGGGATATCCTGGAGAGCGAAGACCCCGCCGAGCGACCAGACGTGAGTCCTGATTTGAATTGCTCTTCGTATGCCCCCAATTCACCTGAACTGACGGAAACAGATGGTGCTTGTCATGACCGTGCACCCGGGCTTCGGTGGACAGAAGTTCATGGCTTCTGAACTGCCCAAGGTTGCGGCTTTGCGCGCTCGATTCCCCGAGCTGAACATCGAGGTTGATGGAGGTCTTGGTGTCGGCACAATTGACCAGGCTGCGGAGGCTGGTGCGAATGTGATCGTTGCGGGTTCGGCAGTCTTTGGTGCTCAAGACCCCGCCGATGTCATTGCCAAGTTGCGAGAGGCTGTCCAGAAACGTCGCAGTTAGATACCTATAAAAGGGGGTTTGGTGTTTGGGCCTTTTGTTCCTACAGTAATTACGAGTGATGAATGGCATTGTACATGGGTGTCTCCATGGAGTTTTGATCTATTTGCGCTTAACACGAGCAAGGGAATTGTTCAATGTACAGGGTTCATAATCATCGAGGTCGTGAATGCATCTGCTTAGTCCTTAGACTCGGCCTTAGCACTTGCATCTTCCTTTTCCTTGGCCTCTTCAGGCTGAGACTCATTGGTCTCTTCAGGCTTAGATTCCTTGGCCTCTTCAAGCTTAGATTCCTTAGTCTCTTCGGGCTTACACTCCTTGGATTCATCCTCCGCATTCTCCTTGGCCTCAGTCGTGGGTTCCTCGGTCTTGACTTGCTCAGCCGCGGCTGCCATTTTGGTATCGTTCACATCTTCAAAGAGCGGTGTCGCAACCTCTTCAATTGTTTCGGATCCTGTTTGCTCAGCAGCCTGCTTGCGAATAGCGTCTAGGTTGGCGGTCGGCTCATCGGCAGTGATAGAGGCCCGGATCTCGCGCACAACCTTATCCTGCTCATCCTTATCCGTTGTCGAGATGATAGAGCCGCGATGGTGCCCGACCAGTCCAAGTTCCTCGGCATTCGCCGCGTGGAAGTTGGCTGACGACACGGCCGCCATTTCAGGAACGAGAACAGGACGTTTGCCAGCCTTGGGTGAATCTGGTGCAGTGTCTGGGAGCTCGGCGGCGACGGAGCCGCGGTGCCCACGAGGCGCGGGCTTCTCAGTAGGTTCCTCCTTCTTCTCGTCGGATTTAGAGGCGGCCTTGGATGCGGCTTCCGAGCTGGCCTGGCGCAATGCAAGCACCGCCTTCTCGTCTTTCTTCTCTTCAGTCTTGGCCGGCGGGCTTTGTATCTTAATTGTAGAGGGCTTGGGGGTTGCGGGGACGGGCTCGGTCTTATTCTCGGTCGCGGGGGTTGGGTAGCTGGTTGCTGGCATTCCACCCAGGTCCTGAACGCTAAGCACTACCAGCCGGAGCTCGCCGAACTCGTTCCATTCTTCGATCTGTTCTAGGTCCTGTGGGTGGAGGTTAGTGGTGCTGTTGGGAGCAGTGGTAGCTGTCATGCAAGGGATCGTCACATACTCCCACAATGTCGCCGTGTTTCACCAAGCCTGGGAGCTTCTTGCCCTTGGAGCGGCGGCCCCAGAGTTTCCGAGCCGCATCGTCGGTGGCAACATCAATAGCACGAAAGGGGAGCTTGTTTGCTTTCAGAATTGTCTCGATACGAGCAGTGGCGGTGACAATGTGCGATGACCCCGCGGTCAACGACGTGTACAGGTAGAGAGTTGGGTCGGACATGGTGTATGTGTCGAGGGTAAAATGAGAGAAGAGATGAGGGGGTTTGAATATTAGCGGAAGTTCTGTTGCCCTGTTGGACTTCAATTCAAAGCTCCAAGTGGAAGATCGAATTTCCCCTGAGGCTTATGACGTTATCACGTGCAGACTACATAGATCAAACTTGATCGAACGCAGTCTCATCTCTCACTTATATTCGCATTTTCTCCTTTTCTGCAGACTACCATGATGTAGCCTTTCTTCTCTTTCTCTCTCCACAATCTGAGCTGTACCATGTCTCCAACATTTACCCGCCCTGGCAAACGGCTCCAGCGTGGCAACTTGACGTCAGTCCAACCTGATTCCAAGTTTGGGGTCAGGTAGGTCCAATTGCAGTCTTTGGTGTGTCAATTTCAGTTTGAGATGCTAACCCTTGCTGAATATCGTGGCTTCAAGAGAGTTTGGCTGTGCTCTGCACGTCAGCTCTATAGTCCGTCGCATGTCTACAGCATCATGGAGCGCACCTGACCTACATTTAAATTTCAGTCCCGATGCCCTTCGCTCTGATCCATACGTAATCGGATCCAGTCATTTCCTGCATCTGACTCCTCTTTTTACCACGGCTCCAGGCATCGAGCCACTTTTCAATACGGGGAAATCATGAGCGAATGAGGGGCTACTTGAAACCTTGAGTCTATGGAGTGGGAGGGATCAGCAGCAGATTATATGACAGCGTGATATAATAGCTGCTATATTGACAACCACTGGATACGGGTCTACACACTTCCATAATATGGCACCTATCAGACCAAATGCTAAGCGGCAACAAAAGAGCAAGGATCTATCTCCGCGACGCAAGCTGAACCTGCTTTATCCTCCATCCTCGCCGAATAGTACACACTCCAGAGCCTCAAACATGCGTCGCAAACCAAACGTGCAGACCCACCATGCACAGTCGGAGACATACCCCTGTTAAACGACAAAAATGATTACCCTACTGACTCGAGCATCCAGCCCCTTTGCAAATCAGCCTATGGAACTCGCATCGCATCTTTATCTTATCCTGACATGTGCGTTCTACAGTATATGTCTCTCGAATCGCTACGCTCCCACCCGACTGGGTGGTGGATTGCTGGTGGCTTGAGGTAGTGGTCGCAGTTTGCCAGTTAGGTTGTTGAATGACATGTCTCATGACAGAGCTGCCGATTCAGGATTTAGAACACAGTCGCTGTCTGGATATTTTCTATCCTGCATGTCGAAGATTGGACGCGACATTGTAGGTGTATACTGTACATTTGAATGATACACCAGTTGGAAATACTGCTTGTCAGCCGTTGTCGATCTACTCGTTTTGCTTCTGCATCCTGGTCTACTTTGGGAAATTGATATGATTAGGAGACATTAGGCACTGAGAATATAGTGGTGGCTATTTACCATTTCCAGTCCCCTGCATTGCCATGGCCACCCGTGCACATACTCCGGAACCTATCATTGTAGACATCACTCCTATGCCATCCAATCTCACGTGTGTCATACCCCAGTCCCGGAATTGCAGTAGCAGGTCTGGGCTGTGATGCAGGGGCGGGCTTATCAGGATCTCAGGTTGAAAGACACAGGTCGGATTAGCTTGTCCAGAAGGGAGGGGGGAGGGTGTGGGCTTGAATCCTGTGGTTCTAGTGTCGAATGACGAAACTGGGGTTTGCTGTAGAGCCGATCAGGAGGCATGGGTTCAACTTGACGGTGAAGCCAGGTATCGTGTCAAACGGTGGACGGACTCTCGGGCCACCGCGTGGAAGGCGGTGCAGCAATAGCGAATCCCCGATTTGTTGAGTGTATAGCCTACCTCTAGTGAAGAATGATACATCTAAATCACTCTGCACTTGGTTTGCCCACAACGCTCAGGACGATCGTAGAACACGACGTAATGTCAGGAAGAACTTGGTAGTGTACTTCTGGCATGAAACGACAGCAGTGCCAGTAGTCGCCCGGGATCAGCAATTCGTTTCAATAGCAGGTGGATCCTCACGTGGAGTGACTAGTGCAGACGCAGAACCCGAGATTGGGCAAGCAAGCTGGGAATAGTCGAAGGAACCGCAATACAGTAAAGAGAAGAGCCTCCTGTTCTTTGAGAATAGAACCATGGGACTGGTGCGGGAGTGACCCATGGTCTCAAGGTATAAACGGCCGAGTCCGTGGAGGCTTTCCCTTGCCTTTGTTTTCCTTTTCATGTTGTTTCGCGCATTTCTGGACAGTTTGATCGGTTGGGCATTGGACACCTGATGGGCCATAGCGACGTGGCACTCATCCAGACGAACCATCGAGTGCCTGGGCTTGAGGGCTGGGTTTCCCGCTGTAGGCGCTGTATTCGCGAGAAAGGGGAGTTATATGTAGAGACAGGAAAAGCAAATCACCCTTTTTCGTCCGTCAGGTCTTCGCTGGCCTCGGGAGAGACTCGGGCTGATCCGGTTCGCTGCCTCACTTTTTGGTCTTTCGCGCTGCTGCAGCTCAGCCAACGAGATGTCGCGGTCTTCGTTTGTTACCCGGGTTTGCTCCGACGGTTTGTTACCATACCTCTCTCATTTCTGGGTATAGGGGTCCAGACCAGACTCGGGATCGGCTTGGAGTATAGTCGTCCTCTCTTATTCCTCGTATCGCTCTTACTTTGTGGGGGACCACCTTTTTGTAGCCCAATCTTCCTTCTTTTTGACGCTCTTCTCCCAACTTATGATCTTCGATCTGCCAATTTTGGATCTTCTTGTCTTGATAAGATCGGCTTTCCATCTGCCATCTGCCTTCTATCATCTATCATCTACCTTTTACCTTTTACCGTCTACCATTTACCGTCTACCATTTACCGTCTACCTTTGCGTCACTATTTCTCCCCAGATCTACGTACGTACCTACCTACTTGGTCGCAGGTCGCAGACGCATATACTCACCACCGGGCCAGCTTCCTCTCCCTGCATTTGACTACTGATAGACAGTGACTTCCCCGGCCATTGTCCACTGTGAGGAATCCATTCCCGCACCATGACTGTCAACCCGGCCGATGACGAATTGTTCACGAGAGCCATCTCCGGATACCGCGAAGCGTTTTTGGTTCAACATTCCCATCTCTCGGAATCCGAACAAATACATCTCTGGAGGGAACGGCTGGGGCAATTCATGCCGGCCCCCCAGGAACCCGTAGGGAAGCCGGGGAAACGGTCTCGACAAGATGCGACACCGCGGACGATACCCCCCTGTGACTCTGGTCTCCCGCGGGCAAAACGGAGAGCCACCGTATGTGACCTTGGTCTCTTGCTCCTCACGTCTCCTGCTCCCCTGCGATCGCTTCTCTTGACTTCTGACCCGCCACATCCGTCCTTGGATTGACCATTGGCAGACCCCGGACCTTGCAGACTCCGACCTGACTCGGAATCTCTCCCACGCCTCCTCCCCCGACCTACCGCGGACCGCGTCCTTGTCGACCCCCCAGGGAGCCTACCGTCACACCGCCATGGTGCGCTCCCAAAGCCAGCAGATCCCGGTCTCCCATCGACACCCACCGGCCGGGGCTGCCATGGGCAAACGCCAATCCTTCGGCCCCCGGACCCGTCGTCTCGACCATGTTGACGAATACTCGCCATCCGAGTACGCCCGCCATTTGGACATCTCGCAATCGTTTGATCCGGCCTGGACATTCAACGAACGGACTGGACCATCCTTCCCGTGCCCCTGGACGTCCCCTTTCGACCAGGCCTCGACATCGGCGGTGGAAATGTCACGCAGCGAGACCACCGACTCACTCATCGGCGGAATCAACATGTTCCGCTTCGACTCGTCCGGACCATCCTCAACCCCCAACTCCCACGGCTCCATCCCTCCGGATTGGGTGCCAAGTTCCTCTCCTTTTACGTATCAAGATCCCGTTCTCTCAGTATATCCTGACCTAGATCCCACAATTCCCATGCCCTTCCCCACCACCACCTCATCCTTTTCAACATCCGCTCCCCCATCCACCGCCTTCTACCCCATGCCCCACGCCTTCCCCTCGATCGAGGCAGCAGAAATGAAACCCTCGGATTCATTCGACAGTATCCGCTCAGCATCTTCACCATCGCGCGCCGCACGCCGCACTCAAGAGCAGATCGCCCACGGCTCTCGCCCCATTGCACCAAAGAGCGACGCCCATGACAGCACCGTGTGCCTCTCCGACCCAAGCGATCCACACAAGATGCTCCGTATCTCCTCGGCAGACGGCACAACCAAGGAAGTTGCTGCGATCCCCAAAGCATCGATCCACAGACCTCCGCGCCCAAAGACATACTGTCATCTCTGTCAAGACCATCCGGACGGCTTTCATGGCGATCACGAGCTGCGCCGTCATATCGAGCGCGTGCACTCTTCCGTTCGCAAGGTGTGGATGTGTGTCGATATCTCGACCGATGGGAATTTCCTTGGCAACTGCAAGGCTTGTCGGAATGGGAAGAAGTACGGCGCAAATTATAATGCCGCGGCGCACTTACGTCGCACCCATTTCAATCCTTGCCAGCGGGGTCGTGGTGGCCGTGGGAAGGACAGCGAGAAGCGCGGTGGGAAGGGCGGAGGTAATTATCCGTCCATGGATGTATTGAAGCATTGGATGGTTGCCGCTGAGGAGGTCATTGAAGATGCATCTCTGGACGGTCTCGACTCAGGGATGGCCGTCCGGGGTGAGAGCAACGTTCCGATGCATATCGCGGTTGACACGACCGTCTGTGAGACTCTTGAAGACTATGTCCCGTTTGAGATGGGATCGACTCCCTTTGATGGGTATGATCAATTCTCCGAGACGCCTGGTGTGCCCTTCAAGCTCAACCTGGAGCTCGAGGAGCAAGCTTCTCCCAAGTCCCCACTCTATTTCGACCCGCAGCGACCATTCTCGCCCGAAGTGGATTCATATGTGTGAGTTGGGCGTAGTTTTTGTATGATTCCTGTTGTTCATATTCTTTGGTCCGTGTATTGTATTCTCTGGGTAGGGGGTGGGGGTTAGTTTCGGGTCAGGGGAGTGGATTTTCATTGGCGATATATGTATATGCAGGTATAATGAATGTTAATGAATGTGATCAAAGTAGCGAGGACAAGCATTCGGGCAATCCGTGATCCTGCAGCCAATGTACTACCACGTAGGCAACAACAATACGGTGAAGTGCCAAGAGAAGTCGACCCGGAAGAAACCCCTGGGACTGCTTCGATGGTTCGTGAGTGGCTGAAATGCCTCCAGTGCGGGCCTTGCCAGCCAATAGTGCGTTCTGGTCGCCGCAGATATGTGGCTGACTGCGCTGGTCAGTAGGGCTGGTGGCTGACTGTGGGAGATACGGGCTTGGATACTTTGGAGGCCAGGAATGAGGTGAGTTTGCTCTGTCCGGATCATTCGCAGTCCCAACTGGACTGAGAGTAGAAGTAAACAAAAAAGCGCCAGAAGTTCCCAACCTCTCACCGCGTAGAAAGCACAGGGGGCAGAAAAAGGGTACTTTGCCAGTACCTCAGCCCTGTTGATTCTTGGCGGTCAAACCCTCACTTCGGGGGCCCCGGACAAGTATCGCCCAAGTAACTCCCCCAACTCTTTCTTCAGTCACACCCAAGTAAGTTCTCTCCTCGTGATTCTCTTTCTCTCTTTCTCCTCTCCTCGTCTTCCTTCAGACTCTTTTCTTTCATCTCCGTGACTCACGTCAGTTCATCCACAGTTCTCCTCGCAACCCATCTCCGTTTGTTGAGAATCCCAGGTGTGTACCTTTTTATCGCTGAGACAGTTGTGTACCCTCTGAGGACCCCCGTTTAAATCGCCTAGAGGCGCATTCTGTCCCTATCGCATTGGCAATGATCACCTGACTGACTTGTCTCTTATACAGAACTCTTCCCGCCATTATGTCCTACCAGCAGCAGTACCCTCCTCAGGGCCCTCCTCAGGCGTAAGTCCATACTACGATCGCATATACCCTTCAACACAGCACTCGCTTTGCTTTCCAATGGGACTGGATGCGATCATTATGGTCCGCCGACTTCGTCTCCCTTTGCGACCGCCAAAGCTGCAACCCAGATCACCCCCGTTTCGCACATTAGTCAACATGATGGAATTTGTTCTGATTCGCATAAAATAGCTACTATCCGCAGCAGCAGGGTTACCCTCCTCAGGGCTACCCTCCCCAGGGCGGTTATGACCCGAACTACCCTCCCCAGGGATATCCTCCTCAAAACAACGTATGCATCGAACCCCATGACTCCACATACTGTGAACACTAAGAAATCCTGTTACAGATGAACTACGCCCAACCCCAGCAGCAGCAGGAGAAGAAGTCTGGTGGTGGTGGTTGTCTCGGATGGTGGTAGGTAGTCATCTTGTTGTGGTTCGTGAGAAAGCGACTGACATCATCTTTTTTTTTCTACCAGTCTGGCCACCCTGTGCTGTTGCTTTGTCTGTGAGGAGGGCTGCGAGTGCTGCGCTGACTGTGTTGAGTGCTGCGAGATGTGTTAAACTCTACGACCCACGACATCGACGATATGCTCCTTCTTGTCGGCGTTGATCATTCTCGCTATGTCCGGCAGCGTTTTGGGACAAAGCACAACACTCTTGCAATGTCATGATTTCCTTTCGTCTTTACTTAGCTGAATTTGTTTCTTTCGATGGACGATCACCGCATACTCAAATTGAGTTCTATCGCTTGTCCTCATATTTTTGAGTTAATTTGATTCCCATTAGTTCGATTGGTTTGCGAACATTCTCCTGTTTATCTACGAGCATGTACATACGTACTTCCTAGATGAACGCTTGGCTTCAATCGATCTCAAGTTGCGTGTTGAAAGTTGGAGATTTGGTATTAATCACCTGGTGTTGTACCACACGATGTAGTTGAATTTGATCATGAGTCGCTTCTTATGTTTCGATGGTAATGTCAGAAAGTGCCACGGGTCTTACTATATGCGGTACTTCCATGCAGTAGTTCGTTTCATCATCAATCCTAGAAATGTTGCTGCTTTATTTTTAGTCCAAAAAACTGGCGATCTGCATGGAGGCGCCCAGCTAGCAGCCTAGATCATATCGACCCTCGCGGGTGATTCGTGAATGGGAAGCCTCTATCCCGTGCCTAAGCGCCTTGCTGTATGCCTTGCCAGCATGGAATCTCATGCTGTGAAAATAATGATAGGAGTCCAATGATCAGCATTGTTGGGCAAATTGTATATGTATGCTGTTGTCCCACCACGCATTCATATGTTTCGACTATATAAAGGTCACTCAATATGAGCAAGAATAGCCAGCTTGGTCCAAACCCTCGTCATACCAATGGGTTATGCCTCTTGTCTTTGGATGGCGGTGGTGTGAGAGGGTTGTCGAGTCTTCTCATACTGAAAGACGTTATGACCCAGCTCAACTCGGAACGTGAACATGGCCAAGTTTTGAAGCCCTGTGACGTGTTTGATCTGATTGGAGGTACAAGCACAGGAGGGTTTGTATTGGAAATCCCTTAGTTCTCACAGGATTCGAGCTAACTTGGGCGTCTTAATTTTAGTTTGATTGCCATCATGCTCGGACGACTAAATATGAGTGTTGACGAATGTCTTCACGCTTACACCGAATTGATGGAATCGGTTTTTGGTGACAAGATCAGCAATGTCCCAATGGACTGGTCTGGAAACATTAGGCCTCAGTATGACAGCCGGAAACTGAAACTGGCAGTTGAAGGTGTCATTGAACGCTGTGGGCTTTCTCCAACCGACCCGTTCAATGATGGGACCCCTTGTCGCTCTAGGGTCTTTGTCTGCACAACGTCCAAAACCACTTTGCAAACCACACGTCTCCGAAGCTACACGGTTCCGAACGAGAATGCACTATCAGCGACGATATGCGAAGCAGCGCTGGCAACATCCGCGGCAACAGGGTATTTCGAACCCGTCACGATCGAAGATTGTCTGTTCGTCGACGGTGCTTTTGGGGCTAATAATCCCATCCAAGAAGTGGAGGAAGAAGCAGCCGATATATGGTGCACTGCAAGTCGTGATCTGAAACCGTTGGTCAAATGTTTCGTGTCAATCGGGACAGGTAATCCTGCACAAGTCCCAATTGATGACAATCTTTTCAAGTTCCTTTCAAAGTCTCTTGTCAGGCTGGCAACCAAACCTGAAGGCACAGAGCGCCTGTTCTCTGCGCGTTGGCGCAGTGAGATAAAAGAGAAGAGATTCTTTCGCTTCAATGTTGAACAAGGATTGCAAGGAATACACATGACCGAGTTTCAGAAGCAGAATCTCATCAAATCTGCAACATATACCTATCTTCATCATTCCTCCCAAAAATGTTGCGTGCGTGATTGTGTTTTGACTCTTGTTGATAAAGAGGGTGAGTGTATCCGCCGAGACCTATTTTTCAGGCTACTGAGGTACTGACTACATACAGGGAAGACCAATGTAGATTTTGAAACTACCATAAGGGTAAGACAACCATATTTCTGTTAAATGACCTAATATGGATTGTATACAAGGAATACGGCAATCGGACTTCTCGGAATCGAGTCCTGAATGCAATCCCTCCTGAAGGACGCCATTCCTACGCTGCGAGACCTGTAGGCTGGGTCATTCCATTTGAAAGAAACACTCGATATGTTGACCGCGAAGTCGTGGGTAAGGTTAAGAGAAGACTCTTCATTAGGAACCAGCCTGAAAGAATCGCCATTTTCGGCCTTGGGGGAGTAGGCAAAACACAAATATCTTTGGAGCTGGCATATCAAACAAAAGAACTATATCCAGACTGCTCTATTTTCTGGCTGCACGCATTGAATATGGAAAGTATTCAACAGGCATACCGGATGGTAGCGGAGCAGCTCAAGATTGACATCTCGGGGGCAGATGCAGACGTTAAGGGTCTTGTGCAGAACCATCTCAGTAACCCAACCGCAGGTCGATGGCTATTGATTTTTGATAACGCCGATGATTTCGATATGTGGAATGAGAACGAGGATTCAACAGCAGGACGGTTGAGAAACTTCCTTCCCCACAGTGACCAAGGGGCTATTGTTTTTACTACCCGAAGTAATAAAGTAGCTCAATATCTGGCTGCCACAGACATTATCGAGATTCCGGTGATGGAAGAACACAAGGCCATTCATGTCTTGCGAAATTCTTTAGTTGATAAAGAGCTTCTCCATGACGCCGAAGGCACTCGACAGCTTCTCGATCGGTTGACATTTCTTCCTTTGGCAATTGTTCAAGCCGCATCTTTTATCAATCAAAACTCAATGGATATCATGAGCTATGTTAATCTTTTGGATAAACAAGAGCAAAATGAGATAGATCTTTTGAGTGAGGATTTCGAGGATCATGGCCGTTACAAGAGCAGTCGAAACCCTGTTGCTACTACGTGGCTTACGTCTTTTGACCAAATCCGAAAACAGTCTCCTTTAGCTGCCGATTTTCTCTGTTTCATTTCCTGGGTTCAAGAAAGAAACATTCCCATCGTGCTTCTGCCGCCAGCAACGGGAGTTGAAACACAGAAGGCCATCGGTGTTCTGCAGTCTTACTCCTTTGTTCGGGTCAATAGCGGGGGATCAACGCTTGACATGCACCGACTGGTGCAGCTTGCCTCAAGAAATTGGCTTCGTTTGCTTAAAGTATCCCAGGCATGGCAAATTTGTGCGATGCGACACTTGTGCGAAGGTCTGCAAGTTGTAGATCAGGGGCGTTCTCGGGTTGAATGGCGAGTCATGATCCCGCATGCCCTACATATCCTCAACTGCACGACTGGTGAGCCCCCTACGACTGAAAGAACCCAAGTCTTGGTCATGGTAGCTTGGTGCCTTACTTATGATGGAAGATATAGAGAAGCGGAGCCGCTTTTCTATGAGATCATCGATGGCAGCATGAACTTGCAAGGCAATGAAAGTATGCATATTCTTTCAGGGCTCGGTGGACTTGCAACCATTGCTATGAGCCAAGGAACATCTGAAAAAGCCATTGGGTTGTTCAAAGAGATCCTACGGATCAGAACCAATATTCATGGGCCTGATCATCTTGATACAATCCGCGCTGTTACGCAGCTGGCAGGCTCATACCGTATGGCCGAAAAGTTCGACAATGCGGAGATCTTATACAAGAAAGCCATTAGACATTACCTTGCGACCCTCAGACCCGATTCCACTGAGACTATGGACGCAATATTTGGGTTGACAATGGTTTTCAAATCCCAGGGGAAAGTCTCGGATTCGGTAGAGTTATCTCATCAGTCACTTCAAATTGCGAGAAATACCCTGGGCTCTTGCCACATCCAGACAGTCTTTGCCATGGTAGGTGTCGCGATCATATATGTAGAGCAATGGCGATTGAAAGAGGCTCAAGCTTTGTTCACTGAGGCGTTTGACATCCAAAAGGATCTTCTTGGACCTGAGCACCCAGCCACGATTAGAAACATGGCCTGGCTTGCTACCACATTGGCATATCAAGGACAAAGAGCTGAAGCATTTGGAATGATGAAGGAATGTATACGTCTTCATGGTCAAGTCTTTGGGGATGAACACCCTTATACGGAAAGCCTCAGCGACCTACTAGAGGGGTGGACGACGTCAAAGTGAGTTAGCCGACATTCAATTATTCCTGTACTTCTTATAGGATCCATTCATTAACTTTATCAAAAGGTCGATGTCATCGTTTTTAAAAAACAATTTTAGCGGTTTTCGACGCTCCGAGATGATGCAAGAACGAAGAGGCCATTACCCCAAAGTCAAGGTTTACGGCATCTTTCACGCTTCGCAGCAACCGAAGAATGACCCTTTGGTTCGCGAAATCAAAGAAGCTATAAATAACATGGCGACAGGGGACACGCTTCCAGAAGTGACACGAGGTTAGGGCTGCAGACTCGATGAAAGGGCCGTTGAATTCGCTTATAGGCCCGGTATCGCTAGAGATTAACATACAGAAGTACGGCTGTAGTTCAAGACTTTCATTTTTATATCTTTGGCTGGTATGTCAGGCCTTGGAGATCATAGTCAGGGCGTTGTGCGTAGCAGTCCTGGTGGCATGGAAGCGAAACCAGTTTCTGTACGCGTATGCGGTGCTTGTCTTGATTGCCGTGGTTTACAAAACATTATACAAGGGGAGATAGCAGACGTTTTGAATAGAAAAACAACATATCTCACTGCCCATAGAAATCCTAGTGACGAGAGAAAGTAAGGTGGACTGTCGTCTTGTTGAGAGCTGGCTTCATGTAAGGACGCATATTGGTGAGAGCACAAATGCATGCAAATATTGGTCCAGTGTTACAATAGGCAACTAAAGCCGTTTATCAGCGATGTTTTGATCTCGGCGATATTAATTACTTTCCACGGGAACTTTCATTGGCGCGGAAATGTCAGCTCTGAGCATATTTCGCAGCGTCGGAAGCCCTGCTTCCCACATTTCCGCGAGCTATACGAGTGTCGGGAGCGGAGATTTATCTCATTGAACCATGCAACTGGATTAAAAGCTAACCAATTTTTTTGGCACGAGTTCCACGGACAAAATTGCCCAATTGTGAAGTGGTGTGATGCGGACACGATCCTTAGATGGATATCGGTCGCGACCATCGGCGACTATGGCAGGATGGAACCACAGGTTCGAGCATTTTAATCTCAATTATCTGAAACCCACCCGTGTACAGACCTATGATTGGCACAAATTCAACTTCTCGTTCTCTCGCACTAACGCTGTCGGCTCTCCCGGCCCCATGATTATTCGAACGCAGCGAGACTGCCGCTGTAAGACCGAGACTCCACTGTGGCTGTCGGAACAGACAAAAACTGGTTAGTAGACTACCAGGGGCGCGTGCCCAACGATTCCTGCGTCGCACTACTCTATTGGGGCATATGATTAATGTTGCAAGGGGCTTTGTTTTGTGGCGATCTTGCGGAGCACCAAGTCTTGGAAATTGCTTGATTCAGATAGAAGAGACTCATGTAGGAGATAACCGCATATAGCCATGAATCACAACTATACTGTCCAGTGTGTTGATCTGAGCTGGTCCCAGTTGAGCGCGGGTTTCTCGGTTGGGCCCGAAGCCCCCAACAGGAAAAGATCTGATAAACTCAGATTAACTTGGGTGTCGAAAGTCGCGCAAGCGAAGCAGAGAACAGGGAAATATCAGTGGAAAGGCCCACAGTTAGAAAAGGCCAAGCGAAGCTTGATCTGGCCATTCCGAAGCTTGGTGTGGGCCACACTTTACTGCGTGTGGATTAGGGCTCGCTAGATAAGATCACGGCGACATCTGATTAGATCTTTTGTGTTTTCTAGTGGAGACTCCAAGACCACGCCAATACCTTAGCCTACGTTTGTGGACTCTGGCAAAATGCTTTTACCAAATTAAAACTCTTGGCCGCGCAAATACCCAGTTTTGTCTGCGTGTCAGAGCGCGTGGTTCTCGCCGACGGCCGATCTCGGGTAAACAATATTTTTCTATAAAAGTACCGAAGTCCCAGCTCCGAGTCTCTTGATCTCCTGATTTCTAGATTATCTTTATCTTTATCTCGAAATGGGTCTCCGTCCCTTGATTAAGAGAGGCCGAGCGGTCATGCGCCGCTTGGGCGCCGACAGCAAGGCTGATTCGGCGACTAGCTCTTCGATTGAAACTACCCAGGGAGCTACATTCGAGGAAGCCAAGAGACAACCTACTGTGGAGGCTACGGCTACGGCTCAAGAGCCGGAGCACCCTTCCGAAGATCTTCAACATGGTGTCCGCAATGTCGAGGCTATTACCATGAGCTGGTCTAAGACCACCTTGATTTGTGTCTTCATCAAGTACGTTCTTTTGAACTTGTGTTCACTGCAAAGCCAAACGATCAGTCTTAACATGCGATTTTTATAGTATTTGGTTCCTCTACTTTGTCAATGCCTTCCAGTCATCCGTGTATGGCAGCTTGAGCCCGTACATTTCCAGCTCTTTCCAGGCTCACTCCTTGTCCGGTGTGCCCATGGCTCTCGCTGATGCCTTTACTGCGGCTTGTTACCTACCTGTTGGAAAGATCATGGATACCTGGGGCCGTGCTGAGGGTTTCCTTCTGATGACCATCAGTGCTACTCTTGGTCTCATCCTGTTCGCCTCGTGCGACAGTTTTGCCATCTACTGTGTTGGATACGTAAGTTCGCCAAAACAGGATCATCTCTTGGGTTTTTACGATACTTACCAGAATGCAGGTCTTCTACCAGCTCGGCTTCAGCGGAATGGAGTATTCTATCGATGTCATCACCGCCGATTCCTCTACCTTGAAGAACCGAGGTCTAGCATTCGCCTTCACCTCGTCGCCATATATCATTACCGCCTTTGCTGGCCCCAAGGTTGCCGACGAGTTTTTAGCCCAAGTTAGCTGGCGTTGGGGTGTTGGTTGCTGGGCCATTATTTTCCCCATCGTTGCGGCACCACTGTACTTCATGCTCCAGCGCAACTTGAAAAAGGCTGTTGACCAAGGACATGTCCTGAGAGAGTCTAGCGGTCGTACTTTCTTCCAAAACGTCTGGTACTGGACCATCCAGTTTGATTGTGAGTATTCCTATTTCCCGGAATGGGTTTTCACCTTAACTTGATTCACTAGTTCTAACTCTCATCAGTGCCCGGTGTTGTTATGTTCACTATCGGCCTTGTTCTGTTCGAGGTTCCCTTCGATATCGCTAGTGAGGCCCCTAACGGCTGGGGCTCTGGCTATATCATTGCTATGCTCGTTGTTGGTTTCTGCATGCTTTTCTTCTTCATCTTTTACGAATGGAAGCTGGCCCCTGTGCCACTGCTTCCGATGGAATTCCTGCTCGACCGGACAGTCATTGGCGCTTGTCTCTTGGACGCGACCTACCAGATCTCTTACTACTGCTGGAACAATTACTTCACTTCGTTCTTGCAGGTTGTGAACAACGTGACTGTTGCCCAGGCTGGTTATATCAGCAACACCTTTGATGTTGTTTCTGGAGTACTTCTTATCCTGGTCGGTTTCATCATCCGCAAGACTGGTCGCTATAAGTGGCTGCTCTACATTTCCGTTCCTCTGTACCTTTTGGCTCAGGGTTTGATGATTTACTTCCGCAAGCCTAACATGTCTGTCGGATACCAGATCATGTGTCAGATCTTTATCTCTATTGGTGGCTCAATTTTCATTATCGTGGAGCAGCTGGCTATTCTCGCCGCCGTGGATCACCAGCACGTCGCCGCCGCTCTAGCCTTGCTTAATGTCGTTGGCACGATCGGTGACTCTGCCGGTTATACTATCTGCACAGCGATCTGGACCAACACCTTCGAGAAGGCCCTCATCCGCTACCTTCCCGAGTCAGCGATCTCGAACTTGGATATGATCTACGAGGATCTCGACACGCAGATCAGCTACCCTGTCGGAAGTGCGACAAGGACTGCTATCCAGGAAGCCTATGCATACAGTGAAGTGCGCATGTTGTCCGCTGGTCTGGGTATCATGGCTTTGGCCATTGCCTGGACTATGCTGATCAGAGATATTGACCTCAAGAAGAAGCCCCAGGTTCAGGGAACAGTCTTCTAGAAGTTCAAAAATGGGACTGGCTGTATTTCTCAAAGTCATACAGTCGCATGTGAAATGAGCCTATTTTCCATACGTGCTCTGAGCCACGCCACTATCGCCGTTGGTGCTGATCACCAGCTGCATGTTGCTTTGCCTTGTCACCTTAATTTGCATATATCATTCGCTGCCCCCTTCGGGTCGGAGAAAAAAACACAAGTTTACTAATAATTTATACCCGAATTGATATTGTTTTTTGCGATAACTGCTTCTCATCTTGCTCTAGGCTCATTTTGATTATCGAACATTGTAATGTCGGGTGAAAGTAGGCAGACGCGAGGTGGAAAAGGGCTTTTGCCCGGGCAATGCAGCCTCACTGGGCAAATATCAGCCCCCGTTCTTTTTTGTTTGATTTTGCTTTGGCCTATCTGACATGCAGGCTATGTTTAGCGCAGTTTGGCCTTTCCGCTGAACTCGTTCCTCTTCGGTGCGGGGCTTGATGAATTCGTCTCTCGTATACTAGAGACCCTCTCAACATACAGTACTCTTCACCATGGCTTCAGATAATTACGCCGAAATATGCGACCAGATATATGCCCGAATAATGAAAAGGCTGGAGGACTCTTACCTCAATGGGACTCGTGTTGCTCGTTTTGCTCCGATCGGAACCGCCGAAGAGGTGCTCAAGCCGGAGATTCTATACCGTTTCTTTCGCAGTCTTCAGTTGCCTCAGATTCGAGTGGATACTTTGGTGCAGAGGTTAGATCAAAGGAAGCTTCACAAGTTTCTGGCTATTCTTATCTTTACCTCGTGTACCATAGCGACCGCTCGAACATTCACCATCAAGCTCTTAGCCCCTACGGACACGGAGTGGCCCCAAAGTCTCAGTATCCTACCAGCAGATCGTGAATCTCTTGAATCGATTTTTGGGGAACCAGTCACACCTGACAAAATCTTGTCGACACAGGCATGCTTCTGTCCTATAATGATTTGCAAAAAAAAGAATGATCACATTGAGAGCTTGGAGCGCGAATGTCTTCCATATCTGGAGCAGGAACTTCGAGGAAAAGGAGCTTTTGGTATGGTATATCGAGTGAAGATTGCCCAGCGTCACTTCTTTTCTCCCAATCTGGGTTCAGCAAACTCGGATCCTATTGATGTCGCGCGCAAAGACTTCCACAACAGGGAGGACACCGAGCTGGACGTTTTGCAACAGATTCTAGCTTGTAAGAGACCATCTCCCAATATCATCGAAATCTACGGGAGTCTCGAGATCGGCTCCGTGGGGTGTAGCATTTTCATGCCTCTTGCCATTGAGGACCTCCGGGCTCATATGAAGGATGATACGCGACCAAGACCAGGGGCCACCGAAAGAACCGATATGATCCTTGCCGCTGCAGGGGTCGCTGAGGGCTTAGAATTTCTCCATAACAACATGGAGAAGCCTCTCGGTGGGAAATTGGTTTGTTACCACATGGACCTCAAACCAGACAATATCTTGATCTTCCCGGAAAGGATCGATGAAAATGGGAAGCTGATTTATATTTGGAAGATCAGCGATTTCGGCATGTCTCATATCAGACATCAAGAAGATGAGGCTGAATCACACGAGAACGTCTTTACAAGATTGTTTCTCGAGAAGCGCGTGGTCGAATCTCTCGCCGGAGCTTCTAACATGCGTTTAGAAGGCACATATTTGGCTCCTGAATCACTTCTTCCGGGGAAAACCATGAAGACTTCCAGCGATGTCTGGTCACTGGGCTGTATCATCAGTGTGCTATTTACATACTTGGTGGAGGGCACAGCTGGGGTGGCCAAATATGAAGAGATCAGGTCCAGTCATCGCAATGCAAACGGTCGCGATCGCTTTTTTGTTGCAAATACGACCTTTGGACATCCAAAGATCAATTCAAAGATCGGACTGTACCATGACCTTTTGGTAAAAAAAGCTAGTCAACAAATTCCACAGGAGGGGCAAGCCTTGAGATCTATATTGACTTACCTTGAGCGACACATTCTTCTTTTGGATCAGAAAAAACGGCATCCCGCAAAGCAATTGAAGAAAGAGCTAGAAAGCACTCACCATGCATACAAGGAACTGGATAACACACCCAGAGCGCATCCAAATGATGAACAACACCGATTTAGCGCGCTGTTGCAGGATATTCGCATTACCGAATCAATGGGCAATCAGAAAGAGGCTTCCAAGAAGGCTGACACTTGGTTCTTCAAGCCTAAGGAAGCTTTCAAAGACTGTGACATATCTCCGGATGGATCTATTATCGCATTCTGGAATGATTTCACAATCTGGCTTTACACCCAGTCCTGTGAGCGTATTGTGGGCCAGGACCTATACCCGGTTGCTGAGTTCCTTTTGGATAAGAATAGCGAACCTCGACGCTTCTTGAAAAGTCTGAGCTTGACAGATAAGTACTTGATAGTCTCCCTGTCGGGCAACGATTTCCAGGTAAGAGCTCATCCGCAACCCATGCAGACTATTCGACAATGTCCTAATTCTTTGTTGGTCATAAGTGCAACGTCTTTGATTTACGACGGGATAAACGAAGAAACAAGTCGGCAAATATCAATTTGAAACATTATCAGCGGGTCTCGCTTCATCTCCCCGAGATAAAGGAGGTGGCTATTTCATCTGGAGGTCAAATCATGGCGTTTATTGTGCGTGACAAAGAAAGAGATGATAACCCAGGCTCACTGTACATTGGCAACGTCGGATCCCCCAATGATTGGAAGCTAGTATCGAAACTGAGATGGCCCGCGTCGGACGTCATTCAACTTTCATTCTCCCCTGAGGATGACATCTATATTGTCTTCAGACCACAACGAGCCGACCAAGCCCATAACTATAAGATTCCTGTTCTTCATGCATGCCTAGCAGAGAAGAATATGTACCCTCTCATCATTGAGCCACGGGTAATTCTTGATTCTGCTATTCAATGGGTCCTCCCAACTAACTGGTGATGCATTAGGGTATCGAAACTACCAGCACTGTTGGCCTCTTTACCGCACTCGCTCCACTCTCACGGCGTCCTGGAGTCTGTGTAATTGTCACTCGGGAAAAACAGCTGCATATACAAAGCCTCAGAGAGCCCAACAAAGCCCCCCTGTCAATCAGAAAAGCATAAGTATCACCAATTATCGAGTGATCAAGTTGATTTCGGGACTAAATCACAAGGTCATGTTTGCTGTTGGGAGAAAATTGGGAGATCTAAGAATAATTTTGCTTGAGATCACGATCAATATCCCAATGCCACAAGCTGATAATACCGATATTTCAGCTGCGGATATTTCAGTCAAGGAAGTTGCCATACTCCCAAATCTATCCTATCATAGCGAGTTCACTGCCAGGGTTTTCCTTGATCAAGGGAATAGCTACTTCCTTCTTGCTGCTCTTCTCGATTCTAATGCTTGTGGTATATACAAAGTCTGTCTGGATGGTGCTAGCTCAAGTTCTCCCCAGGGAGACACAACATGACCCAGCATCATATTAGGCCTCACCCTCATAGAAATCTCTTGCTTCCTTCGTTCCAAATCTCATCTGTCTTTTGATATCATGGAATTTCCAAGCTGGGACCAGGCGCATCTTTGGTAGATGAAACGCCGCCCCGTCGTGACGTATTAGCCAGTAGTAAAGAAGATAAGTCACTGCGGTGAGCCCGAGTGAAGACAGGAAAAAAATCCATATCATGGATGTGCCAACTATGCGGCTGGTTTCAATATCCATGTCGAAGAAATTCATGCCAAAAAATGTCTATTTGAAGTGCGTTAACGTGGGGGAGCAGGTAGAAGTTGATAGAATTTGAATTCTGTGGGGAAACTCACTGCAACGAATGATGTTGGAAGATAGAACAAAGTGAGTCTAGTAATAAAAACAGCTGATTTGTTTAGTTCCAGTATGTTTTTGTTTTGCTCCTGTGCCAAAAGCTGATCACGCGCCAACAAGCTGCCAGAGAGCAACTTGGCGACACTTTTTGCCTGCTGCTGTAAATAGTTTGCAGATTGTGAATAGGTCTTGCAATATCGAACATGATTCTTCAAACACTGAGTAACATGTTTTGTCTCGCTTGTCTCCGATTCAGCGTCAATGAGTGCCGATAGGTCTTGAAGAAGGTCCATCGCCGACGAAAGAAGAGCTGGCACTTGGCGGAAACGAGTTTCTAGGCTGTTCAAGGCAATAACCGCATCATGTCCTAGTCCCAAGGGCTCTTCAATGACAGTTACTAGGGCTTCCTTGGCGACGGGCAAGAATTTGTTCTCCATCGTCATGATGTAGATTCTCCATGCGGGAAAGTATGCTGTGAACAACAGCTGATGAAGCCAAAATGGATCGACATCTACCTTTGCTTTATTACTTGACATCGACAGCCATTGCATTGCTTCGCATTGTAGTTTGGACTGGGGAGTTGGACTGAGAAGCACACACAAACTCTGCGATGTTGCGCTGTCGTATCGCTGGTAGACTCCAGTCTGTCGAATCACCCATTTGTCGCCATTTTCTTTGTACTCTGGATACTTTATAGTGTATAATATCTCTATAATATGATCAGAATTTTTTTTATTGTGATTTCATCTGTGAGAAATGGGGAAAGTCGTTACCTGTGATTGAGCCTGAAGAGGCTTCCGTGAATGGAATACACAATACGGCGTCAATATCAGCATTGCGATGAGTGCGAGAGTAAAAGCACGATGCCATTTCCCAAAATATCGAGCTAATTTCATGGTGTGAAACAATGAGATCGAGCATGGGCTTCGTAGCTTCTAGCGGTCCCCTGGTGTTCCGTTGACAGATCGATCTATGAAAGGTCAGGAACGATCAACCGTAATCTTTTGGCTGACAAACATTAGGCGAAGCTTGTAAGAGTTACTTTGGTTCATTTGAAAGTGCATTTCCAGGTCTTCTGCTGTGCAAGTCTTGAAACTTTGATCACAGGGGGTGGTGGATAGAGCCACATTGTGTCCGACTTCGAAAACTTCAACGGGATGAACCGGTTGAGTAGTTCTGTAGTAATCAAAAGATAGCATGCTGAAAATGTAGAAGACGCTCTCAATGAATTCAACCGCGGACAGATTCTCAATTATTATAGCTTTCAATACTACAGTAAGCGCCCAGCGCACCAAACTAATCACTGCCTCCCTGCATGTGCATTGAAATTCCGCCTTGGGTTCATAAGTAATTCCATTTGCCACACTTCCAGGCTAGTCGTCTTCTAATTTTCTGCTCGCAAACTGTCAGGGTCGTGCTCATGTCCAATCAGAATATCTCGTACTCAAACTCTTCCTGTAGCTATGTAATCAGCCATGGGCCTCGAAGATCATCTTCCTGAATCAAATCTCACCGTCCTCACTAATCGGGGCGCAATGAACGACCATGTCTCGCCATGTAACTGCCCAAGTATTCAGCCTTGCGCCCGATGAAATGGGGGTTGCTAGTCATATACCCGGATCTTAAAATCGGTCACCCCATCAAACAGGCTCTCAAGAAAAGCCTGAAGACTTTCTCCGTTCAAGTAGCGAGAATCCACTATTTGACGACGTTCGTTATCCGCGAGTGGTTTGTCGGGCATTCTGCTGAGGCTGATTGATTTGTCCCAATTTAGTGGAAGTAAGATCTGCGGCCCTCATAAATCGCCAGGATCTGCGGCTGAAAATGGGGAGGAGCATCCCATAGGATGCACCGCCACGTCACGAAGCCCTATCTTTACCCCGGTTCCCAGGGCACGAGACCTTCTGCATGGTTTCTGGCCAATGTCTTTTCTTTCCGCTTATCTGGGGGGTGTGACTATACTTAATATGGAAAGTGTTTCTCCCGTGATTGGACAGGGATCTTGTGCGTCCGAGTCACCCGGGTGAATTTGACCGGTTTCACGATACGAGTGGCGTAGCATGCGGCTTTCACCTAGTCGCCGATTTTGCTGGGTCGCTGTAATATGCATGAAATGTAGTTCATAAACACCTGCTTTCTTGGTTGTCTGCCATATGCATTCAAAAGTGTGATGATCGCGTTGTGATAGACAGGGGGTATCTCAACCTCACTTGTCGACATGTCTGAGCCAGTCGAGCCATCGGAATGGCTGCCAGACTGGCTGTTCAATTTGGTGGCTGGATCAACAAGACCGGGCATGTTGTTGACACCCTCAACAAATGACCAGTCAGATGGGCCTCTTCCAGCACCCTCTCAACAGCAAAATAGTCAGATCGCCTCAAAGGACTCTGTCGGGGCAATTCAACCGTCTCCGGCAGATTTGGAGTCTGCCCATATCTTTGAGTACCGCGAGGAAACGGTTCTCCACGTAAAACCCAGTGTGGACAGACGCGTCGAGAGAACCTTGAAAGGGATCCATCTGTTTGTGCGTATAGAGAGTTCTTTACCATGTCCCGCCGTACTCATTGAACCAGATGATTACAGTCAATGCAACGCTCGGAACAGGACTTTACTGGCGTGGCGGACAAATTCTCGAATTAGCTGGTCCCGTGGCGGTTCTTGTATCTTTCTTCGCTGTTGGACTGCTAGCATGGGCAGTCATGCAATGCATTACTGAGATGCTATGCATTTGGCCAATCCCCGGTGCTCTCTCGGTATATGTGAGCCAGTTTGTGGATGAAGAGCTGGGCATTGCTGTTGGTATCACTTACTGGTTTGTATACCCCAATATCGCTATCCTACATGCTAGTTCAAGAGGTACTGACCCCCCTTACAGGTTCACTTACTCTCTTTCGTTCTCTACGTTGATTGCAACTTCAGCTGCAGAGTTCAATTATTGGCGTGGAATCAATGAAAATCTGACTATCCAAGGTCTCGTCATATACTTCTTGATACCATTCATACTGGTTCTTATAAATACACTGCGTATCAAGGTAGGCTTCAATTATCACTCTTTCGCCGGTTGGGTTCTGATCTTGAAAGTGAGCGCTGACCGATGTCAAGCAATATGGGCTGCTGGAGGTAGTTACAGGCAGTATGAAAATATTTTTTCTTGTTTTCATCATCATAGCACTCATCACGATTAATCTTGGGGGTAAGTACCAACGCCCTTTTCCTACCCTAGGCTCTGGAAAAGGGTAGAGTCACTTACTGCTGTATACTAAGTTCGGCCAGCGGGCTCAAAGGAGAGCATTCACATTGGCTCGGAAAGTAGGCTGATCTCACCAAATGTTGCATGCCGAAAGCTAACATTGATAGACTGGGCCTCGCCTACCGACTTTGATGGGGATGCAGCACATGATTGGACAACAGCCCTCCTGTGAGTGACTCTCATTGCCTTTGACTGACGTGAACAACTTACCTATTGCAATAGAATGAGTGTTTCCATTGCAACATTTGCATATGTCGGGGTGGAAGTTGTTTCCTCGTCTGTGCTTGAAGCAGCAAAGTCACCAAGTCATTCCAAGGACGGAGGCAATCCATTCAAATTCTCTGCTATCTGGATTCCAGTATTTGCGACAGGTGCATACTGTCTCAGTGGAACCCTTGGCACATTGGATATTGAGCGAAAGGATCCTCAGCTTCCTCGACTGAGCTGGCTTCCACAAAATCCAGGCCAAGATGACCACTTCTCAAGTCGCGCTGCCTTTGTTGTGATTGCTTTGGCTTCTAAAATCCCAGGTTTGGCTGATACCTTCAATGCCTTCCTGGTGTTTACTTGTATTTCCTGTGCAACCACCAATCTCTATATTGCCTCACGCGCACTGTTTGGTTTAACCAGTCGGTTGGAAGGTGGTGAGGGCCAGCGGTGGTACATACGTTTCCTTGCTTCGTTTGGGAAAACGGACAGTCGTAAGGTTCCCGTGCGAGCCATTATATTCTCTGCAGTTGCATTCTGGTGGGTTCCTTTTCTACAACTTATTGGTGGTACTTCCAGCCCTCGGTCCTCTGTCAATACTGTATGTCTACAAATCTCCGGTCAAGACGCCCAGCGCTAACTCCAATCCAGTTTATTGAAGTTCTGGCTCAAATGGCATCTGTGGGTGTTTTGCAAGTTTGGGCTTGCGAGTGTTGGGCCTTTATTCGCTTCTATCGAAGGTCAGTCTGGTCATCCTCTCCCGCGTTTGATGTACTGACTAGGGTCTTAGCATCTATCAACATCGCGAATATCTCGAGCGTGAAAACATTGCTCTGATCCAGCGTTGGAGCATCAAAAATAATTCCGACTATCCTTATCGCGGTTATGGACAACCCATTCTTGCATACCTAGCACTGTTTGGGTGTATGTTTATTTTGCTGATGGCTAATGGGGCTGCCTTGTGGAATGGGTTCCACCTTCTACCTTTCCTTGCCTCATACCTGACTGTAAGTGTTATTTGGATCTCCTTTGGTACGAAGTGTTGATCAACAAACTTGCAGGTCATTGTCTTTCTTGGAACATGGATTCTATTGAAGATTGCCCGGTCGGCGCCATGGGCTTTGGTTGAGCTTTCAAAGCCTAAAGTAGTCGCAGATATTTTGAAGCACCTGCATGACATTCGTCTCGGTGTGACTGATTCCAATGAGGACATTTTGGAAACATGAAATTGTTCTGTCGTGGTCGGGACCCTTGTGTATGACTGTGTTGATTGTGCACCATGCAAAATATATAACTGTATCCATGAGGATTTTGTTTCGATCCTGAATTCCACCTCCGTAGTCTATAATCTCTCATACAACGCTTCTTTGCTCTGTACATAGGGTTGATGTTTGTATATCGCCTGCAGTGTTAGGGGTTGGCATAGTTTTCAAGGACTGCGTCAATAGTGAATCGGTACTACGGGATCATCTTAATGCCTGGTAATTCAGGCTACAAGTTGGACACCCAGGCTTCATCGGTACAGCGAGAGATTCAGACTTGAATGAAACGTTAAATGGACTTTCTGAGGTGGGCTTCTACAGAAACCCACAAATAATAGAAAAAAGAACCGTAAAATGAGGGGAGAAACAGAAGATCCCAAAAAAAGAAACCAAAAAAATTCCGGTGGGCCGGAGTCGAACCGGCGACATTCAGATTACAATGGTCAATTACAGTCTGACGCCATAAACCAACTAGACGACCGCCGGATGGTTGTTGAAAGCCGCTCAGTTTTTGGTTTCTTGAGGTGAGTTGGGTTGAGGTTGTTACCCTTCCTGCACTCGCATCTTGTTGCTCAATCTCTCATCTTCTGCCACCACTTGAGCTGACCCGCCTGGACTATATTCCCATCAACTCCACTGAAATCCCTGGATTCTCAGTCTGAATCATTCATTCTTCATGAATCCTCCCCATATCATCTGGCATGTTACACCTACCCACTCAGCCTGCCCCAAACCCGCGTACGCACTATAAGTTATCCACAGACGGAGTATCGCCACACCGAAACCTCGTCGTATACTTAACATGGCCGGTTGCTCCCATCCAAGTCCACCTCTTTTCCTATGAACATCTTTCCCGGTCTGAGGAGATTGATGACACAAGCGGGAAGTGGAGGTTTTGCATGAAGATGCGGAGAAAGCCGCGTCGATTTACCCGTCAATCACAACCCACATTCCGCTTCATGGCGTGGACCACTATGCCCAAAAAGGCGGCCAAGAGATATGTATCCCTGGACGGAGGAATATCTCAAATCAGATCGAAGAGGGGTTCCTGGCAGTCGGAGCCTCGGCGCGCTCTCAACATGCAGGTGCAACGTTGTCGCATGGCTTCATGCAGGGGACATACCATTGAGTTCTGCCGATATTTCCCCACGCACTGTCTCTCTACAGGGGTGGAATATGTATGCATGCACTCCTCATGGAGATTTACCCAAATGGGAGTGGACGCTCGGTACTTGTCCTGCCGTCGGCTAGTATTGACCCTGAGAATCAGTCGATCGTCATGCTCTGTTTCTCTCTTTACCCCTCGGAGCTTAGTTGGGGGAGATGAGACCGATGAGGAGAAACAAGTTTAGCCGGTAATAGCCTCTTGGCTGGGCCTTTCATTAACCTGTATATAAATCTTCCAGGATCGGCCGCTGCAGCATTCTTTTTCGTTTAGTATAGCATTGGTGAATTGAGAGAGTGACTTGACTATACACGGCATCATGCTGGGTCAATACTTTCTTCTGCCACTTTTGGCATCGTACGGTGCAGCCGTCACCATTTCAGTAGCCAAGTCTGGCGGCAATGCTACTAGTGGCCTTCAATATGGTGCTATGGAAGAGGTACACACGTCGAGCTCCAAACCAATGTGTTAAGATGGATTCTAATATCCTTTCTAGGAGATCAACCATTGCGGAGAAGGAGGTCTATATGCCGAATTGATCCGCAACCGAGCTTTCCAAGGAAGCGCCAAGTTCCCTTCCTCACTTGATGCCTGGACTGCTGTTGGCGGTTCTTCGCTGGCTCTGAAAAACTTAACCAACCCATTGTCAACGGCCTTGCCAACTTCGGTCAATGTCAAGGGGACTGGCACAGTAGGCCTGACCAATGCCGGATTCTGGGGAATTGATGTTCGCCCCCAGAAGTATTCGGGATCATTTTATGCCAAGGGCTCTTATAAGGGCTCTTTCACGGCTGCTCTGAAATCCTCCAGTGGTGAGGTTTTGGCAAGCACCAAGGTCACATCGAAGACTGTGGCAAATGACTGGGTGCAGCATTCCTTCACCTTGACTCCATCCAAGAAGGCTGCAAACTCAAACAACGCTTTCTCGCTAACGTTTGATGGCTCGGTAAGATCAAGGCTACAAAACGCGTGGAAAAGTGTCCAGCTAATACTATGCAGAAAGCATCAAGCGGCTCCCTTGACTTCAATCTGATCAGTTTGTTCCCACCCACATGGAACAACCGTCCCAATGGCATGCGAAAGGACTTGATGCAAGCCATGGCTGACTTGGAGCCCGTAAGCTGATAGACCTTATTCCCCACTTGAGATTTCAAGCACGAGATACTGATGTATATGAAAGAAATTCCTTCGTTTCCCAGGCGGCAACAACCTGGAGGGTGATACCATCGAAGGCCGTTGGAAGTGGAACGAGACGATCGGACCGCTGAAGGACAGACCTGGCCGTGCAACCACATGGCAATACGGCGAGACCAGTGGATTGGGCTTGGTTGAGTATATGGAATGGTGTGATGATCTCGGAATGGAGCCCAGTAAGTCCAACCATCTCCCATCGTGCGGATCCTCGTATCTGACGCGAATATCATAGTCCTCGCGGTTTGGGCTGGACTTGCCCTGAACGGTGATCTGGTCCCCGAGGCCGACCTCGACTTCTATGTGCAAGATGCACTCAACGAGATTGAGTTCCTGACAGGCTCTGTGGACACTGAGTATGGTGCTTTGCGCGCCAAAGTTGGACACCCCGAGCCTTGGAAGATTCGTTATGTGGAGGTTGGTAACGAGGATAACCTCAACAGTGGCTTGGGCTCGTACACGGCATACCGGTTCCCGGCTTTCTATAAGGCTATCAGCGAGAAGTACCCAGATATTCAGATTCTTGCTTCCACTGTCGACATGACTATTCCTGGAACTGCGGGTGGTGACTACCACTTGTATGATATCCCTGATAATTTCATCACCAAGTTCGGCATGTTTGATAATTACAGCCCCGAGCATCCTATTCTTCTTGGTCAGTTATTGAATACAACCATGAGGGGTTTACGCTGACATATTTCTAGGCGAAATCGCTGCCACCGAGACCAACAACGGAGTTGGCATTGACTGGAGTAACACCTACTTCTCTCTGTATCCATGGTGGATTGGCTCAGTTGCCGAAGCAGTCTTCATGCTGGGAGCTGAGCGCAACTCAGACAAAATCATTGGCACTACATATGTGAGTAGCTTAGGTCAAATTTCACAAGATCGATCTAACCTCATGATAGGCACCATTCTTGATGAACTTGGATAGCTACGAGTGGTCTCCGACCATCCTCTCATTCAACGCCAACCCCGACGAGACAGCCCGCTCAACCAGTTATCATGTGTATAGCGTATGATCCCCCTGTCAATGCTGCTGTCTGCAACGAACTTTCACGTACTAATCCCAACCTCGAATATAGTTGTTCAACCATAACCTCATGACAAACACTCTGCCAGCAACATCTCCCGACGCATTTGGCCCTCTATACTACGCCACGGGCGTGAATAGCAAGACAAACTCGCACATTTTCAAGGGAGCTGTTTATAACAGCACTGAAAACGTTCCCGTATCCTTGTCGTTCGAGGGTATCGGCCGTGGCACCAAAGCTGACTTGACTATCCTGACAGCGCCTGACGCCTTTTCCATGAATGAAGTGGGTGGTTCCAACATTGTCAACAGCAAGACTACGACCATCAAGGCTGGCAAGAAGGGCGAGTTTACTTTCAGCCTGCCTAACCTGAGTGTTGCAGTTCTGAGCACCAAGTAAAGTGCTTGATGTTGGTTACATGTATTTGGGTAGCCATTTTGAAATGCACATATGTTGATATCAATTAAGCAATCAATAGATCGCGTCATAATGTCTTCAGTCTAAGCATCCAAGTCGATGGACGACATTGTACTTGATCATTACCTATGTGGTACTGGTGCATCAAAATGTGCATCAGCTAAGGCATGAACATGAGGATCGGCTTTGACTTGGAATTGAGCGGCCATTTGGGCGCCCAAAACCCGAGGCTCAGAGACAGGCGCTGGATAACCGAGGACTCCAAGACCTGGGGGTCGTCGTTTTGCCCTTCGTCCTCGGTAGTATCCTGAGGCCCAACCTGGGCATCTGAGATAGGCTTTCGCTTCTGGGGCCTGGCAGCACGCTTCGCAGCCTACTTCTCGGCTTCCACATTCGAGAGAATTCTTCGAACAGTAGAATGCGAGATATTGGTGCCCTCAGCGGACGGCTGCTGGGCAATAACAACACAAGATTTCTCATTGACTGGCCCCGGGCCGGTGAATTTGACAAGAATATTATCTCTGAGCTCATCAGTCTGTTTAGTAGGTCGGCCAGAGCGAACTGCATCGATGAAATAAGAATCATGGAGCTCGAGCGGTCGGACATTCGGATTGAAGCCTCGGCTTATTGCGCGCGTATAGATTGAATTGACTGTGCGCGCCGATGTCCCAGTAATCACACAGATCTCACTTGGTGATTTTCCTGTGGCTTTGAGAGCTACAATGGCTGCGCGTTGGGAAATCTCGGATGTTGGCATGTTGGCTTGGTTGAAAAGGGGTGAAAGTGCAAAGCGGAAAATTGGCAACTTCGCGACTGATGCATCAACTCTTTCATTTCTCGATTTCTTCATTTCTCAACTTCTAACTGCGATACTAAAATCTGACATTTTACTTTTCGAATGTTCGACTCGTTTCCCTCTTCCATGTAAGTCTAACATCGGTGTCATCTCACCATGTACACCACGTCGCGGGTTCTTCGCGACAACGATTTACTTTGAACCCGCGCGTTCGAGTCCCTTTCCTCGAGTAAACAGCGCTGCGATGGTCGCTACAAGGGCAAATGCTGCCGACGCTGCGAATGACAATCGGATACCGCGGTAATAAACCAGTCGAGCGGCCATTTGCACATCTGGGGGAAGGTCATAGATGGCCGATATGGAGTGGCGAATCTCATCAATCACCTAAATAAGAGCGAATACACTGATCAGCAAGGCCTATTCAAGGGCGCATTAACACAGGTCGTGGAGGAGGTGTTACTTTCCATTTGTCTGGTATTCCACTCAAGGCCTCCCCGAGGCCTGAGTTCAATGTATTCTGCATAATTGTGGAGGTCGCTGCGACGCCCCAAACGGTGCCGAGAGAGCGAATGAGGTAGACGGTTGATGCCGACACGGCATGATCTATACAAGCATAGCTTAGCAGTGGTCGCTTCAACATAACCGCACCAATCAACTTACCGGAGTGATCGAAAGCTGCCAGGAATGTGAACAAGATTCCCGGGTATACAATACCCTGCCCCAAATTGGCAGGAATAACATATGCAAAGTACTTCCAACTTGCATCGTTGAATCGTAGGAGCATGACCAAAAAGTTACCGATAAACATCAAGGTTGCACCAGCGCGTACGAGGTATGCGAGCTTGCCCCAGCGAGACATAACAATCCCTGAAATGAGACCACCCAATGGGGTAGCGAGGCATGGAATCACAAGTCGGGCACCAGCTTTACTGGGCGAGTCCAGGAGAATCACTTGGAACATAAGTGGGAGCGTGAAGAGGTACTGTATCTTTGATCAGCTGCGAAGCTCAAACGGCGGAGGAGAGACGGTGCTCACAGCATATGCCGCCATTCCCACACAGACATTCGCAATCTGGGTAGAAATGGGAAGGGTTCCTTGGAGCATCTTCAAGGGAATCAAAGGCACAGCTGAGGTGGTGGCTTCGACAATAATGAATCCGACCAGCAATATCACACTAGCGACCAACGGGAGAATAACCCAGACATCGCTCCAGGGTAGAATGTTTCCACCGAGACTTAGTCCAACAAGTTGGGCCGAGAGAGCCAGGATAAGCAGACAGGCTCCCAGAAAGTCAATTTGATGCCAGATACCTTGTTTCTGTCGATCCGGGGAAGTATCAATGGGACGGGTTGGAAACTTCAGGACTATATAGCCCATGATCAAAGCGAACAAAGAGACAGGCACCTGCAAGAGGAAACACCAGCGCCATCCAATTGAGTCCACAATAGAACCACCGAAAGAAGCTCCACAGATGGCTCCAAAACCGTAAGAAACGTTCTGGATTGCTTGGTACATGCCGCGTTGGCGGAAGGGAATGAGATCGGAATTGATGATGGTTGCTTGATCAAACATTAGTCATTGGACCCTCTATTCAATGAAAAGTGGTGGTTACCCATAGTCATCAATCCTCCGCCTCCAATGCCGGTCAAGGCACGCATCATGTTTAGAAAAATCACATCCTGAGCTATAGCACACCCGAGACATCCGGCCATGAAGGTAATTGTCGCCGTGAAAAAGCACGATCGGCGACCCAGCAAATCGGAAAAGCGACCATATAACGGCTGGAATGCAGTGCTTGTGATCAGGTAAGAGGTGGTTAGCCACGAGGCAGTGTTTGCAGCGTTGAATTCGGAGCTGATCACAGCATAGGTCGAGGCAGTAATGGTGCCGTCAAAGCCCCCGAGAAAGACATTGGCCATAATGGCTAGTATTGTTAACCCCCTGCTTCATTAAGATGATTCGAATTTACATACCGACTTGAATCAACAAAAATCCTGGTGGCGGGGTCCAAGTCGGAGGGTCCGATCGCAGCAATGGCTGTTCTTCGTGGGGGTCATCCTGAGTATACGGGGATGGTTCGTTCTCTACCATTGTCAACCAGGTTGCAGTCAAGGTCCAGCCCACTTCAAAGTCCAAAATAATGACGAGAAAGAGGAAGAGGAAGAGGAAGATGAAGTTGAGAGAAGAAAAAAAGCAAGACGCGGGCAGAGGAAGTGGAAACGCCTGCCAAGCACGGCATCCGAGGTGATTCTGGCGTGAGTCGATTTAGTCATCTTTTCATCTTTTGTGCATTTTCTCTTCTTCTCTTCTGTTTTCCTCTTCATCTTCTTTTCATCCAACTCAAGTCAAGGACTCAGTGCAGAATACCCATCTAAGGTTAATGTACCCAATCAGAATCAACATGGCAGACATAGAAACTGATCGAGCTAGTACTCGTTATGAAGTTGATCGAGCTCATTGAATATGTGGCCTGCACGGCAGCGCTGATGCCAATCGTCGCTGCCGACTGGCAATTTAAATCGCGAACAGACCTGGCACCACCTCGTCTGAATATCACCATCCCGGCTGCAAAGGATGTCGAGAAAGGTTACCTCTTCGTAGCACCTTTCCCCGGTCAGTGGGCCGAGCCTCAGCTTCACGGTCCGCGCCAAGAAGCTCCCTATATCTTCCGAGATGATGGGGAACTGGTGTGGTCGGGCTATACCTACTTCTCCATCTGGGCAGCCAACTTCCAAAAAGCGAAATGGAAGGGCCAAGATGTGCTGTTCAGCTTTGAAGGTGACCATAACCCGGGTTATGGACACGGGCATGGCCATGCAACCATCTTGAATCAGCGTTACGAGACCATTCGTGAACTGCGCGCCGGCAATCACAAGCTGATGGATAAGCATGAATTTCATGTCATTAATGACAAGACTGCACTGCTCCAGGTTTACCAACCTGTTCCAACGGACTTGTCACGCTGGGGTGGTACTTCGGAGCAGCAGTGGATTGTAGATGCTATCTTTCAAGGTAGGTTATTAGCCGAGTCTGTAGATCATCCGTACTGATTTCCTGCAGAATTGGATATCGAGACTGGAGAATTACTTTTCGAGTGGTCCAGTCTTGAGCATGTCACCCCTGATGGTAAGCTCGGTAGCATCAAACGCTTGCCAAAATTTATACTAATGTATCACAGAGGCTGTACTTCCTCTGAACCCCGGACAAGCAGGCGCCGGCTTCAATTCCTCCGACGCCTGGGATTACTTTCACATCAACTCCGTGGACAAGGATGCGGAAGGAAACTATCTGATCTCCGCTCGCGATGCCTGTGCTGTACACAAGATTAATGGTACCACGGGTGAGATTATCTGGAGACTTGGTGGCTTGCGATCCGACTTTGAACTCGGTCCAAACGTGAAATTTTGCTTTCAGCATCACGCACGGTTCGTGGATCAGAGCGACGATGAAGAAATTATCTCTCTCTTCGACAACTCTGCCCACGGAACCGAAAATCACCGCGGGAAAGAAGTGCACACTCATCCTTTCTCGCAGGGTAAAGTCATTTCCATTAGCACGACCACTTGGACTGCGAAGATTGTACAGGCCTTCCAGCCTCCTGATGGACTTCTCGCCAAGTCTCAGGGGAGCACCCAGCTTCTTCCTAATGGCAACGCACTTGTAAACTGGGGCTCAGAGGGTGCCATGACTGAATTCCGGGGAGATGGCACACCCATCTTCCACGCATACATGGACTCGGGGCTTTTAGGGGAGGGAGTTCAAAACTACCGAGCTTTCCGATACAACTGGACTGGCCTTCCGACCGAAGAGCCGGCTATCATTGCCGAGAAGACTTCATCGGGAACTGCAGTTTATGTCTCTTGGAATGGTGACACCGAGACTGCGGTCTGGCGATTCTATGCAGTTACAGACCGGTATGATTCACGCTCATACCTGGGCGAGGCGAAGCGTGATGGGTTCGAGACCTCATTCCTGATCAAAGACCACTTTTATGAAAGTATAGCCGCCGAGGCTGTCTCTGCTCGTGACCGCGTCTTGATTACCACTCGAGTTGCTCATATTCAAGATGCTGTCCTTCCTCCCCATGATGGCGCGGTTGATCTGCATTCGGAGGATCGTGGTTCTTGGAGGCAGTTGGTTTTGCAGGCTTAGTTGAGGTACCGGATGGCAGACAGAGTGATTGAGGAAATAGGGGTCAGTAGTAACGTAACGCAGTGAAAAGTAAAGGAGTAGGTAGAATAAAGATTCTCCCTTCTCCAAAACTTACCTTGAGCTGCCACTTCAGTAATTGAAAGATATGAAATCCTGATCACCAGAAAAGGTATCATAGACCACTTTCTTGGAAGGGGTTGTCGACCATGAAGCGACTAACGACAGACCGAGGACCTCCTTTCAAGACAGGGTTCTTGAAGGTCTTTTAATACATCCATTCTATAACTTGCTTTCCAAGTATACCAAAACGTGATCCAATCACCCAGCAGCACTGTTCACCCGGCCGCTTAATTTACTGTATCTACGTATCTGCGATGTTTCTTTTGCTACACAAGTTTGAAGGCATCAGGTTAGTGTGGTAAATAAATGAAAATTTTATTCTTACAGAACAACCAATCCAACGCCAAACGCTTCTATATGAGATACCCACAGTACGATACTTAATCCAAGAAATTAGGGTCGAAAGAATTAATCCAATCTAGCAGACAAAAATATGCCATCTGCTTAACTTACTCATTCACCGGCTCAAAATCAAAACGGAGCTCCACTGCGCCTGAGGAGTCGATGAAAGGAATAATGCGAGAAATACGCATAGTACCCCTGGGAAATGCCGATAGAATAAGGCAAGCCACTGCTCGGCCCAGTTTCATACCAAGAATCTCCTGATATTGAGACGTACCGTGCTCAACTATGGCGTGTATTTCGCCTTCGACTTCCTGGACATCGAGTCCGCGAGCATCGTCAAACATTAACTCCTGTATAACCATGTGAGCTTCGTGGTTTATTATTGTAGTAATCAATACATGCCTTAGAGTGTGGATGTCATGATCCCTCACATACAGTGCCCTGGCGATTTCATTCCACCTTGGGCCAATGCCGTGTCTCCAGATTGAATCAGCAACGATTATTCCGTGTGCAGTCAGTTGATCATAGCAGCTCTGGCCATTAGTTCGGTTTCTCTTTACGGAAACGATCTTTGTACGGCGGTAGGAGTCATCAAAGGGAATATTCATATTATCGTGAAAGCTAGCATTTAGCTCGGCAGGGGGGCCCTCCCAGCTAGTTTGTTGGAGTTCAAACCGATTTGCTTCCAAAGGGGCTTGTAAAATGTCCCTTGTCCAGTCTAGTGTTGTTGGAGCGACTGGACAGGTTGGAACGTTGGGATCATCTAACCACGATTGATAAAGAGCACCACGCTCTCTGCGAGCTTTAATGTCCCCCGGCGTAGAACGTAGGTTCAATTCTTCAAAACATTCGAGGTCGTCTCGGATGTTGTTTGAGAGTGGTGCCTCTCGCCACGGGCGTTGGCTTTGTCTTGAATTTGAAGAACCCGACATTACAATATGTTGAAATAGTGTCCGAGAGGGACGAAGGTAGATTTGAACTCTGTGTGAAATGTACAATGCCTCAGACAGAAGCAGATATATGGGCATATTTGTAGCTTTTTTTTTCAAGACTAGCAGTCAACATGAGGGTATTATAGACCTTTCAGAATGCACAAAAGCCTTTCTTAGTGATGCAAGGACTAAGTGGTGTCGAAAAAGAAACAATGGCATCAGTGATTGTAAGGAGATGACAAAGGACTCGACTCGAAGCTGAAGCCTGTAAAGAAGACAAGGAAAGAGAAAACTGTATTGCCATTCGACCAGTATACGATGCGTGCAATTGGCCCCTATTGAGTCCAATTTGTAGAAGATTCCTCCCTATCTCTAATTATCTCTAATACTACTCATTGAATTGCTTTGGTATTCATATCTCAACACTCTGAGATCCTAACACGCTTCTTCCAAGAAGTATAGACATGTCGACAATGTCGGTGATAGGTTTAACGTTCATGTAGGGCAGGCTTCCCTACCTTAACGTTAATTCGAGAACCCTGCCAACATGGCTCCAAGCGAGGAACGTGCACTTGACATCTCACATCAGCTTCATAATAAAACTCCGGATGCCAGCTCATCCGAATATCCTCCGGGACAGATTGGGACGTTGCTGGGATGTGGCGGTCCGAATACGAGGCGAATACGCAACCAATGAACTGCAGGCGCGCTTAGGCTTTAAAGCCTGTATTGCTCTGCGGAACGCCTTTTCGCATGCTTTATTTCCAGACTCGTACAAATGTGAAGGGAATAGAAGGGTGCCTACCGATGCAGACATCCCGGAGATGTGAACAAGGCAAGAAGGCAAGAAGACAGTACGTGAATCAGCAAGCAAGCAGCAAGCAGAAAGTCGTCAACAGGCGATGAGATAAAGTTGACCTGCGCACCTTCCTAAATCTTGGGATCCCGTGACAGTCGGAGAGTACTCTCTCGGATGCTTGCCATCCCGGATTCCGTCCTCTTTTCTTTTTTTTTTCTTTGTGTGTGTCTCTCTCTTTCATCTCATCTCATCTCATCTGGAATCATCAGACAAGATGCAGGATCAAATCCACTCTCCCGATAGTGACGCCATGGAGACTACCGAATCCAAAGATCCGGACAAGGAAATCACTACACTGGCTCAATCAATCTCGCACGTCTCGCGCCAGAATAGTCTGGAGGTCGACAAGCCCGAGGGCATCAACACGTTCCTCGATCCAACTGGAGACCCTGAACTTGACCCCAACAGTGATACGTTCATCTCGCGCAAATGGGTCAGGAACATGTTGCAAATGGTATCCGATGATGCGGACCGGCACCCGCGTCGTACAGTAGGGGTCTCGTTTCGCAATCTCAATGTCTTTGGCTATGGCACCGCAGCCGACTACCAGATGAACGTTGCCAATACCTGGCTCAAAGCGGCGGAGTGGCTTCGAGGGGTCCTGGGAATGGACAAGAAAGTGCGAATCGACATACTGCGAGAGTTTGAAGGAATCGTGCATAGTGGAGAGATGTTGGTTGTTTTAGGTCGCCCGGGCAGGTATGTGCAAGCGGACGAGAAGAAGTCTACTGAATTTCATCCTCAACACTTCTTCTCGAAACAAGGCAAATCACTAAGTCACCTACAGCGGATGCTCCACCTTTCTCAAGACCCTCGCAGGAGAAACCCATGGGCTCTATCTGGACAAAGACAAAAACACGGAAGTGCATTATGACGGCATTTCGTGGGACGACATGCACGGCCGTTTCCGCGGGGAGGTGATCTACCAAGCTGAAACGGAAATACATTTCCCACAGCTGACGGTCGGTAATACACTGCTGTTTGCTGCCCAGGCTCGAGCCCCAAGCAACCGTCTTCCTGGGGTGACACGAGATCAGTATGCAATGCACATGCGTGATGTTGTAATGGCGATGCTTGGTCTTACTCATACCATGAATACTAGAGTAGGCAATGAATTCATCCGTGGGGTTTCTGGAGGTGAGAGAAAGCGGGTGAGCATTGCTGAAACTACACTGTGTGGCGCTCCCTTGCAGTGCTGGGACAATAGTACTCGAGGATTGGACAGCTCTACCGCACTCGAGTTTGTCAAAAATATTCGTCTTTCCACAGAATACAGCAACACAACTGCAATCGTCGCCATTTACCAAGCTAGTCAGTCAATCTACGATCTCTTTGACAAGGCAATCGTTCTTTATGAAGGCCGACAGATTTACTTCGGCAATGCTCACAATGCCCGGCGGTTCTTTATCGAGATGGGCTTCGACTGTCCAGACAGACAAACTACGGCAGACTTCCTCACCTCACTGACCAGCTCATCTGAGCGCCTCGTGAGGCCAGGGTTTGAAAGTGCTGTACCCCGGACCCCGGATGAGTTTTCAGCTCGCTGGAAAGCTAGCCCTGATCGGGCGCAGCTACGAGCTGAAATTGACGCAAGCCATAGAAATAGCCCGGATGGAGAAAAGTTCAAAGAGTTCAGTGTTTCTCGTGCGGCAGAGAAGTCGAAAGGTACCCGTGCAGCCTCACCGTACACTCTGTCATATCCAATGCAGATTCGTCTCTGCCTTTGGCGAGGTTTCTTACGCCTGCAGGGGGATCTCAGCATGACCCTTGCCACTGTCATTGGAAACACGGCAATGAGTCTGATAATCGCCAGTATCTTTTACAATTTAGATGCCGATACGGACAGCTTCTTTCGACGTGGCTCTTTGCTCTTCTTTGCAATTCTCATGAACGCCTTCTCAAGTGCCCTTGAGATTATGATCATGTGGCATCAACGGTCCATCGTGGAAAAGCATGACAAGTATGCTTTGTATCACCCTTCAGCAGAAGCCATCAGTTCTTACATCGTGGAACTGCCCTCAAAGGTCTTGCTTGCAATTGTGTTCAATCTTATTATCTACTTCATACCGCATCTTCGCCGAACTCCAGGCCATTTCTTCATTTTCTTCCTGTTTTCCTTCACCACAACACTGACCATGTCGAATCTCTTCCGTTTTATCGGAGCAATTTCAAGATCTATGGCACAAGCAATGCTTCCTGCATCTCTGTTTATGATGATTTTGATCATCTACACCGGATTTACAATTCCAGTCAGAGATATGCATCCTTGGTTCAGATGGTTAAATTATTTGAACCCAATTGCGTACGCTTTTGAATCTCTGATGATCAACGAGTTTAGTGGTCGACACTTTCCTTGTTCCCAGTATGTACCGGGTATCTTGCCCATGTACAAGGATGCACCGATGAGCTCTAAGATCTGTTCACAAAAAGGGGCAGTAGCAGGGCAGGATTTCATTGATGGAGATGCCTACATAAATACCACTTTTCGATACTTCAGGTCTCATCTGTGGCGCAATTACGGTATCCTCTGTGCATTCTTTGTGGCCTTCTTGGTGATGTACATCCTTGCCAGCGAGCTGGTTCGGGCCAAACCGTCCAAGGGTGAAATCCTCGTGTTTCCACGAGGAAGAATCCCAGTCTTTGCTAGAAACCAAAAGTCCGATCCGGAAAGATCCATTGGTTCGGAAAAGAGCGATGTTGCAGTTGCTGAAACTGAAGATCAAACCGCAGCCATCATCCGTCAGACATCCATTTTCCATTGGGAGAATGTCTGCTATGACATCAAAATCAAAGGAACACCACGTCGAATCTTGGACTGTGTGGATGGCTGGGTAAAGCCAGGCACTCTGACAGCTCTCATGGGTGTCACGGGCGCGGGAAAGACGTCTTTGCTCGATGTTTTGGCAGATCGTGTTACCATGGGTGTGATAACTGGAGATATGCTTGTGGACGGCCGTCCTCGAGATGATTCGTTTCAACGGAAGACAGGCTATGTACAACAACAGGATCTTCATTTGGAGACCAGTACAGTCCGCGAGGCTTTGACTTTTAGCGCTCTTCTTCGCCAACCTGCTAGTACCCCTCGTGCTGAAAAGATCGCCTATGTGGAAGAAGTCATTCACATGCTCGGTATGGAGGAATATGCAGAGGCTGTTGTGGGGGTTCTCGGTGAAGGATTAAACGTTGAACAACGAAAGCGATTGACCATTGGTGTGGAGCTTGCAGCTAAGCCAGCACTATTACTGTTCTTTGATGAGCCAACATCGGGTTTGGATAGTCAAACTGCATGGTCCATTTGCACGTTGATGCGGAACCTTGCCAACCATGGTCAGGCTGTTCTGTGCACCATCCATCAACCTTCGGCTATGCTTATGCAGCAGTTTGATCGGCTATTGTTCTTAGCAAAAGGAGGACGTACGGTCTATTTCGGAGAGCTCGGACAGCATATGAAGACATTGATCGAATATTTCGAAAGCAAGGGGTCAATCAAATGTCCCCCAAATGCAAACCCCGCCGAGTGGATGCTAGAGGTGATCGGAGCTGCTCCAGGCTCTCACGCGGATAGAGACTGGGCAGATCAATGGAACAGCAGCAGCGAGTGTGAGCAGGTTCGTCGGGACCTAGTTGCAATGAAAGCAGAGCTGCTGGAAAAGCCTGAGCCTCCTCAAGTCGCAGGATATGGACAGTTTGCCATGCCAATATGGTATCAATTCATAATTTGCATTCAACGGATGTTTCAACAGTATTGGAGGTCCCCAGGATATCTCTACTCCAAAGCTGCGACAGCCATCATCCCTGTAAGCATTTCAAGACTCGTATGACTTCTATGACTGACCATAAAGCCTCTGTTCATCGGATTCACCTTCTGGCATATGCCTACCAGTCTCCAAGGCTTGCAAAACCAGATGTTTGCCATTTTTATGCTTCTGATCATCTTCCCCAATCTGGTACAGCAAATGATGCCCAGCTTCGCTACCCAGCGCGCGTTGTATGAGGTTCGAGAACGGCCATCAAAAACTTATTCGTGGAAGGCATTCATGGTGGCTAGTATCTTCGTGGAATTGCCATGGAACATCTTAGTGTCAGTGCCGGCATTCTTTTGTTGGTATTATCCGATCGGACTGTATCACAACGCAGAACCGACCGATACAGTGACTGAGCGAAGCGCCGTAATGTTCCTTCTCATTTTAGTCTTTCTCATGTTCACATCGACCTTCAGTTCCATGGTAATTGCTGGTATCGAACAGCCCGAGACTGGGGGCAACGTTGCACAACTCTTGTTCTCGCTCTGCTTAATCTTCAACGGGCACGTGGCTTCCAATCCTTTCATTCTTGAAAGTAATAGCTGACTGGATTCCTAGTGTGCTTGCGAGCCCATCTGACTTGCCCCGCTTCTGGATATTCATGTATCGCCTCTCCCCGTTCACGTATCTCGTGTCTAGCGTACTCTCAACAGGAGTGGCTGGGACAACCGTGGAATGCTCGAGCATTGAGCTCCTCACAGTCTCGCCTCCAGCAGGTCAAAATTGCTCTAGCTATCTGGGCCCATATATCGATGCCCTCCATGGCCGCCTGCTGAACCCCGAAGCGTTAACTGATTGCGAGATTTGCTCCTTGTCAAGGACAGACCAGTTCCTGGAGAGTCTGAATATGCAGTACTCGGACCACTGGCGTAATATTGGGATTTTGTTTGCTTTTGTGGGGTTCAATATTGTTGCGGCAGTGTTCCTGTACTGGCTCATACGTGTGCCTAAGCAATGGTCGCGCAAGGTCAAGGCTTGAAAGTACAGTATGTTAAGTGGTAGTTTTGTGGCATTGCTATTTGTCTAGATTAGATCACTGATTCTTAGGACCTATTGAACCATTTCTCAATTCTTCAAATAAGTTTGTATGGTGCAGTACGGACAAGGTAGCCCCATTATGGCCGGGTATCTCTCTTGGTGTGGGCAACTTGAATACCGAGTCGAGTTGAAACAGGGTATGAACAGTTCAAAGGTAGGAAGCTCAGGGGGAAAACATCAAACCCCGAAAATCTTCAGCATTTGAGAGAAAAGCAGAGTCCAGAATACCGGGTTTTATTTATTACCCAGGGAGACATCCCGTGAACGCTTCACTCGCTTCATTAGAACCAGTCGGGTAGGCCTTGAAAAAAAAAAAGAGTCGACAAGAGGGAGGTAGCTCACAGCCAATGCAGCTGTGAGTTGTTGACGCGAAGTTTGGGGTCCAAATACGTGCATTGGTGGACTTAAGTGGGTTGGAAATAACTAGGATCGCGATCTTGGTCTATCACTGGCTGATAGTTAGGGCTTCGTGGCCTATCCAAACCTGCGTCGGCCTATCATCGCAGTTCCCTTGCGTTCTGGGGCTGTTCATGAGGCTCAATATACTTCTGACCCAATCCTCTGTGGGCACTTACTAGTGATCTCTTCTCCTCCTCTCCCCGTCTTCAAGTCGTCTCTTCATTTGAAGTCTTCTGAAGCTACTTTACTATGTGTTCCTACGCCCCGTTCCTATGCTTCTCGCATAAAGTTCCTTTGTCCGACGAGTTGCAGCCTTTTCAACGCTTTGGTTCCTCGCTTCCAGCCGATGCTCAATCTGTCACTCGTGTCTTGAGAACACAACCATCTCTTTCTCTCGATCGAGAAAAATCACAGGAAGTGTTCCATCTTCCTCAGCCGTGGTGGAAATCCGAGTTCCTATCGACACAGCCACCTTCCTATGGTCACTCCTCGTTATGTCACAGCGGCCTACAAATAATCCCTGGCCCCCAAAGCCCCCACAGTAGTGGCAGTGGCAGTTTACCATTCATGAATTATTATGATTCTTCGCCATATCAGCAAGATGATGCACTCGTATCGCCGTTTGATGAGCAAAGGAGCATTCACTCCATGCCAGACAGCTTAATCGACTTGGACCCGTCTCTCACTCTATCAACATCCCCCAAATTTGAAGTCTACCCTGACAAGATATCGCCTTTCAACTTCAATGAAATCTCCCAGCCAAGCTGCTACTATCATCGTAAAACACCAGAAGCTCTGTCACAGGCTCCGATCCCTGTATCCTCGTGCCCTAAACGAGGAGGGAGAATAAGATCCACATCTCGCGTCTGCAAATCAACAGAAAAGCGCACCCCGTCAACACAAGGCCGTCGTCACCCCCGAGCAGTAACATCATCACCCGAAAGTGAAGCCTCGCGCACCTTTATCTGCAGTTTCGTTGCCTACGGATGCAAAAGCACTTTTACTTCAAAGAATGAATGGAAGCGTCATTTCACCACAAAGCACCTTCTATTAGGGTTCTACCGATGCGATGTAGGCAGATGTAATAACCAGACACAACAGATGTCAACCCAATCTCTGGAACATACATCTACCACTCCCCAGTCCTGCCAGCCAAATGACTTCAATCGCAAAGATCTTTTTACTCAACACCAGCGTCGTATGCATGCTCCCTGGCGGCAGACTGACCGGCGAAGAGCACCTACCGATGCCGAGCATGGTGCTTTTGAGTCTGGCCTTGAGCAAGTTCAAAACAGATGCTGGCATCGTGTGCGGCAACCACCCCCTCACAGTCGTTGTGGGTTTTGTGGAGAGTGTTTCTCAGGCATTAATAGCTGGGATGCCCGGATGGAACATGTTGGGCGCCATTTTGAGAGACAGGATCCGGCTTTCTCTGAAGAGGAGGCAGAAGATATGGCGCTTCGTGAGTGGGGATTGACAGAGGGCATCTTGACCCTTGTGGATGAGCAGGTTTGTTTGGCTTCGTTGGTGGAGACTGAGAGGTGAGTTTCTTGTGATTTTCTTTGGGGTTTACAGTACAAGGGATATTACGGGATACAACGTTCTTAGAGGTGTGATTCATCGTGAAAGATCGAAAAACATTCCTGGCACTTGGTAGTTTGACAGATGTGAGCATTCAAGGGCATGCACGTGTCAGGTGACGACCTGAAGCTCGCTGATCAGAAAAGCGCAGGATTCAGGCATTTGCTTGTGGGAGGATTTGTATGCGATTTTCCCTAATGTTGGCCTATTGAAATCTCACCTTGACTCTGTAGCCTCTACTTCGTAGCCTTGACCCTGTAGCCCCAAACAGACCTAAGCTGCATCTCCAAGGCGGTCACCCCACACCCGGAACTCGACTCCCATTCGAACTACACTTGCACACTTCACTTCTGCTGTTCTGCCCTTCTGCTCTTCTCTTCAGCTCTTGGGCTCTTCAATTGTATTCGCCTCAATTCCCCCTGGTAGGCATGCCGCATATGCAGTAGCGTTCTTGGCCCCCTTGCATTCCATACGCTCCAGACCTATTCACCATGTACGCTCCCTCTCCAAATCAGCACACCAGCTGGCCGCAACTGACATGCCTTCGAACACCAGGACGGTGTTCTCCCTAATCATAATCAACAAAGCTGGTGGTCTCATCTATCAGCGCGAATTCCAACCGGGCTTGCGCAAGCTCTCGACAAATGACTACCTCGTCTTAGCAGGCACCTTTCACGGGTATGGCCATCTTCTGTTGAGCCGAAGCAGCGTCTGATGTTGATCTTGACAGTGTCCATGCCATTACTCGTTCTATCACACCCAAGATTCCCATCGCACATCCGGCGCCCTCCCCCGCCACCTCCCCAAGCGTCACCACTCCTGCGACGTCGGGGTACTCCTATCCCAACCCAGGCGTGCCAGTAACGGGCCTGGATTACCTCGAGACCGACAAGTTCCGATTGACATGTTTCCAGACGTTGACGGGGACGAAATTCTTGTTGTTTACGGATCCGTTGACTGGCAATGTGGAGAATATCGTGCAGAAGATCTACGAGCTCTATGCGGACTACGTGATGAAGAATCCCTTCTATCAGCTCGAGATGCCCGTCCGATGTGAGGCATTCGATCGGCATCTAGGCGCCTGGTTGCGAGGAAGGGCATAGTTCCCCCTGGGGCGGGGGAGAATCATGACTTTATGAATTAGATACGGCTTATTCGTGTACTGGTTGGTGGCTGGAGATCACTCCGTCTTGTAGACCAAAATCACATATTTCTCTCGCACTATAGAACGTACCCAGCAGGGCGGCTCAAGAATATAGGACAAGCAAAAGGAAACGCCGGGTATGCATCACAATCATATTGAAGGCGCGAGAGCCTCACGCAGTATCCATCTTGTCCTCGTCCTTCTTATCTTTGTCGCCGCTGGAGCCTTCCTCGGGGATGTTGCCCAGTTGCGTCTTGCCTTCCTGCTCTTCCTGATCGCGCTTCTCCTTCTCCTGTCGATTCTTCTCCTCCTCAAGCGATAACCGCAGAGCAAAGGCGAGCTCGGGGTCATTCTCAGCAGCGTCCTCGAATCCGAAATTACCACCTTCGGCGCCCTCGCCTCCTCCACTGCCAGTGCCGGCATCTTCACCGGCCAGGATCGGGGTCTGCTGGAGCACCTCGCTGAGCAATTGAGGACCCGGAGGGATGATGGCGAGATTGGAACCATCGCCACTCTTAACGTTCTCAACAAAGGCCTCCAGCTTCTTGGTCTGATCGGACTCGAGGTCTCCGAATGCCACCACGTCGATTGACACATTGTTCTTCTTCATCTTCTTGGCTAGCTTCACAAGGGTCTTCTCATCTTCTTCGATAGGGGAGCACGAGAAAACGATGATGCGTTGGCGTTGGGACTTTTCCATACGGTGCTTGAGGGCCAACTAAAATAGCGTAGAGTCAGTGACGAGAAGCTTAGAAATCGGCCTGAGGAACTCACAGCTGCAACCTGAATACTCGAGCTAAGATGAGATGTGCCGTGGATTTTTGTCTCATGAAGACCGGCCAGGATTGCACCAAAGTCGGATGTGAAGGTTGACAGCACCTCGGGGCCCTTGCCGCCCATGCTCATGAGGCCGACAGCTGACTGTGGGTGTACACGCATCTTAACGCTGTGGATGATACTGACAGCATCGACTTGAGATTGCCACCGGGTTGATCTATCAGAATTAGATGTTATCCCAAGATGAAAGAGCAGCAGCACGATACTCACGTGTAGTCTCCATTGCGACTGCTTTCGCTGTTGTCGACACTATAGCTAGTCAGGATTATCGGCCAGAATGGGGGAGGAAAGTCACCAACATGATCATAGTAGCTTCGAGCGACATGATGGCAGGTAGGAATGAAATTAATGTAAAGAAGGCAAAGGTAAAGAAGGGCAAATTGGGGGAGATGAAGACGGATGACGAAGGCGAGGTGGAAGCTCTGCATTCTGCCCGCTCTCTCCGCCCTCTCTGGCTGTTTGTTGTGGTCCTCCTTGCTCCGCCTTGACTTCAGCATCCCACCTAACGTTATATCCCTTTGCACAATGCCCGCTATGAAGCGTAACTCCGACGCCATGGACGTCACGCCTATGGGCAGTCCTACCAAGAAGATGCGTCTCACTCAACACCAGAAGCAGGCATTGATGGACAATCTACAACTTGAAAGTAGGTTGCGACATAGTCTTCCTATGCACACACGGTGCTTACCTATGTTTTAGTTACTGAGCGCGCACGTAAGCTTCGTGCTCAGTATGCTCTTCAAGCTAATGACCTTCGGGCGCGTATTGAGCGACGCGTTAACCGAATCCCACTCTCGTTGCGCAAGGCATACATGGGGGAGCTGCTCGACAAGCACAATGCCACGGTAAACAAGCAACAGCACCTGTCGCCATCTCGAAAGTATTCACCTGCGAAGGTGTCGCGTAACCTTGCAAGCATCTCTGTCGACCCGGAAACCTCTGCTACACGCGACGGTCGAACTCGGAGGGCAAGGTACGATATCCCATATGCTCAACATGAACTTGAGCTCGCCAACTAACCTCCGAAACAGCCCTGATGGCCACTTCTCTGACAAGGAGAACGCTCCTGCTAGCGAAGGCTTGAACAACCCCAAACGCCGTGTGAAGGCAGGACCTGCCGGCGGGGCTTCGCGCGTGGTGTCTCAAGAAGTGCGAGGCAACGAGAACCGAATCCTATCTCCCAAGTCCAACAATTCGCGAACCTACCCACACTCACCTTTCCGTGCCTCGCCTGAAAAGGGTCAACCATCGTACCTCTCCCGCCCCACATCTCCACTGAAGCCTTCTAGTCCGCTGCGATCGCGCGGTGCCACTGTATCCGCGGTGAAGGACCAGCGTCCTCCTTCCCGGGCCCAGAAGACGACCAATCGTGCTGCTACAGGACCTAAGACTACTACTCGCTCGCCTTTGCCACGCCCGGCAACTCGGCAGGCAGAGCGCAGGAATAGTACCTCATCTAATGCATCCTCGGGTACCACAGTCACAAAACCCACTCGAACTGGAACCGGTGCTAGAAAGGCTACAGCGGCCTCTAGCGCCGCTGCAAAGAAGCCGGCTGCTCCTCGCATGCAGGCTGCGTCAATGGCTGTTAAGAAGCCTGCTAACACTCCTTCAATGCGGAAGACTACTGCTCCTGCTGCTACTGAAAACGCAACTCGAACCCGAGCATTGCGCAAGCGGATTTAGAGAGGCCGTCGTGAACCATACAGCGATTTTCTGCTTTGGAGTTGGGTGGGATCGTGTTACTTTGAGCGTGGGTGACTTCTTATGGATATTTGATCCTGGGCGCTGTTCTTTTCTTTTTCATTATGCGGAGGAGTATCATAATAGGTGTCTTTCTAGAATGTCAATCATACATTCAGGTCCTTATGAGGGCTTCCATCCAAACCCGTTCATTCAATTTCAGTGCATTTCTAGTGTCTTGAAGAGATAAATTGAGTCGTCCTCTAAGCCAGAAATGCGCATGCTGAAGCATCTCCCATAGACAAGGCGGAAACCGCTCGAAGTGATATCACTGAGACCCGATAGTTGACGTGAAAAGCGTGCAGCACACCCAACTGTCATGTCTGAGGATTAATTGATACTATCTCTGGCCAATTTCTCATAGCTTGCAACGCTCACATAAATACGGGGAAATCGGCAGTGCCAGCTCGTAAACACTAGGCTGTTCATCGACGGTAAGGTGTCGCAATGGTCTCTGGTGGTAAGTAAATAAGGTTCACAATAAGTTATAGAAGGAGACAAAGTGAAGATTTTGGGGACGCATGAGAATAAACAGACACAGACGTGGATCGAGAATAGAAGATTAGGGGGAAAGCTCACAAGAGAAATGCACAATTTACTTCAGAATCTACAGATCAGATGCCATGGCAATCATGTTCATTGGACAAAATGAGAGAGCAAGGAAATAAGAGGCTCCCTGGTGTTTAAAAAAGAAGCCAAACCAAGAGAGAAGAATGAGAATGGAAGGAAAGAAACAAAAAGGGTCTAGGTAAAGCCGGAGCCTGGCCCACGAGAAAAGAAGAGAATGAGCATGCTCAAAAGTCGGAAAGAATGAATAAAGCAGGACATGTATGGGTCCAGAGGGACAGGTAGGGGTATGGCTGATCCCTCTAATCAGATGCAGATGAACAAAAAAAAGCAAGGCATCATAGCCCCTATAGAGATGGAGAAAAAAAACAGGAACTAATCCACAGCGGTCAACCAGCTTGATCACTGTGGGGGAATTTTCAGGGAGAGAAAAAAAAGAAAAGAACTCCGTCAACCAAGCCTGTCACTCAACAAAAGGAGAAGAAGAAAAGAACGCTAAGCAAGCCCCCAAGAAAAGAGTACACTCCACAGAGAAGGAATCAGACGGATGAATGCAAATCGAGATTTATCACAGAGCAGCTGTGCAGGAATAGAAGAAGAAAAATCAGAACCTGTCTATCCAGTAACGCCCATGGCACCTGGACTTGGACGCGGTCGATATGCAACATTTTGTGATTGACCATCGGGGGCACTGGCACTGGCGCTGGCACCGGCACTGGCGAGAGCATTTGGCTGACTACCATTGCTGGTGCTTCGGTCACGGTGATAAGCCGCTGGAGGTGGGCCAAAGTCGAGACCAGCTTGAGGGTTGGCACTGGCCGAGTGTGTGTGGCTACTGGGCCCTGGCACATGGCGGACTGAACTTTGCATTTGCCAGGCCGCGTCCTGAGAAGGGTCGGTCTCAATACGTGCAGAGGCTGGAGCGCTGTTGTTGCGGTTGGGTGTGGTGATTGTGAACGTTTCACCACCGTTCTCAGGTTTCTGTGAGAAGCTGCCTCGCGCAATATCACCGTAGCGTTTCAAAATTTCCTTGGTCGTTACTTCAGCATTCTCTCTGAAAAGAGTCGGGTCGCTCAAAATCGATTGCAGGTCTTCCGGAATCTAGGGAATAGTCAGTATACAGGAATAGTGAAAGGAAGAATGGTGGGGGACTGACCTCGCACATGGCGTCGTTATACGTGATCAAGGCGTTGACAGCCTCAATAGACAAGAAGCTCTCATCCACGGTGCTGTTCTTGGCATTGGGGTAGAGAATGTTAGGCGTGATGACAGTTGCAAGATTATGAATGTCCATCTTGCTTCCAGAGTCCTCATCCACATGTGAGAATGATGATGTCCAGTTCAAGAAGGCGAATAGAACTTCCATAGTATCGCGGTGAGCCTTGGGTAGCAAACAACATGACAAGTGCAGTACTCGCTTCTGCTTCTCTGGATCGGGTAGTTCTGTCGAATGTCAGTATGGATGTTGTCAGCAAGATAGACTCTGTCGGACTTACTTTGAGAAATGACAAAGAGTCGGTGAAGCTTGAAAGTCAATAGGGGATCAGGCATCTCACGAAGGAACTTCTTCAAGAGTGCTGCAATCTGTACAGGGGTCTCCTTTGTCAAATCAACTTGGTCATACTTGGTATCAATCGTCTCCGCAATATCCTTCAGTCGCCGGATGTTGCCGTTCTTTCGGAAAACACCTTCCACAGACATATCCATCTGTCGCATAGCAGAAACGGAATCGTCGACCAATGTTGGGATGCGAAGCGCACCAGGGCCAACACCGTGGCTTGATTCTGTGCCCTCCTTTTCAACCAGGTAGTCCAGGCCAACACCGAAGACACCCTTCTTCTTGCCACCCTTCTTGTTGTCCTTGAAGGCACGACCAAAGATGTTCCAAATAGTAGGTTTGCGCGACTCGATGAGGGAAAGCAATTCCTCCATATTGAAATAGCCATCCAACAGGGGTTCCATCTGTAACACAGCAACGTGGCGGACGATGAAGTACTCCAAAGCTGTTAATTCAGAGAAATATCGCTTGGACCGGGTAGGCTCCATGAGTGCCTCTAGGTTTCCACTCGACACTCCGCGTTGATGGCCGCGGTTGTATCTGGGCATGGGCTCTATCCCACCAACGAGCTTTGTACCAGCATGTTTGTATGCGTTGGGTCGTTGCTCCTTGGCCTGCTCAGCCGCGACGATGCGTGGAATATCGTCCAGCGTCAAAGCATCTTGTGTACCGAATGTTAAATCGGTCACAGTGTCACCATTTGCATCTCTTTCCTCGACGATCTGGAATCCAGCGCCCCGTGGATCAGATCCCTCGTTGCCGGAGGATCCTGGACGGGCACTTCGTCCTTCAGGGCCATCAATGATCCGTGATGCGCGGGCTCTCTTATATGTTGTGGAGAGAGTTCGCTCATTACGAATAGATCGTAGACGACGCATCTCACCCACGGTCTGCTCAAGGGACGATTCTTCAAATCCGTCCCGGGAGCCCCCAGTGTAAGAATAAGAACGTCTATTTGGACGGCGACCGTCGCCAGGCGCTCGATGGCCTTCATTGTCTTCATATCCCTGCAGATTGGGGTCATCTGAGGCGTAACATATTAGCCAGTCTGCTAGTGTAATCGGGGGCATGGTAGTAAATCTCACCTGAGGTGTGGGGCAAAGTCCCTCCAGACCGAAGTACAGCGAGAAGTCGCGCCAGCGCCACCTTCAGCAAGAATATGAATTGCTGCAGCTTTGACACTGAGACGAAACCACCGTAGACCGTGGATCCAAGGTTCTTCTGAGTGGCACAGTCATTGCAGTAGACTTGTTCCTCAGATTCGCTCCATAATGCTTCGGAGAGTTCGGCAGTCAGATCCTTCTCACATGTAGAGCACGTAAGATGAGGAGGCTTAATGTGCCAACGACTTTGTCCCAACAAAACACATTCGTCGTCAATTGGTTCTTTGCAGGCAATACAGCAGTCTGACAACTGATCAGCCAACCCCTCCACCCCAGTCATGAGATCAAGTGAAGCTCTCTCGTCTTCCATTTCTGCGAGTGTTTCGAGATCACGAAGATGCTGCAGGAAGTTGTGCAACCCATCAGGTGCTGATTTCTCTCGCTCAAGCTTCAGTGCACCTTGCAGTCCGATGCGGATCAAGAGCTTGAGGTAATGAGCAAGACCAGTCACCAAAGACAGAAGTTCTTGTGTGACGCCTAGTTTGCGCACTCCGGTCTCTTGGGTTTTTGACAAAAGAGCGAAGAAGGCGACAATCTTCTTGCAGAGAAGTTTGGCTTCGCGGCCATAAGAAAGTTCTGATGTAACATTAGCTGTTGGTTCAGATGAATCCAAGGGACCGATGGACTCACCCTTCAACTCGTGGGATTTGATATAGTTCGCTAATTGGTCGACCGCGCTAAAGAGAATTTCGACGTGACCAATAAAGCGTTTGGCGACAAGAACGCCGTCAAGGTAGGCGCCATTGCTGACGTGGAGGAGCATGTCGGAGATGCAAGCAGCAGATGATTCCTCGAACGTTGAGAGTGTGTTCCAGATGTTGAAAACCTTGTCCTCCATGATATCTTCTTCTTCACGGATTTGTTTCCGTTCTTCCTCGGTCGCATCCTCATCAACTGGTGGAGGCTCCCAAGTCTGGCCCGCAGGAGATAATCTCACGTTCCAGAACTTGTGAATCATGTAGCATTCCGGGTGCCAGTGTTGATTTTGGCCGTTACGGAAGATCTCAACGAATTGTTTCAAAATTGCCGTATGACACCCATGACACCGCTGAGCGAACTGAGTCGAGTAATGGAAGTGACAGTAGACTTTGCTTTCATGTTCATAGTAGGAGTCCTGGGCACCAAAGACGGTCGGACAAACTGAACAAGTAAAATGCTCGATATGGTATTTGCGGTCCAGCGCAGTAATGTATGATCCTCGTAGTGCTCCACCACACTCGTGACAAAGAAGACTCAGTCGTCTAAAGTAGTCGGTCTCACACAGCGGAAATTGGCAGCTGCCATCCTCCGAATCCACGGGAAAGAACTTTGAAGCAACGATTTCGCCACAATCCTAGCAGTACCGAATAGTTAGAAGGGATTGAAAGTATACACCAGTGACCGAGAGTGAACTTACCTCGCACTTGAAACACTCTAGATGGAAAGTACCCCCTAGAGCCCGCACAAACTGACCAGTGAGCGATTCACCACACTTTTGGCACAGGCGCGAGGAGCCACCCGGGGATTTATTATGCTGACGCCCGTTCACTCGGGATCGGTCTCGGGGGGCCGAGTGTGTTGAACGGTCGCGATAGTGGGCCTGGTCGGGACCCAGCCCGCGACTCAAGCGACCATCGTCTTGATTCACTGGTGTGACTGGGCTTGGACCACCGGTTCGTGTGCTTGGTGATTCAAATGGAATGAGACTGTCTTCGGGAGAGGTGGGTGTATTTTTTGTGTAGCTAGCCCCGTAGCCAGAGGTGTTGACAGTAGGACGGCCGCTGGGTTTGCCTGCGACCAGGCTGGCTGGTAGGTCACCGGGGGGCATGATGGTCCCCCGTCAAAGGAGAAGGAGGGTGTTGCTGAATATAATCACGCCCAACGCTGCATGCAAAGAGTGAAGAAAACGGCCGGGGAAGCGTGGACTCGACAATACAACGCGATTAACGGAAGGAATTCTGGACTGAGCACGCGCGGTTCGAGGTCTAGTTGGGTCAAAAATTGTCACCTTGGACTTTCTCCAAAAAAGGGACTCACCCTCACGCCATATAGCCAAAACGGGCGGGGGTGGCAGATGTAGTACGGGGCAAGGAGAGTAGCGCGCGAGATCGAGGTCAGGATGCGAAGGCGGTATAGAAGATTCAGGGTCTCCAAGCGCGCAGGCTGAAGATGTGGGGATTGGAGCTTTCCAAGACCAACAGAGACGTCTCAACAATCCCAGAACAAAAGGAAAATTAAAGTGCAAGGGCGAGGGGAAGAGAAGTGGGCTGGGGGAGGAATGGAGATGGAGATGGCTTGGGCATTTGTTGCCCCCCTTATGGGTGGTCACGTGAGTCAGGGACCATCTATATGAGAGATCGTTCTTGTACGGGGGAAGATCTCGGGAGATTGTCTAGTCGATCTGCTATACTGGATTAATTGAGTTCATGCTAGCGGGTTGATTCTCTCGTATCTAGGCTCCTCATGTTTGGGGGGTGTATAATATCAGCCCCTTTCGCCGTGCTTTTTATAGCACAACCGCCTATACCAACTTCAAGATAGCGTAGTCATGACAGCTGCTCTCTAAAACTGACTTTTGACCATCCTATATCTCCTAAGTAGGGCTCATGATGATCTATTGAACTCATCTTGTCCAGCACAAACATATCTTTCACCCTTGGTTCTCTCTCACCCTCCCACAGAGTATATATGATGACCCGCACAAATAGAGCGAGAGAGATCCAATCAATCATCATGTTTGTCAATCACAAATTCCTCTGATAAAACTTAATTCTCAATCGAAAGAGGAAGAAAAAAGAAAAAGAAAGGGCAATGGAAGGGTAAGGGCACCTACAGCCTATCGTGACCAGGTATATATAAATGCCCACGCAAAGCGGACACCTCACCTCGGAACCCTGCAACGTCTGATCCTCTCGGCCTTGTTCACCTTTGACATCTCCAACACTTCAGCCTTGAGTTCTTGACCAGCATGGCCGATCAGTGTTCGCTGCGCTTGGTGCGAGTAAGTCTCCCCACCATCCGAGTGGGACTCCGAACTAAGTGAACGTCCACAGGAACTGGCTCAATTCGAGCGAAGTGAGCAGCTCGGTATGAGAGACACCTCTGTTTCCACCTCTGGTGCTGACATCACGATAGCTTTCACTGTCGCTTATGATGAAAACAACACGCGAGACATCCAAGCCCTCATCATCGGGCCCCCAGGCACACCCTATGAGCTGGGGTTCTATGAAGTAAGATCAACCCGCAGAATGTATCGTCCGAGTGAAATACTGACCTTGTCCAGTTTGCCATCAGAATACCATCTGGCGAGAAAGCTCCGATATCGTGAAATTTGACGCCCCAGGCTAACCGAACTAGATTACCCTGCGAGTCCGCCAACAGTGAGGCTGAAGACCACTAATCAGGGCCGCACGCGCTTCGGCCCTAACCTCTACGCAAACGGGAAGGTTTGTCTGTAAGTACTGCTTGAAGATATTCATTGGTCTTGTGCTGACTGTCCTAGGTCGATCCTGGGGTAAAGTCTCGATCCACGCTTTAACACTGGATATTTCTGATCATGCAATAGCACATGGCCTGGAGACCGCGGCGAGGAATGGTCTCCCGCCCAAGGACTGGAGTCAGTCCTGCTATCTATCCAAAGTCTGCTATCCTCAAACCCATATATCTTGGAGCCAGGGTTTGATAGCAGGGGCGCCGATACGGAGAACATAGAGGCATACAAATCCAAGGTGATAATAAACGCGGAGGGATAGTCTCGAGAATACTGACATTTTTACAGATACGACACGAGAACCTTCGACTGGCAGTTCTTGACCCTCTAGAAAAAGCCCTCCAATGTCCCGCATTAGCCTGGCAACGCAGAGCGCAAAGAACTGGCGATGGACAAGCATCTGATCAATCCACACTGAGTGCCTTTGGGGACTTTTGCAAACAACGATTCCTCTGGTACCTGGATCTTTACAACAACGTGATTGAGAAAGGCATCGTGGACGACGCACGGAGACACGAGACCCCATTTATCCAGATGCCGTTTGAGAGTTCGAGCAACGGTATGCATGGTACATGGGATTACACCAAGCTGAAGACTCGCCTAGAAAGCATCCAAGAACAGTTGATGGAGGAGACACACAAGTGGCCTATCGAGGGCCTGACATTGACCAAAGAGGACGCTGGGATTGCGGTGAAATTGCTGGGACAGCATGAGCAAATTGTTGCGGAAATGAAGTCTCGGACGCAGGTCATGGACCTTTCTCTTGTTGATGGCAACCCTTTCGTCTGGCGACTCACCTACGCTGGCCGCACGGAATCTCGACTGGAGGGTGGTATCATCAAGATCAAGATCTTCATCAGCCCTCGACACCCGTTAGAGCAGCCCCGTGTGTTTGTTGAGTCACCCCTCTATCATATCCGTGTCTCCAAGACGGGTGTGATGATTTATCTGCCTGCTCGAGCTGACGAGATCCGTCATCACATCGACGGCATCATCAACGCCCTGGAGGAAGACAGCCCGCCATACAACCCACTCATGACCGTAAACCCGGAGGCAAGTTCTCAGTGTTGGGGAACTGAAGTGGAGCGTAGGCTCTACCGTCGCAAGCTTCGAGCGTCGCTAGAGGCATCCTAAGTCTCAGTTCTGTCTGTTCAGGGGGGTGCCAGTGAGATTGGTTTCATCTTGAGCCAGTCTGTTTTAACGTTTTAATTTGCTTGATTCGCAGGTCATCTCCAGATATCTGCCTGGGGGTGTTAATCGAAGAGGATTCGCGATGGCGGAGAGCCGAGGGATTGTGAGAGGGGGGAGCAACAGGGTCAAGAACGATTAAATATTTCTTAACTCAATACTCAATACTGCTGCAAACATACGAATGAGAAAACCATCCCCCATCAGAAGTAGGTTAAGAATCAACCGTTCCAGTGACGTGAACCGGAGTCGAAGTGGATGAGCGCACGGCCCACTTGGTTCTCCGCAAGAACTTCCCCTTTTCACCAGTTCAAACCACTTCTCAACTCACATCATGTCGGCGAAAAGGCGCACACTAGAGCTCGGAAATGTCTTGGTGGTTGGAGGCTGCGGTTTTCTGGGGTGGCACATTGTCGATCACCTGCTGAACTTCCCCTCCGAGACCGACCCCAGCGTCGCCCTCCCCAAGCCGCAGGGCGATGCACGCTTCGACTTCCCGACTCTTGGATCGCGGTACCCAGACTATCACTCGACCGTGTCTGTTGTCGACTTGCGCACAACCAACAACCGTCTTCCCGGCGCAAAGTACTATGACGGCGACATCACGTCCGTCGAGTCCATGATGGAGGTCTTCAAGGCTGTTAAGCCTGATCTGGTCATCCACACTGCTTCGCCTTCTATGATTGAGGGCAACAAGCCGCTGCTGCACAAGGTCAATGTGGAGGGAACCCGGACCCTTCTGGAGGTTGCTGGTGGCGAGCACGGTGACTGGGGTGGCAAGTGCAAGGCTTTCGTCTACACCAGTTCCAGCTCCGTCGTGCACGACACCCAGAGTGACCTGAAGAACGTCAACGAAGAGTGGCCCTACATCCGCGGCCCCTCGCAGAAGGAGTACTACTCCGAGACTAAGGTGAGAGATGATCGAACACAACCTTTGAACCAGTTGCTAACCATATTACGTACAGGCTGATGCCGAAGAACTTGTCTTGAAGTACAACCGCCAGTCCCCGACCGAGATGATGACCTGCGCCATCCGCCCGGCCGGAATTCACGGAGAAAAGGACACCACAGTGACTCACAAGATCCTGGAGCACGGCTCCCAGGCATCGGACAGAGTGCTACGGATGCAGCTTGGTGACAATGAGAACCTGTTCGACTTCACCTACGTCGGTAATGTGGCGTATGGTCATCTTCTCGCCGCGCACCGACTTTTGGCGAGCTATGATCTTCGCGCGGCGGGTCAGGGCGGGCCCCTCGACTACGAGCGCGTGGATGGCGAGGCTTTCAACATCACTAACGACTCTCCTATCTACTTCTGGGATGTGACCCGTGCCATGTGGGCGCTTATTGACCGGATTGTTGAGCCTGACCAGGTTTGGGCTTTACCTGAGGGTCTTCTCGGCCCTATTGGTGGCCTTGCTGAGACTGTCTTGGGATGGTTCGGCAAGACCCCCCGTCTCACTGCTCGGACTGTACGATACTCTTGTATGACTCGTTACTACTCCACTGAGAAAGCCAAGCACCGTCTCGCTTACCTGCCTGTTGTGCCTTTGGATGAGGGTATTGCCCGTGCGGTTGGGTACATTGTCGAGCAGAACCGACAGGCCGGTGGAAAGAAGACACTGTAATTGATTTAGATGAGAAAAGGCATCTTATGCTGTATTAATATGATTTATTAGCCTCTTGCCGTTGAAGCTATACAGTTGGAGCTACGATAGAGAAGTACTTTGGAGTAGAGTGAAAAATATTGTAGAACGAGTTCGTTGTATCACGTATATATCCTTATATGCCTGGTCCCTGACCGGCGTTCCCATCACATTGTTACAAGCATTCATAGATCATAACCAGCGCCAATGGGCCTTTCCCTTGACGCACTGTAATGACACCCGGAGTGGGGGAAAAAAAAGAAACTCCAAAGTATGCAATCCGCTTAAACCAGATATCTGAAGCCCTTGCGCATGCGCAAAGACTCGTTGGCATGCTCAAGAATATCATTATCCGTTGTGTCAGCCATCTCACCAGCCTCAATCTGCTTGTTCAGGCTAAGCAGCATGTGGCGGAAGTACCAGCATCCGATGACGGTGACACCGAACATGGCCAGCACGATTCCGTAGCTGGATCGGTAGCCGTTGTTCTCCAAGTCCCAGACGTAGGAACCGGCCACGTTACCCAGTTGACTAAAGGCGTTGATCATGGCGATGGCCACGGCACGCTTGGCTGGTGGACGGGGGAAGGAGGAACTGATCCAGGAGTAGAACACAATAAAGCCTGCGTAGGAGCCTGCCTGCAGGAAGAGTGCTACGTATCGGGCTGCCACGTTCAGGGTGGACATGCTGATGACGAAGCCGACGGCTCCCATTGCGATCGGGCCGAATATGTGCCAGACCTTCTCCTGGGTTTTATCCGCGTGCCATGCGTTGATGACGGAGAAGATACAGGAGAAGACCCATGGGGGAGCACTCATCAGGAGGGTAGGGACATAGCCGAATCCAAGGGTACCAGTGAGAGTGGGCTGGGAGCAGTCAGTACACGTTGTGATCTTGGGGATCGGGGGTCAAGAGAACTTACGAAGAAAGCGTTGAAAGACAATCCAACGACATAGGCAACAAAAGTGAACATCATCACGTAGATCTTGGGATCCTTCAGAGCCATCATCAGACCGCCCATGGCACCGAGCTCCTCGGAGTCGGTATCCGCCTCACCAACATCCTCGAACATACGGAGCTGGGCCACTTGACGCTCCTCTTCGGTGAAACCACGAGCGTTATGGGGCAGATCCGGGAGAATGAAAGCAGCCATGATGGCCAGGAACATGGTCACGGCACCCTCGATCCAGAACAGCCAGCGCCACGCGGCGTGGCCCAGGACGCCCTGCATGTTGGACAGGACACCGGCACCCACGAGGGCGGAGAAGGCGTTGGAAATCAGGTTACCGCAGAACAAGAGGGCATTGCGGGAGGTCAACTCGCGGCGCGTGTACCACTTGGACAAGATGAGCAGAGCACCGGGCAGGAAGGCCGCCTCGATGAAGCCCAACAGGAACCGAATGGCCACCATGTGTCCAAAGTTCTTGGCGTTGCCGGACATGGTGGAGATGAGACCCCAGATGAGCATGGCACAGGCGATGTAGAGCGAAGGGCGCGAGATGCGGTTGATGAACATGTTGGACGGCACTTGCATGATAATGTAGCCCACGTACAGGATACTCAGACATGTCGAGTACTGGGTGTTGGTGAGTTGCAGGTCTTCCTGCAGACCCTTGAGACGGGCCGCGGCCATGTTGTTGCGGTCCAGGTAGTTCATGATATAGATGAAGACGAACAGACTGCATCGGGCGTCGAGCTTCCTCTTGAGACTCTTCTCGACGACGACGCGACGAGCGGGATCCATCTGAGTCGCAAGGTTCTCTTGCTTGGTCGAGGCAATGTGCTCGACATTCTCATACCTCTCCTTCTCGACCTCAACCTCTGTCCGGGAATTGGAAGCTCGTGAGATATCGTCCGCCATGACTGTTGTATAGACTGTATAGAGAATTCACATTGAAACCAGGGGGACTCTCCTCACCTTTAAGACAAAAAAAAAGAAGGACCACCACCCCCCGCGCTAATTTCCCGTCCCAATTTTTCACCATTTTTCCAAGCAATTTTTTTTTAAATTTTACCCCGGTACCCCCACGCCCGAAGTCATGAGACGCGGGGGGGCAGTGGAGCGGAACAGAGAATGTCCCTGAGAATGGAGACTCGGCCAGGCCGACGAATGGCATGGACGGCCCATTCCGGGATGGGAAGACTAGAAGATTTCACGAGATTCTCACGAGTTCTCACATCTTAGGGTTTATGATGGGGGAATCTGGATAGTTGACGAGGCTAAGTCGATGGCCATACTCTCCCAATGTCATGTCCTGTCATCTGGTATTCTCCTAGCATAACCCTAACCCTAGCCTCACGGCCATGCCAGACCCCAATCGGCCCGGGACAAACCGGCATCGGAAGCGGTCAGTCCGGGTTTGTGCAATCCCGACTTCCCCGCCTCTCCGCAAAGTTCTGCTCGCTTACCGTTCCCGTGTTGTTGGTCCTGACTTTCCCTTGTTGGCAGCTCTTGTCCGGTATTCCGGTATCCCACAGGAACGTGTGGACGGCCATGATTAGACTTTAATTGAGGCATTTAATGCTTTCTAGGACGTCCCTCCACATACTCCCCCAACTCCCCCAACTTTCCAACTCGCCAATGCTCTCCACAGTAGAACCATCCATGGATGGACGTCATCCGATGTAAACCCCGACGTTGACAAATCATGCCTCAGAATGCCATTTCGAGCCAAGACCCACTGCCAATCTAAGCTTACGCTCAATCGGGTAACTCAACCACAGATCCTGAAGCATCCCACGTTGCATCCCCCCTCAATCCACCCCCCAAACCCCCGAAATGACGCTCAAGGGCGGGCACTGGCAGGGAACAGGTGGACGCCAGTGGCTTCGCCCTGATCCGGTAGCTCAATCTCGATGTCATCCTCGGGCCACCCTTCTCGGTCATCCTTGACAAGTCGGACACAGCACACGTCAAGGATCAGCGCAACGGCACTGATAGCCACCCCGAAGAAAAGTGCCGCCCGATAGCCCAAAATCGGGCTCCCGGATCGGCGTGCGATGTGCGTCTCAATGGTGGAGGCAAACCCCAGACCGAGACTGTTTCCGTACAGATTGAGTGTGCCGATGACAGACCCCGCAATTCCCTGTTGATGACGTCGGACCGAGTTGCTGGCGATTATCTGCCCCGCGGTATATACAAAGTCAGGACAGAAGGAGAACAGGATGACTGAAGGGAAAACCTGGGCCCAATAACTTTGATGAACGGGCAGCGTCGCCATGAGTACGTTGGAGACTAAGATGGTCATGGTGCCGATGGCGAGAATCCATTGCGCCGCCAGTCGGGGGATCATCCACGCGGCGAGAATCGCTGCCCCCGTGGCACAGATAACAAAGGGTGTCCACCCCACGGCAAACTGGAGTGGTGACCAGTGCCACACCTTTTGCAGCCACAGGACCTGGTACCAGATCAGAGTGCCTACCGCCATGTAATTCAGCAGCACAACCAGGAGCAGCATCAGGAAAGATGGAGCCCGAAAGATGTCCAGCGGCATGATTGGCTCGGCCGCATAGTTTCGCTCCCAGAGCAAGAAACCGGCAAACAGGAACACGGAGCTGATCAGGAGAATAATCTCATAATGAGTCGCCCAACCAACACTCGGTGCTTGACTATATGAAATGAGCATGGCAGTCAGTCGTGCACTAGGAATCAGCCTTACTTCCAAACAAAGTTGAACAAGATCAATGATCCTATGCCGAGGGCTGAGCCAATGTAATCGATTTTCCCATTTCGGTCCACAGGTGGCTCGCGCGGACTCAATACCCAGATAGGCAGAAAGGTGATGAATCCAAGACATGCACTATCAGTGTCAATCTTGGACTGCGACGGCAAGTTCTCATGCCCTCATACCCACTTACATGAAAATGAAGAACCACTTCCACTCCGTCCGCTCTAGGAAAGCACCCAAGAACAAGGCGCCAAAGTAGCCTCCTACGGGGGCCGACGCCCCAAAGAACCCCAGACTGACATTTCGCACACGGCCGGGAGGGTTGGTGCTGGAGATCATGGCGACTGCATTCGGCATAATGAACGCACCGCCCAACCCGGCCAGAGCCCGTACGGTGATGAATGCGAAGAAGTTAGTGCAGAAGGCACTGGCAAGTGTGCACACTGTAAGCCAGGCACCGCCGGCCAGAAGGAGTTCTCGGTGGCCATTCACATCTCCCAATCGACCACTCACTAGCACGAAAGTGCCTTGTGTTAGTCTGTAGATATGAGTTAGTATTGCTGATGAATCTCCGGGTTCAGTGTCTGGTTCTCACGCATAGCTAGCAGCCATCCATGATGCATAAGAATCTTTGGCGCCTAATGATTCGCTCAAGGCGCTGCCCCCAGCAACGCCCGCGAAATTGACCGTCATCTCCCCGCTTTAGTAAAGAGCTAGCAAAAGGGTTGAATTTGATACTCACCTGCACGACATTTGCAAGCACCAGCAATATAGTAATGACCACTCGACGTGATTGGGTCGTTCGACTAGGCACCGTTTGCTCGAATACGGGCTGATCCGCCCTGGGCATTGAGTGGGCATCTGCCTCTGCTGTCGCCGAATTGGGGATGACTGGAACCTGGGGTGGCTGAGACGGGGTGGATTTCACCTGGATAGCGTGTAACATGAACATCTTGAGAGAAGGTTGGAAAGATGAATTCTACTCCAGCATTATTCCCTATAACTGAGCATCTGAGTGCGGAGAAGGGTCCAAGCCAAGGTAAGTACCTGGGGTATCCTGCTGGATTTATCAGCATGCGGAGGCCCCGCGCAGTACAATTCCGGGGTTCATCAAATATTCTTTTCTACTGTTCTTCTGGGCTTGTTCACTCTATTTATATAGTATCTAATAGCAGCCTAGCGTTGATATCGTGGAGAGCAATCTACTACATACTGTAAGCTGTACATCCCTGAACATTAAGTTAACATTCAAGGAAAGTGATTCTTGATCTGCAATAACTCAGAGGACTATATCCATCATGCTGTGGAGAATTCACAATTGTGGCCACAAATTGACGCCTTAGTTGCCAGGCGCCCTAATAATCGTAACTTATAGTGTCCTACTATAGTGCGAGGTGGGACTTGTGAGAAGTCTTCCGATGCTATTTTTAACGGATAAGACATGTTTGGCACTCGAGAAATGCAGACTACCAATGGAATGAATTATACTGCCGATAGTCGCTTGGACTGAGAATGCAATTACCCTTTGACATTGACATGTAATAGGCTTCACTTGTGGCACTGTTGAGTCCACACATCTGTCTTGCTTGGATCCGTTGGCTGTAAATCATAGAAAAAGGCCACATCTTTCCAAATGGAACAGACTTTGGAAAAATCCTGTCGAGCGCCACAGAAGACATTTCATCTCGTAAAAAGATATATTGTGGGGGTCCACTGGTGCTGCCCAAGTCTACGATCACGATCACGACGATGACGACTTCATTCTCTCCCACTGGCAACAATCTCTATCTGGACCTGACGATCCCAACGCAAAGAGTGCCGGAGGAAAATAACAACGACATTTAGTTTAAACGAACATCCGCGCCTACATGCCGACCAGTGTACCCCCACGCAATGACGCCCCGGGGCCCACATCGGCAAATCCTCGGATTCCCGTCTCTAAGCCTCCCGAACAAGGTTGCGATATTCGTTACAGGGGTCCTGCTCTTCCTCCTCTGCCGACCGAATCTTTTTGATCACTCGACAGGGGGTACCAACCGCGACCGAGAACGCTGGAATATCCTTGGTGACAACCGATCCAGCTCCGATGGTACATCCCTGACCGATTCGAACCCCCGGTAGGACGATTACGTTGCTTCCGATCCAGCAGTCGTCCTCGATGAAGATAGGGTGGCCGAATTCGACAAACTTGCGCCGTGACAGAATGCTAGTGTCGTGACCGGCGGTGATCAGGCTCACACCAGTGCCGATTTGCACTCGATCGCCGATAACCACAAGACTGGTATCGAGGATCGTGACACTGGACTTGATTCAGAGGGGGCTCGATTGGGAGGTAACTCCCAAGACTTGAAAGGGCAGAGACTCACTTCCAGTTGAAAAAGCAGTCTTTGCCGATGCTGATATTGCTGCCGTAGTCCGGCAGGAAAGGTGGCTCGATAAAGGTTCCGTCGCCCACTTTGCCAACCACCTTTCGTAGCAACGCCAGACGCACGTCACCGATCTTGTCATATGTCACCGTCTTGGTGTCCAGGTTGTTGTAGTCTGCCGCTAGTCCGCGGCAGCGATGACGGCCCTCGAGCAGCTGCGGGATCATGGGATTGTACCTTAACCAGTCAGCTGTGTGCTTGTGCTTGTGCCTGTACCACGGAGACATACATCATTCCTGATATCATCCGGTCGTAGTCCTCACACACAGGGATTCCCTGCAACCCCTTGGAGATCTCGATTATCTCGGGGCGTAACTCTTTTGCAGCCATGACCAAAAATCAACGGAGAGAATCTAAGAAAGCGACAGAAGAAACGGACTGAATACAAAATATCGAGGTTGGGAAGGCAAGATATAAAGGCGGGGATCCCCGACAATTCGCCGGAGTGCCAAGGAATTGGGCTACTTTCCTATTTAGGCAGGACATCCAATTTTTATGTCATCACATCAAATTCAATTGAATGACTAAGAGGTCATGGCTCATGGCTCATGGCAACCTGGAAACTTATGAATTATGGATATTCTACTCCTTTGTTGTGCACACTCACTTCATCCACGTCTCGAAGTGCCTCTCGCCGGGCCGCATCAACATCAAAGGCCGCCTTGCTGTCAAACAGGGTCTCCATCTCCTCGAGACTCTTGCCCTTGGTCTCCTTGACAAAGAAGAAGACAATGACAGCCATGATCACATCAAGCGCCGCATAAAAGAGGAAGACATAGCTCCCCCACGAGTTCATCATGTAACGGGTCACCAGGGAGAACAAAAGTTAAACAACCACTGTGTGGATACGGCGACGGAGGTTCCAACCTCACGAATTCGAGTTGGGAAAATCTGGGCTCCAGTCAGTGATTTGCGTTGAGAAGGAATGGGACAGTCGGCTTACCTCGGCTGTGTATGGCCAGGGTAATGGACCCCAACTAAACTGATAGATCGAATTGGTCAGGAAGATCATTGCGACCATTCCGATCCCAGCCGGAGTGGCTTTGGAGTTAGGAGGAGGCGTGGTCTCCTTGACAACTGTGACAATCACGAAGCAACAAGCCATCAGCAGAGCCGAAATCCACAGGGTCGGCTTGCGTCCCCACATCTCCGAGAAGAACAAGATGTATATGCCCACGGTGACGAACTTCTCTGCCCCGAAGAGACCCGTGATCAATAAGGACTGGTCGGTGTTATCCCCGACAATCAACTTGAAGAATTGCGGGCCGAAATACGCCAGTGCCGTCATCCCAGTACACTGCTGGCCGCAAAACATGAAGAAGGCGAGAAGGAGTCGGTAACGGTTGGCGGGCTCGAGCAGCTCACGTTTCTTGAAGCCCTCGGTGGCTCGCAGCTCTTCGGCCAGCCCGACTCGGATTTCATTGAACTCCGCCTTGACCTCGGGGCCTAATTCTGGTCAGTGTCCATACGTGGATTGGTGACCGTGGGTTCCTCTTACCGTCACTCGCGCGGATCCACTTCAGACTCTCAAACGCTTCATCATATCGACCCTTCTTGGCCAGCCAGCGGGTACTCTCCGGCAACGCAAACAAACCCAAGGCAAGCACACCGGCCGGGACCATTTGTAGACCGACGGGGATTTGCCATTGTTTCGAGGATACTGGCATGCTGATCTTGACCGCATAGTCGATCCAATAACTCAACATGACGCCCAGCGCAAAGAGCCACTGCATGCCGGATCCGAGCTTTCCTCGAATTTCCTTGGGGGCCATCTCGGCGTTGTATGATGGAACCACGGCTGTCCCCGCTCCCAGACCCAATCCGGCCACGAACCGCCCGATATAGAAGCAGACTAACGAATGCGAGGGGACGACCTGGATGAGGACACCGATGCAGAATACCGCCATGGCAGCTTGCACCGTCCTCTTGCGCCCAAAGCGGTCGGACGCGACGCAGATACTCAGCGCCGAAAGGAAGGCGCCGACATTCTGCAAACTGACCATCACCGCACTGACGGTGGTTTGGTCTTTGTACCCGAAATCATTGACATAGGATTTGAACTCGAGGATCCCGCCTATCTGTGTGTGAGCTGAGTCCTGAGGTCAGTTCCCTTCGTGGCACTTACCGACAATGCCCGTGTCATATCCAAACAGGAATCCGGCGGTACAGATGAAGAAGCCAAAGAAGTAGGCGCGAATGGCACCGAGCCTCGTCCCTGGTAAGGCCATGGTTGATACTCCCATGGTCCCGACAGGAAATGAGCTTAACTTTAAATCCAACTGGGCTGCGCACGCAACCTCTGAGCGCGGATACGCCATAGCACGCCATCGCGTGGGATTTCAGGCCTGTCGGGACTCCAGCGCCCAATGCAGCCAAACACTGCCCTTCCCATAGCCAATGATTCGGTTTTCCTCTGGGCGACTGGGCTTCTGCCACGGGCGATACTGCCCTGCTTAATACACTCTCGTATACTCGAGCTCCATCTCAGCTTTCCCCGCATTTTCGGCTGGTCGGCTCGGTCGGCCATCGGCTGGGTAGATCCGAGCCACCCGATGTCTACTGGGCTCGTGACTGGATTGGCTGGATTCGAGCAGCTCCAATCATTTTCATTGGAATCCATGACACCCACCAATCAACTAGTGTAAAAGACATTTCTAATTGTAATCCACCTGCAATCAGCACCAGATACTTATTACCGCACTGTTCCTTCCCATTAGGGGTGGAGAGGACATGATGGTTATGTTGACGAATAGACCACTGATGTATAGCTTATCTATTGAAAGTATAGTGAAACGATTGGAGGTATCAAGAGAAAGATGAAGGCTTTTCGTCCCCCTTTCACGATGATCTCTCGGACTCCAGAATGCTGTGCAGTGGCTTCTATCCAGCCCACGCTATCTCATTCACAAGGTATACATGTTGTGCATCCGACCAGACATTCCCTCCACGGAGACTGTGGCATGGCAGAGGTTGGCCCTGGGTCTTTGATAACCCATGATGCAGGTAACCGCCAGCTCGATCTCACACTTGCTCTGTATCCGGTACTCTGCGATTCTGAAATTTGATGAAGCTTATTGCTCTACACAGGATGGTGTTTGCTCTAACTGTATATCTGTAGCTCATCAGGGAGGGCGGCATAATAAGTAATGAGCTTGATTGCAATCAAACGCGTTTGATATCTCCTTGGACCTTCTCCCCATCAACCTTTTCATATTCTCTTGACACCAACATTCTCTCTTCCAAGTTTCATCTGTCTTCGGATCTAGCTGGATCGGTGAACAAGATTTCAACACGCAGCGGGCACAGCAGTCATGCTCGTCCGACATGACCTCTCTGGGCAAGGGCCAAACCCATTCTTTCAGGCCTTTGACGTCCCGTACGACCCCAATCTCCCGGTCAGCTATCTGTTCAGCCTCGTCGGCGAGAAACGGAAATGGAAGCAAGGGTCCAAGTGCTGGAGACGGAATTGGAATAGGTGCATGGCTTACGAATACGATCGCCTGATTGGATTCTGTGATACCAAGCTGGAGAAATGGCAAGAGATATGCCGCCAAGTTGGCATCAAGGAGATTCTCCCTTCGATCAACAGGTGCAAGAAGGTTTGCTTCTATCTATCCCCCCGATGAAGATCACCGACTAACTGTACAAGGCCCTCGATGGGATTCGTGTCAACATCGTCGATGTCCTTGACAGCTGGAATACTGACATAATTCCTCGTCACTTCGCCAATGATCGTCAACTCGCCGACTATACCTTGACGAACAAGAAAACCATCAACCGCAGCATGCCCAAGAAGGACAAGATCTTGCGTGTCCTCCTACGCCGCCTGACCTAAAACACCCAATGCTATCTTTAGGAATACTTTGAGCTGGGGGGGGGGGGGGGGGGGGCAGACAACGTAAATGAATTTTATCATCCTCTAGGTATCCTACAAATCATCTCTATTTGACCAGTGGTTTTCGTATGACAGTATGTGCCATGTTTCCTCTGGTAACCTCAGGATTTATTCAAGAGAGGCGAACAGATCACCTGATTGGAGTCCCTGTTGCTTCTCACGAGTCCACCTCTGCTCTTTGCCGGGTACAACTCGCTAATTCCATCTTGAATTTTATCATGCACTCATTGATTGGACTTGTCGTTACCCTATTTGTATTCGTCAACTTCAGCCTGTCCAACGCCCTGCCCTACGACTTCAACATTCGAAATGCGGGCAATGCCACCTTCGACTACGTGATTGTTGGTGGCGGTACAGCAGGCCTGACTATTGCGGCTCGACTCGCAGACCGGAACTACCAAGTAGCTGTGGTGGAGGCAGGAGGATACTATGAGCTCATGTATCCGGTGACGCGAGTCCCAGGATCTTGCAGCCTTGGAGCGGGTGCAGATATCCGTACAAAAACCCCAATTGACTGGGGCTTCGTGGCCCAGAGAGTCGCTGGCGCAAATTTCCGGGATATTCATTATCCAAGAGGCAAGTGTCTGGGGGGATCGTAAGTCACCACGGAAGTTGAGAGTGGCCTTGACTGACAAGAATGGTAGGTCGGCATCAAACTTCATGATATATCAAAGGTCAGTTCCAGTCTGGACGTGCACACAGTACTGAAACAGAGTTTGGCAGGCCATCAATTCAGTCAATGGCACGGTGGGCGGAGCTTGTCAATGACTCCAGTTATCTGTTCGAGAATGTGTTGCCTTTTTTCAAAAGATCTGTTTCTTTTTCACCACCGAAGGCAACACGCTTCGCGAATTCCACGCCCTTGTTTAACGCCACTGCATTTGACAAAGAAGGTCAGCCAGTGCAAGTCTCATATCCGAAATATGCGATGCCATTTTCTACATGGGTTAAGCAAGCTCTGAACGAAATCGGGCTCCAAGAGGCGCACGATTTTAACAGCGGTTCTCTCATGGGTCATCAGTTCTGCGCGATGACAATCCAACAAACAGATGGATCGAGAAGCAGCTCCGAGTCTGCATTTTCATCCCAGAATAGACAGTGGACATTCTACTTATATGCTATGGCCAAGAGGATCCTTTTCGATAACCAAAAGAGAGCGACAGGTGTCCTTGTCGAACAGGGCAACGAATTTATTCTGACAGCCACTCGAGAAGTGATCATTTCAGCGGGTGCCTTCCAATCTCCACAGCTGTTGATGGTCTCTGGTATAGGCCCTTCGTATGTCTCCCAGACATACGGCATTGATGTCATCGCTGACCTTCCCGGGGTTGGTCAGAATATGTGGGATCATGTTTTCTTCGGACCATCTTACCAAGTAGCCGTGTCGACTTTGACGTTGCTTGCCAGCGATCCACTATATCTTCTCTCGCAGGCGGAGGCTTGGTTCTTTGGTGGAAATGGGGTTCTCACAAACCCATCAACAGACTATGTGGCATTCGAAAAGCTTCCATTGGTATCCCTTTCTGGATTCTCTCAGGAGAACAAACAGGATCTGGCTTGGTTTCCGAGTGACTGGCCAGAGGTCGAGGTATGAGTTTTGGAGAGTTTGTTGTGTGCTAGTTCCTAACTGTCAAATCCATCCAGTATCTTGCGGGCTCTACTTATGTGGGAAATTTCTCCGATCCATACGTGCAGCAACCTCGAACTGGACAATACGCCAGTATAATAGGCATCCTAGTCGCACCCATCTCTCGAGGAAACGTGACAATCCGCTCAGCGGATACAGCTGATATGCCAGTGATAAGCCCTAACTGGCTGGAGACTGATACCGACAAAAAGGTCTCGGTTGCAGCCTACAGGCGTGCTCGCGATCTGTTTCGCACTCAATCTATGGCGCCTGTGATCCTTGGGCAAGAATATTTTCCCGGGTTGGAGCATGAAACAGACTCCGAGATATTGGAAATTATCCGAAACACGATGATGACAATCTATCATGCCTCTTGTACATGCAAGATGGGTGTTAGCACAGATCGGATGGCTGTTATTGACAGTCGCGCCAGGGTCTTTGGTGTCACTGGACTGCGAGTCGTCGATGCTAGTGCGTTCCCGATTCTTCCGCCGGGACACCCTCAATCAACAATTTGTGAGTCATTCTTATTTCAAAGGCGGTATTGTTTCTGATAAATGCCAGATATGCTAGCGGAAAAGATCGCAGTAGATATCATTATCCATGGGTCGGTATGATGCTTGCGAGAACCTGCCCAAAGAGAGCGGCAATATCACGAGGAAGAGAGAAATGAAAATCATTATATTCATGATTACCACATGTCCTCCAAATATATCTGGCCAAGAGTATCAAACATGTTGTAATCGCTTGGGAGACTATCATCAGGAAAGGCAAAGCCGAGATTGTTTATGATTTGCTCATTGGGACCAAGAGCATTCTCAAAGCTGCTTTCATCCTGTCTATTGCCTCCCTGTATATCTCTTGTAGAAGTACCAGCCCAATTGATCGTGGCAAGCGGTGGAGTCAACAGAGAATGTTGAGTCAATGGGTCGTTAAGGCCCAGAATACCTTGCCCGGGATAAGATGGCGGTGCCATGAACTTCTCACTAGCATGCAGCTCTTCCGGATCAACTGATTGACCAGGCATCGTGCATGAAGCATTTAGCTTCAATGATAGCGCAGAGGGCATCTGATCAGTATTGTAGTTGAGTCGCTGACAATACAACTTCTCTAGGTTCCGTCCGATCCGTTTGGAAATATCCCAAGATGTGGAGAGTTCTTGTAAAGATTGAAGGAAGAGTCCTACAGCTACATGTGGCGATGGACTCTTCGTCTGGGCGTCTCCGGTATTTGAGCCAAACGCAGAACATTTCTCAATGATGAGCAATGCCGCCATATGCATGCAGTGTGTAGATGTCACAGGGCTCAACTTGAAGCTGCCAAAAGTATGTCTGTACTTCTGAGCCACAACGCAGACTGCCCGGATGGAGTTGTTGCAAATAGTGATAGCTTTCTTTTTGCGCTGTGTTTCTGATGCATCTTCCTGTGTGTCATATTGAACTTGTACAGCTTGTTTCCCAGTTTCTTTCGTATCGGAATGACATTTAAGGAAGGGCATACATAGTATAATGCAGACTGTGTGGTATACCATGCACAGAGTGTAAGTATGTGGGAACCGAGAAGTACCCGCTGAGCGGTCAATTTTTAACTCTTGGGCGAGGTCGTAGTACCAAGACCTGAGGTCAAGAACACAGGACTCGAAAAATGATGCTCGTTGTGTGGGTTGAAGAAGGGGCTTGGGAGACCAGCTATCAAGATCATTAGTGACCATGGATATGGAAACAAAGATTCCATCGAACTCACAATGCGAGAAGCACTTTTTCAAAAATACGACACAAATCAATCAGTGCCCGGTGCAACTGTACCACGTCCCTTTGAGAGGCAGCCCGAAGTTGCCCGTTTCCATTTGCTGAGGGCAAGCATACATCCGGTGCACATAAAGCAAAGGGCTTGTTTACGACTCCTTGGGAGTCCTGTAGGACAAATAAATGTGAGCTTAGTAGCGAAGGAGAGAATACCCCCGTTGTGAAACATACCAGTAAGGTGCAAACCCTACCTGTGTAGCTTGCTGACAGCTTGTCGTGGCAATACAAAGCCCAGTAAATCTGTCGGCGTAACTCAATCTCAATGCATGGGAGAGCAACTGCCCCCGAGAGAACAGATGGATCCATGTTTAATCCCATGTCCAGCGCCAAGCGATTCGCCATACCCTGGTGAAGCCATCCAGCGGCTTCAGAGCCCATTGCCTGCGTCCAAAGTTAGTTCGTCTTGTTCAACCAGCAGACATAGATAGGAATTACGATATAGGCCATTCCTAGGATAGCTAGTGACTGAATTGTTGTGATTTTAGGCCATTTAAGATCATTTTGTATTAATCTTTCGGCTCTCTGGATGAAAACTCTGCCGGCCGTGTTCGAATCATTGGGGTCTGATCGGATCTCCAAGCGTTCGCAGTATCGGGAACCCATGGCTAGAATGCAGTTAAGCAAGAGTGGACTGAAATAACGGCCTCCGTCTTTCATGGAATCTCGGAACAACTGCTCGTTCACCATTTGCATCCATGGTTGCTCCCACTCAAAATACAAATCAATCAGGTGGGCTTCGAGCTCATCTGATATCAGACTTTCAGCCAACAAATCAGTGTTATGAAGGCACTGACTTCCATAACCATTGCTAGGATTCCATGGGCAAGAAGTATCAGTTTGAGGCATTTCTTTGGGTGAATCTTGACATGATCAGCAACGTTGCGGGAAACCCTCATGTCCGACTTACCTTTTGATGCAGACTGAAATGGTAACCGGCCACTTGTCGGTCCAAAGTACCGCACCTCGCCATCTTGGTCAAAATTCAAAGACTCATCTAATGTTAGTGCGCCATCAAACGTGGCACACAACTCATCCACCTTTGAGCAGGGTTCTGCCCATTCAGCGTCCGACTCTCGGTCAGGACTTTCATCTTTGCCTAATAGTTGAATTGCCGCATCGGGGTCAGTCCCGCGAGAGATCAAAACACGCTCCAGAAGTTCTATTCTGTTACGCAACATGACCACATAAGACTTGGGAGCCGGTTGTCGACCATCCTCCGCAGTGGAGTACTGACATTGAACGCCACGGTCAAGACACCTCGCACATGATGGTCGAACACCATCGCACTGTCAGGATTGCATGTCAACATAGCTCATGTATACATACTTCTGGTCCTTACCTTGGCTCGTCGTTGTCGGCATGCCTCACAAGCGCGGGTCGTATACTTTCTGCCCGGTCGTTTACGTCTGGTGGTATCATCTGTTGGGGCCAGGGACATTAGGAAGTAACAGAGGAGAGATGACGCAAGGAATCCTCCCAGTCATCTGTATCAGATATAAACGATGAAGAAAGAGCGATGGGCAGTGACATTACAAAGCAAAGGCACCTTGACACCTGAATGCCTGAGGCTGAAAAAGAGTGTGATATTGATGCCCGATATACAAGGCCACTAGCTTAGTCATATTGTGGTGCCTCAGGCGCTCAGGCTTGGCTTGATCCGCTTGTTCCGTTCACGCTCTTCATGTACAAGAATGTCGTAAATGAGACCAGGAAATGTGCTAGATCCTGAAAACATTAGTGGCACTTTCAACAGACTACCAGAAGCCTTTTGAGAGGTTCACAATGACTATGGACTTGTCTATAACTTAATACTTGGATGCAGAGCATCTAAGGGGAACTATAACTCAAGTTAATGTTAGCTAACTATAATGTAGTCTATATAACCATGTTCGAGGTATTCTTGATTTCATCCCCCATTGCAAAAGACGTAATAACTTCTCGTCATAGACTGAACATCGTCTGCAAAAGCCAGAAGAGACTGCACTCTGATTGGAGAGAGAAATGTTAGGTTTAGTCGGGGAGTATCTCAGTGGCCATACTGAGCCAGTAGGAAGTGGTCCATTCCCGGATGTGGACGAGCAAGGATCTGGGGTATGTGCCGTCTATCAGGTGACGGAAATGGTAGGTTTGGGACGTAAGGATGAGGAGGTGAATTGGGAGACTTTTATGATCGTGATAGTTCTACGGTGGTCTTCTTCGTGTGAACAGTATATAGTGAGCCTATCCTGCACATCAAGAATGCCCAACTAGATAGAGACCACCACAATGCCACATCCTACAACCATACGACCGCCAAATAATTATAAATAAATCAAAATTATTCGAACAAATCCTGAATAGTCCCCAATCCCTCCCCCCCCCCCACCCAAATAACCCCAAATAACCGTAAATTCCAAGGTCTCCAAATGCACTGCACAGAAGTACGTGTGGGAACGTGCCAATCACCGCCCTCACCTCCCCTCCCGACTCACCTCCCCCATCTTTCTTTTCCCTTTTCTTCTCCATCTCTGTGAATCGTTGAAAGGGTGTTATTCAGCGCGTTGCTGTCGCGCCATTCCCTTGATTATCCTCTATTTCGTGTTCCAGCCCGTGTTCCGGATCATCGGACTGCGATTGCATCGCGGTGGGATCATCAACACCCCAAGTGCCTGAACTTCATCATGGCCAGCTGATGCTACGGATGAATCAATAACCTCGAATAAGGGCACCCGCTCTGCCCCAGCAGACGGTTCTGCTACACTACGATATTTGACACAATTTCCAATCTTCTTTCGACTTGTCTCCTCCCCGTGTCCCCGCGAAGCTCCAACTCGCCTGGCCGAGCGTATCAGCATGGCCGGCAATGACTCCCCCAAACCACAATTTCTCGCGCCTCCTGCCGTCACTGCTCTCAGACAGGAGGCCCGGAACATCGATCCGAAAATGACTCGAACCTTGAGTGATGATATGCGGGAGGAACGGGAGGACTTGAAGGAGGCCGCAGAACAGACGCTGAACATCATTGTGGATATGGACCTCGAAGGTCGTATTAAATGGGTCAGCCCATCGTGGAAACAAGTGGTCGGCTCATCGCCCGAGTCGGTGGAGGGACACATGATCTCGGAAATCCTGCTGGGCAACAAGGATGTGTTCCGGGATTCGATTGAATCCATGAAACAGGATGATTCGCGAAGTCGTTTCATTCGCTTCGCGGTGCAGATGGGTCCGGATTCCGTCCTGAAATATGCACCCGAACCGTCACTGGTTGCGAAGAAGGAAATGAGTATAACGGACACAGAAGAGATGGAGGGTTTCCTGCCCGAAGAGGAGCAGAATCACAATGTGCTCAATATGGAGGGACAGGGAATTATGGTCTATGATCGGACAGACGATGAAGCCGGCCATGTGAGTCGATCAGATTAAATACCGTGATGATACACTGACATTTCTCCGATGACAGACTATGTGGATGTTACGACCATTGACGGAGCCACGAGAAGTAACAATCGATCTACCGCCGCTGCTCGTTGAGTCTTTGGGAGTGGGAGCGGAGGTACTGGCAAACTACCTGACTGAATTAGCGGACGCAGCAGCAACCGAACCCGATCCTTGCAAGCATCCTGCACCAACGCCTGTCCTCTGTCGCATTTGTGAGCGCCAGATCACACCGTGGTGGTTTGAGAAGCATTCCGATCTATGTTTGCAGGAACATCGGGCGGAGATGGATGTTCAACTGGCACAGGAGAACCTGAATGAGCATCGACATGTCATTGTCAAGGTGTTGGATGCGCTGGAAGCCCGTCAAGGCAGGCCCTTGATCGGCGGTGATGGCAACCCGACACCTCTCCCTCAAGCAGAATACAGAGGACTGTCCATCGGTCCCTCACCTACCAGTTCTGCTCCGTCATCTGGCGGTGTTTCCAGTAGTAACTCAGCACCTGGTACACCACCCCGATCGCGAGACCACTCTGCCTCTGGTGTTATGCCCAATCGACCCCGTTCTTTCACTGTGCGGAGACCACTGGCTCGTATTGTGGAACTTGTGCTTGACTTGTGTGATACTTCTCTGGAGATCAGTATGCCGATGATTAAGGAATCTGCTCGGACTGATGGAGAGGACTTCCGGACATTGTCTCCACAGTCTGAATCTCGAATATGTCAAGTTTTGCAGTGGCAGTCACCCAGCTCTAATACGTTGGAGCAAGAGCAGGGTCTGGCTGCACTGGCCGCGGACACCGAGCAGGTTGCCAAGGCAAAAGTTGATGCTGTTGTGCGTCATCGCAAGATTGTTGAGTATGCCGAGCGTATTCGCATTGAATACACAGTGTTGGTCGAAGAATGCATTGCAGCAGCACTCAGCAAAGCAGAACGCATAGCCTCTGGCCAACTTAGTGATTCTTCATGCTCTTCCGACGAAGAAGTCCCATCTGAGAATTTCGCTGGCAGTCATGTTGCCCCCGATGATATTGGAAGCTTAGATGAAGAATCCTTGACTCAATCCATTAGCCAGGATTTGCAACAACAAGTGCAGCCACAGCCAGCAGCGCCCTCGCCGCGGCGGCCGGCATCTGCTTTGACCATGTCGATGCGAAATTCCCCCGACCGGTCATTGCTTTCACAGCAAGAACGAAGGTCATCTTCGGTGGCAGTCTCGACGGGTTCCAACAGTCCCATGGAATGCCCCACTCCAAGATCCCACAAGAGCGCGGCAGGTCTGCTGGGTACATCCCAGCCCTATCGAGTGGGTCTTTCTCTCGCAGATATTGACGCTGGAGATAGTAGTGATAGCAGTCTGCCGTCTTCGGCCTTCCCGGGAGCTGTGCGGACAGATTCGCCTTCTTCCGAGAGAAGCTTTGATCGAAAGCGGAGAAGCCTGGTACTTCCTGGGCTATCAGGCTCTCCTCGTCGACAACCTTCTCCTGCTCGGGTTTCTGGTCCGCATTCCCCATTGCGCATGCCAAAACCTCGCATATCAAGCGGCGCTGACAGCCTACCATCACCAATAGTATCCCCCTCTACATACGCAAGTGAGTTGGCGCATCACTATCGTCATCACCGAAGGCAGTCATCCGCCACGTCTTCCGATGTTGCGAAACCACCGCCGTCCCCACGTCTCTCCTCAGTAAGCCAACAGCCTCGACCAGCACCATTATCTATCAAGGACTTCGAGATCATCAAGCCAATCAGCAAAGGTGCTTTTGGTAGTGTTTATTTGGTCAAAAAGAAAGCTACCGGCGAATACTATGCCATGAAGGTTTTGAAGAAAGCCGACATGATCGCTAAAAACCAGGTCACCAATGTGAAAGCTGAACGAGCCATCATGATGTGGCAGGGCGAGAGTGACTTTGTTGCAAAGCTCTACTGGACTTTCTCCAGCAAAGACTATCTCTACCTGGTGATGGAGTATCTCAACGGAGGTGACTGTTCCTCGCTTGTCAAGGTTCTTGGTGGCCTTCCTGAAGATTGGGCTAAAAAGTACATTGGCGAGGTTGTTCTTGGAGTTGAACACCTTCATAGCCGAGGAATTGTACACCGTGATCTAAAGCCTGATAACCTTCTGATCGACCAAACTGGCCATTTGAAACTGACCGACTTTGGATTGTCACGAATGGGTTTAGTTGGACGACAGAAGCGTGTGTTAAAGAGCCCGGACGAGGCCGCCCCTGATCTGTTGAAGCAAGGATCTTTCCCCCGTGCGATATCAATCGCATCTTCACGGTCGGCTTCATTCGATTTTCAGGCCAGCTCATCGCCAGGATCAACTCCTCTGATCACCCCAGAAGTGAGTATCAACGCTAGTCAGCCATCTTACTTCAACCTCAACCAGAGTGGTTTGAGTCGGCAGAGCTCCCGTCGCGCCTCGGGATACCGCAGTGACAGTATGGGCAGCGATGGCCTCAATGGAATCTTTCGAACTTTCTCCCTCAATGACAACGCCAATGAACCATCTGTGTCGTCACCGAGCATGTTTTCCACTAGCATGGTCGAAGAGGAAGGGCAAAGTGAGCCAGGCGAGTCTCCTCGTCTCCAGCCCCTTCAGCCAACCTTCAGCAACCCGCTTGCGCAGAACACACCCCCCCAACAAAGCATGCTACCCCCAGTCATGGCACTCTTCGATCCAGAAGACCATGATAGACGCTTCGTTGGTACCCCTGACTATCTGGCCCCAGAAACCATCAATGGTGTTGGACAAGATGAAATTAGTGACTGGTGGTCCCTAGGATGCATCATGTTCGAATTCATCTTTGGTTATCCGCCTTTCAACGCGGCGACTCCCGATGAAGTTTTTGAAAACATTCTTCACCGGAGGATCAATTGGCCAGATGATCCGGAGGACTACGCCTCGGCAGAGTCGTTGGATCTGATGAACAAACTATTGACTATCAACCCTCGCGAGCGTATTGGAGCCAATGCCGAAGAGAAATTCCCCAACGGCGGAGTTGAGATTCGCAGTCATCCATGGCTGGCTGAGATCAATTGGGATACGTTGCTTGAAGACAAGGCTCAGTTTGTTCCCAACATTGAAAACCCCGAGGATACTGAATATTTCGATGCTCGCGGTGCCACCCTCCAGAGCTTCGCAGAAGAATTGGAAGACGAACACTCGCCCCAGCCACCAGCCGCCACTGGCCCCGATCGCCCTCATGATGCACTGTTCAAAGTTCGATCGCAGGTGAACTCAACCAAGCGGCCGTTGATGCCACTCCATATTCCCCCCCACGTTCGTGATGCTCGTGATTCGCGAAGCCGGAGATTGAGTGAACCGGCTCTGGCTGATGACTTTGGCAGCTTCAACTTCAAGAATCTGCCGATGCTGGAGAAAGCGAACAAGGATGTCATTCAGAAGATGCGCCAAGAAGCTATGCAAGCACAGCACCGACAACCAAATCCGTCCACTGTTCAGACGCCCAGCAGCTCCTCACAGCCCTCATTGGAAGGGAGCCCGCTTCCCATGTCACTTCAACGAACCTTGTCACAAAACAAAGGCAACAACCGGCCATCTTCTCCGTCGGGACTGAGCCAATCCAACTCATCTCCAAGCAGACCCTCGCAGCCTTCGTCCCCCCTCCTTGTTCAATTCAGTACTGGGACAACCCAAGAACGACGCAAGACTTCTGGATCCTCTTCAACCACGTCTCATCAATCTAGTGGGACTTTCCAGCCTTCTTCGGCTGAGCAGGGACGTATGCCAAACCTCAGACTTGGTTCTGTAGCTTCGTCTCCAGTGAAAGCCAGTCGGATTCCCGCCCACTCTCCTGAGAAGACGCCCAACAACCAACGACATGGCAGCGTCCCAGCGAGCCGTGCTCGCTCACACACCATTGGATCTCAAGATGGGGACATGTCTTCGTTCCCCAAGGAGACCTTTGTGCCTACCCACCATAAACGCCGCAGTCAGTTGTTTGACATCTCGCCGTCCTCCTCTGACAATGAGGACCCTCGCACAAAAGCACTCCTCAAGGTGCAACGCCGTCGACAAAGCTCTAGGCGGTTGTCTCAGATCAACATTCAAGAAGGGCCATTCTTCCGCCCGTTGGATGTGCTTATTTGTGAAGATCATCCTGTCTCGCGATTGGTCATGGAACGGCTGTTTGAAAAGCTTCGCTGTCGCACCATTACTGTCACGAACGGGGCAGAGGCAGTCAGATACGCCCTGAGTGAGGTTCAGTTTGATATCATCATGACTGAATTCAGATTGCCTCAAGTTAACGGTGTTGACTTCGCCCGGATGGTGCGGGAGACAAGAAGTGCCAATCGACACACTCCAATCATTGCGGTTACTGGCTACTTGAAAGACCTCCCCGAGAATCACAACTTTGATGCACTGATGCAGAAGCCCCCGACATTGCCCAAACTGACTGAAGCTTTGTCAAAATGGTGCATGTGGAAGCCTGTCTCTACTGACTACAATTCTTCCCAACCTGTCACAGTCCCAGGCTCAGGTGGTCGTTCTGGTGCCCATACAACTGCGGATAGCCCGAGCTCGGTATCCTCTGGGTTCGTTTTGAATCCGCCAAGCTCATACCGAGGATCTAGCCGCGACGATTCAATGAGCAGCAGCGTCTTTGGTGACATGGAATCCGTCAAATCAGACGAAGTTCCAGTTATCATCAGTCGCAACACTGAGGATTGGGATCAAACTCACGGTGGCTTGGGTATCTCGGATGACCAGCACCCTGGTAGCCCAGATCCGAAGACTATACCTCTACCTCATCTCCTTCACGCTGCCACTGCACCAGCTGCCATGGATGCAAATGGTGGTCTGACGCCTAGGAAACAACGCTCAAGTGAATCTATCCGTGCGAAACGGGAGTCTCTGGAGAAAAAGCGATATGAAGGTGCTGAATCGGGCGACGATGAGGATGAAGAGCTTGGCAATTCCCAAACACGCCGCAGCCCACCATCTCGAAACCGCCGCCCTGGCTCCAAGCTGGGCATAGAAATGATGCGAACCAACAGTCGTGGCAGTGTTGTCAGTGGCAGCGAAGAACTGCTAAAAAAAGAAAGGGAAGCTCTTCGGAACCAGGGTGACTCAGGTTACAATGAAGAGAGCGATGGATCTTTGGGATCGCCTGCTAGTACGAGTTTGGAGGATCGCTTTGAGGGTCTCAGCATCCCCGAAGAATCGGAAGGAGACGAATCAATTGATCCCAAAGACTCTCCATCTCCTTCAGTCCCCGGTCCCTCCGCCTCTCAGCATCGCCGACCCTCATTGGCGCACCACGATACCTCGATCTACTCTGGATCTCCTGCATCCAAGACCAGCAAGGGCCATACTACACCCCCATGGGAATTGACTCAGCCAACGTCCCGTGCCTCTGGTCCACCAATTACCCCCGAAGTCAAGATCTCTGGCCTGGCATTCGACTCCGGCTCTGGTCCAGACACAGACTGCAGTCCTACTCCTGACTCGGAAGCGACCCCACGACCTCTTCATCCCTCCCCGAGCCTGGATCCCGAGCATACTCCTCGGCCGAGCGAGCGACACCGATCGGATTTGAGCTCCGTATTCAAACGATAAAAGTAGCGCTGAAGCGCCGTTCGATCTGACGATCATCTTCTATTCTGTTTCACATATTTTGGCGCACCTACAATTCCTTGCTCTGTATAACGTTTTTGTGTGTATTTACCACACCGTATCCATTCCCTCACGTCTCTTATGTCTGAATGTCTGTTAGTCTTGGAGCAGGGTGTTCCGGTCTGTTTTGTTTTTGTTTATTTTTCTCATTGTTTCTGTTTTTTTTTTTTTTTATTCGTTCTTTTTATCCTCATCTTTTTTCCCCCTCAGCGACGATAGTTTCGTTTTTGATTCTTCATCCAGAAAGTCCAATACCGGCTTGATGCTGGCTCTTCCATAATGATTCCCTGCCGTAATGCGACTATTTTTGGACACGGCCCGTCCGTGTCCACCTCCCAACGTGCGACCCCGACTACGTTGCTGTCAGTGAGGGATCAGCGTGGTCCACACTTGTTTGATTTATAGTAGATTCAGTTGGCGCAGAGCTGACGCCACTCATTTACGCGAACCCGAGGGTTTGTTGTTCTATTCGTCCTCGAGTCTTGGGGGTGCGTTAGTGGCCATGTCCTGTGCGTTGATCTGCATTGATGGCCTACATGTACACATGCAATAAAGTGCCCACAATCTTGGACCTGGTTCAGATCATATACTGTAGAACATGTCCTCAATCTGCGTCATAAATGATCTCATAATTTGAATCTCAACCGGCGTCTACGCCACTCGTCTAGATAACATTTTCACTTGGAACGGATCGCACTGAGAAAACTCGGATTCTCATGCAGGGGACAGGCTTGGCGAGATCACATAAAACTGCCCATGGCGTATTATGCAGTGCATTGCGCATGTCTTTCCTGAATTTCCAGGTAAATCACAATCGCCACTGAGTGGAGTGGGTGGATCTGGATCAGCCTGTCAGAGATGTGCGGAACTATATGCCTGTCGATGCTTCGCTGGCCGAGACTTGCCAAGACAAAGTGATCGAAAAGCCCTCCTGAACGGGCTCGTATTAGTGTGGTAAGGGTGGTGAGGCATGAAGTAGGAAGAGAAAAGGGTAGAGTGGGAGAATTTTATAGATCTCAGACCTGACCTCACCACCGCCAATCTCCAACCACCAACCTCCCACCTCCCACCTCACCAAGTGGACAGCCACCTTACTTTAAACTTCTCTCGAGTCCAGACCAAAGAGTCCAGAGTGTCGGCCTTGACCCACCAGATCCACCTGGTTTCACTCTCGAAGTCGGACTCTTCTCATTTCTCTCTCTCTCTCTCTCTCTCTTTTTTGTAAAGCTGTCTCTATCGGTGGACTTTTCTATTCTCTCGCTTGATACCAGAATTGCCACGCTCACATTCCTCCTCCTTCATTCTTTGGCCTGGTGCCATTATGTCATCGCCTGTAGATGAGCGCAAGACCCTGCATCTAGAACCCAAGGATAAGCACCGAGACGACGACGTTTCTCCCACCTCCGACGATGGTACCTACGTGACCGAACCCGAAACGCGCCGTGAAGCGACCCATTTGAAGGTTGACACCAGCTACGAGGTCGTGGACGATGAGCCGCCCATGCGCACCCCTCCGCGCGGCGAGAGCAAGCCACTCGACTGGAGGATGATTTGATGCTGCTCCAGGCCGAGCGCGTGGTGTCGCGATCGACTCATGACGGCGATGGCGACGGCAACGGCAACGGCGACGAACACGATAAGAACTCCATCAATCGCGCTCGCTCGCGTCGCTCGGAGCAAGTGGATGAGTTCGACGAGGCAACCAACCCACTGCATGAAAAGGCCGCGATCTACAAGCCTCCTGAGTCGCCAAATACCAAGATTGCCGTCTTTGTGAAGCGGCTGCACCAGTCCAGTTTCCTCGTGCGCTACTTAACCTATATCGTCCCTGTTGTTCTGATTATCTTGATTCCCCTGCTGGTCGGTGCTCTCGAGTTTCCCAACGCGAGTGTTGGTGGTGTACAATTGATGTGGTTCTCCATCTGGTTGGAAATTGTCTGGTTGACTCTCTGGGCCGGTCGGGTAAGTCAAAGATGCGGATTGTCTCCTGAATACCGCTAACATTGTATAGCTCGTGGGTAAGTGTTTGCCTATTTTGGTCGGTGTTCTTGCCAGTATTTTCACCAACAACGCAAAGAAATGGCGGGACATGGCCAAGCAGTTGGAGCTTCACGCAGCCTTGTTCTTCTGGTGGCTCGGCGTGGAGATCTCTTTCTTGCCCACCATGAAGAACCACCACGTTGATGGCGACAAGAATACGAGAGGCTGGGAGAACACTCTCAACAAGATTATCATCGTCATCTTCGTCTGGACCATCCTCAATTTTATTGAGAAAATCCTTATCCAGCTGATCGCCATCAGCTTCCATCTTCGCACCTATGCCGACCGCATTGAGATTAACAAATTTCAGATTGGTAGTCTCACGAAGCTCTACGAGTTCTCTCGCGGAACCTTGCCAGATAAGAATGACGAATTCGAGGAGAAGAAAGAAGATGTCGGTGGGCCAGGCACCAAGACTCCCCTACACTATGCTGGAAAAGCGCAGCGCAAGGCCGTTGGCGCTCTCAACAAGGTTGGAAACAAGGTTGGCGACGTCGCTGGCGCTGTCGTGGCCGATGTCACTGGTCGCACGACCACTCGCAGCACCGACGCCTATCAAGTTATCCTAACTCTTTTGCGAACCACTTCTGGCTGCCAGGTTATGGCCCGTCGTTTGTACCGCACCTTTGTCAGGGATGGCTTCGAAACCGTGTTTGGTGGTGATCTTAAAGCTGCCTTCGATGACGGCGAGGAAGCCGAGGCTGCGTTTTCCATGTTTGATCGTGACATGAATGGTGATATTTCCATGGAAGAATTGGAAGCCGTCTGCGTGGATATTGGTCGCGAGCGCAAGTCTATCACCGCATCGCTGAAGGATTTAGACTCTGTCGTGTCGAAGTTGGATGATGTCTTCATGTTCTTTGTCATTGTCATTGTTGTCATCGTGTTCTTGTCTCTCATTTCAACCTCGGCCTCTGGCGTCCTGACCTCTGCCGGTTCATCGATCCTTGCCCTGTCCTGGCTGTTCTCTGCCACAGCGCAGGAGTTCCTCCAGTCGGTCATTTTCGTCTTCGTCAAGCACCCCTTTGATGTCGGCGACCGTGTGACTATCTACGGTAACGCTGGTGATGCTGGTCTTGGTGATGACTACTTCGTCAAGGAAATCACTTTGCTTTACACCGAGTTCAAGAAGATGCAAGGACATGTGGTCCAGGCACCTAACAGCTACCTCAATGGACTCTTCATTCTAAACCAACGTCGCTCCGGTGCACTAGCTGAGGCTGTTCCCATCGTCATCAAATATGGCACAACCATCGATCAACTCGACACCTTCCGTCAGCGACTTCTTGAGTTTGTTCGCAGCGAGAAGCGTGACTTCCAGAGCAACATTCTCACTGAAATGCGTGCTGTTACCGAGAACTTCTCCCTTACGCTCAACGTGGTTTTCTTCTACAAATCCAATTGGCAGAATGAGGGTCTCCGTTTGCAGCGTCGCAACAAGTTCATCTGTATGATGATGCTTGCATTGCAGGAAATTGGCATCGAGGGCCCACGTATGAACCTCCAGGGTGCCAAGTTCGACATTCCCTTCCACGTCAACTATGGCAACCCACGCAACGCTGGTACTCGTGGCAATCTTCCCGACGAGCCCACCGAAGCCGAGGAGATTCTATCCGAGACTCAACATCTTCCCGAAAACACCGGCACCAGCAGCAGTAGTGCCGCCCGCCATCCATCTATTCTTCGCAAGGGCATGAACACTGCCACTGCTCGTGCCCGCGGTCCATCCATTTCGCAGCGCAAGCACGTCGATTTCTCCTTGGGTATGTCTAACATGGCTTCCAACGATATCATGGGCGATGTGTTTGAGGATCGTGGTGCGCGTGTCGACGATATTGTTCGCAATGCCAACCGCGATGCCACCGAGCGCCGTATGCAAGAAGTGACCGAAGAAGAGGAGGAACGTCGGAGTCGGACTTCTTCTTCCCGCCATCGTCGCCCCTCGAATTTGAGTGCTCCTAGCAACGAGGAAAGTCGCCGGTCGACTGACGCTCATAGCTTCCGCAGTGGTCACTCTTCACTCAGCCGTAACCGCTTCTTCCATCATCGCAGCAATCTCAGTGAAGATCGTGATGATCTCATGGAACAAGGTCGCTCTGATCTGCCCCCTCCTCCTCCTGCCGCCGTCTCTGGTACCAAGGAGCATCCAAACTGAGTGAACAGCCATGATGGTTGATCAAATCGTCTGACCTCATTTAGACTGCGTTTAAATGTCCTTGATTGTTTTCTTTGCTGCACAGGCACTTTACACTGGTGCATTCGGTCGACTAATCTGTTCTTCTACCATATATATATATCCCCATACCGGTCTTTAACCTTTCCTTTTATCTTTTGTGTCATATTAAGCGTTCGGGTTGTGATTTGATTTTCATACAAAACAACGCCACTTTCCCCCATTCATGTGTGATAGTTGCATTTCGATGTCTATGCATCACAGTTCAATCAAAGTTTCTCTACGTTTCCCAAACGCATGATTTACCAACTTCCCCATTCACAGTATTTAGTTTACGAGGGACGAAACTCGGACTTCGATTTTCACGACTTCCAATGAGGTTGCATCGATAAGCATGGGAGTGCTCGGAGTTCGGAGTGCTAACTTAGCATCGGAGTCTAAAGCTCATCCATAAACCTGCCGGACTTCCTTTTCCAAAACCTCAACACATTTGCCATGTCCTGTCCAACTGGAAGTGATGATATTCTTGGACCGCGAGTAAGCGTTCTCTGTCGGCCTTTTGATTTCACACTTCTGTTCGAAGATGCGTTCTTCAAGGTCTTGCCAGCGAGCTTGTTTCTTCTGGTCACCGCAACACGTCTTTGTGTCCTTGTTCGTGCACCGGTAAAAGTCACGTCTCACCGATTAGCAACGTGTAAGCTTGTATGTATGAGTGAGCTGGCAGTTTGGAACTTTGGCAATTTCGAGATACTGAAAAGGATTCGGCATAGATTGTCCTCGGCTTATTGCTACTTTTCCATCTACTATACCTCGCATTTCGCATCCAGAACCCCTTTCTATATACCAGCCTGTCACTGGCTTCTAGTATTCTGGATGTCGTCGTTATCATGGCATCGCTCCTGCTGTCGTGGCTGGAAGATCAACGCTCAATACGGCCATCGGACCTGATGATCATTTACTTTGCTGTCATGACTATTCTTTCCCTTGCGCGAGCTCGCAGTCTGTGGCTCTTGACAGTTCCCACTTCTAGACCAGCTGCTTTGTGGACACTAATTTGTGCCGGCACAGCTGCTGTGCTGGGCATGGAATCTGTGCACAAGACCCAGCGTTTGGGCATGGCATATCACCAGCCAAGTAAGGAAGTCACCGCGAGCTTTTGGGTAAGAAGCTTTTTTATCTGGGTGATTCCCCTGTTTCGCACGGGATTTTCAACTATCCTTGCGGTTCATGATATGCCCAATGTTGACACTGCTTTGACGGGAGCAGAGGCTGAACGGAAAATTATAATTGCTTGGGCTCGCGGTACGAGATATTCCAGACTAATAATCGAGTTCAGTGCTTGACAAATTCTATAGTGAATCCAGAGTCCAAGCATCGTCTGCTGCGAGCAGCTTGTCGTGCATACTTCTTACCCTTGGTCAGCGCCATCATCCCTCGACTGTGTCTCTCTGCATTTAAGTTTTGTCAGCCGTTTCTCATCTCGGCTACTTTGAATTTCATGTCTTCTCAGTCGACCCCGGAGAATCAGATATATGGTCCAGCATTGGTGGGAGCGTACGTGCTCACATACCTCGGGATGGCTGTATGTTGCCCATCTACTGAATTCATACACAGATAGTTGACAGTCTATCTAGATATCAAACGCGGTATACTGGCGCCAAGCGTTCCGCCTGAACACCATGTTGCGAGCTGGACTTATTCCTCTGATATATCGACAGACTACAAAGCTTCATGCCGCTGACTTTAAAGACAACCCCGCGATCACTCTGATGGGAACTGATGTTGAGCGCATCATTACTACACTGCACGCTCTACATGAGGCATGGGCAGCCCCGTTGGAAGTAGGCGTTGGAATCTTTCTCTTGGAGCGACAGCTGGGAGTTGCTTGCTTGATCCCAGCGGTTATATCGCTCGGTAAGAACCTTTCCTTGATCCTGCCATATCTCATCTAATAAATATTTAGTCACCGTCATTGCAAGCGTCCCCATTTCCCAGAAGTCGAACGCGGCCATCAGCAGATGGATTGAGCGTGTCCAGGCTAGGCTCGGTGTCACCTCCAGTATGCTACAGGACATGAAGTCTGTCAAAATGTTGGGTTTGACCGAGAAACTATTCGAGTGTGTATCTCAGTTGCGGCGAGTGGAGTTGCAGGTATCGGAAAGGTTTCGGAAATTGCTTGTGGTGCAGGTCATTCTGTGTATGTTGATTCTTCATACTCGACGGCGATAGCCGACTTTCACGATACTAATGCTGATACTAGCATACATACCTCTTACTTTGGCTCCTTTTGCTACCTTCAGCATCTTTACTATCATCTCCGCCGTCAAGAATAGTGACGCCCTCTTATCAACGCGAGTATTCACTTCGCTCTCTTTGATCTCCTTAACGACTGCACCGCTGCTGGTCTTTGTTCAACTTCTCCCATCCCTATATCAGTCCATCGCATGTTTTGACCGCATTGAGATGTACTGTACCAAAGTTACTTTGGACGTGCTAGAAGAACAATTTTCAACAAACTCCATAGAGCTCTCGCAGGCTCTCTCAGCCCCATCGTCGACCTCGCATGATCCAGTCATGGAATTTACCAAAGCAAGCTTCTCTTGGTCTCAGGAAACGACCACAGTTCTGCATAACCTGAACTTTGCAATCAAGAGAAAGAAGATTACGGCCATCATTGGACCTCTTGGAAGTGGCAAGACTACACTCCTGGAAAGCACACTTGGAGAGACTGTCTTGACAGATGGGTCAATGTCCCATTTCCTGTCAAATGTCGCTTATTGCCCCCAAATCGCATGGATCGTCAATGATACAATTCGCCAAAATATCATTGGTCCATTAGCATTCGACCTGAAATGGTACCAGTTTGTCATCTGGGCATGCGCTTTGGAGAATGATCTTGAAGATATTCCCGAAGGAGACCTTTCCAAGGCAGGAAGCTCTGGAGTAACGCTGAGTGGAGGTCAAAAGCAACGGATTGTAAGTGATGAGCTCTTGAATGGCCATTCAACTAACCCACATAGTCCCTTGCCCGAGCTCTATACTCTCGTGCTCCAGTGCTGGTGCTGGATGATGTATTTAGTGGACTGGATAACAAGTCTATTACTACCATAACCTCGCGCCTCTTCACATCCGATGGGCATTTCAAGGATTCTGGGAAAACTGTTATTCTCGCCACGCATAACCGTAAGTCAAAGAGCACTTGCGAAACTAGGGTTCAATTAACAGAATCGCAGATCGAGTACTCCCATACACCGATGAAATTATTATCTTGGACGAAGGAAAAGTGACAGAAATCACGACGTACGACTGTATTCGACACTATTTACCACAAGAGAGCGACACAGAATCCAATGAAGTTTTACCAGATGATGAAATACGCAACGAGAGAGAACCGCGGACTAGGATCTCTGCATCGAGTTCTCAACCACGCGATGAAGAAGAAACCGACCAAGATATTTCTCGCAGGGATGGAAAATGGTCTGTTTATGCATATTATCTCAAGTCTGCAGGTTGGAAGATGATAGTCATTCTCGCAGCCTCGGTTGTGCTTTTTGGATTCTCAGATAAATTCACGAGTAAGTTTTCGCATGGACTCCGATGTCTCTTTACTGATTGTCATATAGCTATCTGGCTTCAGAGTTGGTCTGATGCCAATGAGCAGCGTCCGAATCAAAGGCTAGGATTTTATCTCGGCATTTATGCAGCATTGTTTGGAATTTCATTCCTTTCACTTATTACTGCCTGCTGGTCAGTCTCATCGAGAAGCCTACGTGGTATTTTTTTGACATAATAGTTTCAGGGCGCTTTTTGTCCGAGTCATCAATAACACCGGTCTAATGATGCATGCCCATCTACTACGATCTACTATGAAGTATATAACATCTTGGAATTGCGCGCAAACTGTCTTCAATGCTGATATTTCATCTAGTGCTCCATTTAGCTTCTTCCAAAAGGTTGACGCTGGACTGACAACGAATCGGTATGTGCTCCTGCGCAATGAATGGAATGTGCCATGAGAATTGATTCTCGCAGATTTAGTCAAGATATAGAGCTCATTGACATGAGTTTGCCCATTCAAGCAATCAACACCTATCTTGGTAGACCCAATATGGCATCCGGATATTGCCTTGTATCTGAGCTGATCGACTTGATAGGATTTTCTAACTGCTGCGTTCAGCTTGTCATCCTTGGCATCATGGGAAAATATTTGACAATAACCGTCCCTGCCTTGGCCGTGATTCTGTATTTCGTTCAGAGCTACTACCTGCGTACTTCTAGACAGGTGCGTCTTCTCGATATAGAAGCGAAGTCTCCTTTGTTTACACACTTTGTGGAGACTATTCAAGGAATGGCTGTCATTCGAGCCATGGGGTGGAAGGTGCCATTCCAAGAGAGATTGGAAGATGCACTCAATCAATCACAAAAGCCCTTCTATATGCTTTTTTGCATCCAACAGTGGCTACAACTTGTCCTGGACTGTGTTGTCATGGCCCTCGCAGTTATACTTGTATCGTTGGTTGTTTCGTTAAAAGACCAATTCAGTTCAGGATCCATTGGGGTGGCTTTGAACTTGATCTTGAGCTTCAATACAGATCTCATGATGTTGATCAGGTCATGGACCGTACTTGAGACTTCTATCGGAGCAGTTTCGCGTGTTCTAAGCTTTGTCAACGACACACCGTCGGAATATCAGCTTGAGGGCACCACCGAGTCTCCGACTCGGTGGCCTTCTCATGGCGAGGTAATATTTGACAATGTGGTAGCGAAGTATAGGTGTGGCTCCCTCTGGCATACACTACATTCTCAAACTGACCCAAATTATGAACAGCTCTGATGCTCCGTCAATCTTGAATGGAGTCTGTCTTTCGATTAAGCCAGGCGAGAAAATCGCAATTTGTGGCTCATCGGGCAGTGGCAAAACATCTCTCATCTTAGGACTGCTGAAAATGATTGAACTGCAAAGTGGCACCGTCAGTATAGATGGAGTGAATCTCAGCCCCCTACAATGCCATGAAGTGCGCTCTCACGTCAATGTCATTCCACAGGATCCATTCTTCATGCCTGGCACCTTGAGAGTCATCTTGGACTGTGGAACTGCCAGTGTCATCCTCCCGGACGAATGTCTCATCGAGGCCCTTGAGACGGTTGGTTTATGGAAAAAGATTGTCAGTGTGGATAGAGGACTTGACCAGCCACTATCGGTATCCGACTGGTCCATGGGTGAGCGTCAGCTCCTTGCTCTGGCACGGGCATTAGTCAAGAAGAGTTCCATATTGGTGCTGGACGAGGCGACCAGCAGGTGTGTTCTCCTTTCTCCCTAGTTGTACCATAATTAATGACCTCCAGTGTGGACTGGGAGACTGAATCCACAATACAGACCATCATCGAACGCGAATTTGCATCTCAAACAGTCATTGCAGTGGTACACCGTCTACGATTCATAGACAGGTTTGATCGAGTTGGCCTTATGAAACAGGGCTCTCTCATTGAATGTGATCGACCTCAGACTTTGCTCTCAACACGATCCGAGTTTCGGGCGTTTTATCATACGAGACAAAGCGAGTGAAGTCTTCTACTGGTTTAGAAAGAAAGCGTTTTCCCTAGGCGAGGACATTACTTTACGGGGGAATATAGCAGCTGCTCATGGATGGTGTCTACTATAGCATGCCTTGTATGGTTTCAGAGACAATTCAAATCCAAATCGGTTGCAAAGATGCACAAATCAAGATCAACTTTAATTTCCAGTCTGCTGCTAAATTAGTGCTCACTTTGGCGGTTTGCTGAAGACTGATGTTGCTCGTAACGTCAACACAAACACCCTCAGCCTTCTTCTTTCCTTTCCTCTCTTCTGTCTTTCCCTTTCGTATCTCACACCCAACCTTTCTCCTTCTCTCTTGATACTGTTGTCCAACAATCTCACTATGCGAGGCGAGGTAAGGTCTTAAGCTCTGCTCTGACTGTTCTTCCAGTCCCCAACACGTCTGCTTGAAGAAGCGCTTGATACGTGACTCTCAAAACAGAACATAACCAAGCGAGTTGATGCTAACTCGAGATCTCAGATCTGCCACATCCACATTGGCCAGGCTGGTGTACAGCTTGGTAACGCTGCGTGGGAGCTGTATGTCACCTCGCTGCGTCTCCATTCTCATGCTGAAACAGAAAACAGTTATCTCCTTGAACATGGACTCAACGCCGATGGATCCATGAGCCCTGATGTGATCGACGACGCCGTGAGAAGTGGATCTTACGAGACATTCTTTACAGAGACCAGCGTCGGAAAATACGTCCCTCGTGCCATCTTCATCGATCTGGACCCCTCTGTACGTGCTTGCATATAACTCGAAGGAAGCATATTTTCAAGGCGGACTGACTGATTGCAATAGCCCATCGACGAGATTCGCACCGGTACATATCGCGAACTCTTCCACCCAGAGCAGTTGATCAGCGGAAAGGAAGATGCTGCGAACAACTGTATACCGCGACCTGAGAAACACTAGCTGAGCGAAGCAAGCTAACAAGAGACAGATGCGCGTGGCCACTACACTACTGGAAAAGACATTGCTGACGACGTTCTCGGTCGAATCCGTCTTGTGTCTGGTAAGGAAATAACTCAACCAGTTGGCGGTGACTTTTAACTGACCAATTCATAGAGAATTGCGGCTCTCTGCAGGGCTTCATGATCTTCCATTCCTACGGTGGTGGTACAGGCTCAGGATTTGGCTCGCTGCTGCTGGAACGGATTACCACCGAGTTCAGCCGCAAGGCCAAGCTGGAGTTCTCAATCTACCCTTCACCTCGTACCTCGACTGCAGTGGTGGAGCCCTACAACACCGTGCTATCTACCCATAGTACTATTGAGAACTCGGACTGCACTTTCTTGGTGGACAATGATGCAGTGTACGGCATCTGCCGCCGTAACTTGGACATTACCCGTCCCGGCTACGAGCATATGAACGGTCTTGTTGCTCAAGTGATCAGCTCTTTCACGTCCAGTTTGCGTTTTGACGGCGCTCTCAACGTCGACCTGGCTGAATTTCAGACAAATCTGGTGCCATACCCACGTATACACTATCCTCTGATCTCGTATGCTCCGGTGAACGGCGAGAAGAGTAGCTCCCATGAAAGCTACAAGGTGCAAGACCTCACTTTCAAATGTTTGTCTCCTGTGCCCGGTTCATGTTCTTTGACTGACTCTGAAATAGGCTTTGAGCCAAGAAACCAGATGGTTATGTGTGATCCCCACAAGGGCAAGTACATGGCTGTGGCTTTGCTTTACAAGGGCGATGTAGTTCCTCGCGAGTGTTCACAGGCCATCGCTGCTCTCAAGGCCAAGAGTTCCTTCAACCTGGTCCAGTGGTGTCCCACCGGCTTCAAAGTCGGGATCAACTACCAAAAGCCTGTCCGTGTTCCCGGTAGTTTGCTAGCCCCTGTGGATCGCTCAGTTAGCATGCTGGCCAACACTACTTCTATCGCCGAGGCTTGGTGCCGTCTTGACCACAAGTTTGACCTAATGTACTCCAAGCGTGCTTTTGTGCACTGGTATGTGGGTGAAGGCATGGAAGAGGGCGAATTCACAGAGGCGCGTGAGGACCTGGCTGCCCTGGAGAAGGACTATGCGGAGGTGGCTGAAGATAACAATGTGCAAGCAGTGGAAAATGAGTACTGATTACCCTGGGCCGTTGTTATGTCTTCAGAATGGCATGCTGCTTCCTGGCGGGAGTGCATGCCTATACCTGTTTGATGACTTGTACACTGTATGTTTATTAGCTTCAAATTTGTTAAGATATTCTTGAAGATATCTTGGACACGAGAGAGTAATTCAAGACAGGACACAGAAAATCTTGAAATGAATAAACCTGTTCATGTAATTTCGTCTGAAGCTGTGCGTAATCACATAGAGTGTTCAATATTTCCCGACATAAAAGACCTGATACCTCCACAACGTTCGCTATAGGGGGTGTGCTAAGGGTACGCCTTCCTTTTCACATTGGCTAATTCGCAGTCTGAACTGAATGCCCTAACATGTATCCTCTTCAAGTATAACATTCGAGAGATACGCAATATCTGCGATTATCTTTGGCTTCAGGCGAGAGTAGTAGTTGGGATAACGAGTGGGGACAGAAATACCTTATCCTACTCAAAAAAAGAAGATAGATAGGGTCAAGGTGTTATAAATACTGGGTTCGATCAGGGGTTTGTACGCCTAATTTGGAGGTATTGGGAAAAGCATATATAGTTCGATGATAGGGGGAGAAGGGAGCATGTACCTTGAACATGTCGGCTGAATAAAGCTTCTGTTCGAGGCTATGACCGTTGTCCCTGGTGTTTACTTGCGGGATGGATTGGAGACGAGGGATTGCCATTCACTAGACATCTTTTGCGGCAGATTTCTTTTAATTGTCTGGCAGATTAACGCAATTCATACTCCATTCGTAACCCCAACGCCGTTCAATGCTCCATGCAGCTGTATCAGTAGCCGAGCCCAAATTTCAGGTGGCGGCTGCAACCTCCAGCTCTTCCAGTGCCCTCAATGTGCGTTCATAAGTCCACATTGTTACTGCACTCGCTGGCGCCGCTTTGAGTAAACTCACTGTGAGCCCACGGTATAACCCCCGAACGCCTTGCGTGCGCAGAATAAGAGCAATACTCTGAATAACCCCCCTGTACTCGGGAATGTTGCGATGGACATATCGTGTCCTTGTCGGTCCCTGTACTTGCAAGCGCTTGCGGACCAAATCAAGCGGAAACACACCGGTCTTGGCCAATACACTGGCAAGCACACCAGCAGCCGCATCCCCTGTACCGAAAGGTAGGGAATCCCACGTCGTCAACGCTGGCCTGAATGCCTCATATGTTGTGAAGAAAAGGCCCATGTATGGCACGATTTGCGCAATCGCAGCAGAACAACCCCGGAAGAACCCTGGTAGGCCCTCCTGTCGCGCAATATCCATAACGGAAGCCCGCAATGAGCCGTAGACACGATCCGAGCCTTGTGCAGCAAATCGTGTACGAAGGAGGTCTAGTGGGTATGTGGCGCCTGTGGCACATCCACCTGCAACAGCTCCAGATATGAAGGATTCGGCGGACGATGGGGGTCGATAGGGGCCGAGTTGCGCAATAGCCTGTGTTGTTGCTCGATACGTGGTGAATTGAATGGCGCCGTAGCAGACGTACATCATCTCGGCTGGGATGTTGCCTTTCCAAAGACCCTGTCGCTGGGTTAGTATTGGTGCCAACTGTTTCCAGCGCCAAAACATACGGTGATTCCCTCTTGCTTCATGATTGCCCGCATTGTGGACAGCGTCCCCTTGTAAATTGGCCCATTGACCCCCTGATGTGAGATTGGGTCCGACAATGAGTGAATCTGCAGCTGCAGCCGGATTTTGACGACATCCAGCGGCGCAATGCAGAACCGTGAGATCAGCCCGGCGATTCCGCCAGCCAGCACAACCTGTCGTTTGGTGCCTTCATCTTTGAGATGCTCGGCCCCTGACATTGAGACGAAAGTGAATCAAAGAATTGCCATGCTGGACTGGACTGGAATGAGAATCATAAACAAGGATTTACGTAAGGTGAGTCGCCTCCAGGTCAAGAATGATAGTGGCCTGAGGCAGAAGTTGATACCTGAGTTTGGTGCCTGAATTCGATGCCTCAATCTGCTGCCTCAGGTGTTGATCTGTCAGCCGAGGTCCGCGAAACAGTCAACTCTTTCACCTTCTCAGCTTCCAAGCCTCCATATTCTACCCAAGATTCTTCTTCAAGACATCTCACATCCTCCATGCACCGTCTCAAACCTTCAACTATCTCTCGGCAGCTGCCGAGCAGTTTACCTCGCTCAATTCCCAGGCGCAACTTCGCCGTTGCGGCTCATCAGCCTAACAGTTCTCCGCAATCTGACCCCCGCGACCCAGCAAATATACCAAATCAACCCCAAAATACCAACACAACCCCCCCCAACCGGACCAACCTGACGGAACCCACTTCTCATCTAGCAGTCCCCAAATCCTATACTCTCAAGAATGCTGTTGTGGAGGGTCAAGGTCAATGCTGGCTGGACAATGAGGTATTGTACTTGCATCGCAGCAACGGCACAACAATGAAACTCCCTTATACCTACCTTCGCGATTTCTGTCAGTGTCCGCTCTGTAAGGATGAACACTCGCACCAACGTCCTTTTCGCACAAACGATATTCCAAAGGATGTTAAGCCAAGCTGGGTCAAATGGACTGGAACCACCCTAGACATTCAATGGGCCAACGATATTCCCGGTTGGCCAGCCCACCACAACTCACATTGGAGCATTGACCAGCTGCAAAAGCCGACACTCGATCCTCATGTGACAGTGAGGCCCACGAAACCAGTGACATGGAGTGGATCTTATATGAACCAGGAACAGCATTGGATCTCTTACGAGGATTATGTTGGGGGTGGCTTTCAGTTTGCCAAAGCCATGAATCAGCTACAAACCAAGGGCCTGATTTTCATCAAGAATATTCCGAAATCCAGGGAAATGGTGGAACAGATCGCCACAAGCATGGGCCCTTTGCGGAACTCATTCTATGGCTCAACATTTGATGTGCGGACTGTTCCAAATGCGCAAAATGTGGCATATACAAACACATTCCTTGGATTTCACATGGACTTGATGTACATGAACGAGCCACCTGGATACCAACTCCTTCACTGTTTGGAGAACTCATGTCAGGGAGGCGAGTCGCTGTTCGCTGATGCATTTCATGCCGCTGCAAAAATGCGTGCTAAGCACCCCCACGATTTTAAAAAGCTGTCGGAGCAGCGCTTGGGCTATGAGTACAGACACGAGAACAGCATTTACTATAATGAGCGACCAGTGTTCGAGCTTGACCCCAGAACGCAAGAAATGCGCCATGTCAATTATTCGCCCCCGTTCCAATCTGCTCTTCCGCCTTCAAAGGGGGTTGAACAGGATTCAAGCTCTATCCATGAGTTGCAAGATGCCCTCTCCATATTCACTAGTCTAATTGAGCAAAGAGATTCCATCTTTGAACTGAAGCTCAACCCAGGAGAGTGTGCCATCTTTGACAACCGACGAATTGTCCATGCGCGCCGGCAATTTGACTCCACCGGAGGATCTCGCTGGCTAGCAGGTGCATATGTCGATACCGATGCGCTGCTTTCCTGCTTTGCTGTCGGCCGGACCAATTTCCCTGCAGCCTGGAAGAAACCAAAGTAATTCTAGGGAGACCTTCGCTGCAATTGAAAATGGACTTTAACCAATAGCATAGCAAATTTGAACTAACAGAGGTACGAACGAAGTAGAATGTAGGACCAACATTTCTCGCTCGTAAAGTCTTACTGTCTGTACACCATGGAATGCACATTCCTTGAGACGTTCAAAGTTCCCACGGCATGGTGATTAACTAAGACTACACTGCACAAGTAAGCATCGGTAATGGGGTTGTATGTAAAGGTTTTATAAGGCGGGATTACTGTTGATATCCCCTGCCAATTCATGTGAGCCTTGTGTATTTTAATCATATCATTTAGAGAGATTGGCAGTGTTTGCAATGACGCCTTTAAACACTACTTGAACTAAAAGTCATACAGTATTGAAAGTGAAGAATTGAAGGGGTGAAAAAGAAAAGTCAAGCACAGAAGCCTCGCCAGGACCAAGCATATATCATAATGTTCGACTTTTAGCATCTAGCACCAGGGACAGGGGAGTCATGGGTATCGTGCAACAAAAGCCAATGACTTAAGCTGCGGTCGGCTTGTTGACGGAGAATTCATTGAGGAAGTCGGGATCGGCATTGATTTCCTCGCGGACCTGCATCGAACAATTAGTAATAAGATCAACGAGAAGATCAACATTGGATACTTACAATGTCCAAACCACCAACCAACTCGCCGCTGACCCACAGTTGGGGGAAAGTAGGCCACTCGGCGTATTCCTTGAGACCCTGTCGAACGTCCTCGTCGGCCAGAATATTGAAGAAACCGTACTTGACACTGCGCTCACGGAGGATGCCGACCAGCTGTCGACTGAAGCCACATTGTGGGCTACTGGGAGTTCCCTTCATAAACAGCATGACCGAAGCGGCCTTGACCAGCTGCTCGAGACGGGCAAACAGAGCTTCCTTGGATTGTTCTGGCGTCAGACCGGGAGCGGATGCGACAGCGGTGGCATTGGCCGAGTCGGTAGGAGGAGCTTGAGAGGCAGAGACAGGAGCCTGGGTCGCCGTGATAGGGCCATCCTCACGAGGCACAGCGGAGAGTGGTGGAGGAATTGTAGTTCTCACACCATCCATCGGACTGGCACTTGCTCCCTGTCCGCGGCCCGCGTGACGCTCGACCGCATCCCGCACCTTCACGGCATCACTTCCACTAATTGACTCCAAGATCTGACCACTGCGCAAGCAGACGACAAAAGGCACGGCAGAGACATCGTACTCCTCCGAGATATCAGGAAGCTCCTCAGCGTTGATGCTGACAAACGAGATGGTAGGCGGGGTCGTGGCGGGGTACTGCGAAGCGAGGGCGGAGAGGACAGCGCCCATTTGCGCGCATGGAGCCGCCCATGGGGTGTGGAAATAGAGGACAACCAATGCAGAAGGAGATAGTGAGGAAAGGTGCGACGAGAAGTCGGCCTCGGATGTGATTTCAGTGAGCGCGGACATGGTGGGATGGCGGGGAAGAAGAGGAGTGGCCGGCGCCGGCGATTATCTTCGAAGGATTCAGTTCTCAGGTATAAATGGAATACAAGAAGAGAAAGGGAAGCAGCCTACACAAGTAGAGGTTGTGTCGCAAAGGTGACTCTTGCTACCCACGAACCCACGCAATCCTCCGGTTATCAGATCGGATTTGCGCTGTTTGCACCATTTGCACTTGTCACGCCTTAATATCACGTGACACCTATATCTCCATGTGACTTGCTCTATCTCGCGAATTCCTTGCGAACCTCCAACAGTCAACCACGCTGACATGGGAAACCGGAAGAGAAAGCTCAGTTCTGATCACTCAGAAGCCCCCGGTGATAGAGCTCCCGAGGCGATACCTCAAGTCCACGTCGATAACCCAAGCACCGACGGCTCCAACGGCAATGCGACAAAGAAGCGGAAGAGAGTAGATGGAGAGAAGGTGAAATACCCAGATCTTTCCTACTCTGATGGAAAGTTGCAGTCGTCAATCCGAATTTCAGACCTGCAGGGACTACTTCTCTACTGCTTTGCTGACGGAATTGCACCACAATGGATCTCGATGAAGCATTCTGGCCATGTGCGCAAGGTGGTTGTACTGATGGTACCTGGACTCGAGATGGGCATGTTCGATAAGACCATTCCTATTGAACCGACTGAAAACGAAGAGGAGTCGAAAGCCAAGGAAGTGCCACCCACGGAACCACTCCAAGACGATCGGGCCGTCGATTTTGAACGATGGAAACAAGGGCTCCCACAGGAAGACCGTTCGCACCGCTTCAATCCTCGTCCTCTCGCGCGTGAAACCCTTCCTCAACCCCTTCAACATTTGGCAGACATATTCCCTCACATTTGGCCCGTTAAGGCGCCAGGTGACAACAAATATAACAAGGTCCACTCGCCTTTGCAGGCCATTTTGCTGTCCGCGGCTCCCAAATCCAAAAATGACGAGTCCCGTGGAAAAGGTCCTCGCCCTGCCAAAGTGGAAAAAAACTTTGTTCCCCAGCGGACGCCCATCATCAAATTTGTCACCAGCCGCGAAGATCTTGAAGACAGCGACTACATCCTGCATCCCGCATTTTTCACATTGGAGGAGAGGTCTTCCCAAGCTGAGGCCCGTCAACGAGGTGGAACTGCAGCAGAAGATGGATGGGTGGATACTGAAGTGCCAACGCTGGAATCTGCCGAGGTGCCTGATGCGGAGATTGAAAAGGGCAGCATGACTGCTGGACGGGATGTTTTCGCCCTTGATTGTGAAATGTGCATTACAGAAGGGGGTCAGTCTGAACTGACGCGGATCAGCATGGTTAACTGGGACGGCGAAGTGGTCCTGGACGAGCTCGTCAAACCAGATCGACCTGTTATCAACTACCTGACGCGCTTCTCCGGAATCACACCAGAAATGCTGGAACCTGTGACAACAACCCTTGCCCAAATTCAACAGCGACTCCTGGCACTTCTTACACCGCGGGCCATCCTCGTGGGACACTCTCTTAACTCCGATCTCACTGCCCTGAAACTGGTTCATCCCTTCATCGTCGACACCAGCATCATCTACCCACACCCACGCGGTCCACCTTTGAAGTGCAGTCTGAAATGGCTGACCCAGAAGTACATGAACAAGCAGATCCAAAATGGGATGGCCGGTCACGACTCTATTGAAGATGCCCGTGCTGTTCTGGAGCTGGTTAAGTTGAAGTGCGAGAAAGGCGAACGCTGGGGCACCAGTGATTCCTCCAACGAAAGCATCTTCCGTCGTCTTGCACGCTCTGTTCGCCCAGCCTATGTTCCTCGTCCAGGCGAAGAACGAACCGGCGCTGTGGTCGATTGGGGAAATCCTGAACGTGGGTTTGGCTCACAAGCAACGGTTTGCATTGGATGCCGAGATGATGATGAGGTGGTGAATGGTGTCTCCGCGGTGATCAATGGCGACGAGTCAAATGTTTCCATTCCTGGCGGTGGTGTAGACTTCGCTTGGGCTCGTATCCGCGAGCTCGAGTACCTCCGTGGCTGGTGCAATCGCATGCCTGACCCGAAGAACGCCAATGAGTCTACGGGTCTTATTCCTCCGCCAGAAGAAACCACACCTATGACGGGCACTGGCACCGAGGTAGCAGACCTCCCACAGCCTGACGTTCTGGCTCAGACGGTTTCAAAAACCGTATCCCACATCTCGCGCATCTACGACTCACTTCCCCCGTGTACACTCTTCGTGGTTTATTCTGGAACTGGAGACCCACGTGAAGTGAGCCGGTTACAGAACATTCACAAGCAACATCGGGAGGAGTTCAAATCCGGCAAGCCATGGGACTCTCTGACTTACAAATGGACCGACACCGAGGAGCAATTGCTGAAGAAAGCGTGCGAACGTGCGCGTGAGGGCTGTGGCTTCATGTGTGTGAAATGATCTATATGTACTGTAGATAGCTGGAATTTCCGACATGGACATTTGGTGTCAGCTCTTTATTAACTAGCGAATGCAAACCCAAATCTGGGCCTCTCGGCCTAGCCAAATTTCAAAGTAATTTCCCTCCGTCTCCTGTAACTTAATCCCTTGAGTGGCTTAGGGCTTGGTTCGATTCGCCGTCGATTCGCTGAATACCATCGGGACCCACCTGACTTGGCAAAAAGATCTTCCCAACACCACCACCACCACCATGAACCCATTCGCGCAAAAGGTGTGGCATCGAGTGGCTTTGGTATCGGAACTGCCCAATCTCGATGATGAAAAAATCGCCTCCCGATGCAAAGCCTTCAGGGTCGTGGTCGGCCAGTCTCCGGTCGAGGCAGATCTGGACGTACCAGGGGATCTGAAAGACCAAGTAATGGTCTTCAAATATAAGGATAAGGTCCACGCAATAGACCATGTAAGCCACCAGAAGCGCCTCGAAGACGAAGCTGACCCCAAAAAGCAATGTCCTCACTCTGCATTCCCTCTGTCGCAGGGCAGCCTCTTCGACATTGAGGACTTTGGCATTACCCTGAGCACTGGCATCACCTGTCCCAAACACAATTGGTCCTTTGACATCATCTCTGGACATGCTGATCGTGGCAACTACCGTCTAAAGGTCTGGGAGGTACAGCTACGTGACTGTGAAGGTACCGACAAGGAAGTGTGGGTGAGACGCAAGCAACGAATCGGTTGAATCCGTCAATTCTTTGACTAGACCTCGGTGGGCACTCCAATTGATGAGCTAGAGTCTGCCTCGTCTTCTCAACGAATCTGTACTTCATCAGTCGCAATGAACGGATCACAGCTTGCATGAATGCGCATGCTTTTGAGCCCCCTCTCTTGGGCCAAGTCTCCAAATAATTACCCCTGTGTCTCTTTGGCAGCACACAAACTGACATACGATGCTTGATTTGACATGTAAGTAAAAAGAACTCGTGTATGAATGTGGGCTCGATTATGCTGCCAATGAGTCTCTCTTTTACACCGAAGTGCTGAAAGCACAGTGTGGCCGTTTCATTCAATAAAGGTCAATGTATTCGGAAACTTGTTAGATATTCAAAGGCAAGATGCATCCGGCCTTTTCTTTGCTTTTTGTGCATACGATATATGAAAATTCTAATCACACTAGAGATCCCTCTGTAATCAATCTAACTTCCAAGGTTCAATTAACCTGTTACCGCCTAACTAGTATTGCAATAGCCAAGTAAGCCGGGCTCTAATCAGAATAGTCGAACCCAAATGCATTCATTGGTTGTGTACATCCCGTTCTATGGTTAGTAACACTTTTGTTCAAAGTTACGATGCAATGATGACGATTGAAGAATGCACAATTTAGATCTTGGTAAAGGAATAATCGAGTTGTTTAAGTCTGGGGATTATTATTTATCTGAGAAGCCCCTTGTATATTGTAGTGGGGAAATCACGAGATTTGTATGATGTCGCAATTACCTTACGAATACTATATAAAACCGGGTCTATAGATGATCCGTCGGCATAGCTTATATAACTAGAATAGACCCATAAATAGCGAGAAATAGGGGTAATGGAAATATAGAGTCATTTACATCTCTAATTAGCCGGATATAGTACAAATGGTGACATATGATTACTGCCTTAGGCAGTGATGTCCTCAAGGAAAGGATACGGGCAATCTACGACTGTAGAGAATGATGAACAGTTACAACAATGCCACTCATTTCCTGATTCAAGATTTATGATCATTATGCTCCTTGATATAGCATCTGCTTATCCCTGATAGGCGTCATCTGTCTAGAGCTCACAGACCTGACTTGTTGTTAGGTTTTCTTGCCACCATTTGTCGACCCGTCTGTTTTAACCAGACTGCCATCGAGCATATCCCATTTCAATATATAGTTATTGGAAATCTCTGCCTTAAGCTAGTCCTATTTAGATTCTTAGATAATGAATCATCATGGTAGCCGTCGTGGCTCGTTCATGGCATAAACCATGGCTGGCACATATGATTATCAACACACTTTAAGTACCGTCGAACCCGTTGGATGGGATACGACTCGCCCTGTCAAGGGGTCTTCGCTTGACACTTGGTTGCGTTCAGAGCGGCGGAGCACCGTGATACGTTCTATCGGACACACCCTGGTTAGAGCGTTCAGATTTGTGAGACTACGTTAATCTCCAGGTTTCGGTGATTAAGTGAGATAGAATCCTAAGATAGCGTATACAATAAATGAGGACATATGTTGTAATAAGTAGACTGAACGCCGATTCCTAGAACCAACGTGGGCGCTGGCATTTAACTACTGGTCTCATGTGAGATGTCTTATGCATTGAGACTGACCCAGTCCCTATAGCCCATCATGGGGCCTGAATGGCCGACTTGAATGTCAGGTTCTCAAGGCTCCCAACACACTTAGTTGAGAGGCGGTGATGACAGGTGGTCCTGACACCTTCTCAAGCCACGGATAGTCATCTATCACTAGGGACTCGATGATTGACCCATGAGACGGCCCACAGTGGGAATTAAAAGATACAGTGATGAGATTCACCAAGAACTCCCAGAAGTCAGGAAACCAACCATGATTTTCCCAATCGACCAGTCAGGGCTATAGTCCCTTCTTCCCTAAAAGGGCGATAAAGCCGCTTTGGAGCGAGTCGATCACCTCGGTGTCAACGTTGCCCTCGGCGAACATTTCGGCGAGTTCCATAAGATCCAGCTGCTCACTCAGTTCCGTAATATTCCATATTTCCTGCAACAATTTGCGCAAAATTCCATTTCGGCACCGAGGCTGATCTACCGCAATGGCTAGATTTTCGGCAATGAGAGACATTCGACAGAGGTTGACTTCAGACCCTCCTTCTCTCACTGCACAATGCCTTGCCATTATATCCTCATAGATGTCGCGGTAGTAAGGGAGAGACTTAGGGAATCTTCCCATTAACCTTCTGGTTCCACCCCATCTTCCATAGACTCCTGGTAGTCGTACATAGCTTGGTCCCAGTCGCGCGTGGGCCACCCAGTATACCTTTCGTTTCCAAGAGTCCGGGGCACAGCAGCGACCCCATCCCAATCAATGACACCTAGGAGCTCGCCGTCTTCGGAAACAATGAAGTTCTGAATATCAAGTCTGGGTGTGCAAGGACAAAGGGATCCACGATACTAGGCTCAGGTATCCAAGAATATTGAGAGACTCTTGGGAGACTTGTTGTGCTCAGGATGTATATCAAGCATAAGGCTGTAGTACTCTTTCGGATCGCTAGATGCCGCAAATTTGATATAGATAGGGTCATCGGCTGGAACTTTATGGACGAACCATCGATCAAGGGTAGCCTTATGATCGACCCGTCGCATAGATTTGACTTGAGATGAATTGCCATGATTGTCAAAGACAACACGGCCGCTGGTACGAAATGAGAAGCTATCTAGCTGCGCCATTGCCGAGGCGATGCTTTCGAGAGCTCGAATTCGGCTTAGATGGGTGGTGTCAGGGGAGACGCCTTCTAGACGTCCTCCGAACCAGATGTTGTATAAAGAGATCCCTGAAATAAAGGACATGATAATATATGGACATCGAAGAGGATTTTGCGTGGTTGAGGAGAAGTCCAAAATATCAGGTAGAGGGATCGTGGTTTGCCGCTTCAGTAGGCGCATGGTGTTCGCCTCAGAGGTCAGGGCCGAGGCAGACAACTCATCCCATTTATTTGCTGTGCCATTAATAGGGATTTTTGCGATCCAGCGAAGACCGGTATCAAAATTCAACGGGAAGAGTACATGGTAAGGTCCATACAGAGGCTCGCCGACCGAGGGGTTCGCATTGGTGGTTTGATCGAGTTATTGGAGGCGCTGTAGCATGGCGTTTGCAAGCAGGGGCAGCTGCTCTCTATCAAGGGTCGAGAGAACCGCACAAAATACTTCTGCGTTTTCATCATCCTCAGAAGAAGGCGAAGAAGGCGACCAAGGCGGCAGTTCAATAGGCTGCTGTTGGTGCATTCTGGTCTGTGGGCAGGGAGAGGAAGTCAGAAGAGACGAAAGCCCCGAGTTTGGGGGAGGAGAAGAGACCATCTTCACGATTTCGGTTCTGAGGCGTCTAGCACAATCGTGTGTTGACCGCGTCTCTCTCAGCGCTCTCCAACGCCCCCGAAACAGTCGGGGTTTTTGTCACCTTGACCAGGATCTCTTATCTCCCAACCAATCGCCCCAGTTGGGTCGAACGTGCAAAATGATCAGGCATGATTGTATCTTCACTTCATTTTCTGTACCCTACTCGGGGGTAGAGTGGCTAGCAGGTAAATGACATTGAAACTGGCGATTTGAGGCCTCATTGGGAATGGCGCTAATTATGATGGGCAACGCTTCTACCTAGTATTGTAAGTTAATATGTAATATGATAATTGAAGCTATCCGCATGGAACAAAGCGCATTTCTAGCAATTTTCAGGCGTTATTGCAATAAGCGGAGAGAGTATTGAGTAAATTCATCAATTGGAGATTCGCAAATTTGATTTGCTTCTGCTCAGGTCTTAACGCCTATATGATTTCTGAGAAATACGTTTTTGTATGGTGGGCATAACTGCATGTTGAGCAAAATCCAAGTAGTGGTCTTACTCAGGGATCTGTTGTAGTATTACAGGTATTGATACTTTCTGCCGGAATATGACTAGTCTGGATTACAGTAGACCTTATATGCGTTTAAACTTAGTACTACTGCGACTATGCCGTTCTCTGGACACCTTTGGTGGCTTCTACTGTAACTCTGTTACCGTCCCTTCTCACCCACACTAAATGAAGAAAACTTGCATAGTCCGTTGCAGCCTAGCCAGAAATATAATGGTTATTTAGGCGCCTCTTTTCGGCCAAAGCAACAGATCGGTCCGAACGCCTAGTAATGCCGTATAAAGAATGAGATGGCTCATGTAGCGAGAGAAAGGATACTTCAAGACAATTTGACATAGATTGGAAAATCTTCAGGCAGTATAGAGTACGAGGATGGGTGGAAGCAACACAGAGTAACCTAGCGTGCAGACCTAGTTACTAGACACCCATTGATACATCTTAGAAGTCAAACACCATCTAAGATGAGTCTCCGCAAAACGAATAACAAAATCCGCAATAACAAATGCCGAGCTGTTCTTGGCCTCCTATTGAATGCGATGGTGTAGCTGGGTCGCGTTCTCAATGCTACTGTCATGTAATGAACAGAGAGCTACCATAGCGGTAAAAAGCGCTTCATCACTTAGGTGTTCAACCCAGCTCGATCCACCAAGCTTTACGAGAACAGCGTTCATAGTCTCAGCGCTGGAAGTGTCTTTTCAAGTCCCACAAGGTCATTCTGGTGGCCCGTAGCTATTTGAACTTCCCGTTGCATCGAGCTAAGATCCTCCGATATGTCGTATGGAGAGAAAAATTCGCTCTCGAGTAGCCTGAAAAGGGGTCCAATGGAAATGGTTTGTTCCCTTATGTTCATGTAATTTGGAAGATCACGGCGTGGGTTTCCGTTTCGAATTTTGATTTCCTGACCGAGCGCCTGCAGCACCACACAGACTTCACGAAATAGGGGTTCCGCTGCTCCCGCTTCTTAAAGGATTTGATGGCAATGAACACGGAAATGAGAGAGGATAGAGCAAACTTCTCGGTCCTCTGAATTGTCATCGGCTAGAAGAGATGTTAGAGCCGAAGAACCACGTGCTAGAAATCTTTCACTTGCTGCTTTGGAGGTGCACCTCCTTTTTCTGTAAAAGAGCCATGGCTGGTCCAACACTACTCTTTGCTTTGCAAGGGTCCATTTCTTCCAGCAGATCATCAATTGTGCAAATGACTCCAAGTCATGCCGTCATACACACCAGGACATAGCCCGCCCTAAGAGTGGGAAAGAAGGTATGAGTTGCGCTAACCTCAGAGACTACCTATTAAAATACTTCTTTATGCTTTCCGCCTATCGGCATCCCTGAGCTCTGTCGAAAATTCAAATGCACCTGTAAAACTTGCATTCAAAGATCGGTCCAACTTTTGTCCTCGCTTAGATGATCTCTCTCACCCGGGATTGGATCGACGTCGTTTTGTGGTATTTTCAACTTTTATATTTTTTGTTTTAAGTAGAACACTGATATCTGCAAGTCTCGGAGTGTCATTCCTTTCCTGATGTTTGGAAGACCGATCGGCGTGTAACATCTTATCACGTAGAATGATAAATCTGCAAATGTTGTATCGATATTATTAGTTATAAACAGAACCAAGTTTTCGTCTCAGAAAAGTGCTTCTTAGATGAGTCAGAAGCAAAATGTTGATGCTAGCTTTTCAACACCTAGGTCGCAACAGTGCTCCTTATATGATCTTGAATAACTACTGCTTTCCTATTTTATCATGTTGCGTTAATCGAAATCGTGCTACCATTCTGTGCTACAATGATTTTCACATGAACACACCCCTATACGGCTCGTCGGTGATTGCCACCTTGATAATGCTTAGACAAGCGTAAAACATATACAATGGTGTAACATCAGTATCTGACCTCGAGTACTTCAGCCTAGGACCCAGTTTATTACGAGACCACGCCGTTTTCTAGGGAATTAGACAGGTCAGCGAAAAAGAAGCCTATGGCCTGAGCAATATAGTGGTATTATAGAGTAAACCGAACGCTGGATCTAGAATTAGAGCCCTAGGCACTACTAGTAGAGAGCTTCAGCATAAATGCTTAAAACTAGGACCCACTCCTGAAATCGGGCCCTCTCCTTCAGTGCGTATCGCACGCAATTTGACTGGACTGGGGATGCGATGATATCGCACAGAAACCAACTGTGGTTGAGAATCTAAATATGTAAATAGAAATTTCCGTGCCAGATCAACGTGAGGGATCTAGAAGACTTTCGAAGAATGTGAGAGACCAGAAAGGTCACCGGGTAAAAGAGGTGATGTAGGTCATCCTTGTCAGCTTTTAGGAGCTGATAGTGACCCAAATGGTCGGGATCTGCCGGTGCATGGTTATTTTGGACTTGATATCATTTTCCGTGAGGTTTAGAAAGGTCTAGTAGGATCAAGAAACTCTTACATGACGACAAAATTTGGTAATAGACGTAGCGGATATCGTCATACGATGAAGAGTAATCTGATCTTTTATAAATGCCTTTCTGATGAGATATATCTTAAGTAATGATACTTGATCGGCGAGTGCGCTGCCGGGGCATATACCGATACCCCCGATACGCTAAATCGTCGCCGGCCCTAACTCTATTCTAAGACGTTGATTAGGGCTTAGGGCTTTTAAGCCCCGTGGCTCATCAATATTGGGCTTGAATCAGCGCAATTCAATATGAACATCAGGTCAAATTCATTATAAAAACAAAAGATAACAAAAGAACACGAATATGCAAGAGCACATGGAAGAAACTCAATAAAGGATGACTGACACCTGAACAATGTCTTAGATCCAAAGATCTTTTAATATAAGAACTACAAACAAAGCTTAACTAGAGAAGACAATATATTAAAATAGGGGCGACGCGATGGCAATCTAGTCGGGTAGATAGGTCGATACTAGCAATTGGAGCATAGGCAAAACCCAGTAAGAGGTCGGGTAGGACATAGGAAAGGAGAGCAGAGAGGTGAGGTATGAAGAGAAGAATGTGTCTGTCTTGCTCACTATGCATAGAGAGGTCTTAAATATATCACGAAGGCCCAAATCATATAATAGGGCTTACCTCAACAATATATAAACATCCATACCCGGGAACTCTATAAGAACTAAAATCAAGGAATCATTATAAAAGAGATATCTTGGTAGAAAACACGAGGGAACCAAGATTTCCAAAGAAAAGTGAAGAACTGCATGAAATCTTAGAATATTTCTGTAAAGGTCCGTGACTTCAAGACACAACAATAAATTCGTTCAACGGGTTCCTACGCAGGCAAAGCGGTATCGAGAGCCAGAAGATTCCTACGGATGTAAACAGGAGTCAATACGTACACGATATCTAATAGTTGAGAGATTCAATCAGAGAAAGAACAACTTAAATATGAAAGGAAACACTACTTGAAATCATCATTTACCAAGACTAAAACTCTCTGATCTCGTTTCTCTTATTCTCCTTTACTACACATGATCCTTTCCCCAACAATCTCAAAGGCTAGACCTGTGAAATGGAATGGACTAGATCTAGTCTCACTTATGTTTTCCTATAACTATTCTACGTTGAACTACAGTGTAATTCTGAACCCCTCCATAGTTAAGAGAGCGGGAGCTAGGCTGAAAACCGACTAGCGTACACTGTTATTCAGGAAAACGGACACTGTTATTCAGAACTCTCCTCCTATCACTCACATACTATTTTTACTTTCTGAAGGCTGCATGGAAATCACAACAATCTTAATTCTAACTCTGCAAGTTTTGCAATCGCCGTATTCAAATTTGAGTGGTTTTATTCAAGACTGCTATTTCCGACTGTAGAATGTCTAGCCTTCCGACTATACTTACAACCACCCAACTCAAATATATTTCTCACCACAATCCAAGTAGAATACTAAGGAATTATATTAGTACCAAGTTAATACAGATTCAGGTCCTATCCTTTCTGAGTATATGATACCCTGTATTAAGCAGTTGTATACTATCACTACAGTGCCTTAATGTCTTACAATATCGGATTGCTCACATTTCTAACCAGTGTTATCACATTAATCCATAAACAGACTAGCGTACGGTGACATTCAGGGGAACCCATAATCATACTGATATCCACCATTCTACTTCTAATTAAATTTTATATATCCATACCATCTACTATTTTTACTAGATTCTACAATGTCACAATCTAATCACGATC